CTTGCTTCATAAATGCCTTCTTCAAGTCATAGAAGAATTTACAAGTCTCTTCTGTGAGAAAGCTGAGTGAACTGCCCACTTCTTCACTTCTTCTTCTTTTCTTTCTGAATTGCTTCTTCCCTGACTTCCCACTCTTTAACATGCTAGTCAAATCAAGCATGAGCTTGGAGAACTTGGAAATGAATCATCAGTAGAAGTTAGTAAATCTCAGAAAGATTTGAATATTCTGATGACTCTTGAACTCTGATCAAGAAATGATTGTGTCCATTCAGACTTTTTTTATTGGGACATTTTCTGATGATACCACATATTTCAGAAAGTCTATCTCTGTAACACTGAATCAGCATTTGAATCTCTTGCAATAGAGTTTAGTCTCTTTCAGTGTCTTGAGCATTTTATAAACATGTTCAGTGTGTTCTTTCTCATTCTCAGAATACACCACAACATCATTCAGATACATCATCACAAAGACATCTAAGTACTCTCTCAGTGTTTTGTTGATGTATGACTGAAATGTCACTGATGCATTCATAAGTTCAAATAAAATCATCTGATATTCAAACATTCTCAGTGAAGTCTGAAAAGCTGTTTTCCATTCATCTCTCTTTTTTATTTGTAAATGATGATATGCATTCTTCACATCCAGCTGGGTATAGATCTTAGCTTTCCCAATTCAATTCAGAATGTCTTCAATCAGTGGAAGTGAATATTGATTCTTTACTGTCTTTGAATTCAAGTTTCAATAATTCACACATATTCATAACCTTCCATTCTTCTTCTTTGCAAACAGAATGAATGACCCAGCTGATGATCTGAAAAATCTGATGAATTCACTTGACAAGATGAAGTTGACATATTCTTGTAAAGTCTCTGTCTCTGTTTCTGAAAGTCAATAAATGGGGTCAAACTTTGGCACTGTCTCTGACAACAACTCAATGTCTAGATCATTCTTTCAGTGAGAGGGCAAGAAAGTATCTTTTAAATTACTGAATGCATCAATTAAATCTTTATAACTGTCTGGTATCTGCAGATTCACATCTATGATGATGACTTGTTCACTTTTATGAACTCTCATTACATAGAAGAGTTTACCATCATCAACAAGTTTATTTAGAGAAACTGACTTGATTTTTGTCATAAGATCTAATCCACTCTGTTTACAAAACTCAAGTGACAGATTTCCAAATGAAACAACAGAATTATGACAGTGTAGTCAGAAGAGATCTAACATTATATTCTCAGATATATCAGCAATCAATGCTTGCTCATTAAACATTGGTCAATTATTCATAGTATCTTGTGTCTCAAAGAAAATGTTTGTAATTTCTTCAGATACTAACTTTAAATGATTCTTTTTTGCAGTCTCCATCTCAATATTCATCTTATGAATCTTCAGACTCAGTCTTACTGCAAGCTTCAGACTTATGATCAGAAAGAAACATAGTGAGTCTGCCACAGCAGTTCACTTAACTTCTTTTTCTATTTCAGAGTTATAAACTCTGATGAACAATGTAATTGAGAGAACAGCTTGTAGCTTAAATAACTTCAATTACTTAATATTCATTCTATCTACAGACTGCTTTCCAAACCTCTATTTCTTCTTTGACTTAATGCACTTATTTATATAGTGATCAGTCTCACCACAATTGTAGCAAGCATTCTTATCTGATTTTCCACTTCACTTTGAATTTATAAACTGAGAATTGAAGATTTTCTGATGTTGATTTTCTCTCTGTCATAATGAGATTCAGATCTTGTTTCTATAATCCTGATCTTGTGATCCATGGACTCAATTTAAATAGAATGATGTTCCACCATGATTGATATTTGTCTCTGAGATGAATTATGACTTTGGATTGAAAGTGGAACTTTTGACACTAAATTGTAATTGCATCACAACTGTCTGAATTTCATTCAGTTTCTCTGAGATTCTTCTGTTCATTCAGCTTGTTGTGCATAGATTTGTCATATTGCCATAGAAAAAGATGTTTGATGAACTTATTCACACTCTGTGTCTCTTCATTTATTTGTTGCAAATGTTGTTAAAATTGTTGCAATCAGTCAAAGTCTGATTCATCATTTCTTTTACAAAGATGAAAAAGATTTCTTCAGACTAATTGAATTTGATTTTCAGAATCATCTAGTTATAAAAGTAGAAATTGTTTGAGTTCAGTTCAGATATTTAGAGTAGAGTTCTGAACTGAGTGTGATTCTCAAAAATCTTTCTCACTATAGTTCAAGTCTGTGACTGCATACTTCAGAGTTTCATTGTTGTTCAAATCACTAGCATCTTAGATGGATTCTATTTGAAAGATAAATTGCTGATAGACTGCATAGTTCTTAATTTAATAGTTGATCTTATATTGTGAAGACTTGATGACTGAACTCTTCTTTAAAGAATTTGAATTAGAGATCAGAACATTAAATGATTCTGTTCATTCATGCTTTCTATTCAGAATTCATAAACTCTGCTGTAGTTCTTGAATTCTTTTCATGAGATGTATCTGCTCTCTTAAGTTCTCAAAAAATTCTGTGTTCTCTGAAGATGATTTCTCAGTCTGAGTTATGCTTTCATTCAGATTTATTGTTGCACTTGATGTCTCAGCTAACTCTGATACTGAGAAAAGAGTTAAGAATTCAGTTTGATCTCAGTTATTCTGTCTTGTGGAAATCATTGTTGAGCCATCTGCTTATTTAAGTGACAAACTGTGAGAATTGAATGATTGCAGATAACATGACAATGACTTACAGTCTTTGTAAATGAGATTAAGTTTGATGAGAGATGGTTATGAAGAGATCTAAGTATGAGAGAGAGAGAGAGATAACTTATATTGCTACAATAGTATCTAGAGTCTCTAGATATATTGCCACTAATCTTTGTAAAGAAGTATCTGTGACAGATTTTGTGTGTTCAGCTTTGCTAATGTGATTATGTGATCAGTTACAGAATTTACAAACTTCAGATGTCATGAAGCATGATCATCTAAGCATCAAGAAGATTTTACAAATCTCTTTTAGATGATGGAATGAATGTAAGAAGGCTGCAGCACAGAGCCTTACAATATACTTATATATTTATATATATCTATATAGTTATCAGTAAGTATATTCTACTAACTAAGCTTTTGTTGTATGAGCTTCTACTGCACATTGACTTGCTCACAAAGAAAGAGCTTTTCATGTTAATTACTCTGTTTACAAATAAATTTAATCACAATTTACAGTAAACTAATTTTATCATAAGTTGTTGATTCTAGATTTTACAATCCATTCAGTGTTCACATGAAATAAGATTTAACAAAAAACTTGATGTGTGTGTTCAAAAAAAATTTTTGGTTTTCATTTTGTAAAATATGAATTATGGCCGCTTGTGTCTTATAGGCTGCCGTACTAGTAAGGGCACTAAGGGGAAGTTGTATGGCGTAGTTGGTAAGCATCTGCAGGAATACTTCTGGCATAGTCTGTTATTGGAGCTTAGGGGCAACCACCATGACCTTCTTTCCCAGGTGGTTGCCTCTAGGGTGTTTTATCAACAGAGAAGCTTCTCTGAATGGAGAAGGGCCAGTTACACCCTAAATGGTTTCCTAAACAGAATGGAGTGGTAAGGGCCCAGATATCAAGAACACATACTGTCACTAAACCTGGGGTAGAGAGTGTGGCTTTTCATAGCCTTAGGCTTCATGAGAGCCTAGGAAAAATAAGAAATAATGACAACAACAACTTATGTAGTTGGTAAAGTTTACCGGATTCCCCAAATCTATGGAGTATGGTAACACTATAGCAGCTGGCAACATGGTAACTCAGTAAAACATTCACAATACAATCATATATGTACCAAAGGAAAAAGATGCATATTTACTCTAATTAAGTATATTGGTATGGCTTATGCTATGCTCCCTATTGGTATTTTAGGTTTTATTACATATCTGTAGATAGTAAGCTCATTCCAGGTCGTAGTTAAAATATGTAGTAGTTACAGAGCCAGCACGTTGGGGTTTTCATTCTGAGGCAACCGCTACATTGTGCCTGGAACACATAAATTCCAAATGACACATGTCTCCATCCGGTTGGTTCAAGGAACGTAGCAAACAAATGAACATTATAGATGAATAATAAAAGCACACAAAGCCAGTCTTACAGATAACAATTTTTGCAACCCGCTAGTTTATATTCTTAGCACTGCATGCCAACTGTGTCTTGACCCAGGAGCCCAACAACCGAAACCAGCCCAAGGGTTTTGAAGTTGTGCAGCTCCGCCTGGGCGTTTCGATACGATGAGCTGAACTCAACACAGAAAAAATAACAGCGCCCCCAAGGCTCACTGCGCAGATGCGTCCCGGTCCACAGCGCCAAATTCCCAGTCCCAGAAATTTGCCATGTATGGCGAGATAGGTGCCTACCAATCTGTTCTGTTGGAGTCCATCTTCCTCGCGGGCGAGAACTTGATAGGTGGGCTGGTTGATTTGGCGCTGTACGATGTAGATAGGCTGACCCGAGGTTATGTCTGGCTGCCGGAGGGTTTCTAACTTATCTTGCCATTCACTGTTTGAAATTTCGTCGCCAAAGATAATACCGGCGCCTTTGCCACTCCGAATAGGTTTTAGGAGATAGTTATTTTTTAGCTCAGGTTGACACTTGCTTTTGACAATCATATGTTCCAGCTCTTGAGAGCCAGGAAGATAGGTCGTTACGATGCCCTCTCGGAGAGCCCGTGCTTGTTCTTTGGTTAACACGCCGTGATTGGTAACAAGAGAGTCGAGCTCCTGTAATAAGATTCCAAGCATCCGCTTGTCATGAACGAGGAAAATGGTTCGCATATCGTTGAAACAGCGGAGAGCCAAGTGGCGTAGCATTTCAGGAGATAGCTCACGTAGTTCCCGCTGATGTAGTTCTAGGCCTACCTGGTGAACCTCCTCAAGTATCTCTCCACTATAAATAAACCTAGCTGATCGCCAAGCTTTGGTCATAGTACTATTTTGACTGGAACCCGGGGATTGAGGACTCTCCTCTTTCACCGTGCTACATAATTTATATCCGAACTTGGAGCTGTCAGTTGGTACTAGTCGAAGGTCTTCCGGAGAAATGAATATTGGGGCTGCTCCAGTTCGCCGTTCCACATCGTGAACAAAGAGATGGATATCGTGTCCGTATTCTTCTCCTTTAAGTAGGTGAAGCGGGCGTGTTGGATCAAAACAATTAAGTAGACTGTCAACGACCTTGGACATTATCAGAATTCGCCCACCCTTGTACAGTTTTCTTGCAATTTAAATACCAATTTGACTTACTTCACTGGGTTCTAACACACTCAACATGCATTTGTCCTCAGAGCCCATATCTTGTAAGGCCTGTTGGCCCGAGGAACTGAGGATAAATCCGTTGAACGAGAAACGAGCGTTAATTTCACAAAGAACGAACCTTTCTGCTACCTCAGAGGTGTCAGAAGCGTTCTCAATAAGAATATCAGGCCTCCAGGAGCCTAGGCATTCTTTAAATGGGCGGATCTCGTCAATTGCTTCCGTGCTCATCCACTAAAAATCGACAAATCAAGTCAGAAGACAGTACGAGCGTTGAATTACGAGGTGCACGTTACGCGTAGAAGATCTTCTTCGTGAGGTTCCAAAGGCATTCTATCGAAAAACCTAGCCTCCGTGTCGGTCCACCATCTTTCCACAATATTGGTGATGGCAAGCACCAATGCTACATGTAGGGTCTCGATATTTCGATAGTGCTGTGGATGTAGTAGGACTGGATGGGGACATGCGGCGCGATACAGGTTGAGCCACGAATCGCGAGGGTACTGCCGCAATAAGTGAGATTCTAATTGAAGTTTCTCTCCGGTTCGAACGGATGCCTCAACATGTTTAGGGGCTATAACTTTCGACTTGTCGCTTTTAGCGAGACAAATTTGTTGAAGACAAGCTTTATTCTCCATTGATAATATTTAAAAGGTCGCGGCTTCGCAGTAAATTGTTCGTATGTACGGAGTATGTACCAACAGAAGACAGAAAGAAATTTTGAGAGACACACATTCAGGGCAAACAGCAAGGTTAACAGAGGGATGCTTTCAAACTTCGGGATAGCCAAAGTGCGTACGGAGTATATCAACTTGGCCAATAAGCGGTGCCTGGTAAAAATTCGGCCAGGTGAGGAAGCACACCAGTTTAAGTCTGGCCTTTGCTTAGTTTTCAGCAAAAATGATTCCGAGAGTTCATATCTCGGGTCGATCACGGACAAATCATGTAGTTACGGGGGCTGCTCTGATCCGTTATGCAGGAGGATGTGGCGTGCATATACGGAGGGTTTGCTCCGTATACGTACTCCGTAAACGGATGGGAGCTCCAAACCCCCGGCTCGTCATTCCGCCAATCATATTTGATTGAAGCCCTCAGTCCCAATACGAATTGCAGCCAGCACCCAGGCTGAAAGCAAGTCGCGAATGAGGGCGGCGATTGTTGAGAGAATGCATCTGGAGGGGGTACTCTCGGCAGGGGTAAAGCTGAGGGCCAATCGGCAGCCGTGCAGGTAACTGCGAGCGGGGATGGAGCTCTGTTGCGCTCGGCAATCTGGCTGCGTTGATGGCCATCGCGTTCGTTTCGCTTTGTGTTGCTGGCCGATCGCCGTCGCGCTTAGTTAACTTAAACAGTGCAAACAACACACAAACAACACAAACACCAGGGCAAGGCACGGCACGTGCCAGTCTGATCAACGACGAGCTCCGACCACTGTGTTCACCCTCAGCCTGCCGCCCGTACCCAGCAGCGCCACGGCATCGAGAGAATTGTGGGATGGGCTCGGGTATCGCCACCGGATTCTTTCTCGCACTTCCATACAAGCCTACGCTGTCTTTTGGTGCAGTCACATCGATCAACGCGTCTCCGCTTTCCTCTCGGGTTTCAAACAACGCTCAAAGTTACTCAGCATGGTTAGAATCACAACTTTCCCTGTTTTGGCCCCAAGCTCTGTTCAACATTTGAGGAAGAGAGTGACTTGCTGTCAGACAAATCCTGTGCCTCACAGAACAGTTTGGTACAATGTTACAGGAGAAGACGCCGGTGTAATCCACGTCAGCCTGTGCTAACTACCGTCCTAAATATTATCCCGATCGGGATTTTCCCGACGGGTAGGTTATACGTACATAGTACCCCATGTCGTGTATAGATTCTTTGCTATGAGCTTTTTTCGGAACCACACTGCTACATTCTGCAATTTATGCCATTATGGTCTTGGAGCTTTGAGAGCAATGGGCAGGCCTGGAGACAGCTTTTTGCCTTTCGTTTCCTAGACCATACGGACTACTCCGTATAGTGCCTCATTTCCTGTTGAGAACTTGTCCCTTTTTATCTGACAAGTTTATGCCCCGCTTCTACATGTACATGTACAGCGCTAATATTTACGCACAGTATGACCGTTTGTATTTCCAGAATGTCCATTCTGGCTATCGCCGTGCCTCGAAAGCATGCGAAGTTTTCCTTATAGTTGGCCAAAGTCCTCTTAGAATTCCCGTGTTTGTGCTCAAAACTATCACCTCGTTATCCATTTTTGAACCCTTGCCTTGTTTGGCTACGTCTTCTATCATTCCCAGGGACCTTTTCAGAAAATAATGCAACGCTTTGATTGCGCTAATGGGTGCTAGTATCGGAAATAAACGATCCTCGTTGGAGTTGGATATCCAAATGGTTGTTTTGTGCTTTGGAAAACCATTGAAATCATTGGAAGTGACATGCGCATATGCTTTATCATGATTAGAAAGTGTTCGAAACTCACACCAGAGCATACCACTTACATCCCATAGCTGGAAAATACAACCACTCGCCGACCCTAGCCCCTGAGGGGAGGGGACAGTCCATGAGTATTTTGTCGAAACTATCGCACGTCTGCCCCCAGACAGTATACTTCCCCCGCGCCTCGTTACTTTGCCTACACGGCACGCCAGATTTATCCAGCAAAATAGGCTGTGGCACCACTTTTTCTGTTAGAGCGTTCAGAAAATTATGATATATGCCATCATTGATATAAATATCTCCTGTTGGGATTGTCTCTCCTAAAGCAGTTTGGTGGTCTAAACGCCCTTTAGGTCGAGTCCCAATCACCCGGCATATAAGGTGAAATGCTTCATGGACGAAGAAACGACCGGGTTCAGCTACCCACCGAATCTTTCTTTCTATGTCAAAATATTCTCGGATGGCTTGCCGGATAGCAGTTGCTGCGTCATCAAAGTTTTCACTTGAAAACCCACCTCCAACGTCGACTGTGCCTATCGGGTGTTTTCTCCCCTCCCCGAAAGTTTCATTATAATCATAAACTTCTCGGGTGAGGGCAATTGCTCGACGATATGCATCGCAGTCAGATGCACTGGAGCCGACATGAAAGCAAAGTCCCACGACTCGCATGTTGAGGTCCTTTGCTAGTTTGAGAAGCTCCTTGGCTTCTTGTAGCCTAACACCGAATTTTTCGGACAGTCGAGCCCGCGAGGTCGGGTCGTCGGCCCACAAACGAAGATACAGAGCTGCAGTTGGGAAATACGTTGCTAACTTTCGTAACTCGTCTTCACTGTCAAACATTGTTTGTTCCACGCCGTGTTTTTTGGCATATAGAACATGGTCTTCTGACTTGAATGGTGCAGCAAAGAGAATGCGATGAGGTTCAACCCCGAGCTCAAGAATCCGCTTGATCTCTGATTTGGACGCACAGTCAAACCCTGCTCCATTTTTTGCAAGTATTTTCAGAACGGTGGGATTATCATTGCATTTCATTGCTTAATTGCAGTCAGTTATGGCTTAAGACCGGGCTGTTGCAAAGTCAAAAACACTTACCATAGAAAGGCTGAATATCCTCGAATCGACTTTCCCATCTTTTCAGCTGATGTTGGATGTAAGTTTCGTCCGCAACAAAGAAGGAGTCTTTGAACGTGGAATCGCCATGAAGATGGTTTAGGACTTTAGATTGAACGAGGGGGGGGATCGCATTTGGGCTGTAACTGGAGGCAAGATTTTTTTGGTTAACAACCTCCATAGAAACTACCTGAAATAACTGCCGTGCGAGGATGGCAAGAGAGGGTGTGCGTGTGTTGTTGAAAGGTGTGAGCAGAATACTCCGCACAGAGCTTCGCATTGGTATGCTCGATGAACCTTATATGAGTCGCTCGTCACTATTTTCCCTGGGCTTCTGATTGCAGAAGCTTATTCTGCGACTTCTGCAACTCTGAGTGGAGCTGGGAAAAGACCCGAATGCCGATCAGCAAGCACGGGCGAATCGATAGTTGGGTATGGGTAGCGTTCAACTGTCACAAACGTTTCTCACATTTACACTTGATTCGCGAGAGAAACACGGATAATTGCCACAGTTTTGGTTCCACATTCTCCCTCTTCCGTGCTTTTCTTTTCTCTGGAATACGGGGCTTCCCGTATGGGCTACCTCAAGTGCCCACCCGCGGCATCTTATCTTATCCGTTGACTTCATCTCGCGCTGCCCGGGCGCTTCGTGCAGGGTGTGGCTGCCTGAGGCTGCAAGGGGGCGAAGGGCTTAGTGGACCACTGGACATTGCGAATCTTTCAACTATGAAAGGGCTCCCAAACTCTCACTAGCCAGTGCTATTTAAAATCCAGAAAAGTGATGAAAGCCATGTCTGGATCCCCCGTAAACAATACAGTTGCGTGTCTTTTAAATTGTGGTTGACAGTTTTTGAGGTTCAGCAAGACTGGGCTCGTATTTGAGAGGGACAACGCCAGCCTCACTCGATCGTCCTCTCTGGGAGGGTGATTTTTACGGTCCAGATTGCTGGGTATTGATGGGAACATCGATGGAGGAGTAGGCTCGCGATATCTGAACTAAATTGCCGGCTAGCGGGATTCTAGAAGTCTCCCTTTCTCATATCTGTTCCTCTTTAACCGCGATTCTTGCGTCAAGAGACCAGAATGTTCCGCCTTTCATTGACCAACCGAACTGGGCTAAAGGCCTCAAAAGCTTCCATTCCATTTTTTCGTATGTATATTGAAGGCTGGCTTTCCCATGGTATTGGCAATACTCTAACATCATAACTAGGATCTCACCATTCCGTTGCACGGCTACATGCATCCCAATTAGAATGCTCGGATGAACAAAGCCATATCGAATCCATCCACAAACATCTGGAAACTACCGGGGTTTTGAAAATCGATCTGGGCTTCGAGGACAGCGATAGTCGATACATGCAGCAGGTTATTCTAAACCTACACAAGTTCCATGGACATGGGCTTCCGATCACTCATTCTGCGTCTCGAGGTTGGTTCTGGGATGTTCGGCCTCTCGCCAGAGCGCAGCCTACTATAACAAAGCCTGCGCGCTCTGAAACTGCACAGGATTTCCCATGGCACACAGACTGCAGCTATGAACACTATCCGCCTCGATTTTTTGCTTTGCAAGTTCTTCAGCCGGATCGATGCGGTGGAGGGACACTTTCCATTCTAAATGTCGACCGGCTTATACAATTGCTACCCATGGCCACACGGATATCTCTATCCAAAGCTGATTATCGAATCACCGTACCAGCGGAATTTATCAAGAGCGATGAACGATATATTACTGGGAGTATTCTCGGCCAAGCGCTAGACAGTGGCTCATCCGAGTTAAGGTTCCGCGAGGAAATCTTGACCCCCTTAAGCAGTAGCGCAAGGCTGGCGATTGAAGAGCTTGGTAAAACACTCCACAGCCGGCAGGCAAGAGAAGCAACAGTTGATCTGACCCCGGAATTGCTTCCTCGGGGGTCGATTATTCTCATCAATAACAGAAAATGGCTTCATGCCAGGAGCGAGGTGAAAGATCCGCAACGTCATCTACGCCGAGTACGTTGGGACGCCCGGCCCTTCGTGGCTGGAGATACTTTACCGTTCGAACACGTCGACAATCTGGTAAACAGCCATCTGTAGCGGCTTCGCGGATTACAAGGGAGCCTATGCAAGAGACGACCAAGGATCGACAGAAGGGTGATCTCTGTGATTAACTAAAGTTTCGTTTAGAGGTACGAGTACATACATACATAGAAAACCCTCATCATATGGGAAGTTCGAATTAAGGCTTTAGCCGGCCATAATCCCAATTTATGTTAAGCTAGTCGTCAAGATCTGCAATCGACGGGCTTTCGGGCCCTGTCCGCTCCTCTCCCCTGGTAGCCACTTGGGTACCAGAGAACGCAAGTCCTTGGGCAGATGCTCTTATCTACAGCCGCCAGTGGAGTTTTGTACGTATGCATACGGGGGACTCCGTAGTTACATACTCTGTACATACATATTTAGTTATGTTTCATTGTTTCTGTGGGGTATCACAGTGACAGAAGCGAGAAGGGAGATGCATGGGGAGCATTCATGCTTCCTCAATCGTTTTGCTTCTTTTCCACGACTAGCTAAACCATATTAGAGAGAGTACGGAGTAGCTTCCAGGATAATGAGCCCCCGGAGTTATATGTATACGTACGGATTTCCATCCTGACTGCTCCGTACTTCGAAGGCGTCCCACTCTCGTATCTGACATTGTGTTGGCACCCAATTCATGTCTGGGTTCGTGATCCGTCGGCTATTCTCCCACCAGCCTGTTTTATGATCTTCCGAAAGGCCTAGAGCAAGGCTATGTAGCTTTAGGCACACAGTTGGAGTCGGGCTGCAACCAAATACTGAAACGCGAATGAAAAGCGGACTCTGTCATACGGAAAACGCCGGACTCGTTCTCGGAGAGTAGTTATATCAAAGAACCGAGACTTAAAGGGCTGTCTTTACAACAAAGACCGTTGCGTTCGCAGCAGACTCTTTGTTCTCGTTCGTTACAATGGCATCTAAATCTTATGCGCTTGAAAACATCCTTGCTGTGGCCAAAGTCCACCCTTTCTATTCGGATGTCGAGTATCCCCCAACGCGAGAATCATTGGCGAAGATTCTGGCCGAGGCTAGCGAGAACGACAATTCTAAGCGGTTACAGTTGAAAGACTTCCCCCTCATACGCAAGGAGACTCTGTAGGTGGTGTCACTGGAATGCAGCGCGCTGTTTCTAGCTCATTTCGATCCCTCTAGCTACCAGTCAATCAAAAGACTGTCTGCGGACACAAACCCTCGTAACGGCTACCGCCAGCATGGGTACATCAGCGTTACTGGGGGAGGATCTGGCGGCGTTCCTATGGTGTTTGTCACAGATTCCGCTGAGAATCGAAAGCACCGGGACGTGATGGGCTCGCTCATTCGTGGCTGTGGTCTGATTAAGCCGGGGGATTGGATGCTGACTATGCATATCTCGGGATTTTTCTATCGGTACGTCTTGTAACAGACCTCCAGTGCAGTCCCTCTCTGGGCTCCTTGTGGAAATAGCATGTAGCCAGGCTGATGTGCTTGTCGCCAGGGCGCTTGATTTGGTGACCGAGTTGGTCGAACAGGCGGGCGGGAGCGTTCTCTGCGCTGGCCATAACATGTCGTACGCCGAAGTTGTTGCCGCAGCCATCAATTATCAAGTCAATGTGATTGCTGGAGACGGCAGCCAGATGGTCCAGCTGGCGGCATACATCTCGTCTCTGCCTCCGGCGCAGCGAGAGGCCATCAAGATCACCAAGTTCCTGTATACATCCGAGCCGCTGATCCGGGCCCAGAGAGCTTTCATCAGATCAGTGATGGGCCCCATAGCGATTTGCTCGATCCTAGGCAGCTCCGAGGCTGGGGCGTGGGCTGTCGCTAATCTGGATCTGACGGGCGATACCGAAGATGACTACACGGAGTTCATCTTCGACACGCGGTCCATGGTGATCGAAGTGCTGCCCATGTCGGTGGAGGACGAAGACCAGCTGGAGAGCAACCCCGGGGCGGTGGGCGTGAGCGAGGTCGCCGAGGGAGAAATCGGCATCATTGTGCAGACCTCGCTGCAGCGGCTGCGCCATCCGCTGGTGCGATACGTGTCGGGCGACATGGGCTCGCTCCGCCCGCTGCCGGCTGCCGCTCTGGCGTCCATCCCGGCGGCGGACGCGCCGTACATGAAGTTCCTGCGGCTGTATGGCCGCGATCGACGGTTCAGCTTCAAGTGGTATGCGGAATACTTCACGTTTGCCAAGCTGGAGACGTTCATGCGCACGCCGGCGTACGGCATCATGCAATGGCAGGTTGTGCTCAGCTACACCGCCGGCACGCCCGAGATCGCGCTGGAAGTCCGCGTGTTTCGACCGGGCGAGGACACGAGCGAGCTGGTTTCGACGGAGGACGTCACACAGCGCATCAAGCGGTTTTTCGGGCTGTTGCCGATCAACGAGCACCTCTTCAACCTGGTCTTTGTGCGTAGTGCAGACGAGTTTGAGCGCAGTAAGACGGGCAATAAAATCATCAAGTTCGTCGACCGCACGAAGAAGCTATGAAGGGGCTGTCGTTGCCGATCATGGCGGGTGTGATACGCCTCAGGGGCCGTGGTGGATGGATGCATGGATGGATGAAAAGAAGGATCGGTAGAAACCAATACACGGAATTGTTTGGCTAGAACTATTTGATTAGAACGCGAAGAAACAGATACTCCAGACATCAAAGCCCATTTTTTCCCGCTGCCCTCTCCCGTGAAAAAAACACAGCACAAGCACGCCGGTGCCTAAAAAAAGAATCATTTTGCACCACGAAGAAACGGAAATATCAAATCGAAAAGGCCCGTCCATCCGCGGGTATGTTCAAATCTCCATGTAAATTCTCCACCGCCATTTGTGGCTCGAGTCCGAAAAAAAAGAAAACAAAAGTATCTCAACAGGTATTGAAAGCTTTTAGGTTGGTCTCGGCATCGAACTCCTGATGAAGGGAGAAACCCCGGATCCCATGCTGTTTTATGGGCCGGCTGGAAATTCAAACTAACGCCGGCATGCAATGCAATGCAAAAAAACACCATCTATCAACCACCGTCGTTTCGCCACAAAGAATAGCCGAGGAGGGACACGCTTCGTGTGATGCAAATGCTTCGAAGCCCCGATGCCATCTCAAACACCAAGACTGCCCCGCCCGATTCATGTTGTAACGACGAGAAAAGTGTAAGGAGGATCGTATTTCTTAGACATCCAGTGAAGCAAGGCAGAGGAGAAAACGGAAGGCAGGGCGGGAAAATATGAGACGACGAAACAAAGCAAGAGGAACAAAAGTACAAATAGCATCCTTTGCAAAGAAATAACAAACAAGAAATCTATGTAAAACGCGCGCATCGATGCAGTTTGGGCAGTCATTAGACGGCATGAAAATCGTAAGGAGCACTTTTTGGTTCAGAAACGAATGCAAATGCAAAAGGCGTTCCCGCTCAGCAACGCGCTCGAGCCAGCTCCTCTTTCAGCGGCTGAACGACTTAAGGGGGTATCTGAATAAAGCGGTCGCAGAGAGAGGAAATACAACGCTGTCTATGATGTTCATGCAACCTGGTTGGGAATGCCCAATGACCGAAGTGCAAATAAGGCCCATAAGCAAAGAAGATCGGACTGCATCGAACAGCGCATCTAAAACTCAAACGAAGAACAAAGAACGAGTAGAGAAATACGGATTGCAAAGGAAATTCGTCACAAATCATGACCAGATTGGCGGCATAAATGTCGAGTTTCGGTTCGATCCATTCGCGGTAATGCTGGATTAAGTCGTGCAAAGGGGCCCAAGCCAAAAACTCCCATGGTCATGTTGAGAGACTATTGGTGGCTCTACCACCAGGAAGACGGTCCAGTGGGACCAGAGGGGTTACCGTAGCCGCCACCGTAACCACCCCCACCACTATAGCCGCCGTAGGAGGGAGCGCCGCCGAAATTGCCACCGCTGCTGTAGTTACCACCGCTGCCAAAGCCACCGCCGTAGGATGGACCACTGCTCATGGCAGGGGGACCACCACCGCCCATGCGGCGCATATCACGAGTGGCATTTGTTCCTCGGCCTCGGCCGCCGCTTCGCCCACCACGACCACCATAACCACTGCCCTCACGAGCAATACTCTCCAAAAAGGCAGGGACTTCCTGGTGAGCTTCCTTGAGCAATTCGATGAGGTCACGGACAACGCCACGGTTACCACGATTGAAAAAGGCAGTTGAGAGACCCGTGTTTCCAGCACGACCGGTACGGCCAATGCGGTGAACGTAGTCATCAATGTCGGTTGGAAGGTCGTAGTTGACTACATGGGTAACGTTTGGAATATCAAGACCACGAGCAGCAACGGCAGTGGCGACAAGGATTGGGCAGCGGCCATTGCGGAAGTATTCAAGAGCGCGCTCACGCTCACGTTGAGTACGATCGCCGTGAATAGCAGTGGCGGGGAAGCTCTGGTTGATGAGAAACTCGGAAAGGGAGTCGGCCATACGTTTGGTCTCAACAAAAATAAGAGTGAGTCCAGAACCATGGGTGTGGAGGATGTCCAGCAGTACAGAGCGTTTGTCACCATCTTCAACGTATTCGACCTTCTGGGTGATGTTCTCAGAAGTTGACCCGACACGCCCAACGGACAAGAATACGTAATCTTTCAAAAAGTCGCGCGCAAGCATCTGAATATCACGAGGAAAAGTGGCAGAGAACATGAGAGTCTGGCGTCCATTGACGGGAGGCATATCTTCACCCTCGACAATGCGGCGAATCTGAGGTTCGAAACCCATGTCCAACATGCGATCAGCCTCATCAAGCACGAGATACTTGATATTGCAGAGCGAAATCCGACCGCGCTCAATAAGGTCGACGAGACGTCCAGGGGTAGCGACAAGAAGATCACAACCACGCTCAACCTGGCGAAGCTGGCCTCCAATATCGGCACCGCCATATACAACACAGGGGCGGACCCAAGATCGATAGGCGAATTTACGGGCTTCGTCATAGATTTGGGATACCAACTCGCGAGTAGGGGCCAAGATCAATGACGTTGGGTAAGCTTTTCGCTGGCGACCATAGCCTAAATTTTGAGCGGGCATAGAAGATGGGCCATTTTGGAATGCTTGGGAGAGAATCGGGAAGAGGAAACCACCAGTCTTTCCGGAACCTGTCTGGGCACAAGCCATCAAATCACGGCCACCCATCACAATTGGAATAGAGTATTTCTGGACAGGAGTTGGGGTCTTGTAGCTAGCCAGTTTAATGTTCGACAACAAATGATCGTCCAATGGAGGGTTGGTGAAAGCAGTGACCGGATCTGGGACATCGTGACCGGATGCCTCCACTGGGATATCGTCGTAGTTTGCAAAGTTGATGCCGGTATGCTGCTTGGAAGGGTCGTTGGGAACACCGAAAAGTTCGCGTTCAAGGCGAGCGTTTGCTGGGCCGGGCACGTGCTTTCCATCACGCCACTGACCATCACCAGAGCCACGAGCGGCGCCACCACCAGATGGAGCACCGCCGCCATAACTTTGACCTCCACGACTGCCTGGGTGGCCATATGCATTTGGATCAAAACGAGGACCACCGCCCGCATTCCAACCAGGGGTACCATTCACGTTGTTGGCAGGACGAGCATTCCAGTTGTTCTGGGCGCCACTATAGGTGTACTCTTAGTGTCTGGAAAATAGATAAGGAGAGATAAAGGCATCAACTTACTTTGCCGCCCAAGCTCCGCCGGCTCCGCCAGCTGCGCCAGCATTCATCGGAGGGCGATTCTGCGGGGTTGCCTGAGCACCATCAACGGGCATCGGGGGGGCCACGGGTCCACGCTGTTGGGAGCGAAGGTGGGGAGGTATGTAGGGGGCACGACCAGTGGCGTGGCCAGGAGCATGTTGAGAGTCATCAAGAGTGAGACCAGCAATTTTCAAGGATTCAGCCATAATTTCACTATTACGTTCATTTGTTAGTCTGAACAGGTCAAGTGGCGAGGGCATACACACCGAGTAAGCAGTTATACTATCAAAGTGTGAGGTTGGCAGCTATTTTAAGTATGTAATATTGAATCAAACGTAAGTTCCAGACTGATTACTGGTGCGTAAACGACCAAGAAACGTCCGTTATGATATGCAGGGTTCAGGTGATATTTTCGAAAAAGAAATACCGAGCAGAAGATTCAACAATGAACTAATCGGTCAAAGCTGAATGGACCTGAAAAAAGAGAGACAGAAACCAGAGCAAGGAATTGTATCTCTCTCAGATCTAAGGTCTATTGAAAAAAAAAAACGGGCGAAAAATGACAGGGCAAGAAAAAGAATGAGGGCGTGGGATGGAATTAGAAAAGGGACAGAAATTAGCAGATACAGTAACGACTTTTCTTTTCCAGGAACACGCAGAGGGGCGTGAGGTGTATTTGAAGAAGGGAGAATTGTGGGATGAAGGGGGAGGTTTGGGAGGATGGGAAGAGAGAGAAGAGGGAAGACAAAAAAACGACGAGGATGGAGTGAAGTTGGAAGAAGCGAAAAACAGGACGGCTTGGCGGGCTAGGCCACAGGGGGCTAGCGCCACGCAAAGTTTATTCAGAGTTTGCCCGGCAGGCAAACCTTACATAAGCCACCTTGCCATCCCGCGCAGGACGATGAAGAGCGGGAAAAGAGACACAGAGAGCGGGCGAAAGCAAAAGGCGACGACGCAGAGGAGCAGTGGAGAAGTAACCAGCTGCTACTGATAGATAGATACCTAGCCTACAGACCGCTTCCTGCGTCACAGGCAGAGTGCCAGGCTGTCCGTTGCCCGTAACGCCAAAAAGCTTTTTTTCCACGCCTCGATGCTTCGCCACCTCGGCCAGCCTATCGCCTCCCAAGACCTTAAAAAACAAGTCTTGAAATTCAAATTCTCGTCAAAAATTATTTATGGATCCTGGCCATTACATGCTCTGATACAGACTGTGTGTGCCTGCCTGTATCATTTGATCGAGGGAGCCAACTGACATTTCTAACGTATTCAGTATAAGAGCTCTAGTCCGGAGTACTGTCATATATAAATAGTTCGTGATTCCTAAAGTGATGTGCTTGTAACTAGTGGATATTTATCAACAATGGCTCAAGGTCAAGCCCCTAAAAGATAAAATGTGTGCAGATACAGCCAGGCAACCAGATATTTCCAAGGCCAGAAAATAAGCAATCAGTGCAGCGCGCCAAATGCAGAGCTCAATCCATCAACACGAACAGAGGTATCAAGAGTATCCGGGGTTGGGGAAGAAGATACAAAACACAGGTTGGCGCGACAAACCCATGGTAGAGAGTACATGCAAATTGTGCAAAGAATTATTCGCTATCATCGTGTATACTGCTGGTCGTAGTCGCCTCTAGCCACGCCTCGCGGCCTCCAATATCGCACACGCTGTCCATCCACATCACGCTGGCTAAGTGCCCCTTTAGCTCTTGCCATGACCCGGGCCCCACAGCATCAAGAGCACTAGCCAGTTTTCTGCAGAACCACGATCTATCAGACGTGTTTTTGGCGGCCATCGTCCCCAGCACTAGGCACCACAGCAGCATCTCTTTCCCACTGTTCCAGGCCATCGAGTGCTCGGACTCGAGAAAAGCGGCTCGAACCATGGACGCCAGCCGTTTGAACGGGCGGTTGGCGGCGGGGAGCGGGAAGATCACGAGCATGCTGTAGATCTGGGCGGCGAGGCGGCAGGTCTCGTATGTTTCATATATCTGCATGAATTGTTCCGGCAGCTCCCAGACCGAGGACAAGGCCACTAGGTTGTATTGAATCCAGTTGCGCCGGTCGGCGATGACGGCCAGCTCTAGCTGCGGCAACAGGCCCTGCGAGTAGACATTGACGACATGGTTGTAGTCCCGCATCTGCTGCAGAACGCTGACGATGTCCTCTGGTAGGCCGGCGTTAAGAACGGGGTCCACCGGGCGGCTGTCCAGCGGGGTGCCGAACAAGACGGGGTTTGTCAGGGTTGGCCAGTGCGGCGTTTTACCTTGGGCGCTCTCGGCGAAGATGGGGACGAATGGCAGGCGGGGCTTGACCAGACACTTGGTCGAGAGCATGACTACGGCGCTGGAGAAAGAGAAGGGGGGGTCAGCTAGTTTCCTGTGCGTTGGCTAGACGGACGGATGCATGCAGGTGGGGTCTTTGTTATGTGCGGGTGGACATACGTTGACAGGATCTCGGCGAGGCCAGGCATTTTCAGCTGATCGAGGCCGCCTTTGGTCTCGATCAGGGCGAGCAGGCCCTTGATGTGGTGGTCGTTGAGCGACAGGCCGCCGTAGACGTCGAGCCACTGCAGGTTGCGCAGGGGGGCCTTGGGCCAGGGGTCGGCGACGTTCCAGCCGGAATAGTCGATGCGGTTGAAGGCCATGCAGAGGACGGCGAGGATGACCTCGTCGGAGCAGGCCTGGGAGGGGTGGTGCATCATCTTGTTGAGCTGCTTGATGGTCTCGGTCTCACAGACGATCTGCTCGAGCTTCTCGTCGCGGGTCTGCGGTGCGACGTGGGCGCTCTCGAGGCGCTTGCGGGTCTGCATGTGGCCGGCGGCACCGTACAGGAAGGCGGTAAACAGGGCGGGGCTGCTCATGGCGGGGGGCAGCCAGTTCTGGGCGGCGTCCTTGCGGTGCCAGCGGCGGTTGGCGGCCCCGAGGACGAGGCCGGGCCAGAGGTCGAGGACAGCTGCGCGGCGGGGGGGGGGAGAGGTCAGTAGGGGGCGTCAAGAGGGCCAGACAGGGGGGCACGGGCGCGACGGACCATACTGCATGAGCTTGCTGATGGCGGACTCGCCCAGCATGGAGGGAGCGGCGTGCGAGGGGTCGGCCAGCCAGGCGGTCAGGAGGTTGAAGGGACGGTCAGCGGCGGCGGCGGCGGCGGCGGCCTGGGGAACGAGCTGCGACGCCGCATCGTAGTCGTCGCGGTCATTGTCGGTGGACGGCGATGGTGGTGATGGTAGTGGTTGTGGTGGTGATGATGATGATGATGATGCGGTCGGGTTCGTCGTCGTCGAGGGCGGGCGGGGAGGAGGAGCCGGGGGGCTGCAGGGCTGCAGGCGGGCAGCGGGCGGTTTGGCGGCGGGTTTGGGGGTGCGACGGGCGCGGTGCTGGCGCCAGATGTAGCGGCTGGCGTGCGAGCGGATGACGGAGCGATTGTGCGATTTCTGACGCTCGGAGGTCGGGTTGACGCTGACGAAGTGGAAGCGGTCGAGAGCGAGGGCGTGCTGGGGGTCGGCGGCGGGCGCGATCGGCGTAGCGGGCGGCGGGCAGTGCCGGGCGGGCATGGCGGGCGGGCAGTCAGTTAGCTAACTAGGTGCTCGCAGACCTACCGGGCGGTCCTCGGTGGCCTCGTTACGGTCTCGTCCTCATACGGGCACCGCGAGCAGACACAAGCAAGCAAGCAAGCAAGCAAAGCGAGCGGGCGGGCGGCGGCGAGCTAGCTAGCAGCGCCGATGGATTGCATTCCAGCCGGCGGGCTCCGGTGGAGGCCAATCAGCCGGGGCAGACGATCCATCGTCGTTCACTGAATTAACTAGTTGATTAATTACAGGATCTAATGCTGCCGCTCCTCCTCGCCCGCCCACTCGTCGCGCCCCAGCCGCACGATGTCGGCCATCTCCAGCACCCACACGCGGCCAGGCGCCGTGCCCGCTGCCGCCTGCCGCGCTGCCGCCACCGCCGCCCGCCCGATCGTGCGCTGGTCCTGGCCTGGAGTTGTGGTTAGCGGTGGTAACTAGAAGAGATAGATGCTACTTCTCACCCACGCGGTCCTGCACGCCCTGCCCCAGCCAGCCCAGGCCCTCGACCGCGCGCTCCAGCAGCGCCGCCTTGGGCGACTCGCGCCCGATGATCATGCCCGGCCGCAGGATGATGGCCTGCGCGAACCCCAGCGCCGTGATCGCGTCCTCCACGCCCACCTTCATGCGCGAATACGGCGCCCACCCCGACACCCACCCGCGCGTGCCCGCGCTCGACACAAACACGTACGTCTGCACGCCCGCCGCCCTCGCCGCCTGCGCGTTGGCGATGCACAGGTCGTGGTCGATGCGCCACTGCGCCGCCAGCCCGCCCGCCGCCGCCCGCGTCGTGCCCACCGCGTTGAATACCACGCTCGGCGCTGGCCGCAGCCCCGCCAGCCGCTCCCCCCAGCGCCCCGTGTCGCCCTCCTGCACCGCCTGCAGCTTGCGCGACGTCGCCTCCGGCGCCCGCCGCGACACCGTGTGCACCGTCGCGAACTCCTCCGTCCCCAGCAGCGCCGCTAGGATCTGCGAGCCCACCGCCCCCGTGCTGCCAAACACCGCCGCGCTGGCCATCGTCGTCGTTGTCGTTGTCGTCGATCGGAATACTCCGTAATGCCGCGAGGACTCGAGTTCAAGCTAGTCGACTGACTGATAATGAAGAAGACAATAACATAAGAATACAAGGAGCTGAAAGGAGTTGCGGGCGTCGAGAGCTAAATCCTCCTCCCGGCCGGTGACGCCATCGCTCTCGCCTGCCACCAGGCAACGCGCCTTAGCTCTCCGCTAGTTAACTCCTTAACCAACTAACTTGCCTCTGCTTCTCAATAATGTTTCTGCATTTATTACCTGGTGCTTGCTGCCATCGCTTGCTTCATCCTTCCCTCCCTTCCATCCCAAACACGCTACCCATGCCAGGCTTGACTGAATCCTTCCCTGGCTGTTTATGCGCCGACTACACTACATTGCGCATACATCACCCAGGCGGTCAATAATAGAGTCATAGAACGGCATTGTCACGTTGCATGCATATCATCTCGTTAACTATACTAGCAATGGATGCGTGTAGCTTGTATGTACATGCCCCAGGCATATCTTGGCTGATCTTTGCTCACAGAGCACGAGCGGGTCAACCGGGAACCATCTTGTCTGCCATGAACCACATCTCTCGAACCTGCGAAGCTATGTACGCCCTCCTGGAACCGCCCTGGCCATTTATACTGGTGGGATGCTGATGGGGACACCGGCCTTCGAGCAGACAGATGCCACAATGCTGGAGACGGCTGCAGTATTGCTTGTCAGACAAGACCCCGGTATATCCATTGGAAGAAGTTAACTCACAGCTCTGGTCCGAAGCCTGCGGACAGGCTGACTTGACGCAAGGAATGATCTTTGGGGGTAGATCTGGCCTCTTGCACTGGCATGCCCAGTCGGTGAGCCCGCTGCAACCACCACCACTGAGAGCGGTAAGGAAGCAGTTGATCTATTGAGATTGGTTAGAACAACATTTTCTGCGGGGAACTTGTTGAAACAAGACATACAGAGCAACTGGGAACCGGTGGAATCTGAGCGCTGACAAGGCCGGCAGCGGTAACAGCGAGGATAGCAGTGAGCTTCATTTTTGCGTGAGGATTTGGAATTTGAACTGATCTATTCTTTAAGACTGGAATATGTGGCTGTGGAGTGATAGAGAAGAGAGCATCGACAGAATCCGGGGGAATCAAGCCGCCTCTTTATATCTCTTTCTTACCCCAGAAAAGTGATCGACTCTAGTTCCTGAGGTGGCGGGCATCCTCCGCCGTTTCTTCCCTGATTCTCCGGATTTGGTAGGCTAATCCAAATAAGCACGCGGGGGCGAGCCAGCATCAGGTCCGTCCATATGAAAACCTTGCCCTTCACATGCCCGCCTGGGCCGAGGAGGCCGGAGTACGAGGACTGCAGGTCCCAACTATGATTCTTGTTCTGTCTGTCTTCCCCTCCGCGTTCTTGATTATTGTTGATTCCGTAATCGCTGACGACTGTGCGGGATGGCTTTTATTATTCTTCTCCATCGCGGCACATCGTCCCCTCACATCATCTGCGGGTGAACGACGGGAACCAGCACCCACGTGGAGAGTATATCAAAGCACACAGTACAAGCGATGTTACCGCAGGTACACAACGATAATTTCCCTCGTGCTAATCCCCGTGGTATGGCCCACGTTAAAGTATGGGGAACCGTGGATGCCCATGTTTCCTATCCTGGATTCCGACTGGCTCCCCGCAGAAAATGTGGAACGAAACGGAGCAGAGCGCGGGCTAAACTGGAGTCAACAGCAACAACAAATGATAAAATAATCCAGCCCGGCTGACGACGAGTTGAAACTCCGTCATTGCTGGGTGATCGTCGGTCGTATGAGTCGCTGAACAAGTAAAGTTTTGTTCCATAACTAGTCGTAGGCTATATTAGGGCGGGACAAGCGTGGAGATGCTCTCCAGCAGTAGTTAGTAGACTGACACTTAGCCTCTTGGTAGCAGCTGCAACTAATACTCTACCCCGGAACAGAGCATTATTCTTATGAGGCGGTCGGGATCAAGACTCCGCAAGACTTGCCGTAGGTCGCCGGAGAAGTTGATATTCAATTAACTACTACTTGTTTCTGAGCGGCTTTTAGGGGCAACGTGTGCCCCGAGCTTGCTCCACGTTGTATCCTGAAACCCTGCATGAACGGTATTGGCCACTTTAGCGTGAAGAAGTCCAGTATTATTACTCCAAACACACCTTTATGGCCGGCGGTTTGGAGATAGTTGCTGCAACCATGCCTCATGTGATATGGCATGCCCAGATTGGCCGTCGATATGCAGGCGTTTCGGGGCCGAGAGCCTGAGACACCTCAGGAGCTGGACTACCGCTGCTTAAAAGCAAACTCAGTGTCGCTGGTGGTAGTTAGTTGGTAGGACGGAGGGGATTCTGGTGTTGCTCGGCTTCATCACATGGAAAACCTCGTCGCCAGCAAAACAGGCCGACGTATGTAACTATGTAACGTCCAGCGAGTTAATTAACCAACTAACTATGGCGGCGGTTGAGTTTGCATTTGGCTGCCTTGTCTGGGCGCGCTGTGCGAAGCCTTTTCCCACGACAAACAGCGGTAGCTACTCTAGCTATGTAGCAGTGGCGGAGAGAATCATACCTCTATACGCGGGCAAGACACTGGGTGGCCAGCTCGCTTCGTGGCTGGACGGAACTCTGCCATGTGCATCACTGTGACTATTTGTATTTACTCCTTCTGACAGGCCTCAGCACCTCGGGACTCAGATTTATGGGACCGCCTGCATACGGCACTCTACAAGGGTGAAATCCCATTTCTTCTTATTCCCCATATATGCATGTATGTGTGTCCTGTTCACCTAACCACAGATGCTACAATCGCCCAGACGCCCTCGTAATTCCAAGCTCCAGAAAAACCACACCACGAAAGCCGTTGCACCGATAGGAACTCTTTACTCGCCTTTTCGTTGGTTCAGTCTTTCCTTGACTTGGGCGCGGAATCGACCGAGTCGGCCTTTTGGAGACAGGGGAGCCGATCAGCAAATCCCGGTACAAAAGAGGGAGGTGGTGCGAAGCCAATCACAACAACAAGAACATCGCGGGTTCAGAGCTCTTTGTCACTACCTTCCACTTCCATTTCTAGTTCCCCGCTCTTAGCAATCTTGACGACTTTCTCGGGCTTGTCGCCATATCCCTTCTCGACGTCTTGAATCATATCCACAATGTCGTAGCCTTCAAGGACCTCTCCAAAAACTACATGGCGACCATCGAGCCAGCTGGGAAATGGTTAACCACGCCAGCACCAAAGAAAAGTTGGGGGTTCGACGCCTACCTTGTGACGACAGTGGTGATGAAAAACTGGGAGCCATTGGTATCTGGACCAGCATTCGCCATGCCTATTTCCGTGGCACATGGTTAGCCACATCTTTGCTTGAGTGCTAGGGAATACGTACTCAGGAGGCCCTTCTTGGTGTGTCGCAACTTGAAGTTCTCGTCGGCAAACTTGTCGCCATAGATTGACTTTCCACCAGTGCCTAACATCAAGATATCAGCCATGGAGCCCCACGAACAATTCTAGCAGGGGGAATTGACTCTTACCATCATGCTTGGTGAAATCACCACCTTGAATCATAAAGTCCTTGATGACACGGTGGAAAGTAGAGCCCTCGTAGCCGAAGCCCTTCTCGCCGGTTGCCAAAGCCCTGACACAGTTAAAACCACAGCAACTGCGATGGCTGTCTTCCATGCTTACCGGAAATTTTCCGCGGTCTGGAAGAGTTAGGGAACGACCTTCCAAAGCATTTTGTGGGGGAGAAATTCACCTTTGGAACGGTTTTTCCATATAATCCGATGACTACTCGGCCCATTGGCTTATCGCCATGTTCGATATCAAAATACACCTGTAATTTTACATCAGAACCAGTTGTTTGCATACTCCGAAGTTCTGAGGCCTTCGTACTTTGTGCGTGATTTTTGGCCCTTTGGCATCGACCCTCGAGAGGAGGAAGAAGAGGGCAAATATGACGAAGGAGGTCAATAACACAATGCGTCTTATGATAGACATGATTGCGCAACTGTATGATAGCCTGGAAAATACGCGAAAGACGGGGAATGTAGCTACTTATTGGCAACAACAAACAGCGTCAGGAGAGCTGAGGCCAACTTTCAGGCCGGTCACGGGGTTACTTTGAAACATGTCGGAATAATATTCGGCCGTATCTCCGAACCGACATTTCATGCTCCTTGCATAGTACTAGGTAGATGCGAGGCACAATCGAGCAACAATTGGATCCGGATATCCCTTCCAGTATGGTAAGAGTTTTCTTGGTAATGACCTCTCGAAATGGAATTCTGTTAATCAACGCCCTTCTTAGGTTTACATTCTAGGCGTCAGTTTCGCTGAGCGCCAAGTTGTCTCTGTATGCAAGACTTCTTTCGTTTTTTTTGCGCGAATTCCTCTCTCTAACTACATTGCACAGAAATGTCTCCAATCTTTCTTCGGCGTAGGCCCCAATATCTGCTCTCGTATTATGGCCCGCCATCATGTCCATCCGACGGCGACAGTCGGTGAACTGGGAAACCAGCAAGTTCTCAACATTACATCAGAGCTTTCGAATATGAAGATCGAGAACGACTTACGGCGAGAAATATTGGACAATATCCGGCGATTGAAAGACATTGGAACAACCCGAGGGAAACGGCATGCACTGGGCTTACCCGTCCGGGGCCAGAAGACAAGGAGCCAGGTTAGTTGGGTATATTACTGGGTGGTGTGAAATCCTTGGCTAATGAGATACACCATAGATCAAAACTGCCATCAAACTCAATCGTCTGGAACGGAGGTTATAGGAGAATTAAGATAGACCAGCAGCAGGGCGACGACATGGGCTGAGGCACATGGCATTGGGACGGCGTATTCTGGATGTGTACATGTAGTTTGGGCTCAAATACAACTTTGTTTTTTTCTGTTAATCAATATTATCTAGATAAAGCCATCCAGTGCCCAAAAATAGCATGATTCTTTTTTAACAGCTCGACTGATTAAGCGGCCGCTAGTACCGCTCCTTCGCCGCGATTGATCTGGATCGCTTTGTCCTCACCAACGCTCAGAATCCCGATAGCCTTATTCCAACATACATCAAATACTTTCACCCCATCGCCTCCCACTCGTTTACCTTCCCCAGCGCTATTTCTTGATATCGTGTATATACTCTCACCCACCATACCGTCTGTGTCGGCTTTAGTAGATCGAATGTCCCATATCCTACAGGTCCCATCGTGGCTCCCGCTAATCAAACCGTACGTACTGTTCGGATCTCTAGAAAGACATACGACGGCATTGCTATGGCCTCTGAGCGTCATTGCGGAAATTGTTGTGGCCGAAACTCGAGGGTCCACCAGTGTAACATGCCTTGCGGCCGAGCCCGCTGCTAAAAGAGTATGGTCTGGAAGATGCTCAACGCAGAGCAGAGAGTGGGATGTTGTGCGGGTATCAACAAGAGCCGTGGTAACAAGATCCCAGGTGCGAAGAGAGTGATCCCAAGAAGTAGAATAGCCTACTGTTGAATCCTTTGCATCGAAAACCGCAGCAGAAACGGGCGCGGTGTGGGCGTGGAGCATTGCTAATGGTCCACGCTGTGAAATATTCGCAGAAGAGCTGAGCTTTCGCCGTTTCGAAGACCTCGCAGAGCTCGAAGGTAGTAGGTTAGCGGGTGCTGCGGGTGACTCGGATTTTTTTGTCGACCAGAATCCAACAGCGTTGTCTGCAGAGGCTGACAGAATTCGGTTTCCACGAACAGATATGGAATCTACGCTTGCCTTATGACCATAATACTCAGTCTGTGGTGTCAACCCTTTGCCCTCGCTTGGATATTTCCACAGTCTCACAGTCCTGTCCATTCCCGAAGACACGATGTGATGCGGAGATAAAACTCTAGCACACTTGATGGCACCTTGGTGTCCACCATCCCTCGCCAAAGGACTTGTATTGATAACCTCTGACGATAAATTCCAGACCCTCAACAACCCGTCATAGCTGGCTGAAAGGATGTGTTCTTGCCCAGGCACTTCGCTGCCTATGACATCCACAGAGCTCACCCAGTCATCATGTAGAAAAGATGCAATGTGTAAAGGAGGAATAAGCGCGCGCACATATTCGACGTCGAGCGTAGTTTCTGCAGATATGCCATTGGCGGTAAGATACTCGTCAATGGATGTGCGCAGGTATGTTCCGTTTATGAGGAATTCAAGCGGGACAGGTTTTTCGGTAGCAAGGAGGTTGTTAACCAAAGTGGACAAAGCATATCTCCGTAGCCCTGGTGGTTTTGTATTAGAAGCAGCTTCAGAAGGCCTTCTTGGATAGGATGTGGTCGCAAACTAACCTGTGGGTACGAGAATCGGACCAGTGGATTCAGGAAGCGCGAGATCGATGTCTCTAGAGCTAAATCGGAGCCTCACCTGGGTATGAGAAGGCGGCACTGCTGCCACAGGGGCCGAGTCGTCCATCTTTGTATGGCTGATTGGCTGTTTTTGTTCATAGCATTCCATGCCCTTTTACTTTCGCGATAAAAAAAAAGTTGCGGCACAGGAAGGTTTCTACGGCGGACGAAGCGGCAACTTGCGTAGGCTAACAACACAGCAAGATTGAGAGAAAATGGATTGTGCTGCTTTATTTTTTTTAAGGTACACCTGGTGCTCGTCGAATTTCTGCAATGGCTCGTTTTCTATAATCCGAATCTGCAAAAAGAGCCTTTATTAAATCAACTAGCTCATCCGCCTCAAATTCCAGCCTCAGCTCTCCTTCAGCCCATAAGTACTTGATATCCGCCAACGAGCTCTCCAGAATGTTTATTAAATACTGAAACTTCAACCAATTAGGAACGTAAATCGCTGTCATCGGAATGGCGTCCGGGTCGTCTCTGGAGTTTGAGTCCAGTTCGGGATCTGGGAGAAAGAGCTTCTCCAGCTTGGATAGCGAGGTACAGAATTCAGCTAACTGTCGCGACTCTGCATCTGAGATATCGGTTAAATCCTCGATATCCAATATTAATTTGTTGACTGCTGCCGAAACCAGGGCTCCTATTGACTGTAGGAGAGCAGAGCGGGATAGTATAGGTTGCCAGTCGTTGTATATAAACGAGACCCTGTCAGCAGTCGCAGCCATTGCGTTTTTGCATTCTCCGAGGAATGGTTCTTCAGAACAGGAAGAAAATCCTTGACAGCAATCAAGGAGGTCAGTTAAGATTGTCCGTTGGGAGTGTAGTTCTTTTCCATATGCTGCTTTGCCGAACTTCTCAAGAGACTCAATATCGGAGTTTAACTTAGGATAGTGTTGAGTCTCCGGGAGGGAGCGAAGCCGCTCCGCAAGATACATACAGTCATTGTAGAGGCATATTTGATTGACATTGAATTTCTGGGAATAGAACACAGGTGCGGTAGCCTTGAACATGCCCAGCACGAGAGTGGGCAAAGCAAGGAGAGCAGGTCGCGAAGATGCAAATTTTAGCTGAAGAGTTCTGAGATTGAATTGATATTAGTCTAACATAAAATAAATGATGATGGAGCCTGGCTTACCTGAGATTGACTAGATTCTCGGCATCAATTACCTGATTCAAAATGATAGCGAGGATCGAATCTGGTAGGTCGGTAATGGCATAAGATTCTGTCAACACTATTTCACGCTTGGCTTGCTGGGTGTTCCCGTTAGCAATGGCTGGTGAAGAATCCCCAATAACCTCCTTCGGCTGGGCCGCGCCGGCAGGATCTTCATCATCCCAATCCCAGCATTCGTTTTCATTTTCCTCCGTAAAACTGCCCTTTTTTAATGACTCGGAAGGTTCATCTTCATTATCACTCCATTCCGCGTTCCAGTCATCATCGCCCTTTTGTTCTATGAAACGATCCTCGTCACTTGATACAAATTCCTTTTCGATTCTCTCCACCACCCGAGTGTGGCCGCTGCTATTTGACATAGCTACCCGTACATCGTTAAGTGCCGCAGCGCGCCGTTGGCCAAGCCATAAACGAGGAACGTGTTCAATCCAAAGAGCAAGCTCGTCCAGCCCCTCCCAACCCTGTTTCTTCATGCTATCAATAAACTCACGAACTTGATGTATTATTTTTTGAAATGCTTCTAAAGAGGAAACATCACTTGGAATTGCTGGTGATAGCCATTTTGTCAGAAGGTGGGTTACAATAGTTTTCGCAAACGTGTCGAGCATAGTTCTAATCACGGCGGAAGGCAATTGTTCCTGCAAAAAGGAAAAGATTGATAATGTTCCGCTTATTATATCTGAAATTGATGGTTTTGAGGGTATTTGTAGTAATCGTGCGTGGTTTTTGGTAACCGAAAACGCCCTCCATGGAGCAGATTTGAGGGGACATATAACAGGGCGAAAGATATACTTGATCATATCGTCCTGAAAAGTCCTAACAATGTTTTCCAAAAGACCCATTTTTGATAACCCAATGAGGGCGTCAGGCGAGTTATCTAGTTCTACGGTAAGCCAAAGCAATACATGCAATGTAGTGAGATTTACCAGAATAATTTATTCTAATGGTAAGCTCATGAAGTGCAAAGTCAAATTTGATCATGGAATTCCATTCTGCTTTAAGTGAGGTAGCGATTTCAGCATGCAGCTCCGCTAGTTTGGTTGATAACAAACCAGCAATATTTGAGCTTTGGAGGAATTTAGATCCAGCCACACATTGCTCGACTTCGTCTAATAAGTTAATAGACCGAACCCATTGGCGTTTATTAGATGACAGCCGTGAATCAGCAAGTTTCTCGTCAATTAAGCGTACTTCTTCCAGAATCTCTAGAACGGCATTGCTGATGTCGATGTCATCCTGGAATCGTTCTACCGAAGATTTTGCAGTGACGACAAGACCAGAGAGCTCCTGGCCCTTCTCGTGCAACGCCACAATCTCCCTGGCAGTTGATCTGGACCGCTCTATATCCTGATGGAGTTGTTTAGCCTGGGTAATCCAGCCATCTATATTGACAGCGGTGTCTCGGCTGAGAGTCGATATTTCGGTCTAGAGAGCCAGAGCATTAATTGGAGAAGAAGCATTATTTTCCATTCTTGTCACACCTTAAGCTCCTCCTCTACCTTCGCAATTCCTATTAGACTAGTAGGAATAACCTCCAGCGGAAACTCGGCGGAGACTAGGCTGTCGGTGTCGGGGAATTCTCCGTCAGTGACAAAGTTGAGGAGTGCTTGGCATGTGGCTTGGGTCGAGGAGGTGGAAGCCATAGCCAGCGAATTAAAAAGGCCAAAAGAACTTCACTAGGTGGAAGCAAAGATGCGATATACAGCGTGTCTTGCCAGCGAATAAGTTACTTGAGCTGCTCCCAGGGACCTGGCGCCAAGCCATAGTCACGTGACTGAGGCTGATCGGCGTCCTCTCCACATCATCACTCTTGGTTGACAGCCGGAGGGCAGAATACTGACAGACATTTGGGGTCATACCTTCGCGTTTCCTACTCTCGAGTTGCTTGGCCTATAACTAGTCCGCACTCTTCCTGAATTTTACTTCCTTCTGTAGGCCTGCCACTGGATTCCTGGATCCAATTCCTTGTCCGATTTTCACCCCGCACCCTTTTGTACGAGACGTTTTTTTGTATTTAAAGAAATACATAGGCCTTTTCTCTTCAAGCATCTACTCCTTAGGCTATTACGGTATTGATATAAACTGCCCAATGTGAGTCTCACTCCCTGCTTCATCCTGGCTCCCATAACTGGTCATCCATCCCCTGTCATTCCAAATCTGTACGTATGGGCTCTGCTCTCCCTCAGAGATTTCTGGGCCTTTGGAGATTGTCTATTGGATCAAGACTGAGAGACTCTAAATATTGAAGCTGAAGATTTTGGATTCGACTATATTCATTTCCCTGGTAGCTTCATTGCTCTTCTGGATGCAGGGTCACTATATCAGCCTTTCATGCTGACAATCTATATAGCTTCTTGCCATCACTTAAGATCTGCAGAACATCCTTGGACTGATAGAAAGGATGGTGTCCTCAAATACTAGATCCCACTCCTTTCGCGTCCTCCACAAATTTAAGCCAGATTACTCTGCCTGTACTTTTACTCAATATGAATCGGAAAGGACCGGTATGAGAGTTGTTGTTATCGATCAAAAAGGCCCCAAGGTCTACGGATATTTTGTGCTTGCTACAGAAATCCATGATGACTCCGGCTCACCTCATACCTTAGAGCATTTATGTTTTATGGGCTCGAGAAATTATCAGTATAAGGGATTCCTCGACAAGTTAGCAACGAGGCTGTATTCTGATACAAATGCATGGACTGCGACTGACCACACCGCCTATACGCTTGATACGGCGGGTTGGGAAAGCTTTTCTTCGATTTTGCCAATATATTTGGAGCATATCATTGTCCCCACGCTTACCGATGCTGGATGCTATACGGAGGTTTACCACATCGATGCTACTGGACATGATGCCGGTGTGGTATACTCGGAGATGCAAGGGGTGCAAAACCGGTGCTCCGAGCTGGTAGACTTACGCTCTCGTAGATTACTATACCCCGAAGGCATAGGCTTCCGCTATGAGACTGGTGGCATGATGGAGCAGCTTCGAGTCCTCACTGCTGATCGTATCAGGGCTTTTCATAAGGAAATGTATCAACCTAGGAATCTGTGCTTAGTTATCATTGGTGAAGTGGACCACACCGACCTGGTTTCTGTTCTGGATAAGTTTGAAGATACTATTCTGGATGTTATTCCAAGCCCGGATGGTCCCTTCCAGCGCCCTTGGATAGACTCTATGCAATCTCCCCTACTGGATAAATCTATTGTTGAGACTGTCGAGTTCCCAGAGGAGGATGAATCGTTTGGTGAAATTGAGATCCGGTTCTTGGGTCCCGATTGCAATGACCGCATTCAAAGTAGGCAGTTCTTCATTTATTGTGTTTACTTGTTTAGCTGAACATGGTATTAGGTGCTGCTCTCAATGTTTCACTGTTATACCTTGCTGGATCCTCAGCCGCACTCCTGGAGAACGTTCTGGTCGAAAAAGAGCACGCTACTACAGCTGTGTACTACTCAACGGATGAGAGGCCGCGGACGGAAATTCGTTTTACACTAACGAGTGTCGCAACCGAGAATCTGCACAACGTGGAGCGTCGGTTTTTCGAGGTCCTCAGAGATGCCATGCAACAAGAGATCGATATGAAGTACATGCGTGAATGCATTGAAAGACAACGGCGAAATTGGAAATTCTCTGTAGAAAATTCGGCATCGTCATTTGCGGACTACGTTATCAATGACTTTTTGTTTGGCCCGAAGAACGGAACTAAACTCCTGCAAGTCGCGAATATGGAAGAATACCAGGAGTTGGAGTCCTGGCATGATAATCATTGGCGGGGATTTATTAAACAGTATCTAGCAGACGCACCTCATGTCTCTGTCCTCGGAGTTCCCTCGGCCAAGCTTGCGGCGAAATTAAAAGTGGATGAAGAAGATAGGATTAAGCAACGAAAGGAAAGCCTAGGTGACACGGGATTGCAGATATTAGGTGAAAAGTTGGCGAAAGCGATGGCTGAAAACGATAAGCCTATACCTCGTGAGACTATAGCTACAATCTCGGTACCTAATACGGACTCTATTCATTTCATTCATACGACTCCTGCTAAATCAGGTACTGCATTGAAAGGAGGTCGTCCTGATAATGATATTCAACGACGCATTGATCTAGACGCCACCGAGTTGCCTCTGTTCATTCATTTCGAGAACATAACCAGCAACTTTGTCCAGTTTTTCTTAATGATTTCAACCCAAGGAGTGCCAGTAGAGCTTCTCCCCATGTTGTCAATATATACAGAGAGTTTCTTCAGCCTTCCTATCAACAGAAATGGGCAACGTCTTGAATTCGAACAGGTAATAGTTGATCTTGAAAGGGACACGGTCGGTTACAGCATGGACACATGCAGCCCCGGGAATTCCGAGATGTTAGCGATTACTTTCCAGGTTGAACTGGAAAAATATAAAACAGCCATATCATATCTCAAAGAATTGACCTGGGGTTCAATTTTTGAACCTGAGCGACTCGTGGCCGTTACCACCCGCCTACTCTCAGATGTACCAGATGCAAAGCGAAATGGAAGCAGCATGGTGGATGCTGTTCGGTATATGATTCAGTATGCCCCTGAATCGATCGCTCGCGCCAGATCGACACTAGTCAAATCTAAGTACTTAAAAATTGTTAAGAGAATTCTTGCAAAGGAGCCACAGCAAGCGGTGCAACATATGGAGACTATCAGAAAAGCGTTGTTTCAGCCCAAAAATATGCGTGTTCTGGTGATTGGCGATTTAGAAAGACTGCCCAACCCAGTTTCATCTTGGAAACCATACATCGAGGGGCTAGATACGACGAGTTCTCTCCATCCTATTGTGAATCTCAGCGAACGACTGAGCGACGCTGGCAAGGTGCCTGGCAAACTTACATACATTATTCCAATGCCGACTATTGATTCGTCCCATGCGAATTCTAGCAGCAAAGGGCTGGACTCCTACGACGACCCGAAACTTCCTGCACTCATGGTTGCCGTCGCCTACATGAATGCCGTGGAAGGCCCACTATGGGTTGCCGTACGGGGAACAGGTTTAGCATATGGGGCGAGCTTTAGGTATAGTATCGACTCCGGGCTCGTACATTTCAATATATACCGGTCACCAAACGCGTTCAAGGCGTTTGAGGCAGCCAAAAAAATTGTCGTCGATCACGTATCAGGTGTTGCCGAGCTCGACCCAGTCCTGTCGCTTGAAGGTGCTATTAGTACCATCGTGGCTGGATTCGCCAACGAGCAAGCTACTTATCTTCTTGCAGCACAAGAAAACTACATTCGAGATGTAGTTCGCAACTTGCCACCTGACTATAAAGAAGTGCTGTTGAAGAAAGTGCGGGCGGTGTCGGTGGATCAACTCAAGGCCGCGCTCCACGACATTGTGCTTCCGGTCCTTATGCCGGGCAGCTCCGATGTTATCGTCACATGCTCTCCTGTCCTTGAAAAGGTATACAACCTATCTGATCATTTCAATACCCAGAAACCAGCTGACATGCGTGTTTAGGGAATCAGAGATGGCTTTGAATCGGCAGGCTTCACCCCTGAAGTCCAGCCGCTTAAGCATTTCGAAGACGGCTATGGGCTGCGAACGGGCAGTGAAAAGGACGACGGAGACGCCTCAGACGAGGGCGAAGAAGAAGACGAGGAAGATTTGGGCAGTGGGGACAGCGAAGACGACGAGGCGTAATTTACTTGTATGGGGTAAACTATATACTTGGGCAAGAGTGAGAGTAGATTTTGGTCGCCCGCGCTAGTGCCGCTTTGGGCCTAGAGCTGCACCCCACCAATAAATACACTTTTTTGCCATCGAGGAATCATCACGTTTGACTCAACTTCCATCAGTACCACCGCCGCCGCTGTCAGCCTGCATTCCGCTAGCAACTGCCCTGCGACTTGTATATTGGCCCACCGTGTACTTCTCGCAGCCATGGCGCCCCTGAGTGACTATTCCGATGACGAGTCCCAGCCGGGCTCCCCCGTGCTTGGTGCGGCAGATCAAAACGGTGTTGACCATGAAGATTTCGACGACCAGGACTTGGATGACGACCTCGACGATCATGACGCAAAGCCGATTAAGTCCGCTTTGAAACAGTCATCTTTAGCCCCCTCCGCCCCAGCAGAAACGAAGCCAGAGCTCCCAGAACAGCCAGACCCAGAAACACTAGACCTGACCACACTGACACCGTTGTCCCCCGAAATTATTGCCCGGCAGGCTACAATCAACATTGGCACAATCGGACACGTCGCCCACGGCAAGTCAACTGTGGTAAAAGCCATTTCCGGAGTGCAAACCGTTCGGTTCAAAAACGAGCAGGAAAGAAACATTACCATCAAGCTAGGCTACGCCAATGCAAAAATTTACAAGTGCGACAACCCCGAGTGCCCGCGTCCAGGATGTTATACAAGCTTCAAGAGTGAGAAAGAGGTAGACCCGCTATGTAAGAGAGATGGATGCTCCGGTACATATCGCTTAGAGAGACATGTTTCGTGAGTGCATCACCGCCCTTTTTGACTTTGTGAGTCAATGTTAATGGCCTGAAAGGTTTGTTGATTGCCCCGGTCACGACATTCTCATGAGTACTATGCTTTCTGGTGCCGCTGTCATGGATGCAGCGTTGCTTCTCATCGCCGGAAACGAAACTTGCCCTCAGCCTCAGACATCTGAGCATCTGGCAGCCATTGAGATCATGAAGCTTAACCATATAATTATTTTACAGAATAAGGTGGACCTTATGAGGGAAGATGGTGCTCTTCAACACTACCAGTCGATATTGAAGTTCATCAGAGGCACTGTCGCTGATGGTTCACCCATCATCCCCATTTCAGCTCAGCTCAAGTACAATATCGACGCTGTGAACGAATACCTATGCACGCACATTCCGGTTCCTATCCGTGATTTTACCGCTTCCCCCCATATGATAGTCATCCGCTCTTTTGATGTGAACAAGCCTGGATGCGAGATTGAAGACTTAAAAGGCGGCGTTGCAGGTGGTTCTATCCTAACTGGTGTGTTGAAGCTCGGTGACGAAATTGAAATTCGCCCTGGCATTGTCACAAGGGATGAGCAGGGTAAACTCAAGTGTCGCCCCATTTTCAGCCGTGTTATCTCTCTTCTAGCAGAGCAGAATGACCTCAGATTTGCGGTTCCTGGCGGCCTGATCGGTGTGGGAACAAAGGTTGACCCCACGCTCTGTCGTGCTGATCGCCTCCTTGGGTTTGTCCTTGGGCATCGTGGTAAGCTGCCTGCTATCTATAGTGAATTGGAAGTCAACTACTTCCTTCTCCGACGGCTTCTTGGCGTCAAGACTGCGGACGGAAAACAAGCGAAGGTCGCCAAACTATCTAAAAACGAGGTTCTCATGGTGAATATCGGCTCAACAGCCACAGGTGCCAAAGTGATGGGTGTTAAGGCGGACGCAGCGAAATTGAGCTTGACTAGCCCTGCTTGCACAGAGATTGGCGAAAAGATTGCACTGAGTCGAAGAATTGACAAGCACTGGCGTTTGATCGGATGGGCAAATATTGTTGCGTAAGTTCCGACTTCACTCCCGCCAACATGTCCGAAAAGGTACTAATTGTTTAACAGCGGCAATACACTGGAGCCTATAGTCGACTAAGCTCTATTGTTTTGTCTTTGTTCTAAGGGTATAGGGGATATTTAGCTCATTTTGCTATTTTGAAGCAACATGCGCGTTTAGAATACCGGGAATTCCATGCATTTTTTGTTTCAGGCCTTCAAAAGTATGATAATATTCATGGGAACATACCACCGGATTTTAGCCTATTTATCTATTCTCGTCCTCCACTTTCTAGGATGGTGAAAATGATTATTTCTTGCCCATTTCTTTGCCTCGACTTTATACTCTATTTCGTGGTATCATGGTGGTCTCTTCATGTTTTTCAATTCTTGTTCCGTGGCTTATTTACAGCATAAATTAAGTTTGCCTGGGGTGGGCTGATGGTATTTGCTAGTTACATATGAGGCTATTGGAGTGTAATGTGACCGTGATTGATAAACAGCGTTGTTGATCTATAGTACAAATTCTATCTCACGTAACTTTGAGAAATATAGTCACCCTTTCGAAATGGTAGATAAGACTGGACGCGTCGTCAACCCCTCTTCCTAACAAGAGGCTACTCTTCGAAGCCGCAATTTCTCCACTGCGCCAGGGTCAAAATTTCAATGGATTCAAACAAACTGATAGATAGGCGTATTTTAACCAGGATCAAATTTTGTCGACCAAAATGAAAGTTCTTCTCATACAACCATGCAGCGAATCCACAAACATAGTGTGCCTACCAACTCAAAGACTTTCTTCCCTTCGCCCGTCTTCTTGCTAGAATTTTTCGCCCACCTCTAGTCCTCAGTCTGGCGAGGAACCCATGTCTGCGCTTTTGCACTCTCCGTGAAGGATTGTATGTATTTCGCTTTGCACCAAGAGATGCAGTGGTGGAAAACAGACGCGGGCTCATACCCGGGAAGGATGGTAGGGAAGGGGGGAGGGGGAGTGTCCGGCATGGCGAAGGCAAATATGTCGTAGAGAGAAGCTGCCGCGAAACTAGAAATGACGAGAAAGGCCGGGCCGTATATGACAAGGCGGCGGACGCATTTTTCCTAGCGCGCACGGTTAGTATGACGATGATGAAGGAGTGCGTCCAGCCCTTACAGCATGGGAGTTCGGGGGGCAGGCGTGACAAAGAGCGCCATAGGGCTGAAGCCGGCAGCTGCGGCCCTGTTACAACGCAGACACGACATCGGAAAGCTGCTAGACAGGTCAAGGATAGCGACAGGGCGGGAAGGCCGTTGAAAAGCTCGATGGCGGCGATGCTGGAGGTCGAGAAGCGGCGTGCACGGGCCACCGCCAGCGGAGAGAAAAAAAAGCTGCAAAACCGCCTGCGAACTCAACCCACTCAACCAGCGCCTCGACAACGGCCGGCCACGGTAGCCCCTAGCAGCATGGCATTCCACGCCCAGCCAGTTCCTCTTCCCCCTACGCGGATCCGCTCAACGTCACGCATTTCGCCCTCTGCGGCCCATGCGTTCCTGACTGAATATCTCGATCAAGCCGCCGTCGACCCTGCTTACCAGCCCGACAGCACACTGACCTGGAAAGGACCCATTTCGGCGAATGCTGGCCTAGCACCAAACCTCGCTATTCACAATCTGAAGCGGGTGCAAGCTGGGCTAGCTGGGGAAGTCCTGGGCAGAGATTTTATCTTGGAAATGCAGTTACAGCAACCTGAGTTTGAACCGGTACAAGACACGACGGAAGGAGCGCCCACAGAGGATACGAAGCGCGATAGTGAGTGGCAGGATCTAGATAAGTTTGAGAGGGAACAGGTTGATCTAGTGCAGGGGGGCGATGGGGAGGATGAGGAAAATGCGGGCGCTACAGTTACTGACCCGGCGATGGACGCCGACGGTGACGCTACCCCTAAGGATGCGGCTATCAATAAAGAAGAGCGAAAGAGGAAGAAGAAAGAGAGAAGGAAGGCAGAACAAAGAGCTAAAGCATCAGCTGCCAGTTAAAACGATCTTTACACGAATGCACCGTGGATAACAAAGTTCCGCAAACGCCAAATGACCAATCCATATCGGTAAGCATCCCGTCCGAGAATATTTTTTTCAGCCACATTAAAACAAAAATACCGTGGAATAGCCCGAGTGATGTTCTGACAAAGGTGTGTTTTACAGTTCTCGATTAGTAGCCTTCAAGGGCTTGTCTGAGTCTTCTTGTTTTTTGCCGCTGATTTTCCCTCCCTTCCAGCTCAAAGCCCCAAGCCGTTCAGGCAGGATCGGGTGCGAGTAGTGATAGCTGGCGTACATCCAGTCGGCGTCCATTGTGGAAAGGTTCTGGATTTGAAGCTTCAAGAGTGATTTGGCGAGTTCGGCAGAGTAGCCAAGTTTAACAGCGAATGCATCTAAAATGCGGATCAATAATCACGAACCATCAAATAGGAGTAGGGTCTGAAACATACCAGCCTCGAATTCAAATTTCCGACTAAGAATATTCATCAGAAGTTTTACAATGGCATCCATTGGTGCCAAAGCATCAGAGAATAAGAGAAATCCGATCATAATCGGGTATTCATCGTGGAAGCCGAAGGAATTGTACAATGATTTGTTGCTGACGAAGGCAGAGAAGAGGGCGAAGATGTAAAACATATGGAACTAGAGAGATATTAGACAGTTTACGATTTTTTTATGACGCCCATATACATACCTGGGCAATGCCAAATAACTTTGTGGTATGATTTAGGCTCCAGTGTCCAAGCTCGTGACTTAGGACAGCCACGACTTCTTCCGGCTCACTCTTTTCAATCAGGGTATCGTAGATAACGATATGCTTCTTCCACGGTAGGCCATAGAAATAGGCATTACTATGGGCACTTCTCTTGCTTCCGTCAATAACGTACAACTCTCTGAGCGGGAAGTTCAACTTCTTTGCAAGGTTTTCCACGCCAGATTTCAAGGCGCCAGGTTCCAGTGGAGATAGCTTATTAAACAAGGGTAGGATGGCGATTGGGTAAATGGTGATGGCGAACAACTGCACAAAGATGCCAAACATCCAAAGGTAATAAAAAAAGCTCGTTCCAGTCTTCTGAACAATTTTCAGAATGACACTGATTATGGGTGTACCAAGAACAACACCTAACATTTGTCCTTTGAGGATATCAGAGACCCACAGGTTCAGAGTCTGCTTGTTGAAGCCAAATTTTTCTTCGAGCACAAAGGTACTATAGTATGAAACGGGCAGGGAAAGGAGTGTGGTGACGATGTTAAAGGTGAATAGAAAGAGCAAGGTATGCGTGATTTCACCCTGAAAGCGAGCAGGGAGATACTGTGTGAGCCAGAGGCCCGTTACGGCCCAAAGTTTAGGAAGGGCATCATAGTAGATGAACGCAAGATTTTGGACCTGGCTGTATAAAGCGGAGAAGAAACCGAATTTTGCCTTCGCACGACCGTATGCCTAACTTCATGTCAGACCTAGGAGTAATTACAAACCGCAGTACAAGAAAAAGCTAGCAGGAACTACCTGGCTCTTGTCGAATACTTCCTGAGAGACTTCTCCTTCCAAAACCTTAGGCGGTTTTTTCTGCTGCAATATTTTATATTGCCGCATGGATAGGAATCCCTCAAGGACGTATTGACCGAGGGAAAACCCCACGATTATTTTTTTCCATGGTAAAAAAGGCTGGTCGAGAAGCCGCGCAAGATGCTAAAATTGGACTTGGTCAGCCATTCCGGGATCAGTGAAACTGGCGTTATAGAGCAAGTGTACCTGAAGAATATACATAGCTGCGGACCCACGGGATATTTCCACGCGTTGTTTGCGGGATGATGTCCTTGTGGTGGCAAACGAAAGCGAGTTCTCTTTCCACTACAGCCTGGAAGCCTGATGATGCTGCGGATGAAGCCAGGTAAGCAGATAACGAAGACGCCGTTAAGTAACTAACTAAGCATCCGGGAGAACTATTCCTCCGGTTCCGCTAACTTGCACAAAGTCCGGTTTGAATAAAGTGTCTATATTGATCTAAATCATGATCCGCTATCGTCGCCACTAGATGTAGAGTCCGCTTGCTCGTCACTTGATAACCCGCTGAACTCATCATCTATCTGATCTGTTTCGGTGGCTGCCATCACGAACGCTTTCAAACAGGTGATTCTATTCCCCGTCTCGTATGCTCCTAATAGCCGCCCAATGTTTCTAGGTGCACTATTGTCTACCAGCTGTGCTTTCTGTTGTTTCTTTTTGCTGCCCTTTTGGCTTGTCACACTATTTTGTTCCATGGCCCATACCTTAACCACGCCATCGCTTCCAGCAGTTACGACGAAGGCTTGAGAGTGGCCATCGACAGTAAGGAATTCAAAATCTTTTATCCTGGAAGGCTGATCGTTTGACTTGCTGCCAAGCTCACGCCATAGCTGTGCGGGCGGTACGGAGCTTTTGCTACTTGTCTGATCGACGATGGGAGTGTCTGTAGAGTAAAATATTACACGGCCATCTTCTGTGGATATGGCAAGCACTTCGTTTGGAGCACCATATCCTAAGTTTCCAACTAAGACATAGCGAATTTGATGGATTTTAGATTGAGGAGATGGAAGGATGTAGCATTTTGGTACCGAGTCCTGGTGCTCTGGTATCAGGGGTAGCTCAATAAGTAGTTCAGAGGGGAGAAAACACTTACGATACCAAAGACTATAGCGCCACGGTCAAAGGATATGGCAAACTCCTCTCCTGCAGAGTTCCAGACAATCTTTCTCCCCTCCCCACTACTCCATTTGCCCTCTTTTACCATCTCCAATACATCACGACCGAAGTTCAGTACCCCGGCTTTCTTTCCCGTCACTAGGTTCCACAATCTCATGCATTTCTCTCCCTTCCCAACACTTAACATTAGTTTCATACTCGGATGTACCGCGAAGTCATTGACGCCTGCAGGGGCTGCGCCGACGGGTGCAGTGTCGCCGCTCGGGCGGCCCACGGCTTTTGGCCGCGGTGCTTTGATCGTTGACACAACGGATAAGTCCCTAATTCGGGTGACAGATATTGTATTGTCCTCAGCAGCTGCTAATAATTTGGACCTCGTGGGGAAGTGTAAGGCGGTGATACTAGACGAATGATGCAGGAGCGAGCCCAACTCGCGGTTTCTCGGGTTTTCCAGTATTGTGGCGCCTGCTAGCGTGGGTACTGAGGGGAGGCGGGTATCAGTCCCGGTAGTGGAGGCAGAAAGGGTATAGAGGTTGATGCGTTCGTCTGTGCCGCCGCTGGCAAGGATTACATTTTGGGGTTTAGAAGAATCTGCTGCGGCCGGGCTGAGCGCGAGGCAGCGGATAGCGGAGGCGTGGGCATTGAAGAGGAACGAGTCGGCAAACTGAACCGGCGCTGGGTCGCTGGTAGAGGGCTGGAAAGCTTCCCTGGAAATAGTGGCCGTGATGCCATGGAGCACGCGCTCGTAGGAGCCAGTGACGATCTGAAGGTGGACGGGAGGAGGGGCCTGCGGGGCGGGAGAAGGGCTGCTGGCGTGCTCTGCCGGCGTGGCCGCGGCCTCTCGCTTGCGCTTCGCCATTGCTGGTTGCTGGCAGTGCCGTGCACTGGTCTGCGATACGCGACTCCAACATTTTCTGCGCGGCCCGGAACAACGTCTCACCGGCACGTGACTGCCGGCGCGGCGAATCGCCGCTGCCTACGGGCCAGGGGAGCCTAGGCGTTACTCAGCGCGCCGTAGTCCGGCCACCCCTCGACGCCGCCACGCGAAAAAGCGAAATCGTCCCATCCGATTTGGCCTCTCCCCCCGGATTGTCAACCCCTTCATTGCCTTTCCATCAACCCACTCCCCCAACCCCATCCCTTTCATCACTTTTGAGCGATTTTTTCGGCGTAAATGCCCGTTCCCTAGTCGCCTTGGTTTTTTCGCCGTCTAAATCGGATGTGGGTTGCCCGAGATTGACTCGATGCTCTGCAACGAGCTGCTCAAGGCTAAGAACGATGAGATCGAGTGCGTGCTCTCCCCTGTCGTACCCGGATTCTTACTCCCCGCCTCTTGTTTACTCGAACTAATCGCTGATTTCATTTCCGCAGGCGTTGTGTCTCGTCGCGGAAACGCAAATTGAGCCAGCTGTATTTTGCGACCGTCAATTGCCTAGGCACCAAGATCTCCTTGCAGAGCGAGCAGTATCGCCGTCAAGAGGCTGCTTTTCTCGACGCGAATGATATCACAAAGTACGTCCTCTTGCGCTCTTCTACGCGCGTCTGTCGCCTTGCGATCCATATACCTCTTTGTTAACGCGTTGATTTATTCGTGATTTTAAGAGGCCGCTGGTACCACTCGAGCACCCTTCCCCTGCAGCCCAACGTCATCATCAATGTCGCTGAAGGTTCGCCCACCCATCCGCTACCCGTCGCCGACGAGGAACCCTATCACCATGACGTGCCTGGCTGTGAGCGCGCTCCACCGTCAGATGGATTAGTATTGGATACCCCGGAACCTAAGAGCCATGCAGCCATCTCGCCAGACTCCAGCAACACTTCAAGCGCACAATTACCTGCCGTTCCGCAAGCTACGCCTGCGTCCTTGCCTTCACAATCTCCCAGCCTGTCATCAAGTTCAAACATTGTACCGGAGTCCGGTAACTCGCATGCTGGCCATTCTCAATTCTATCCCAAATCAGCTTCGTCACAGAATCGGGGCCCCAATTCTTCTACTAGCATTTCAACTCTCGGCCAGCAACGCGGCGCATCGGAAACAGAAAGATTGAGGCCCGCATCCATCAATGTTGCCCAAGATGCCGCCCCATCGTCGCCAATTTCTACTGGTCCTTCTTCTGTACATACATCGGCCACGGATAGATCACCTGCCTCGACTTCAACGGAAGAATCCGTAGCTTATCCGGACGAAAGACCCACGACCGGCTCTCGTGAGTTATTGACGAATACGATTTCTCAATGCGAATCCACGGTCGTGGGCAAAGTACCTACAACACCTGACGAACAATTGAAATTAGAGGCTGCTGTGTCGGAGAACTCGACAATACCGCTTAATGCCGCAGGACCCAGTGCTTCCCATCCTGTCGTTCCCAACAACGTATCCAACCAGAACGCTCCAGCTACTACAACACCACCATCCGAGACACCAATCACTCAACAAGCAGTAATTGATTTATTAGATAGAACGCCTTCCACTGGCCCGAAACCCGCAGGAAAACCCCCTGAAGATGTTTCTGCTACGGACCAGGCCCCACGACCCGAACGTATGATGACGAGGGTATCTTCCGGTGCTATCCGTCATAAATCAGTTTCTGAAATTCTTGGGGAAACCCCGCGCTCTCCAGTCTCGCCCGTGGATAAAGTGCCTTCCGAGAAGCATTTGCGTGAAAGATCCTCTATCCACCAGGGTTCTGTTACGGAAAGTCAGCTACACATGAAAGAGAAACGAGATCGAAAAGGGCGAAGCAAACTTTCAACAGTCGTATTTCCAAAACTTGCATCTCCTAGCAGGCAAAAACCCTCGACCTTTGCCAATGCAATCGAGACAACTAGTTCTAATGATCACGATGACTACCTCTACCTCCTTTTTCTCGTTAAAGCGTATTTTCCTCCCAGAGGTGCCCATCTATCTTCACTAATTGCGACAGCACATAAAACCTTGAGCACCGCAAATCATATGACCGATTATGTCGAACAGGCGAACACTCGCACTCTCAAGCGGCTATATCAGTTACAGCACTCAAACAGGTGGCCACTGCGACAACTGCAACGCTCGGCGGAACTGCCCCGATCTGCCTCGCACTGGGACCTACTTCTTGATCATATGAAATGGATGCGCATGGATTTCAGGGAAGAACGAAAATGGAAGATTGCCGCTGCCAAGACATGCGCAGAATGGTGCGCAAGTTATGTATCAAGCAGTGAAGAGGACCGTGCTCTCTTGCGAGTCCGCGTTTCACCGCCGACAATACAGGCTAGGTGTGAGATGGACGTGGAACACAAAGATCCCCATGAACATTCGACACCAGATCTTATTCCATCTGCTGATGATGACTCTGTGAGCGACGACCTCCATGACGAGTATCAGCCAGACTTAGAAGATGGCATTGTTCCGGCCACAGTGTTTTCTCTCCCCTCTGAAGAATTCACCTTTCGGATGGAAAGGACAATAGCCGCCGAGAAACTCCTCGAAGAACTTCCGTTTTACAACCCCACAAATCCTCCAATTGAAGGAACGTCTATACTTCCGGATCTGTCGTGGAAAAAGGAAATTGCTCCGGTCTCAAAATGGATAGATGGTAAAATTCGCTTCACCGGAGATGGGCCACCGCGTCGGAAAAGCAGATACGATTACGATGATTACGATGACATTGATGAGGATCATGATAACATCAGCTCTATAGAAATCCCCCCAGAGCAAACTAATGTAGCCCTTTTCCAACCAGAGAATAAACCTATCCGTGATCGTGTTCACCCAAGCCACTGTTTTCGACCGCCAACTGAGCACCCGATGCCATCAGTAGGATTCTATGAGTCTCGACAATCTTCTCAGTGGACATGCCCTGAGGATGACGAACTACGTCGTCTTGTTCGAGAATACTCTTACAATTGGTCATTAATCTCAAGCTGCTTGACCTCGCCCTCCAAGTATTCCTCCGGTGCTGAACGACGCACTCCTTGGGAATGCTTTGAGAGGTGGATCGGATTGGAAGGTCTGCCGGCAGATATGGCAAAGACACCGTACTTCAGGGCATATAGTGCAAGGTTGGAAGCCGCGCAGCGCACCATTCTTGCACAGCAGCAGGCCGCCCAGCAACAACAGCAACAACAACAACAGCAACAGCAACAGCAGAATGGCACGAGTAACCCAATAAATCCGGCACTTCTTCGTCGGAGAACAACTCAACCCGTGAGAGTGGAGCGAAAACGATCTTCTAAGCACCTAACACTTCTAGCCGGCATTAGAAAACTAACTCAAAAACGTGAAGCCGCACTTCAAAAACAATCGCATGGTGTGTACATTATTTAGTTATATTCTTTGGTGGCGATTTCTAATTATGACCAGGTGCACATCTTGCCTCCTTGCGAAAGGCCAACGAGGCAAATCAACCACGACCACCGATTTCTACCCCGGCGGAATTCAGTCGATTGAAATTCGAACGAGAACTCAAGTACCAGGAAAAGCAAGAGCAATATCGCCAACAGATGATTGCTCATCAACGGGTATGATGGCAAAATCACCATGTTCCACATATTTCATCGGACTGACAGCGTTTAGGCCGCATTGGCTCAGCGGGTGCAACAGCAACAGCAGCAGCAGCAAAATCCCAATCAAACCCAAGGCTCTAACGGTATTGCGCGTAACCCTGTTGCTGTCCCCGCAAACACCCCTGTACCCTGTATTCCAGCTACTGGTCCCAATGGTCTTCAGAATGGCATGCCTGTCGGTGGAGCCATTCCTCAAGCGCGGCCTCATTCAGCCATACAGGGAATGCCAAACAGTGTTTCGGGGAATTCTGCCATTCCTCCAGGTGGTATACCTATGAAAATGGCCCCACAGCCTGGCCTTCAGCAAGCTATGAACGGACGCTCTAACATGCCTTTACCGGCAAATTCGGACAGTGTTCGAATGATGCGCGAAGCCAACCGTGTGCATGAACAGCAGCGTCTCGTACAGTCACGGCAACAGCAGCACCATTTCCACAATCAGCAGCCGTTTGTTCAACAGGCCTCCCATTCATCTGCAAATTTGGCTATTCAGGGTGCTAGTTCCCCACCAAACACCACTGCGATGATGGGCGCATTTCAGGCTGTGAGTGGCGTTGCAAGCCCCTCATTCCACGCGCCCGCTCTTTCGCAAAGTGTTTCCACAGCGTCCCCTCGTATGACGCATCCGGCTGCCGTTTCCAATGGCGTGCAATCTCTCCCCACCGTGACCAGCATCCAGAACTCCATCCAACGCAGCCACCCTACCATGACTGCTGACCAAGTAAACAAACTTGCCAATGAGCGACTGCAGCAGTACCACCAGCAGCAGCAACGCATATCCCAGGCTGCGCTAAATGCAGCTGCGGGTAATATTGGTGCAATGCCGGCTCAATTTCCAGTAGCACACGACAACTCGAATAATGTACTTCAACAACAGCAAACCTCAAACGGAGTTGCAGCCGGCGGGCCGCCACTCCAAGTTTCCCAAACCCAAGTTCCCTCTCCTCTTATGCGTGTCCAACAAACCGGCCAACCAGGGCGCTTAGGTGTCACAACCTCACCCGCTATTAATGGAATGGTCCTCCAACCAGGCCGAGCCGCAACCCCGCAAACTCATCGCGCTGGAAGTGCACAGGGCATACCATCGGCGCAAAACCCTCCGGGTCAAGCTGCAGCGCCGAAGAATAGCCCACGAGCTCCCCAGGCCCAGATAGCCGGTTAATAATTGTTTCAAACTTGTCCACCATGTTTATTGCTTCTTACTCGTACGCGTTGGTTGTGTTTTCAGGCGGCGGGATTCGTTAATTGTACGGTTATGGTCCACGTTTATTACATTTTCTGTTTTACCTTATGACCCCTAATGGCACATTGACTCAATGCTTAACGTTATCCTTTTGGAGGTGTCCTACAGAGCAGTGTTTCTCCGTTTGTGACGGGCATTGCCCTCGCTACTTAGACAAATGTAAAAAAGTCCGAGATGAATATGACGAGAAAATTTACGTGGCATCACTGTTTTCGTCAATAGGCTATAATAGCCGCGTATGTTCGTGGCCACGTACCCCGTATGCCCTCTCGATTTGTTGGCTTCAAGGAACTAACTAAGATAGGGAGAGAGAGGGTGAGGAAAAAATAAGATAATTTTCTTTCATTCATTCGCGAAAAATCAAAAAAATGGACGTTGCCGGAATCGAACCGGCGACCTTATCATCGCGAGGTCATGCGGGTGATACGTTATACCACTAAACCAAACGCCCGAGGCTGTAGTCGTAAGTGACAGCTCAACTTTATTGACTACTTTTTGGCAATGAACTGGCATACTTTTCACTTAGTTATTAAGCGACTCTAGTTACCATCGCAGCTCACTTCTTCCCTGTGTTTGTGCTTTTAGCAACTGGTTGCGGCGTCACCCATAGATTATCAAGGTGGCTATGTATGTTGGTAACATGGGTCTTGATCGTTCGGCTTTTGATTTATTGTTTCCAAAATATAACCATGGACCCCCAGCGCCCCAAACCAATAGATATATTTACATATAAGGCAGCTATTATATGCTCCCGGATCCCACTCTCTAACGAGCCCTTGTTTATCCAACAGGGCCGAAAATAACAGTTCAAGTGGCAGCAAGCTTGGCCACCACTTCACACCAGATTTAAGCTCGCATTCGTTAGACATCTATTGACCCTACCGCCATCTCTCCTTGGCCCGCACTCTGTCCCTGTCTGGGTCGATTGCAATGGCTCTGGATCTGTCTTGGTCGTAGTCTCGGCCCCGTCCTTTATCCCTTTCCCGGCGGCGATCTGTATCGCGACCATAAGAGGATGTCCGATCCCTGTAGTAGCGGTCATCCATTTTCTTTCTTTCTGGACTCCTACCGATGTCGTCGTCATACCTCCTGCGACGCCTTCTTTCTTGGTCTCGCTCGGCTGATGAGGATCTTGATCGACCGTGGCCGCTTCTTCTTGACGAAGATTTCCTCGGCTCTCTGTAATCGTTATCATTATCATACCGTCGTCCAGCCTTGAGCAGATTCCTATCTCGCCGCTCTTTCCATTCCTTGTCCTGGTCGGCCAAATCTTTGCTTTGTCCCTGATCTTTAGTCAATTTCTTGAATTCTTCCTCTGTGATCATTTCTCCCGTTTTTTTACTTTTCATTAATACGGGAGTATACAGTCCCTCGCCCGGCTTCCCCTTGCGCATTGCAGCCTTTCCCCAAGCGCCGAGTTCAAGCTCTGCAGAGCCACTCTTTCCAGATATATCCTTAGCACCTATACCCAGGTATCCCGGCCTCCGTTCGGGAATGCGGGGCGCAAGGTTGGCATCTTTCTGCTGGGAAGATGATGTGTTGCTGTATCGCCCGCGACCGACTGGTTGCCCTTCCTTCCAGCCCATTCCGCGCAGTAAAGCTGCACCAAATTGCTCGACCGGAATGGCAGTGTAGTCAGCCAAGCTTGCAGAATCAGGGCGGTGGGCTACATCGTCGCGAAAAGATCTGGTTTCATCATACTCGTTATGGGCATCGGGTCGAGGCTGTGACTGGATTATCAAATTGGATTGTTGCTCTATATCCCCTTTACTTTCACGAATAAGCGCCTGTAATGCTATTTCATCCTGTGATACATCTCTTGTTTTGCTGTATTCTTCCGTGTCGGCTCTTGTTACACTCTTTTCTTGCGTCTCCGAATCAATGGAGTTTCCTCCATTCGACTTGTGCCCTGTGATTCCCAAGTCCGAAGCGTAGCTCAAACCAGACTTAGTCTCAGGGCGATCTGTTTCAACATCCACTGCCGTTTCTTTCCCTTGGCATTGTGCCTCCTTTTGTGCCTTCACCTCTTCTGGTAACCAGCTCTTTTTCGCCCGCTCTGACCGTAGTAGCCTTTCTCGCCACCCATTTCTCTTATCTACCTTGATTACCAGGGGCTCTTTCGACTTAGTTTCGCATATGTATTTATTTATCGCGCCCCCGGAGGATTGGTCGAAGCCACTGACCTCTACGTGAGCTGACTCCTTGTGTTCAGCGTCAGAGTCGGAGTCATTATTATGAAAGTCGCAACTGGAGGCTTGTAGCTTGGATGTGGAAAGATCCGTGCCGCGTGGTAGTGGAAATGAGGAGGTAGATGCACCAGCCCGCTGCGCTGTTCGCGCTTTAGAAGAGAGCGCGATCGAGAAGGGTTTGGTTGTTGAATGTTTTGTCGACGGAGGCGATGGGTTAGGCATTGTAGGCGGTCGTATGCTTATCGACGCATTTGCAGGGAAATTGGAAGAGGATAGTCGTGGACTGGAGCTGTAGATGAGTTCGTTTGCTCAACTGCGATGCTTCTGTTCTGCGCCGTTGATGACAGCGCCAAGAACGAATCACGTGTGGATGAAATTCTGCCTTAACTACGGAGTACTAACTACCATCCATATAAGGGCGCGAGGCGCACCAGGAAAAATCAGCCGCCAAATTCTGGAAGTTTGGAAGGCGACAATGGCCAATTCCTGGTATATGTGTGTTCTTGGAAACTAGACAACGATGCGCGGACCCTTCTTTTGGGGAACCAAGACCCTTGCTCATAAAGCTACCCCAGTCTTGGGGCCCAAAAACGTACATTATTATACATACAAGTGCCATGTCAAAAGTGTTGGCACCCTTTTTTTCAAGTGACACTTTTCAAACTCCAATTACTCCACAAAATTGTATGCTAGTATACTGAATAATATAATCAATATGGAGATAGATGCTTGAACTATTCATTGTGTCTTTAATAATTTAATTCTGACTTATTTTCATGATGAATAGAGAAGTCTATGTGATGATGGCTTTCAGTCATATTTAATGGAATTTACAGAGACAATAATTTACAATTATTTAATCAAATCATTTTTAAAGTATTCTTCTACCAATTCTCTACATATTAATATGTATTAATTGATATGTTACAATACAATTTTGTTGAGTAACTAGGTTGTGAAAAGGGTGGGTTTTGGTGTAAAAGTAGGGGGGGTGCCAACACTTTTGACCTAGTACTGTAGTTATATGTAGTATCCGATACCTACTATTTCACCCTATCATTTACCCACCACTCAACAATCGATGACTCTTGTTTCGAAGCTACCGGAGATTCACTTTCAAAATAAGAAGTTTTGAGTATCCTTCGTCTTTTTAAGGGGCTAAGGCAGTCCCGCCGCGTGGCTCAATTGTTGGCCCCAAACCCGCTACCCAACGAGGACTCGTATGCGGTGCTACCTATCATGCATATACAACATACCTTATTGCCCCCATGCAGCTTTGTGTATTACTAACACATACCAGTGTGTCCAGTCACTCCGTACCTTGCACCCATACTCACACTCTGAATATAGATTGACTGCAGAAGATGACTTGCCAAATGGTCTTTTCGAAACGATTCGCCTTAAATTTCGCCCCATACTGTTAGCTGCCTCTATTCACTCTTTAACCTTGTGCTATTCCTGTTGGTGTCTATGTTAAAGTTTTCATGATACAAGCAGGTGATACAGTATTCTCCTTGACTGGAGCAGTATACAAAGATTGGCAGCTTGTTATTTTTATTGGCATATCAAAAAATGTGGCAAACCACGCATACTCTTTTTATGCGTCCTTGCTTGACTGAGTCTCCTGACTTCAAGCTTGAGCTCCAAGACTGCTCTCGAGATTTCAACCTCAAGTTTCAAAAGCACGTTCAACAACATATTCCACTTTTAACATTCAGATTCAGCTAAGTCTCCACGTAAGCTGGCCTTATCTGGGCTCACAGAGCAAGCTGGGGTAGCGAACATGGCTTTTGCCAGCTTGCGGATATTGGACTCTCAGATAGATAACAGTTCGTTGTTGCACCTATCACTAAATAAGATAAACGATAAAAGGAGGTACATGCCTCTTAGTTTCAATACCAGTCTCAGATACGCCTGACATTTTCACACAGATCTTGCATTGAGGTTCAAATAGTACGTTCACAAGATGATGTATTACATTGTGGTTTATACGGCACTCTATATTCAAGCCTAATGTCGTCTCTTAGCGTGTTCAACGGCTTCGTATTGATTCTTCTTGGTTCTATTTAAGCAACTTTGTGCCAGTCCCTGGTGAAAACGCTGCGCGACTTTCTTGCACACCATTTAGTAGATGTGGAAGAAGAATAACTATCTTTGATGGCGAGGAGAATCTCCATCAGAATTACTATCACATAAAAATGAGTGATGTTCTCCACTGCAGTATTGGTAAATGTCAGAAGTCTCATATTTCCGGACACACTATTCGCTCCTCGATCGGCGGTACCATCGGAAGGTGGATTTCCGCGGGATTCCAGGTCGAAGAAAAATTCGCCACTGGCCGAACACAGGAGTTTGAAGGTGGTCCAGGGGATAGCATTTGCATCTGGGCTCTCTCGTCGATACCGCGTATATGTTCTCGAAATCGACGGTGGATTGGGCCCAACATGGGACAAATAGGGTGGGCCTAGGCAGGTGATTCAATCGCGGAGCCGGATTTTCAGGGGAAGCCTTTACTATTGTGTTGTAAATGCTAGCCGGGAAGGTAATAGCTACTGGAACACCAAATTCCAGCGTGCGGGCAGAAAAGTTGTTTTGCGGGATGAGTGTCCATAATCATTTTGTGGCCTTGCCTTCTAATCCAATCTTCCTCCCCGGCTGTATTACCATGCTAAGAAGTGTCTCTGTAGAGTGTATTCGTTTATCAATACACATCGTGTTAGTTTATTCATTTAGAGGCTGGTAAACAACCTCTAAGGGCAGTCAATCATAGCCACATCCCCTGCTCCAGCAATCACAGTTGCACTTCGATCGCCGCCTACCGAGTCAATATCCATATCCATACCTTCCATTTCTCCTAAAACCCACTCGACCAAATAACTTTCATCTACTAAATCTTCAACCCGTTTATAATGTCTCTCCGTATACACTGCCAAAGCATGCAAGACATCTTTTAGCTCCGCATCTTTGTTCCCTTTGCCATGAGAGGGTATAAAGTTGGAGCGAGATGCTAAGTCAATAAATGTCGATGGGGGATAAGATTTGAATAGAGCGTAAAGCAATCGTTGGGAAACGCGTGACGTGCGCGCATTGGTATTCCAATCTCGAATTCGTAGAAGAAGAAGGTACAAGTGATCCATGGAAATAGATTGGATCGCATGATCTATATCTGCATTCCCACTGAGTGTCTTCGGCGCAGCTGCATATTCTGTATCAATAGCAGTAGCAAACAGCGAAAAAAGTCGTGCGGGATGATTTAGTTGGAGTGCCAGAGTGATGGCCTCTCGATAGGCACCAGCATTTATGAAATTTTGTAATTGTTGATCCAGTTCTATGCGCTCTGAATTCGCCGATATAGCAGCAGACAGTGTAGCCGAAGTTGTGTCTTTCCAAAACGATACTGTTGAATCTGCAGCTCCGGAAAGTAGCGAAAAATCGAGCCAAGGGGATTCAGTAGCCGATATATTCGGGATCGCAGAGGGTGGGAAGGGAGTAGCAAGGGCCCAAACACGGTCTGTATGGTTATCCAAGGTGGCTTCCACTTCTCCAGTATATGGAGACCAAATTTTGACCAATCCATCTGCTGCAGCCGACACAACGAGCGGATGAACTTGTATGGCGCCTTGGGAAGACAAATCTCCATCAGCACCAGAAATACGCGGGGGTGATAACCAAATGACTTTCAGAACGCTGTTGGAATGCCCCTCAAATGTCATTAGACAGCTATAGTCTGAAAGACTCCACAGTTTTATGGTTTTGTCCCCAGAGCCAGTAGCTATAAGACCCCTGCTCATACTTGCAGATGATTTTGAATTAATTGGAGGCATTTCTTTAGGGGCAAAGCGAATTGACCACACGCCTCTCTTATGACCGCGAAGAATTCCAAGGACACAACCATCCTCGAGGGACCATATTTTAGCTGTACGATCTTGAGAAGCTGATGCAAGAAGGGTATCATTGTGATTTAAATCCAGTGCGTTGATATCTTTTTCATGAGCCTTCCTGGTATACGTCGCTTTTGGGTGTGCCGTTGATGATTTCAACTTTCCCGTGTCCCATCGCTTGATGGTACGATCTTGAGAGCCGGTAACTAATAAGTTTGGGGGGTGATTAAGGGGGTCTTTGAAAGCTGGGGAGTCCGTTGGAGGCGGATTTCGAGATAGCACAATAGCTCCCAACGACTCAGCGTGTCCAGTAAATGTTGCAAAGCAGGAATACGAGTGTGAAGCGGGGTCTATTTGCCATAGTTTTGCAGAGTTATCTTTTGCACCTGTCGCAAGCCAGTGACCAGACCAGTCGACGTCAATACAAATAATAATATCGTCGTGGCCTTCTAGGCGGGATATATCGGCACCAAAATACGGTTTGCCAACGGTATTCTCGGTTGATTTCGTAGACACGATCCGGACATACTCCGAGTTTGTAGCCATAGCAAGCAGGGAGCGGTCTGGCCCGACGCAGGCTAAATCAATAATTTCATCATCGTTCCCGGCGACATGGCGGATGATAGGTAGTGAGTCAATTTTCATTCCAGAGCTAAAGGCAGCCAGGGGTGTAATGGAGTGAAATTTCAACGTCTGATCAACATGTACTGTAACAATAAAAGGTTGTCCAGTGGAGTGCTCAATTGCAACGATACCTTCTTGTTCTGAGGCAGCATCTTGTTCCTGGGTCACTTCACTGCCTCTGGCAGGATCCCATATTCGCAGGCGGCCATTTTCTCCGCCAGTATAGAATAATGAGCCATCTACTAAGTATCCTGCAGCCTCTACGCTCTCGAGAACAGGAATTATCCTTTTCATTTGCCAAGTTGTCGCATCCCATGTTATAACGGCTTTATCCCTACCAGCCGAAAGTAAGGAGTTCCTGGCTCCAGAGAACGATAGAGACCGTACAACAGATACATGAGACTCCAGGGAAGCAATGCATTTCTTTTTAAAGAGATCCCAGACTCGTATCTGCCCATCTTCACTGCCCGACGCAAGACGAAAACCCCCTGTAACCTCTGCTGGCTCTGTGGCTCCGTCCAAGGCAATAAAGCTCAAGTCCGAATCTTCTCCAATCTTTCTTGCTCTTTTTGCACCTTTACGATGCTCTTCTTTTCCGTTTGCCGTTTCAAAAAAACAAAGAGCTGAAACAACGCCTCCATGGCCGTGGAATGTGTGAGTCGCGTAACCCCGCTTGATATCCCATATTTTGATTGATCCATCTGCACTTCCCGTTGCAAGCAGCGACCCAGTATGGTCAACAGCAGTGGCCACAACTGGTGAGGTATGGGGCTTGAGGGATCGTAAAAGCTTGGGGAATATGAGTTTCGAGTCCGACGACTTTGAAAGGGAAAATATGCGCATAGACAAGGATCGAGAACATATTGCAAGATGCGAGGCCAAAGGAGTTACTATGGAAAATGAGATAAATTCTGAAAGATATGGTTTGCACCATACATACTCAATATACTGGTAATCGGTTCCCCATCCTTGCGTTGGCTATGGTTAGCCTTGAGGTTCACCCAAAGACGCGATGCAAAAAGGAAAAGACGGGGTGTTCTACTCCTTCAATACTAGCAAGCTGTTGGCCAGTCTCTAGGTCAACCAGAACCGTATCTTCACCAATGCACGATGCTAACACCTGCCCGCTTCCATCAAGCGAGAGGCTTCCTCCAGTATAAATTGGACGGATTGTCTTCGTGACATCAAAGGTGGTTTTCACGTTGATCTTCGACATTTGTAGTGAATAATCGACAATCGATTCATAGGGCCGGTAGGCAGGCAAGGTAGTATTTCAAATACTTCGTAGACTCTCACTGGGTTTTTTTCACTGTTCGACCGAAATACAAAAAATACTGAGGGCTAAACTTTGGCTGACTAATCGTACGGCGGGAACGCACATGTACGGAGTAATTCGTACTCCGTACTCCGTATTTTACGACAGAATTAAGCAGTGGCCCGTGCATATTCAGCCGCATATCACATGATATAACTAGTTACAGTTTAACGCGCGTTTAACTCCACTGTCAAACATCACTGCCTGTGATCCTGAGTATTATGGTGTGGGAGGTTGGGCAACTCGCGCTGCCGAATCTTCTTGGAAGGTAACCTACTACCATATATGGTATTTCAGCAGGCTTTCTTTTCTATTTTCGTGTCACGGGGAGGCGAACCGCTTTAGGTGGTTGAAACATGGCAAGGAAGGGGTATCTGTCTGTGATTGCCTTGGTATGAAAGGTTCTATCATTGCTGTAATCTACCCAATCATTCTGCAACCGTGCTTGGCATATAGATATGTCAATAAAAACTAGTGTTAATCAAAGACATTTGTGCCCTGTCATTATTTCATAGTCATTATTTGATATGATTCTATCTTTTCCTACCATAGCTAACAACTCAATTTGATAGGGCCGATCTCCCTATCAACCTCCCGAGAGACAATCCGATGCCGTTTTACATGAGATTGTGTCTACAACAAATGCCGAGTCGTATGTGCAGCAATACGACGGTCGTGGGCATCCAACCAACCTTCGGTCAAAAGCCTCTGCAAAGCAGTTTCGGCGCGCTAAAAATGACATCTTATCTACTATGGGCATAGTTGTTAGCGGTGAAGATGGCAGATCTAGGGCGGCAAAAGAAGGGCAACAAGTGACACTTCTTGCAGAGGAAAATGGTTATGGAATGGCAATCTCCCTAGCAGACCAGATCGCCATGTTTACTGCGACGTGGTGGACATTTGCTCTTTCAACTCGGCTTCAGGTATGATTCCTATGGTTGAAGCTCGGCACCTCAACTTAACTCTCTATTCCAGACTTTTACAACCTACGATCAGGCCCCACTGACCCACATAATACGCCTCGAGCAAAGGCAGCAAGGTCTACTCGGATTTTATTCTTCGGGCATGCCGATGTGTATTTGCTCATGCATTGTTTCTTTTTTTCGCTACAATTTTCTACACTCATATATGGAGTCATGCTATTCGAGAATATCGTCTTGGTCCGAAAACCGTCATATAAGTTTATTATTACGGGCCTCATCCGTAATCAAATTTGGGTATGCTGGAGGCATTTAGAATTCCGTGACTCTGAATTTTACTGATCCTCCCTAGACTACACTGTGTTCTTTATGTGGTTGCCCACGAAGGCACTATGCTTTCGCTACTGCAATCACTCCAACTCGTTCCCACTTATAATATGCCATCTCTAGGACTTTTTTTGCCATTCGGTGACTATTCTTTACTGCGACTGCCATCTATTCATGTCACATCTGGTCAGGATGTGTGGAACTTTATTACTAGCCTTGTGATTTCCCCCTTCCCTTTAATATGTTTACTTTCTAGGGCTCGAGCCTTAGTAGAAACAAATATTTATCGATTTCTCCGGCGGAGATTGCCAAGGCCAGATGCTCCAGATAGACTTTCATTTCGTGTTGCCCTGGAGGGCGATTTGGTCGACTGGACCATGCCTTCTCTAAGCAGAAGAGCTGAAGAAGAGGAGTTGCGAAGCCCGCTAAGCATCACACAGGAGTTTATCTTTGAAGCGATGGTATTGCAGCGATGGTTGCTCAGTTTATTAAGTTGGAAGGCATGGAGGCAAGACAAACCGAATATAGATGGATCTTGCCCACAAACACTGCACCATCGACTTCCGGGTGAAGTCAACGACAATGGCCCTCCATCTGCCCTGGGAACTGCTACTAGAAATCAACAGGAAGGATCATCTGAAAATCTTTCTTCATCCCATTCAGCTACAGAGTGGGGAGAACCTAACCGGATTCTTACTGGTGAGGACCAGCGCTTTGCTCAATCACCTGTCCAACTTCAAGAAGATTATACAGGGGGCTCCTTTGGAAATGACAGGTCTGTTACTACGAGCGTTTTACAATTGCTCCCAGAACCAGCCTTTCACTCTCAGCAACGACCCCAGTCCCCCACAACCACATTATCTTCCCGGTCTTCATCTGCAGCTATTTCTTCACCTCCATCCCCACATGTCAGGGCATCTTTGGTGCATCAAGAGTCGGATATGGTTACTATGGAACTAGAATTATTGCAAAGCAGCCAGGAGCCTAGTGTTATTGACCCGACAGCCGCTGAACTTCTCCTTTTTGGCCATGCCAACGCTCGTCCCCATTTATCCCCGCCATTTCGTGAGGATCTTGAAATGGACCACGCCCAACTCCCCTTAGCAAACAGGGAGGGAGTGCCTTCGAATGCCGCCCAAATAAATCGCCATGATGTTGAAATCGAAAGGGCACCTTTGGCATCTCGCCAGCCACATCGCACTGTAACGATATCAGACGCAGAGCGAGACGACATCGCTAATCACAGGATTACCACTCTTTCTACTCACGCTGCTGATTCACTAGCTTGCCATCTCGCTAGAATGCTGACAACTATGCTGTTATTCCCAATCGAGTCACTTGCTCTTCGAAGCCTGGCAATCAGCTATCTTTCACCGCCCACATCCACGTTAGATTTACATACAGCTGCAGCTACATGTTCTCAAATCCGCTCATTAACTTCCTGGTTTGGCGGCGGTAGCCTATCCAATAAATTTTCGTATATAGGGAAACTGGGCCTTATTTTGGGATTGAGGGCTGCGTGTCACGCAGCTTTATGGGCAGTTCAGACAACAGCGGTGAGAACTTTAGGTAGGAGGAAGTTTGGATGGGGAATGTTGCAAGGTTAAATGCTCATTTTCAGCATAGCGTTAGGTGTAAGGGCGGGGCTTATTTTTATGGTAGGATACGTATCCCTAGCATGGGACTGGGATATGTCGTTGAATGTTTTGAACTGCACGATAACAACTTAACTTCGCTCTACATGCAAGAATTCATGTAGTATTTATTTAACAGTTAGCAGCTCGGTTCACTGATAACTTATGAATTTTTTTTCTTCTTAGTTTTTCTTTCCCAGACCATTAAATATCCTTCTCTAGTAAACAATGTCTCACTCTCTGTCCGCTGAACCCACAAGTCTTGGACCTCCAACCACTCCGGCCCTTTCTGGGTCAGTTCCTTTGTAATTTGCACCCCCATTGCTTTATCGTGTAATTGGATAAGCCAATTAACCTTGTGGCTTCCTGCTGATGCGCCGGAAGTTGTTGAAGTTGTTGGAGCAGCACCACCGGCGCCAGACGCAGCAGCTTCGGCGAGGCCGCCACGGCCATTTTCCGGCGCTCGGCTCTCCGGGTCCCCAGGAGCGGTGACTGTAGCATCAAGGATTACATTTGCGACAAGGTCGTAAAGTATCGGTTCTCCCGGGGGCCAGATTGAAGGATTCGGCTCGACATAAGGGGACATGTCTAGGCCCCTGGGAGAAGGAAATGTGACAATAGTAGGATTCCTTTCGGAAACAAATTTGTTTTTGCTAAATCGCTTGATATGAAACAGGAGGTATTGGGGGAGAGGGTGGAGAAGGCGATGCCGAACGCGGTGGGCCAGCTTTTCGGTCGCTGTTACACCGTTGTATTTGCTCAGGAGGTTGATGAGAGGGACTTGTGGAATGATGGACTCTTTATCAGCGGACTGGAAAAGGGGAGTAGGTGGAAGGTCCAATGTAAGGATTAGAAATGGAGTTTTCTGGGAACTGGTCGTGCTTGATTCCGAAAAAACAAGACGAGCATTGTCACTATCGGACCTTGCAGTGATGGCCTGGCTTTCGATGCGAAGGTGCCCTTGAAATGTTGAATGAATTACGCTAGATGGTGTAGACGAGGGTTTCTTGGAGCCACCGAGACTTAGATGCAGGTTATTCAGAAACCAGGAAAGGAACTCGACGGGGTCGGATTGATGGGTCAGTGTAAAGCGCTTGGAAGACCGAAGGGCTATCTCTTGTAACAGCTCATGAGGCGAAACGTGACATTTAAAAGCTCTTGGGTTCCACAACTTGCGCACAAGCATTCCAAAGCGCAAAGGGAGCTGGGGAGTTCCGGGAGTCTGGAATTGGTGGAGGAGAAAGAAGTTTCGAATTGGCCTGACATGGGCAAGCAGTTGAACGATAACATTGAGATAATCGTTTGACTTTATATTGTTCATTCCAACATATCCTATTGGTAAGAAATCAGTAATGAGAAAAGGAATCTGGGAAATTGTAACTTGCCTGGTCTATATTTCTTCCCAATCAAGTCCCAGGCCTCTGTCACGACTGTATCTAGCTTAGCCACTTCTTCCTTTGTATACAACGGATCTATCACGTATTTGATATCACCCAAACTATTGTTTTTAACCTCGTATCCTTCGGGCAGAACATATACCTTTTTCGTTTCCATGTTGACAAAGACATGATGCCCGACTTCTAGCGAGTGAAAGTAGGCATGCGATTTGGGCCCGCGACCTTGAAAATATTTCCCACACACGAGGCAGGCATAGACATTGATATTAGAAAGCGTCACAGAACATAATTTCTCAAAGTCAAAGTCCAAATTTAAGCGCTGTATCGTATCCAAGTAGAGGTCTCCGTAGCCTTGGAGAGGAGCGCTCTGGGGAACGGGCGCCTGCGCAATCACATCTTCACCGTCCCAATCCGAAGCATGACCGGTAGCTTCCTCAATCTTCTCTGCCTCCTGATCGGCTGCTGCTAGTATATCTGCACCGTTGCGCTCGTCGTCTTCCCAACGAGGTTCGCTGAATGACTTGGACTGTACTTGTTCGGCATCGTCGATTCTTGGGCGCTTGGAAGCTAGAGGTTCCTTGGCTATTTCGTTATCGCCAGCAATATCGGCCGACCGTTTAGCCATTATCGTCCAGATTTGGTAGGCGGAGAGTGTTGGATGTATCTGGTCGGCTTGAGCGCCCACAACGCGATGAGCTTTCACACTAAAGATCTTGGCGACTCAATTCTGCCGCGAAGCTGGACACACCGCCTTGGTCTACTTTGTATGGGTGTCATTCGCTGCTTCGATTATGAAGAGTGCTTACGCTTCCATAGAATAGGAGTATCTATATGCAGTGCGGCTAAACGGATCCATCACTATTCAAAGTGTGCTGCTCCCTTCTACAGGCCCCTTGAAGGTGAATGCATGCACATATTTCATTCCGAATGAGCGCCTGGTTCGACCAATAGTAAATCACAACTTAGTACTGTTTGACGAAGTCAAACTTTCAAAGATACGACATTTACAATGCCGGCGGCGAAACACACTATTAGGCGCTAACGACCTGTTTGTTATTGCCATAATCAAAATCTACCTCCTTGATACCGTCCTTTGTCACCGCCTTGACGAATACCTGCAAGCGGTTGTGAGTATAAGCAAATATTTAATTTTCCGTTGTATCGGAGTCAAGACTAACCCCTTTGAAGTCAATGGGCAACCTCCGTTTAAGTTCGTCTGTACATTTCTCTAAGAGCTTCAGGCCTTCTTCATAGGTGATATCGGGATGGTGGTGCTTGTCAAGGATCGAAAGACAGTAATATCTATCAAAAACAGTGCATTAGTCATAAAGTAGAAGATCAAACACGAATTAGTCAAGAATGGATTCAAACATACTGGGCGTAACCATGTGCAGCATAGGGTACTGGCGCCAATGACGCTAGGTAGTCAAGCCAATATAGGCATGGTTTTTGTGTAATTGGATCGACACCACCAAGCAGAAGGTTGACCGTATACGGACTTCTTGACCTTAAACTCCTCGCAAGTTCTCCTCTCACAAAGTTGGCGACTGCTGAAGGGCTTAGCTCGGTTTCATTTCGCATCGAATAAAGTTGAACATTGGCTTGAATATATTCGGCAAAGTTTACTATTGGTAGTGATGTATTAGCCTTCTCGTGCTTGTTCGGGTGAGAAGGTGCCAAGGGTACCTGTGTCGCCGGCTTCTCCGGAATAGGCAATCAGGGTATGTTTGTTCAATTTCCGCGTTTTGTCATCCGACGACTTCAGGATTGTAGCTCCTCTCATAGCCGCTTTGGAGGCAGCAATCAGTGTAAAATCCTTCCCAGTAATCCCCAATAGAACCTCCCTTGAAGGTGTCAGCTATTTGGAATAGCAAATAGAGGGGCCGACTCACATGATGGCAATTAAGGGGCCCGATGAATTAAATCCTTAAATTTTTATTATTTCCAGATAAAATCCAAAGTATCAAGTTACCACAAATATTGGTGTTGGGGAGATGGAGGAGCTGACCGTCAAGCTCCCATCGTTACGCGGTGAGCTTGACGCCTGAACGGGAAATCAGTGCTGAGTAATCAAGTCCTCAGGCCTGAACACGCTAGTTAGTTAGTTACATAATCAGACATTAGTTAGACCATCAGCGGGAAAAAAAAGTTTCCCAAAACACGCGAGGAGAGTGTTGGTGGGCGCTGGAACGTTCGCTTGCCATCGAGGGACTTGTGTTTTTTGCATTGGCTGATATGTCATCGTTTTTCACGCTGCCTGCGTCCCAGCGGAAACGCAAGCGGGAAGACCAACCTGCAGCTCCGGCTTCGAAAAAGCGAGGAGTCGTGGCTACGAAGACAAGCGCACGGTCGAACAGTAGACGACAGGAAACACAGCAGAGAGAGGAATCTATATCCGGAAGCGAGACCGATAGTGATGATGCGGTAGGGTCTGACCGGTTTGACGAGACTGAAGTCTCTGGCTCTGAGGAGGAAGAAACGGCTGCAGAGAGGCGACTCAAATTGGCGGAGAGATATTTGGAGAATATAAGGGAGGAGATCGACGAAGCTGGGTTTGATGCCGCCGAAATTGATCGAGATTTGATTGCGGAAAGATTAAAAGAGGATGTTGTATGTGGTCGCCGACGTTATCACAATCTTACATGGGTAGACAGATGACTGACCCATACAGGACGAATCTAAAGGGCGAACATACCGACAGATTGCCTCTCAGTTATCCTTTGAAACAGCGTCTTATTCATATTTTCGTGCAGATACACAGAGCACTACATCAGTTGCCATTCACTCCCCATATGTTTACACCGTGTCGAAAGACAGGACCCTGATAAAATGGGAATTGGCTCCTCCTTCTATTCCCATTCTGGAATTGACCAGCACAATAAGAACCACTAGACCCTCTCGGAAGAAACCGAAAAAGATCAAATCCGTTCGTGGTCTACAGTCCGTTGATCCCGAACAGGAGTCTCAAGGGCACACTGGAAATATCCTCTCCGTTGCTGTTTCTCCCTCTGGGAAATTTCTAGCGACAGGTGGCATGGACAGAAAGATTATAATATGGGATTCAGACACATTAATACCTCTCAAAACATTTACCCAGCACCGAGACGCGGTAAGCCAGCTGGCATTTACTCGACGTATCTCGGCAGCCACTACTGGGGAACAAATGTTCTCCGCATCCTTCGATCGTACAATAAAAACGTGGTCACTCAGCCCGGGATCTCATGCTTACGTTGAGACTCTTTTCGGACATCAAGACCATGTCGTTTCGGTCTCTTCCATGGCTACTGATGAATGCGTCAGCGTCGGCGCCCGCGACCGCACCGCCCGGTTATGGAAGGTCGTTGACGAAACACAACTTGTTTTCCGCGGTGGTGCCTCCAAAGGCTGCGAATACGCAGAGAACTCCATAGACTGTGTAGCAGCTTTGTCCCCCGCACACTTTGTCACTGGCTCTGACGACGGCTCCATCTCCCTATGGTCGATACATAAAAAGAAACCATTGTTCACTGTTCACCAGGCTCATGGAGTTGACCCTGTTCCCAGACCTGAAGACGCGTCTTCTGAACGAGATTTCACGGCCTCAACTCGTGCTACGAAATATATGCGCCCAACGCCACGCTGGATCACAGCGCTAGCAACCATACCAGGCACAGATGTCATACTCAGCGGTAGCTGGGATGGATGGATTCGCGCTTGGCAAGTTTCAGAAGATAAAAGGAGACTAATCCCCCTGGGCGGCGTTGGCGGAACCCAGTCATTAACCAATGACATCGTCGACATCCCATCCGACCGCCCGCCAAATAGCATTTCAAAAAGGGTACCACCGTTGAACGGCATAGTAAACGGCATCGCTGTGTTTGAACGCCGAGCTCAAGAGCATGGAATATCGTCAGCATCTGTCGTCCGCCAAGACACTTTTAACTCTTCTCAGGCGCCCAGCAATATCCCACCTGGCGTCTGTATAGTAGCTGCATTAGGCAAGGAACTCCGGCTGGGACGATGGAAGGTGTTTGGATCCAAGGATAGAAAAAGCATTGGTGGCTCAAATGCCGGGGGGAGGAATGGTGCAGTGGTCTTTGAAGTCCCATTTGTCTCCATAACTCCTTGAGGATAGTATTTGAGCTCGGGTGGTCCAGTTGATTTGATTCGGAGGCTATTTTCTATTATGGATAATAATAGGCAAGTGCTCTAAACGGAATGGAGTCAAGTAGGATATTAAAAAGTTCATTAAAGTCATGATGGCTAATTAGAATTTAATTTTGTTAAGACTAGTTAAATATATTTTGCGCGTATGGCTACGGCGTACGGAGTAGATGCACCAAATAAATCATAGGTACTGTAAAGTGAACGCCTGTCAATGACTCGCCGGTCTACTTAACTCCTATGTCCCATTGTTGCCAATTATGCCCCAAGTCCAAGAAAAATGCCACGTGCATCACACGAACGCCTCTCAAGAAGAAGATTCTTCATCTGACTCGGAAGTCTGGATTCTATATGAGTATGGGGACCCACGAGGGGATGTCGATTGGCTTTGTTCTTCCTGTAGTAAATTGTGCATTCCGTCCGAAGAGCTGTCATCCGTTTCAGAGCTACCCCTCCTTACCGACAGAGACACGTTCACTCGCGAAGCAGGAGAGCTGGAATCTATACGCTGAAGTCTCCTTCGAGAGGCCATGGTTTGGGGTCTGATAGGCTCGTCATCATCGTCGTCGTCATCGAGCTCAATAATTGTGGGATTTCGAAATAAGCCTGGGAAGCTTTGTTCGCTGACGCCTTCTGATACACTATCACTAATTTCACTAGGTTCCGTTTCGCCTTCAGTAGGAGGCTGAACAGGACCGTCAGCTGTACGATCACGGTTGCCAACAACCGTCGATGTTGTAGGAGTGTCCGAATCCTCTGAAACCTCTTCATCTTCGACAATAAAGGAGCCCATGTCATCTGACTCCCACTCGTCAGAACTTCCTTCGCCTATGGAGTTGGACCGTGAAGGTTCGGGGGAATGTTCGCTGCGAGGGTGGCCTGAATCGTAGTCTTCATCGTCCGATATACCTATAAATTCTCTATTGTGGCGCATAGCGTCTAGATGTGCAAATGCTTCGTCAAACAGGTCGTAACCGTGGTAGTCGTCCACGCTAGAATCATCAATAGTATAGCCGCATTGTACACATTCTCCATCATCTAGCTCCCAGGCACATCGGGGGCACCGTTCAACACCATCGGTGAGATCGCGAATCGGTAGTCCGGTAAATGTCGTATTTTTGAAGTATCCGTGGAATAAACCGCCACACCTTTCATCTTCGTTTTTCTTATCCAGCTCAATTTTTTCCGTCTCCGATCGCTTGTGTTCTAGATGCTCGGCAGTTGTCTCATCTTTGTCTAGTAATTCTGATCTAGTGATGAATATTTGCACAATATTCCGGATCTACAACTTAGCAAATGCCTTCAATTTGGCAACCGGAAGCGATAATACGTAGCATACCATATAGGCCGGGGCGGGCTCCGATAGAACAGGAGATCGGCAATCGGGACATGTCTTTCTTCGCTCGTGACTGTCGAACCACTGGGTAAGGCACTAGGTATGAAATCTTGAGTGTTTCGTTTACAGCAGAGTTAGGATTAGGACATACACCGTAGCAGAAAGTGTGTCCACAGCCCAAAGTAAACGGTTCATAGAGCGGCCTAACGCACACTCCGCAGGAAATCAGAGCCCGAATGTCATCTATATCTTTCTGGAATATTTGTAGAAGCTGGAGGGGGTCAGCCGTTCACGCACTATTGCAACTGTCAAAAAGGGAGTCAGGCTCGCTTACGCCTAAAGGGCCTGGTTGTTGGGAAGTGCGGAATTGCTGGTCCTTTATGCCTTCATCAATTGAGCCAGGCGACTTACGCTTCCTACTGCCAGACGACATCGATACTCCCGGATAGTCAAAAGAAGGAAGCAGATGTAGATAGGAAAGTGTCGTAGGAAGATAGGGAGGCGTGGATAGCGGTATGAAACGAGTTTAGATGCAGGCGGCGGGGAGACAGCGACTCGATTTACCGGCGGGAGGCATCCGAGATTCGCAATTCTTGAATACAGGCCAAAGAGAGCCGCAACTGAGGCTGGATATCGCGCGAGAAGCTTAGAGTGACATGACAATGGTGCCTCAGATTGTTGCAATCTGAAAAGCGCGGGATCGTGGGTGATTGCTCATTGAAAGCTCGCCAGCAACGCGTCCACGTCTCGAAGACGTTGGTGAGGTCACCATCCAGTGAAGTCTCGTCACGTATTGTTTGTTACGCCAACTTCGCTCAGTATTACAGCCTGGTACTCCGTAGAAGCAAAAATCGGGTAAATACGTGATCTATCCTGTAACGAATAATAAAATACGCCGTTTTTCCCCAAACATTACACTACGACGGGGCTTGGGCCCGTCTTCCCCAGCATAGTCACGACATAGTCATACCAATAGGTACCGAGACCAACGATCCAGTATTTTCGACCCTCGAAAGCTAGGCTTTCTTTTGCCTGCCTCAGAGAGACCTGCGATTCCTCCAAGCACCCAAGCTGGAACTGTACCTGGGCAATGGAGTGGAGGACAACCCCATGAGTAAATCCCGTCGTCATCATACTCTCCACGATTGTTAACGCTTTCTTCCACCGATCTAAAGCTTCATGCCATTCGCCTTGCAGATGGGATATCCTTGCCAGTCCAATCCAAAGGCAAGCATGGGTGCTTTTCCCAAACATGGTTGGGTCGATTTCGGCTTCAGCAGCGGGAAGGAGTTCAAAAAGACACAGTTCGGCTTTCTTAAACATTCCCCGTCGAAGAAAACTCTCAGACAAGGCTTTTCGAGTTTGTTTTCCCAGGGCGATGTTCTCCCACCCGCGAGCATAGATAACCTCCAGTACCTTTTCAAGCGCCGCTTCTGCGTCGCCTGGTCTTCCCACCTCACAGTATGTATATGCCAGGGCTGAAAACAAAGCTGTTTGCCAGCCTGAGCTAACCTTATAATCTTCATCTGACATTTCTCTGAGTAGCTTTTCGTACACTTCCAAGGCGGCGGGGAAAAGGCCCTGGAGTCTTAGAATTCTCCCTAGCACCACATCACGGGTTCGTAAGACCACTCGTTCCATAGTGGAAGGTGACTTCAAATTGAGAGGTTTCCACTGTTCAATCTGCGCTTGTGCTCGTGATAATTCGTTTTCTTTCGCTAAACACTCACCAAAGGCGATAATGATATGTCCCTTTGCTGAATTCCACCTGGCGTCATGAGCTAAGTCTTCATCTACATCACTCAACACAGACTGACGTATAAAATTCTCTAGGGTCTTGTAGGATTCCTCTACTTCCCCTCTCGCACGCAATACTTTGCTTTCTTCTGCAGTCGCCCACGCTTTCAGATAACAGTCTTTTTCGTCCTTCAGGAGGCGCCTCAGCCTATCAATACACTCACGTCTCCAAGGATTGGAATGAAACTTCAAAGTAGAAAGTATCAGCTCACAAACCGCTGACTTAACCGCATCGTATTGGTAACAATCCGGGTCAAGTTGGTCGAAGGTTGCCAAAATACGAGGGACATGCGCGAATACATCGCGGCCTGCACTCGTAAAACTAGAAGATACTGTCAGCAGTAATTATGGAGCAGTAATAAGCTACGTACTCTTCATCCACATAGGTGCAGGATGGAAACGCATGGGCAACTAATAATATAGCTTGAACTTGCCATTTGCGGCGTATATCATCCGGTACTCTATGAGACGCGCATTGTTGAACTAGAGGGTGAACTGAAAATGTCCTTTCGGCTCCAATGTTGTTTCTTTGAATCAGCGAGAAGGCAAGCAGTTGCTGAAGCGCATAATCGAGCTGCATTTCATCGCTCAGAAGCTCTGCTAGCATTGGGTCCAAACCTTCATCGATGGGGTCACACTCTCCAATTTCGCCATTACACCCCCAAACTTTTTTTATTGAGCTGCCTCGACGCAACATTAGTTCAGAAATGTTCCCTGGCTCGAGAAAGGAGAACAGTGTCAAAAGGTACGACGCCCCAGCAGACTCCTTCTCCAATTGACGGAAATTGAGCTCCCAAACGGTGGCAACCACCTTTTCATTGACGACAAGGCCGGGCGTGGCTCGTAACACTTCGTATTGTTTTGTTCTAAGGAGGCGGTAGTAGTCACTTAGGGTCTTTCCGCGTCTCCGGATAAAAGCACCTGCTTGATCGACAGCCAAGGGAAGGCATCCCAAACTTCGTACAATTGTACTTGCTACCTTGAAATCGTCTGCTGATGGGTTTCCAATGGCAGCCTTCTCCAATAGCAGCCCTATTGCATCCCGTTCCTCGAGTACATCAATCGTCCGTCCTGCCGGAGCTATTAGGCCAACAACAGCTTGGTCTCGACTTGTGACAACGATATGGCCCCAGGCACAACTTGGGAAATAGGTAGCAACTGGAACGCTTTGCAAATCATCAACACCGTCGAAAATAATAAGCCAGTTACGATTCTTCGGTCGAGAGAACCACTGCTTTAGACCCGCTATCCTGTCTGACGATTTACCCAGGTTAAGAAGGTCGTGAACACGGTGGAAATCAGCCATTAGCGTTAACTTCGAACTCGCATTAAAATAAACAACACCACTTTTATACTTGAAGCGATTTCGAAGAGCGTATTGCAAAGCGCAGTTGGTTTTGCCGGCGCCTCCTGTAGAAGAAGGTTAATCAGATTTAGTCCCAATAATTGTGTAGGTAGGACATATTTAATTCACCAAGCCCAGTTAGAGCAAATATCAAGGGCCGGTCTTGGCAAGGTTGACTGAAATATTTCTCCATCTCCAAAAGAAGCGCTTCTCGTCCTCGAAAGGAAATACATCTATCTAACGGTATCTCAAAAATTGAATTTAAATCTATTTGGGTGTTTCAGTGCCCTCCCATAACCTCAAGATTGGCGGGGGAGCTGGGTATATTTCTCACCTTGAAGATTGCTGGCCGATAAAGTACATATTTTTGCAAGGTCTTTTGTAAATCGCAGCAGGCGCGTCAGCACTGGTCTGTAGTTGCGATCGGCTACAGAGGAAAAGCGGGCGATATCTCGGTGGTTTGCAAATTGACCAATTGAGATTTCGCCAGGTACGTTCAGAATCGCCGAGCGCTGCTCCACGACCTATAGAGGCTGTTAGAAAGCTCGAACCCATGAAATAATTGCAGTGACAGCTAACAAGAAGGCTGAAAATTCCAAAACGAGTCATCTCCATTTCGAAGAAAGAGACGATTTGTAGATTACACGCTTTCTGGAGAAAAGCGTTGGTGATTTCTAACAAGGCTTTTGAATTCTTCCGAAGCAGGCTTAGTAGCGTCTGTGCTGGCCGAAAAGGACTACAGGCATCAACGATGCTAGCAAGCACCTTTCCGGCATTTGCAACAGCACTGCCATTGTGAGGAGTTGCTACACATAATCATCAGAACCATGCCCACCAAAGCTGGAAGCGTTACAGACCAAAAAATATGACCCCGTAAGTTGCGTTCTGCACTGCCATCTCTTCTATGCTGCCTTGAATAAGGAGGGCCTTTATATGATTAGCCATACCCCAGGTTGGCCAGCTAGCCAACTCTCTAAAAACCGACAGACAGAATACAAAACATACCTTCTTAAGAACGATTCCACCCAGGCTATGGCATACAAAAACAATAGGCCTATCTATCTCCTAGGTCAAGGTATCAATATACTTGATCTTAGCGAGTACTCTTTTATCCCCACCTTTTCGGTGCTGCGCACATCCACAAGCTCGGAAAGAAGCTTCATGGAAATATTCAGCAAGTCCTGATGACCGGTGATGTTGTAAAATTTTGAATTATAGCCAAAGGTCATTATCCGGACATTGGGAAGCTCTTTTGGCAGCAAGTCCCGGAGCCACATTATTTTGCTCTGTTTATGAGTCCATGTCTTGAATGCATCGCCATTGAGCCCATGAATAGCTACAAGGCTATGACTATGTTAGTGCGCTCATAGTTAAAGCATATGGGGGCCGTACTCAAAAACAATGTCGTCGCGACAATCTGGCTCATGAAGAACCGTAATTCCGTAATCAGAGGCGGGATTCATAGCACAATCTAGGCGATCTTTAGAGGGAAATCTCCCGTAGTACAAGGGGAAAGAAGGATATAGAGGGGGGCAACTGTCATCCAGCAACGTTGGGGCGCGTCCTGTATTCAAAGCTGCCGCTGTTGGTCCGCGGAACCTTTTCGGCTCGGGCCGCAGGCTGGGTGGAGGTCAAGTTAGAGGACTTAGTTAACTAGTCAGTCAGTTAGTTAAGTTAACTGGTTGGTTAACAAAGCAGCTTTGTCCGCTTTACTCCGTAGGCGCGATAGATGCATTCTTCTCGGCAGGACGCAGATGCAATCGGCTTGGTAGAAAATCACCTCACAGGACAGACAGAGTTCACAACGGTTGTCAAGACCGCCCACTTCTTATCCTATGCAAGATGATCACCCCAGCACCCACCCGCCCCAGCCGCCGGCTTTTTAAGCGCCGGGCACAGGGCCAATCAACACTCAAACAGCGAGAGCCACCGGGGTTTGCGTCGTATTACGGAGTACCTGCTAGTGAGTTAGTTAGTTATTATTAGTTTATCGGAGTGGGATGCTCAGACGACTGAGATTTTCGAAGGCTGCCAGCGATGAGTTGCATATTTCCTGCCCGTCGAGCCAGATTCCCCTCCGTTCTTCGCCTAAGGCAGGGCCGGTTCTTCAGTGCCGAGGCGATGTTCAGGGCAGTCAAAAACCCGACCTTTCACGTATGAGACACTCGTCGAGAGATTAGAATGTGCAGCATGCTCACGCCGGACAGGATGCGGTGGAAAAGTTGAATTCCACGCAGACAGGTTTTAAAATCGTGGAGGAACGCCGGCGTTGCCCAAGGCTGTGGGAACCTTTCGCTCTCGAGCAGATGCGACAGTGGCTCAGGCGCATTGGCCATTCCGTAAGCGCTTGAAGCCGTGTGTTGTACTTTTCTTCCTCCCAAGAGACTCATGCAATCTCTGAACAACAGACGGCCGATCTCAACCGCCTCAATGTCGTCCACGTTGCCGGGACGAAAGGGAAAGGAACGACGTGTGCGTATGTCAACTCGATACTTCACCAGTACCACAAGTCGGTAGGGCGGCCCCATAAAATCGGACTGTACACTTCTCCCCACCTAGTTACGGTCCGTGAGAGAATTGGGATCAATTCTGAGCCCATTTCTGAAGAGCAATTCACCAAATATTTTTTCGAGGTATGGGATGCCCTCGAATCATCGGCCCTCGTCGAAGGCCACGATCCTGCCTTCAAGCCGCCATATTTTCGGTTTTTGACGCTGATGTCATTTCACGTATTTCTAAGAGAGGGAGTTGATGCCGCCATCTATGAAGTTGGTGTTGGCGGTGAATATGACGCTACGAATATTATCGAAAAACCTGCTGTAGCCGGCATTACGACCCTTGGATTTGACCATGTGGAATTGCTCGGCGATACGATCGACAAAATAGCATGGCATAAAGCCGGAATTATCAAGAGTGGATGTCCTGCTTTTACCGTGGACCAAGTACCCGAAGCCATGACAGTCGTTGAGCAGAGAGCGGCAGAGAACAATATCCCACTCACTTCAGTCAAAGCCGGCCCTATGCTTATGAATGTCAACATCAGCCCCGCAGAGGATTTTCAAAGGAACAATGCCTCTCTAGCTATTTCCCTTGCGGCGACCCTTTTGAAGAAGCTAGGCATTATGTGTAGTTCTGATCTGGAGCCACTTCCTATGCAGTTCGTTCAAGGCCTTGAGAATCTATCGTTGAGAGGGAGATGTGAAATTATTCAACATGATCGGCAACATTGGTATCTTGATGGCGCTCACACAGAACAGAGCTTAGAAGCAGCCTGCTCATGGTTCGGGAAGATTTCACAAACAAAGTTAGGCTTCAATCATCATGCTTTACACATCCTCAAGCACTAACTTTCCAATTCTAATTCTAGAAATGCAACTCGTGTGCTCATTTTCAATCAGCAGTCAGCCCGGGATAGCTTTGCACTGTTGAAAACGGTTCATCATACTTTATATGATAAACTCAAGCTCCCTTTTCAACATGTTATTTTTTGTACAAATATCACATTTAGAAGGAAAGGGTACAAAGTTGGTATGTGCAAAAGACTCCGGGGCATCGATAACATCAACACCCACTGACCAGTGGTATACACTATAGACTTTGACAACCATAATGTAGACCCAGATGCTCTGCGGAATCTTACATTACAGCGACAGTTAGCAGAGGTCTGGAGAGAGCTCGATCCAACTTCGATAGAGGTGGCTGCACTCAGCTCTATTGAAGAAGCTATTGATTATGTGAGTAAGATTGATGATGGATCAGGAGAGGTTCAAACCTTGATTACAGGAAGTTTTCACCTTGTTGGCGGCGCGATTTCAATTCTAGAAAGTTGGAATCTCAGCCCTAATAATACTAGAGCTAAGTAGATAAATTGCATGTCGAGCAAACTAGGCTAGAAGGCCGCTTTCCGCCCAACTTAATTTCTTACGTACGGAGTACGGAGTAGAAAAGAGTGTGATCAATCCTCTCTAAGGTTTATTTGGTGTGACCTGGGCACGGTCATTTTGATGCAATCCGTATCATTGCTCATAGGTAAGGAGCTTAAAATCTTGGTTAAGGATGCGAGCGCAAGTGTTGGCCTGGTTCGCTTCGTAATATGTACGTCTCACATTTTCAATTTCCTCGCAGTACTCCGTACGGAGTAGGTGAGAGAAGCGCGGCCTTGCACGGAATAAGGACGGGAGTATGTAGTTATCACCGACCCGCGTTACGAAGTTATAACTTGCCAAGCCCTGATAACCCGGTTATCACGGCGTCTCCCCTAACAAACCCATTCAGTATAACTCGGTTATCAGCCAGCTTGGCGGCATGAGTTAGAGTTCGTGTTATATGGGGCCCCCGTACGGTGATTGGCAGGCTGTAGAATTACTATGCCAAAACAGTACACACGCAGGCAGGCTGGTAGCTTAGTAATTACAGGACTTAGTAATTATACAGCTGACTACACAGCACGCAGGCTGATTACTAAGCTCCAGCGAGTGTAATGCCAAGATTTTTCAAATGTACTAAGCTATATTGGGCCTAGTATGACAACTTGACCCGCTAAAGTTAACAGTTAGGTACCTAAGGTATCCGCCGCTTTGGGGGCGAAGCTAGCCGCTTCTAGCCAAAAAACCCCGTCAGCGCAGCGGACTCGATGGCGCACTTGACCTTACTGCTTTAGACTAGTTTAGGTAGTTAGTTAGCCAGTTACCTAAACCAGCTACCGCCACGCTACTACCACTATCTGCAAGCATATAAGCAGCCCAATCCCCCACAGGTGCACTGGCCACTCACCACTTCGCCAGCCTCAACTAGATATGCTACACCTTTTGAACGCTATCCAATGTTTCTTTTTTTTCCAGACGGTAGGCTGTTGTACAGTACACATCGCTAACCAGTTGCTATACATTTTACAGCTGCTACCCTAGCCACCCGCAAACTCTTGGGCTTAATGAACGAAGCTATATCGCTAGAGGTGCACCCACCTCTATTCAGTTGATACTATGTGAAATGTGGTCTCAAGATATGGGGCCTTAATAGTCCTTCCAGATTTTTCGAGTTATTGAGAGAATCCGTTCCATATATACCTGTCCTACTTAGCATCTTAATCCAGAATGCTCTCGCTTTCATCCCTTTTGCAATTCATGCTCAGAAAACTAAATTGTGTCTCCAGCTATCAACGATTAGAAAGTATTGCAATAGCGGCCGTCAGCTCCATACGCGACTTGCACCCTTTCCGCCATCCTCCATTCTCGTGCAAATGGTCTCCACTCCGCTCACCAGTAGTATGGGCTGCTACGAAAATGATACCAAAAGCAATACAGATTAAGCCTGCCACAAGCAACAAATTATCTCAAATTCTCTCTGAAATTCCCAGTGCAAAACACAGCAAATTATTAGTACGCACGAAATTGCAGCAAACAATTAAAAATGAACCATCTTCGCTTCTCCACTCTGGGTATCGTCTGCCAAATGCACCAGCACAATCCGCATCTCAGCTTCCTAGGCCCCTATTTGACCATAGTGCGGGCCCGTTTTCTTGATCGTTCTTTGAGGTCCTCTGAAAGCAGATGGCTGTCATCGGTAAAGCCCTTGGTCACTTTATCGTCATCCACCATTTCCATGTTAGTATGTGCCAAGAAGGCCTCCTGCACCAACAAGAACTGCTTCAAATCGTGAGTGTCAAATGGTCTATGGGCTCGTTTCTTTGCACGCATCTCCTTCAATTTAGCGCGAATCCTTTCCTCCAGCATCTCAAGCCTATATTCGCTAAATTGAAAATAGAGCTCGGATAGGTCAGAGACAGCCCTCACTGTTGTGAGGACACTATCATCTGGCAAAATGGGGCATCTTGGACGGAAAGATGTCACCATTGTGATACGCTCAGTGGTTCCTAGTGCACGTAACGCGACATGTTCAATATACCTCCCCTGAAGAACAACAGCACAGCCCTAGAATCATTTGTCAATTCCCTGGGAACGGAACCATACTGCAATTTGGTTCACACATCAAACTTACCATCTGTGGGCCACGGACCTTCAGGATGCTCCTATCACCTTTGCGAAGAGCTGTTTCTCCCCCTATCATATGAGTGCAGTCGCTCAACATGAGAACACAAACGAAAGGGTAGCTATCAGTATGCCAATCAACAATCGGCATTTCCTCTTCTTCCTCTCCATTCTTGGTTTTCTTAGCTGCATTAACCATAGCCTGCTTTGCTTCCTTTTCAGACTTGATAGAAATGTTGATATGTCCAATCTCCCAGTCCATCACTGGAAGGAGGTCAATTCCGGCGATCTTTGAAACCACTTCCAGAGTCCTTGGGTCTTTCCAAGCATCATACACAAAGGGGGCAAACCTACAGCATGTCAGTTTCACGGTTTGAATCAGGTCAACTGAGGGATTCTTCTTACTTGGGGGCAAATCCCCGCAGCTGGCATTGTGCGATATTGCTGGAGAATTTGTGTTCAGCCCACACATTTTCGCTCAAGACTTCCTTTCGCATTTGACTGATGGCCTCCGGAGAGAAGAGTGGGAAAGGCTCAGAAACGCCAACAGGGGACACCCCAACGTCATCGTTATAGCCCAGCTCTTTCATGGTATATACCTTTGATGGCGCTGTAAAATTTAGATGCTTTTCTGCATTGAATTTAACATTGCTGTTTCCCTCCATGGCGTCTTTCTTCGGCAAAGTGCTTAAATTTTGGCCCTGAAACCTGATCGATGTCGATTTTGATGATGATAATGATGGGAAGTGGTTGTGGTTTACAGGAAGAACCACAGGGGGGATTATATCTGCAGTCGCCATCTGTTCACTCCGGTGAGTTCCAGTGCACAATTGAGGTGAAGTCTGAGTTAAGCGAGTTTGAATGGGAAATACCATGAATTAAAAAGAAAGAAAAAGAAAAAAGCCGGGGGTGATACTGGCATGAGGCAACCACTGTTACTTGATAACAAAGGAATATTCACCTACCTTTGTCTTATATTTGGGCAAGCTCACCTCTCACAGCAGGTTTTCTGTGTGCTTGAAATGAAGGGTAACTGCGTGAAGTTGGTTGGTCAACTAAGTGATATTGCAAGTGAGTTGTATCTCAGTATAAGTATGGTGGTGTGATGATATATCTTCTCTATTCACAGGGACAGAAGGAGCCTATTTATGCCTCTGAGTGACAATTTGCTGTCACCCACCCCAAACCTCTCCTCTTTCTGAGTGAGCCTGCGTGACAGCAATCCAGGTGGCAGCCGAAACCTTGGAAGGTCGCGGACCAGCTGTCCTTCGAATCCGAGTTCAGGCTGGCGAGGCAGCCACAAACGGAGCCGCGGGGGATCTCTACTCCCTGAAGACACGTACGTGTTCTTCTATCTCTAATTCTTGGAGAACAAGGGTGAGATAGGGCGGCGCTTCTATGTCTGGCGCTGCTGGTGTGAAGATGCTACTTCTTGACCGATGCATACCAGCCTACAGATCGGGGAAGTATCGACCTGTGGAACACGTCTATCCCTGTTCCAAAGCCCTCTTTTAGAGCCTAGACCGCGAAGTTCCTACCGGGGAACCTCTGATATTGTCTCTGATAGCTCAGCAACCCCCACGATCTGCTATAAAAGCGAAAAGGCACCTTAACCGCGTGACATCCCTGACTGGGTAGCCGCATGAAGGGTAACGGAAATGCGAACGAGTCAAACGACCATGCTTCGGAACTATGGTCGCAACGCGAGCGAAAGGGCCGGAAGTGTGTGGTATTACGCCTGTAATACGAGTCTTAAGATTTGGGTTTCAGATATTAAGCTTAAAGATGTCCTCCTGTTGCGCGCTATTTTGTTCTGGATTCCCATGAAAATAATGCTAATGCGTGGTAGCACACATCGGCGTCAACGAGGCTACTCGCGATCGGATATCACGGATAACAAGGCAGGGCCAAGGACAAGAAACAGCGTTGAATCCAGGCGACATATAACTAATTGATGGTGTGAAGAATTCCGATCCCCCATGCAGAAGGGGAGCGCTATCAGTGATGGTTGCGGTAGCAATCGTCTTGCTACACACCATGTGAGGAGCAACGGTGCTGGCGTTGAACTAGCTCGGCGCGCGGAATGGAATTTTTGACCGGATTCGGATATGAGCTGGCAAGACGGTCTGGGTTGCGGTTGGGCGTAAGCTTTGTCGGAGCCCGGGGTCCAAACGCATGCAGCACCACGCCGCGGCACGGAGGCTGCATGTTCGCATTAAATCAGCCGAGAGGGGGAGGCGGGCGAGCCAAAGATAACCCGACAGCGTATTTACTAGAAGGGAGCATGACCGTCTTTTTATCAGACTAAGTTTGTCGGAGTCTACCAGCGAAACAGAACAATCGTGAAGGCCAGCTCGTTTCTTTGCCCATTCTTCTTCCATACCAGCCGTCACACCCATGTAGCCATACAATCGCACCAGGGTAGAATCAAAGGGAGAGTGCTAGTTGGGCATACTTGCTCTTGCTGCGGGAGAACAAGCGCCGTAACGCAGTCTGTGTTCTTTCGTCACACGGGGTAGTTAACTGCCGTGGAGAACCACAACAATGTGCTATGCGGTGGTGCAACGGTCGACGCACCGGGGCAGTATCGACACTCACGCGCGGCGATGGCGGGCTGGAAGGCGAGTTTTGCCTCATCATTGGCTGATTCGCTTCTTATAGTTAGCGCGGCGGGGCTGCGGGCCGCTCAGGTGACCGCCTTCGCACAGCCACACTTCTGCCGCGCCACAGCCTGTGCAGCTTATGTCAGCCGCCCGTCGTCCACCCTTGCGCCGCTAAAGCTCCAACGAATTTTCACCGCATCGCAGAGTCGCCCGCCATGCCTGTCCAGGCGGGAATCGGTGCGTCGCAGCCCAGCAGTGATGATTCCGGCGAGTACTGGGGGAAGGTGGAACATAAATTCAAAAAGTACGTTCGTCGACCCCGTCGTGCAGTCGCAACAACATGGGTGGCCAACGCCCAATATATCTATACCCCTCGTCTGTCGCCCGCCAGCAGTTTGCTACCCTAGAGTTTGCTACTCATTTGTTATTTGTACTGTACTATGTGACACGGAATTACCCTTGCCCCTGAATGCACTCGCATATTGCCTGCAGCTTATGGCACTGTTGCACCGTCTCCTTGATACCCACGCTTTCTTTGTTGCTTTTGCTGGAGCTTCGTGTATCGTCAAAGCTCCTGAAGCTGGCTTAAAGCTAATTCGTCGGCCAGCAAATCCGCGAGCGAGTTTCTTGACCCATGCCAGGAATTTGCCGACAGGAGCATCAAGTGTATGAGGCGAAATGGTGGTGATCGAGACATGTGCCAGGATTATTTCCAGTAAGACTATTCTTTTCTTTCTACTGTCTAACAGAAATTTGTGCTGCTACCCGCCTTCGTTACTATCGTGGAAGGGCTGCTTCTTTATTCCCGCCTCGCTTCATAACGAGGCTGCACCTATCCCTAACAATCCGAGACTACTAACACTGGCACTTTTAGGGCATATCGTGACTGCAAGAAAGCATGGGTCAGTAGTCATAACCCTCTATCTCTACTAGCTAAATGCCTAACCGCTATTTAGTTAACTCAAAAAAGAGAAGGCAGTCGATGACCGCATCTATACATAGCCAGCTTCGTATTATGCGGTAGCTTTCGCATGATCTCTCAATGTTTGCCATAGGCTTAGCATGATGTTATGGATATATTGCTGTAAGATGAGAGCATCTAACTACGGGGCATGGACTTCCGGGATACCGGCGTTGGGAGCATTGATTTCTGGAGACCTTACTCCATTTTCATTGAATGAAAGTTCCTCCAGAACTATGTACCATTACTTGCTCTTTCTTGCAGTAGTGCTACTTCGTACGCAGTATATTATTTGAAAGGCTAGTTGGCACCGCCTCGCAGTATAGGATGTCTGTGTCGCGTAATTAGCCTGCCTGAGGCACTCAGTATGCTTAGTATAACCTCATGATAGTTCTAGAAAATCACTGCTGTGTCATACACAAAGTAAAAATCCTGTATAGGGAGGATGTCGCCACCTGTCAGTGCTGTCTGTTCTAATGATCGTCTCTATGTACACGCTGACGGTGGAGCCAAGCTTTGGTCAACCAGACTCGCACTGGAGCTGGTTGTAACCCACACATCCATGTCGCACAGCGACTTACGTCCATTGTTCTTGGACTCACAATGTCTTCTGCCGCGGTAATTGAGCGGCGTAACAAGCAGATCCAGGATGCCGTCGAAGGTGGAAACCTGAAGCAGGCGCTGCAGTTGTGCGAAAAACGCCTCAAGAAGGGAGAGAACACAGCCTTTCTCAAAGTGGGTTCTTTTGCTCATAGTCCCCAATTTGTCTTCTGCCTTGGTTAACAACTTACGGTAGGCCTGGAAAGCCAACATCCTCTCTCACCATGCGGACAGCGCCCATCGAGATCGCGGGGTTTCCGAGGCCCTCCAGCTCTGCAACTCCCACCCTACCATCACTGATATCGACGCCCTGGACATGTTACAGAATACATTAGGTGGGCTAGACGTGCACGCGGAAACTCTACGTACCGTTTGGCAGAATGCGGCCAAGGCAATGCCGCAAGACGAGGATATTCAAGCAAAATGGTTTACCCTGGCATCTGAGGCAGGAGACTGGAAGACTGCTCAAAAGGTACAGAGAATAATCAGGCCGAGCATCAAGAAATACTGACGTATCTGTTATTCTCAGGCTGCGATGGGCCTGCAAATTAATTTCCCCAAGGTCAGAAAGTACTACTTCTGGGCTATATTCATGTGCTATCTTCTTGCCTCGGACCCAAAGAGCTTGCCAGCAGACAAACAATTTTTTGGCACCTTAGCATATCGTATGATATCAAAAGCTGCTGACAGCGTGCCTCGCGATCCCGTATGTATAACCTATCTGGTTTTGAGCTACTGGAAAATGCACCCCGTTCTCCCCCTCTACTATTTCAGACAATAGTCCTTAACTTATGCAGAAAGAGTTACTGAGCCCGGCTAGAGCAATCCAAACTCCCGAGGAGCTATTTTTGCTCGTTAAGATATACACGCAGCAAGGGCGGTATGGCGATATTGTTAATCTGCTTAATAGCGAGCATCTTGGTGTGAAATCGCGTATTGCTCAGAATGACTGGTCATTAGTGACAACCAAGCTTGCCACCCTCGAGAAAGCAGGTCTATGGGAGCAAGGGATGATTTTTGCAAAGGAGCTACTTGCTCTTCCTGATACCCTTACCGACAGCAGAGGATCTGATTATGAAGAGAAGGACGATTGGCAAGTCTGGAAATTACTTCTCACTTCGGCGGAAAAGCTTCAAAGGAAAAAGTAAGCGTCCACTGTTTGCTACGATCATATTATCTTCTCATTGACTCGTTGAAGTATTTTCAGGGAGGTACGAGATTTTATTGACGCCTATATCTCGAAACGGCCGAAATCTCGAAATGCACAGTTAGCCTGTCTGGATCTAATATCGCATGAAATTTTGGGAAATAAAGCAACGCCCGCCAATCTCTTGGCCGGATGTAAAGCCTATTTTGACCGCAACAAGAATAAGCTATATTGTTTTCATGATATACGGTCCTACTTAGGCAAACTAGACGAATCTCTCCAAAAGGACTTTCACACCTACGTACTACAACATGTTTGTATAAAGGACGCTAGCGACGACCTCTCAGGGGTATCGGATGATCCATTCCAGTGTGCGCACGCAATTAATGCCTTGAAGCTTGAATTTTGCTTCCAGCTCTCGTTTGATTCAAGCACGCAGACTGACGATTTTGCTTGCCGCTGTTTTCAGTGGTTTCGGGCTTGTGGGCATCACAATATTGCGCCTGAAGCATCCTCGACGCTTGAAACCAAACCTACCGATGATTTTTACCTTTTGGCGTCCATGAGCTTAATCCATCCTGGTGGCGATAATCCTGTGCAGCTTTGCTTTCGTCCCACCGCGAGACTGATACAGGCTGCTGGGATTATCGAACACCTTCTTCTCAAGTCCCCACATAATTATGAAGCTCTTCTACTTTTAGTCCGGATATATTTACTCCTTGGAGCCGGCTCACTGGCCCTCAAGACATTTTCTCAGCTCTCTGTCAAACAGTTCCAATATGAGACTGTCGCTCATAATCTGTTCACGCGCATCTCTACCGTTCACCCCCAAGCAGCACCTCCGTTTGAGAGCCTAGAGAGGAAAGACTTTGACCCGCAAACTGGACTGCGACAAGCCTTGGTTTTTTATCGAAATGCTATTGGATCTATAACATATGCACGTGCCACAGGACTTGATCATGGCAGCTATATGAATGTTGCCGGAAGCATTGATTTGCAAAATGACTTAAAATATAGCATTTGTAGAAAAATTTGGGCGCTGGAAGTACGGAAAATCCAGCGCCTAGTGGGTGGTCCTTCAGTTCAGCAGTACGATTCGCTTGGTATGTGATGTGCCCACCTGTGAGAGCATGGCTTCTAACTTGCACCGAAGTGTCTGAAGCCGCTGCTATTGTCGATAAGCGCAACTCAAATGGATTTCTGAATTGTGAACGCCCTGGACATCCTATGTTTGAAACACATCTCCGGCTTGGACCCTTACCTAAGGTAAATACCTATTCACCGAAAATTGTTTCCAAAAATGGTACTAACAACGATATCAGGAGCGAGCTGTAAAGGCAATGGTGGTAACTGATGTGTTGCTCAACTATCTATTCACCGATTCATCCTTGCGAGGGAAGCTGATAGACCGAATCGCCAATCTAGCTTGTGCTGAGCTTGATCTCACTGACACGGAGCTTACCCATATTGAGATCGAAAATATTAAAATCCACCACCTTTTATTGAAATTGGTTTCTTCCATTGCCCATAAATCCTCAGCATCAAACGAAGGCTCAGAGGGCATGATCTATTCTCAGATCGAATCTTGGGCTCAACACAAAGCGGAGGCCTTGACTTCATCTTCCCTCATTGATCTTGAAGGCGTATTGAACTTAACTCCGAGTACCCCTTCTGCATCATCTCCTGTTCCGTCTTGGCTATACATACACGCAAACATCTCGCTTCTCGAAACACTCAAGGCTATATCTCTTCTCGTTTCGTCACTTACGTCCCAAAATCCAGACAGCATGGCATTACGCCACGTTTCGAAGGACAGACTTGATGCTCTAAAGCTGACAGTTAAGGATATAGCTGATATAGTAAGAACCAATACCCGTATTCTAAAGCGTTGTATTGCCGAGCCTGGAGTGCTGGGACAATTGGTCTCGGTAGTAACCACTGGCCCACTCGGAGTCGCTAGTGAATGTTCGATAGAGATTGGAAAGTTGATTGATACACCATCACTGGAGTTGTTCTGTGGGTCTCTCATGGAGAGCTGGGACGAAGCCTTAGATGGGGTGGTGTCGATTTGCTCGAACGTTTAGATAAAAAGTTGAAATAGCATCATTAAAATAATACTGTGCTTTAAGTTCCATTTAATCGTTCTATACAGAACTGTAGGGACCTGTGCACATTGACGTTAGATGCCACTAGATGATCTGTGATTTGGATATTTGCTATTTTCTAAAAAGCTTGCATTTATGTTTGAAAGGCCCGAGCATACAGATGCCAGGCAAAGAGAGGTGCGGATTTAGAAACACAAACATTATCGCCATAGCTCCCTGGGCCTCTAGTCTTGTCGTCCCTTAAGCAGCCGTTTTGTAACCTTGTCCTTTTCTATAATGTATACATGGGCACCCCAGCCTGAGAGCGCATCCCGATCAACAGCATTCAGGAGGGCTTGCGATACAGTCTCGAATAATTCTTCGGGGCCCTTGGTAAAACTGTTAGCCAAAACACCGCCCAAAATAGGAATTTCAGACGCGTTGCGTACCAAATCCGGCTCCCACAAACCCTCGCACATTCCAAACAGCTGATCGCTCGCTGTACCGCTGACAATGAAATCCTTTGCAAAATCGATGCAGCCGATGCTGTCAAAGCCACAGATGAAGGGCTTCCCTGTTGTATGGTTGATTCCCGCTAGCACGGGGCTAACAAACCACGGACCAAACCTCTTTTCGTACAGGCTCGACGAGACCAAGTTGGCCAAGGTCTGCGGCGAGATCTGCCTCTCCTCTCGCAGGCGATAGAGGTTGACCTTGTACCGAAGCAAGTCAGAGACGGAAGAAACGTCGGTGGCGAGGCCTGTGAGGCCGAGATATGTAGAGGGCGCGTAGTTGAACACTTTAGGGAAGTTGTTCGAGACGGTGAGGGCTTGCATGCCGAGACGGAGGTCGCATGCTATGGCAACACAGTCCTTGCCAACCATGGCAACGCAGGCTCCACCATCTGGAGATTGGGGGGTTAGTAGGCGTGATAGCTCAAGAGGAGAGGCGGGTGCTTCGTACTTATATCAAAGGGAGATGCCTGTATGTACAGCGGTTAGCGGGTCCTGGGTTGCAAGGCCGACGGGCAGCTTACCATGACTGTTGGGAGATAGCTGGGTGTGACGGAATTCTGGGAAAGAAAAGGGTGTAAGCTTGCTCAATGGCGTCCTTGGAACAGTACGTAGAACCTGGGCAACGGTAGGTCTCGCGGGCGGAAGAAGCGAGGGTGGTTGATGGCAGCGATGCGGGTTGGGGGAGCTTCGTCGAGCTCAGCGAGCGAGTTGGCGTTGGAGTGAGAGAGAGTTTGGCTGACGATCTGCCGCTGCCTACCACCACCACCTCCTCCTCCTCCTCGTCGCTTCACACACAACGGCTGTTCATTCTCTACCCTTGAGAGACTACTCAGCTCTATCTATCGCCTTTAGCCCTACCGCTCCATTTGCTGTTCCTGCGCTTCCTGCCTTGTCCTGCTCTCTACCCCTCCGCTACATGGTACATACATTCGCCAGAAACCAGCTTCCTACCTCACGCCATGTCTTCGCATGTGGTTGTGATTGATTCCACGGCAAGGAGGGCTACTGTCAAAGTTACGCCGGCCAAACATCTTAGTGATATCTTGGGGGAAGCGTGCGCAAAGCTGGGCCTCGACGCGGCTCAGTATGGCCTAAAGTGAGCCTTGATGTCCCAACGCTGGATAGCTCTCGGGCATGCAACTGACGCGATGCTTGGTTACTTATCAGGCACCAGAAAAAGCAACTGGACCTCTCGCTCTCTATCAGGCTATCGGGTCTCAGCTCTGGGGCAAAACTGGAGCTTGTTCAGCTCTCTCGCTCGCCTGCTATTGTATCCATCGCGCTGCAGCTCCCCGAATCAGAGGCCAAAGATGTCACTGCCGGGCGGCTAGTGGATAAATTTCCAAGCAACACGACACTGTGGCTTGTTCTTCGAAAGTTCGAGTCTGGCGTCGCGGGTTCTGGCGTGACGAGGAATTTCACTGCTCGCGGCGCTCCAACGGCTTCCACGAGTGCACCCGAGTCGGGAAGACTGTTTTATGAAACACCAGTAATACAGCTTCTGGGCCGTGAACTCTCTTCGTTCACTGATTTACAAAAGACCCTGGCACAACTGGGATTAAATGGCGGCAGCGCACTTCTTCGGCTGAGCTTTCGCATTACTGAGCGCCCCTTGGAGGATGCAATGGGCGAAATTGAAGGGTATTTTGACTCCGTTGATGCTGCTCCGCTAGCCCAACCAGAGAAATCCGAGAAGTCTGTCGCTATTGAAACTCCGACCTCCTCAACCACAGACGACATATCTGCAGAAACGCCGCAGTCCACCTCCTCCAACGCCGACGTAACTATGGCTGGAGCATCGGATGAGCCTGCACGCTCCATTCAAGATGAGCCGAGTATTCCTGAAATATCTCGGCCGGTGACGATATTCGCCCCTCCGACAAACACAACCCCCCGTTCTGCCCAGATATCACATAATGAAGACGACTATATACCTAGCGTTGACCATGCGAAGGCACACCAGAATCGGTTAAATATCGCCGGCCGAAATACAAGGCTAGCTGGGGACGCTGAGTTGGCTGCAAACGAATCTGCTATCAAAGACAGACTGGCTAAAATCAAAGATATCGAGGTTAAGGTTAGATTTCCGGACCAAAGCCAGGTTGTTTCTAAGTTCAACCAGCAAGATACAGCACAATCGTTACATACGTTCGCCCGAAGTTGTCTTGACACCCCCTTCGCAAACGAGCGATTTAATCTTTCTTTCTTCCCTAATGTGTCCCATGGGCCCCTTGCCCAGGGAGGCCAGACAGTCATTCCAAACTCTTCGAATAAGTATCTTATAGCAGATTTCAAAATGACAGGGAGAGTACTTATAAATTTCGTATGGGAAGAAAATGCTGCTCTGGCTGCTCGAACAGTCGGCACTCCAGTACTTCGCGTAGAGCTTCGAGAAAGGGCCAACGAGATTAAAGTTGAAGACGTGGCTGCTGTTCCGGTGACGGAGACTAAGGACGACACGAAGTCGTGGTTAAAAAAGCTAGGAGGGGACAGCGAGAAATCTGGCAAGAAAGGAGGTGGAGTACCAAAGTGGTTGAAGTTACCAGGAAAGAAGTGAAGGTGCTGGTTGCATGAGCAAACCTGGCTGACCTGCTGGATGGGCTCTGAATAGGCTGACTGGTGTAGACTGGGACCCAAAACACTGATGAATCGATGATTTGTATATACATACATGAAAATGATGAACTACACGGCCTACTTCTTAATTGGGCCCTTTAGGCAGCAGAAATACTGGGTAAAAATCCTATCACATATTCTGAAGTAAGAGCTTTCATGCAACTCGAACATGGCTGAGAGATGGCAAAAATTTGTCAGGGAATCATGTCATTATTGATTTTGATTTCTGTAACTGCGGCTTCGATGTATCAAGGGTGTAAATGTGTTTTTTATGAAAAACCACAGAAATTTGGAGGTAACCATATCCCATCAAAAAATCGAATGTCCACAGTAAAAGTTCACCGAGTTCCCCACGCCTTTGTTCCCAGTAAGAAATCGAGCTTTGTTTCTTCCGCCTAAGAGAAGGACCAGGTATCGTATAAACAAATGCACCTCATTCGACGAGCGCTAAAAAGGCCTTTTTCGGGGGGGATCATTGACCGACGGCCATTCGCAAGTACTCCATCGCCTCCCACACGTCGAGTTTAGTGTCCACCAGCCCGTCTCGATTCGGCGATGACTTTCTGCATCTCGTCGACCTTGCTCTTGGCGCGGCCAAAGGTACCGAGCTATTAGTAGAAATATGTTAGCAAAAAATTCCTCCACAGTTGACCCGGAGCATTGAGCAACGCGCGTGCATGGATCTCTGGGTCTCGAAGAGTCGCAGCGGGCAGTGCCTCAAGTTCTCCATTATGCCGGACGGAGAGAGAAGGGGGGAAGGGCTTACTCTCTTCTTAGCCAACTTTCTGGCGCGCTTGTCTTGGGAGTTTCTCAACAATTCAATAACACGGCGCTCGTAGGGGGCGAGGCCAGAGACTTCCTTGACGATCTCTCGCACGAAGGCGGTGCGTCGGGAGAGGGCCCCTTTTCTTCGGGAGATGCGGGGGCGTCTCTCAACGGCGGTGGTTTTCTATGGTATTCCAAAAATATCATATTAGTCTGGGGAATGCTTTTGTCTATTCTCCGTTCAAGGTCTGTCCTTGGCTGCGATCGAAGGGATGGGGGAGTATGAGCGTACACGACCCTTGTTCAAGCCGACGATGAGTCCGGAGCGTTCGTTCGCCATCTCGAATGACCTGTGCTGCGGATAAGGAGGGTGGTGGTTGTCGAAGGCGGATGGGCGGCTTGTCGTTGGCCTCTGTCGGCTTGAAGTCAACAATTCGTTGTGCACAGAGTCTGACTAACTCGGATGTGGGCAGCTAGGGCTTAGGGCTGGAAATGATGACTAATATATAAGTCCCAGTATTAGTAACGGATTAGCTAATCATATTTATTTGTTATGTAAGCATTAACCACCGATTTTCTATATATCAAGGCCGAAATGCTTTATTCTTGAAATCAAAGAAAGAGATGAAAGGGCCACAAAGAAAATTCAAAGCTTGGGGGGATATCATCTTCATATATTCTGGGACTCCTGATTAAATAAACCGAATCCTGGTTTAAAAACTCCATGCTCGCAACATTATATTTTTGTTATCTGTCCCGTCTAGAACAAAATTCCGCAATCAGCCTCTCCAAATCCTTCAGCTTGAACGGCTTTGTCATGTATCCCTCCATACCAACTCTAGTCGCCCTGTCAAGCGCATCATCGGTGACATCGGCACTGACCGCCAAAACCGTGGGCGGTATAAGAGCCACATGCTGTAGGGTTGTGGCAGGATCGTTATCCGTACCAAGTCGCAGGTTTTCGAGCTGTTGTCTGTGCTCATCGAACAAGGAAAAAATCTTCTCGGTAGCTTCATATCCATCCATATAGGGCATCCAAAGATCCATAAGAACAACGTCAATGGGCTTATGTTGTTTTGGAGCCCCTACTTTATCCAGTTCTGGATCGGAGTCGGGAGGCGTTTGGGTCTGCGTGTCGTTCGGCACGGGATCGGTAAAAGGGGCAGCAGCGGCTGGCAAGGTAGCCGATGCGTTGTCTAATGTAATGTCTGAGCCGCTTCTCGAACTCAACGGCGTAGTTGGTGCGGGAGCATGCGAGGAATGGCTGGAGAGCACCTCGTTTACGATGCGAACAGCCTCTCTTCCATCGAACGCTTCGTATACATCATGGTAGCCGAGTTTGGCCAGCATGCTAACCAATATACGACGGTTTATTTTGTTATCCTCGGCAACGAGAAACGTCAAAGGATGCTTCTGGGCCAAGAATTTGTCAAAAGACTGGCCCAATAGGGTGATGGGTCTTGACAACCCAGAGAAGCGTCGAGAGGCGCTCCTTATGGCCGGTGCAGGGCCAGGTTGGTGGCCAAGTGCTTTTTCGTCTAGGCAAATTGGGGAGGCTAAAGGCGAGGAAGCCTCATCAATGATGGATTTCGACCGGCCAGCCGAATGGCTGTGAATTCCATCAGTGCCAACGGATGCAACGGTTGATCTAGGTGTCGAGGGATTGTCGTTAGTGTAGGGAGTTTGCGGCCGGCTCACGCTATCATTGGGAAATACGGGAAGGGTGATTTGGAATTCAGATCCGCGATTTGGACCAGCTATCGATGAACGAACGCAGAGTAGGTCTCCGTGGAGCTTCCGCGACAATCCTTTGGCGACCATTAGGCCAAGGCCTAGCCCTTCCTTGCTGCGTGTCGTGGAGCCATCCTCGCGGGCCCAAGGCTTGAACAGATTTGGTAGAAAATCGTCTGGTATTCCAGTGCCTGTGTCAATTACGTTGATGAGGACCCATTGAGGCTTGCCACCAACGGTGACAGTGACTGTTATCTCTCCCACTTCTGTGAATTTGAGGGCGTTAAGAAAAACGCAAGAAATAAGTTTTGTAAGGTCCTTTTCATCGACACATAAGATCTCCGGCACCAAAGGGTCTACCCACCAGTCAATGTATTTGGTAAAAAACTGGTTATTGCAGCTTAAGGTTTGGACTTCAATCCTCTCTCCGTGCTCTGTGGACTCGACCCTCGCAAAGTCCGGCCGGCCACCAACTTGAAGCGACTCGTTGATGACGAGGCGAAGCAGGTCTCGAATTTTTGTGTAATGCAGAGTCATGGGAGGGAATACAACACGGGTGGTCCGTGGCCATGACAGTTCACGGGTTGCCGATGGTCTTTGAGGAACTGCACCTACGAAAGCCTCCATGTCATCGTGCACAGCATCGCAGACTATTTTGTCGCTCTCTTCAATCGCGGCCTTTAGCTCGGCGGTGCGAGGAGACAATCCTCTACGCGACGAAGGAGTGCAGCGATGCTTTGGCGACGATGTGGTTTGCCAGTCCACAGGGGCGCTTCTTCTACGTTTGTAGGGCTTGACCAAGATGTCGCTGCCTTCGATGAAGATGTTCGGGCGGCTATCAGACGTCTCATTGCCGGGGGAGAAGGAGGGATGCTGCATTCCGTCGTCAGACGGATTCCGAGGCGTCTCGGGAACCTGCATATTCAAGTTATACGCATGTACGATGTTGTCCGCGGCCTCTATAGCCCGTCTTGCGCTGTCTGTTAGGGGGGTTAGCGGTGACATCGAATGTAGAGAGCGTTGCACACTTGATGCACCACGAACCTTGAATGGTCTCGATATTCTCGCGAAATTCGGTGAACATTGAAATTAGCCTTGTGTCCTGGTCATTCTCGATTCGATCTTGAACGGTCGCATGCATAATATCGAGCATGCCGACGACACCCTGCATCGGAGTTCGAAGTTCATGTGATAGGCTTCGTGCATAGGGTTTAAAGGCCGGGGTGGCCATGAGGGCAGCCTGGTGTAGGGTAGGCCTTTGCTGTTTGCCTTGGAGCTGTCGATCCAAGTCATCCCCTTTCTGACCATGCATACCTTTTGCAGGGCCATCGTTTACTGCCAAGCGATGAACAACCATATCCTCCAGACAGCGGAGGGACACTTCAAGATACGGCCACGAGGCAGTTTGGGTCTGCAAGCCTTCTGCGGTCCATAACAAGCCGAGGTGGGCCAAGGAACCGTCGGGCAGGAACAGAGGGATGGCCAGGTACGCTTCAAAGGGCAACGGAAAGCGATCTGCGTCGGTGCCGACGACGGAGCGTAAGGCGTCGGGCACCAGGCACACCTTGTGGTTATTCATCGCGACGCACGGAAGGTCTCGCAGCAGATCTTTATAGTCCCTATGCAGACCGTCCAGGCCGTGGCCGTCGTGGTAATAGACCGCCACGCCCAGCACGGCCGAACCCCTTTCGTCCAGAGACGGCATCTCGACATCGTTGTCGGCATCGCGTACGCGGGCGCCGTGGGCGACGAACACGGCCTGGGCGCGGCCGAGGGCGGCCACACCGTGCATCAGGTGGAGCCAGAAGGCGTCCTGGTCGGCCTCGCGCAGCACGGCCTTCAAGGCGGCCAGCTGCTGGGGCATGGGGTCATGGCTGGCGACGGCGACGGCGACGGCGACGGTGGACTGGGGCGGCGAGCGGGGGAGCGACGGCAGGTCGATGGCGGCAGCGGGCGGCGAGGGGTCGGGACGAGGGCCATCATGATGGACACGGCGGGCAAGTCCATCCATGCTTCGAGGGCGCTACAGCGGGCGGCGGGCCCGACGGTGGTTATTGGTCGCGCAGGGGGCGTTGGGGCGGCGTGGTCTCCCGGCGTAGGCACGTACGCTTTGGGCCGGGCATCGGATGCCAGGGCAGAGCAGCGATGGACGGGCAAGCAAAAGACGGAAGGCGGGCAGGCTCACGGGGCTACGGTCGAGGGCCAGCAGCGACAGACAGACAGACAGACAGAGTGAAGCAACGCAGTGCAGCGGGCGGGCGCGATAAAGGGCGACGGGCGGCGTCTTAAGGCCGGCGCGACGGCGGCGGGCCCTCAGGGGGGGGGCGCTGCTTCGGGCCTAGCGCCGCGGGCCAGACCACGCCCGCCCGCCGTCGATCGGCGAGAATCCCGCGCGGCGTCGCGGCGCGCTCTATCACGACTCGCTCTGCGTTGGGCTCGCTGACTCTGCGTCTCTTTTGACTACTAGGTAGGTAGTTAACTAACTAGTTAACGACTCTCTCCTCTTCTCTTCCTGCACGCCGGCCCCACGCCCCCCACGCCGCCGCGCTGGCCCTGCCCCGTCTCCACGACCACGACGGACAGACCGACAGAGCGACACACCGGCCGGCCAACCGACCGACCGACCGCCGGCTGACTCCCGCAGCGCTTTCGATCCAGCCCGCGCGACGTTGCGCCGTTCGTTCGGAAACAAAAACGAGCAGCCACAAGTGATGCGTCGCCCCTGTGCGGCCGCCCACACGGCACGCCAGCGGGAAGTCAAAGCGGCCGGCCCGTCTAGACTGCGCGGCCAGCCCCGGCCAATCACGCGCGCCACGAGACTTGATGACTAATTAATACAGAGTACCTACATACGGAGTATCTACATACCTACCACCACTACCTACCACCACTGATCTACTCCTACTGGTCCTGCCCGTTGAGCAGCACCAGGTGCCGCACCGCCTCCACCACCGCGTCGTCGCCCAGCTCCTGCGCCGGTCGCTCCAGCCGCCGCGCAAGCGCCCGGTCCAGCATCATCCGCAGCCGCGACGCCAGCACCCCGATTCTCGCCCAGCCCCGGAGCGGCAGCCACTCGTCCACCACCAGCCCACGCCCGTGCCCGTCCAGCGTGATGGGCCCGGCGAACAGAAGGAGCGCGTATGCATTGAAAGCTGGGGGGGTACTTAGCGTCTGACCACAAAAAACAAAATAAAAATCAAAAATTAAAAAATAAACGTGGAAGCTTACGGGTCAGGTCGCGGATAAACACCTTGCTCGTCGCCAGCTTCGAGAAATAGCTCACGTACGCCGCCGCCCCAGAGAACCCTTGCGCGTCGAACAGCGCCGAGCTCGGGTGCACAAACACCCGCCCGTTCTCCTCGTTGAAATACTTGATCGTGCGCGCTTCCGGGTCCACCTCGATCGTGCCCGTCATCGACGCGGCAAATTTCTTGTCCGGAAACTGGATCGAGACAACCTGAGGATTGAACGCCCCCGCAATCAACGCCCGGAGCAGCTGCGTGTTCTGCTTGTGCCGGTTCCACCGCCGCTCCGACCCTTCGTCCCCGTCCTGGTAGTCCACCGGCAGAATCCCCACGTCCTTCAGCGAACTCAGCAGCTGCGCGCGGTTCGACGAGATGTCACGCAACGTTTGCGGGGCGAGGAAATTGTCGCTGCACCACGATGCCGTCTTTCGATAGCCCTGCGACTTACCCCGCTCCAGCCACTGCTGGTATGCTGCCAAGTCTATCAGGAGATCGCCGTCTCCCGTCGAAAAACTGGCCCTTGCACTCCGCGCTGCATCCCGCTTGTCCTTCGGCGACAGAAAGGGGCTCTTCACCGTGAGGATGGCGGCTATCGATAAGCACGCTTCCAGACATCCGAAGATCGCACCATATACCATCAGCTTGGCACAACGCAGGTCCGCTGGAATTATCGAGAGGTATCGGCCGAGCACCGTTAATTGGTTGTTATCCAGAGCGCCAATGCGATGCAGCACGCCCAGAGCACCATGTACTGCCGCCGTATCGGGAGGTGTCAGTGTGGTCATGAGGAACCCAGCAACGTCGTCTATCCCTCGCATGGCCTTGACGGACAAGCAAAGCTGCTCCAACGGAACCCGTTTGATCTCGGGTGCAGGTCGAGCCGCCATATTCGTTTCGGCATTTCGAGTGTACAGCTTGTAGCAAGTACCACTGGTAACCCGTCCCGCTCGGCCTCGACGTTGTTTGCAAGCCGCCTGAGACGCCCACGTCTCCTCGAGACGAACAATATTATCCGCCGCGCTGTACCGCGTTTCCTTTACTCGCCCAGTGTCGATGACCGCGACAACGTCTTCAATCGTAATCGATGTTTCGGCTACATTTGTGGCCGCAATTACCTTTCGTTTTCCACTAGGAGCCGCTAAAAATACCTTTCTCTGCTCATTCGGCGTGAGAGACGCATGCAGGGGCAGCAGGTGCGCGAAAGGTAAGTCTTTCATAGCCCCCAGACAACGGTCTATCTCCATTGTACCAGGTAAGAAGACCAAGATGCCCCCTGGCTTGCCATGTAGACGGGCATCAATGTGACGAACGGTAGCCGCAATCAGATCGTAATTGATCCCCTTTCCAAGCCTTTGAATGGACTTCCCTAAAGACGCGTCGGCCGGCTCAGCGAATGAAGTTTCGTCCCAGCTAGTCGGCACTCCTTCTGGGTTAAAACCCGTTAACTGCATAACTTGGTCAATATAAACATCCTCAACCGGAAACGTTCGCCCAGCAATATCCACCCGGCCAACCTGCCTCTCGCCGCCAAAGTACTGTACAAAAAGATCCGAGTCCAGTGTGGCACTCATAAGTATGAGTTTGAGATCCTTTCTAAATTTCAGTGCTTCTTTCAAAACTGCCAATAGGATATCCGTATCTAGACTGCGCTCATGCACTTCATCGACCACCACATGAGTGATGTCGGCCAGAGACTCTTCAAGACTATCGCCACCCACCTGCATTCGCCGCAACAACACACCAGTTGTCATGAACGTGATCTTGGTAAGACCTTGTCTAAATTTGCTGTCCCCCCGAATGATATATCCAACCTCGTCGCCAACAGTGGAGCAGCGTTCGGCACTGACTCGGTCAGCAAGGCCAAGCGCTGAGATGCGCCTGGGTTGTGTGCAGACAATGTTGGCCACCGATCCAAGACCTCGACATATCAAGTCGTCAAGTAGAAACTGGACCGACTGTGTGCTTTTGCCGCTTCCAGTTTCTCCAGATATGATTGTCACTTGATGAGCATTTACTGCTTCCAGTATTGCGGCTTGGGTGTTCCAAGCTGGAAGGCATTTTCTGGCACCAATCATTTTCTTTTGCTCGGGGCTTTCTTGCTTTGATTCCCATCGCCTAAGAAATTCGGCGTTCTCCGTAGATCTGGATTTCGATCCGACCCGGTGAGGGGTTCTTCGGGCCCGATTTGGACCAGTCAGATCAGGGAACTCATTGATCGTTTCAGATTGAGATTCGATCGAGATCGCTCGAAGTTTTCCGGGGTTCTCCAGGATGCAAGGGATGTTCTCGTCCAACCAATCCACCAGATTAAAGACCATGGGGCCTCCAAGTAGATTGTCATTGGCGTACTCTATAGCTTTCCTAATCGCGTTGAGCCGGATATATGCCGGTATACCCTTGGATGATATGGAAAGAATCAAGGGGCGAGCTGGATATGACCAGGAAACAGGCCTCTGAAAGTGATAGGTTACGTCATACTGCGAATGTAATTGATCTGATACGATCTCGCACCGACTTTTGCTCAGTTTTTGAAACCTATCCCCATATATTGCTTCCAGGGTGTGGCTTTCTTCCTCCCATATGTCTCCCTCACTATCGGATAGCGGATTAGCTTGCAGAGAATCACCAATTAAAAGATCCTGAAGGCATTCCGCGGCTTTAAGGTCATCATCATTATTATCACTGAGAACTTTGGCGCACAGATCAGTAGAGTAACCAGCCATGGCCAACCGTTTAATTTTAGATTCTCTAGCCAGATCACCACTGGCAAGGCTTATGCCAGCAGAATACCTTTCCGGCAGACTCCATTTCGGAAGGTCGTCTTCCGGAACATGTATCAGCAGCCATTCTAATGCCTCTTCCCCATCCTTACACACCTCCAGAGCTTCTTCAACGTGAATTTTTCGAAAGCCTAAACTGCTGAGTTTTTCTAGCAAGCCTGCTCTTTCAGAATCGGGTATGCGAACATTATATGGGTTCCAGAGGGCACTTTGGCGGACGAGATCTTCAATCTTCCTCCGTATCTTCTCCCCCATCTCAATTCTACTTGCTTTATTCCAATTAATACGATGTGCATGTTCGTTCCCACCGCCCGAAGCCAATCGAACCGATGGCGCATTTTCTTTCGTCTTACTCTTGTTATTTTGCTCCGATTTCCGTTTCGCAGCATCGGCTGCGGAGTTTTGACGTTCTTGCAATGCAACAAAGGGATCGGCCTCATACATCCACTTTTTACCGTCTTTCACATCTTCCGTCTTGAGTTCAGCGAATTCCTTTTTCCACAAGTCGCGGTAGGTTGGAGGCATCATCATGTGTAGATTCTGCATATTGCACACGCGAAACAGCGTGTAGGCGGCCGCAAAGTGCCGCGCCTCAAGTGCAGTGGGCTGAGCGGCTAGTTTCGCGTGGGCGGGAGGTGGGCGCATTGCAGGAAGCGTGGTGGTCTCTTTGGTCTTGGGGTTGACTTTCTTTAGAATGACGCTTGATATAAAACCGTCTGGGGATTTGAACTAGGGCACTGATGAGTAACCCCTAGCGATATAAAAATATCCATTGCGACGGGCGCAAATTTACCATTGTATAATCTGGTTTCTCCCATTTCTGCTTCTGACAGTGTTCAGAGAGCATGTTGACTGGCAGTTTTCCCGTCCAGGAGGCCCCTCCTATAATGGCTTTAACCGTGGGCTTTTTTGGCTGCTCCGCAGCATCCCCAGGCTGGTCGCCCCCAGTCTTTCCCTTAGCTTTGCCCTTCGCATTTTTGGAATCGCCGGCGACGAAATCAGCAATGGAGATTTCTTGGGGAGGTTGGTTGTTCGATTTTCCTCGATTGCCGCCGCCCCTTTTCGGGGCCATCGTCCGACGGTGGAAAGGGGGAATCCCAATGGCTGTAACTTAACTTGATGCCCTTAGGATCGGTCTATCAAAGGGTCGTTCTGTCAAATGTGAAATCGAGGAACTGTGCCTCGGCTTAGTCAGCGCAGCTCGGCTTCAGCCATCCAACTTTGCGGCACGAAAAGCTTCAACTACTGAACACTTCACCACCAAACTCGCGGGCACTGCCGATATTACATTAGAGCCGAGAAATACTAATTCTAGGGTATGGATAAACCCGGAGAGTCACTCTCTATGGGTGCTGGCGGAGATCCATTGAATGCTTGTATATCACCTCTCTAAGACCAGACAATGCCCCGTGATAATTCTGACTTGGTTACGGTGCAGTTACAGTGCTCATGTCTCAAAAGCCCAAAATCGCTTCCAAGTCGTCACATCCCGTTCACCCCTCTGCAACGTCACCCCATGTTTTCCAGGGCCGTGATGCTTTGGGGACCTATATCAAACACCCGGAATCAACTCCCGGAGTTGTATATTATAACGATGATTTCGTTGCCATAACTGATCTGTACCCTAAATCAAGCCTACATCTTCTTCTACTGCCTAGAGACCCATCGAAATCTCGATTACATCCGTTTGATGCCTTCGAAGACCGTGAGTTCTTAGCCAAGGTGCGCGACGAAACAATGAAGCTTCGAAGCTTAGCTGTCTCTGAACTGCGACGTATGTATGGCAAAACTTCTCGTTCCGAGGCCGCTCGCCTGGAAGCCATGGATGCCGACCCGCCTCCAAATGAGCTGCCTCCTGGCCGGGATTGGGAAAAGGAGATATCATGTGGTGTACATGCTCATCCGTCAATGAATCATCTCCACGTCCATGTTATATCCAGAGACAGGCACAGTCCGAGCCTCAAACACAAAAAACACTATAATAGCTTTTTCACACCATTCTTTGTTCCGATTCTTGATTTCCCCCTTGACATCGATGATGCGAGGAGGCATCCTGGAAGGGAAGGCTACCTCCAGCGTGACTTGGAATGTTGGAGGTGTGGAATGAGTTTTGGTAATAAATTTACAAAATTCAAAGATCACTTGGAAGAGGAATTTAATACTTGGAAGACTCTATGATACACCTAATGCATAGTTTCAACATTAACCTAGAGAGTCAACCAAGACTTCGGTATTCATCCTCACCAACACATTATCTTGAGCCCTGCGTCTTGCCTATTTCTTTCTCTTCGAAAATATATCCGGAGATGAAAGAGGGTTTTACTTTGGCACTCGACAAGCCCCGCAGCTCAGCGAAGAATTCTTCGTGCCGCTTCCAGGTCCCCAATCCTTTTCTCCAGTTGTTGGCGTTTACGCTTAATATTAGAAGCTTCTCCCGCGATATTTTGGAGACTTTCAGGGGTAAGTTGTTGAATATACGCAGGCGAAAGTAACTTCAATGGAGTATTGGGGCCAACCACGAGATATTGATAAACTGCTTGGATGGTGACGGAGTCCACGAATCGATTAAGTGCAATATTATAATAAGACTCGATGATTGCGTGGATATCTTTAGCGGCATTTTTTGCATTGCTCATCGGATGGTCCTTTGCTCGGCTAGAACTAGGATCAGTAGAGTACTTTGAAGGATTTTCTCTTGTCAGCCGATCACGGTAGTTACTCACAGTTGATCTAGCTTCTCTCCAAACGCCTGATTCTGTGTTCTGAGAATTCCAGAGAACTCAGCTGACAGAAGAAAATGGACATGGTGGATTGTTTTTTTGTAAATTTCGGTCAGTTCATCTGTCATATGCTCCAGAAGACCGCTGTGTACTTGCTTGTCTGGACAAACCGAATCCAAAACCTTGGTGATGAATTCATGGACGATAACAATCACATCACTGATGTAACCAAGCGAAATGGCTCTCCATTTTGATGCCTGTTTTCTCATAACAGTCGCCAGAAGGGATCCGCTGAATGTTCCTATTTCAAAGCCTTTTGATTGATGGTACAGGCCCTGCAGCCACTCCAAAATTTTCCTCTGCGGTTCACAAACAGTCTCTTGATCTTGAAGTATATCTTCAAGCTCGATTGGGTTTTCTGTCTCTCGCACATCCTTAAATTCAAAACTAACCAACTCCTCGTTGCTGTCAGTCTCCGACTCTTTATTTCCTTCCTCGAAATGGTATTGTTGGCCCCATCTAATCATCGTTTTGCCAAATTCTTCTTCTCTGTGCACAAGCAGAGTAGCAAGGCGAAATTCGCGGTATTGTTCAAATACGTCATTGCGCCCGTAATCGGTTACCAGTGCTTGACCAACAATATCCTGGAATTTTGTGACGATATCTAGAAGGAAAGCTGCTTGTTGCTGAGGAGTGCTACGGTCTGCCCCGAAAGACTGTAGTTCTTTTTTGCATATAGCCAACTGCTTGGATATCTCTGCTTTGACCTAGGGCAGGATTAGAGGTGTGTTCACCTTTAAATAACTCGCTGAAACTCACCTTTGGAAATTCACGGCGAATGTGGTTCGTCAAGACCTCTTGGAGGCGACCACGAAGCGATTCGATTCCCACTTTGTCTTTGTCAACAGACTTCCAGGGACTAACTTCGTTAAAAAAGGCCTCCTCAGAGTCGCGGCCAATCTTGCCCATTGAAAGGTCCTTTTGCCCAGGATTGCGAACTACATTCCAGCCCAACTTGATGCCGGATTTTTCCCCATTCAACATGTCTAGAACTGCCACTTCTGCACCTTCATCGACAAGGTCTGGCTTGGTAAAGACGCCTAGGGTTCTTTCACCACTTGGGTCAAGCTCTTTTGCATGTTGGATAATAGCTTGAGTTGCAATATCAACGTTCGCTGGCACAACGGCTAGCATGACAGATCGCGGGTTTCTCATATAGCGAAGGACCATGTTTTGAACGATTGTGATATCCTCCTTAGAGGTGACGCCATCAGTTGTGTTTGTGAACAAGCCGGGAACATCGATAACGCTCAAGTGGTCGTCGTCCGGACCCTGGATCTCCAAGCGGAGAACGTCTTCACTGAAGGTGGACAAGGAAGACTTTTCTTTCTCGGTCTGAGATGACAAGTTCATCACCTCGTGTGCCTTTTGACACAATAATCAGCCTCGAATTACAGTCAATGACAGCACACCACGTACCTGGGATAAAATCTTAGTAAAGGATTCATTGTCCAGGTTTTCGACCTCAATATGCCAGGCCTTGACCTTTTCCGCATGCTCTTTGGTTGACGCTGGTGCAGGGATGATAGAGACTCCGATCTTCTTGATGTTTGATCGACGAAAAATGATCTGGGTCGCGAACCTGGTGCAAAGGCCGCTGTCTCGAGGAAACGGCAGCTTGGTAAGGCCTGCAAGCACACAACTTTTGCCGCTGGATTGGTCTCCAACAACAACAATTATTGGAAGATCCACCAGGTCTCCCACATTGCATTCGAAGAGTTTGTCAATCTTTTCCAGCAAGACTGGATTGCCAATCTTTTCATAGTCCTTTTCCGTACGTTCCTCCATGATGGCTGCGTTTCTTGCGTTGCCTGTGTTGTCTGGCAAGAAACATGGAGGGTGCAAATGTGGGCTTTTTAAAATTTTCTACAATGAGATTGCCGAACGGAAATCGCCTAACTATTTCGGATATACTGCTTTAGGAAGCATACTCTCTGTCTTGAGCTTTGACTAGCAAATACTGGACTTTCTAGATAGTATGAGGAGGCGTTTGGTAGAGCAGCACAGCAAGCAAAAGCAGACAATGAGCCAAGGGTAGAGACACATACAAGTGGATTAATTTATAGAAAAAGCTAAGGACCTAAATAAAAGCAAAAAAGACCACAAAAAGCCCAATCTTGTAACCGATCTTGAAATAAAAAATGTTCTCGCTGGCCCGTTCCATAACCATATGAAATGCCCGTTCCCTTTTTTTGCATCCGTTGAACGCCACCTGATATTAACTCCATTCTTCATCGTGGGCAGAGTAAGTTACTACAAAAGAAATATCTAAACATGGGGGAAGGAGTGTGGTAGCGAACGTCAAAGGTTTCATAGCCTGCTGGCGAACTTGGATATCTGGGGTCATGATGTTCTGTGGTCGTGTGTTAAAAAAATCGTCCGCGTGAAGCCCAGGATGCCCGCCCGTAGAGCGCCGAGAATTGAAAAGTGAAAGGAAACCCAGTTCTGAGAAGACGTAGTAGTTTAAGAATCGTCGATGATGTAAAAGTAAAAAAGGTCATTGAGAGAATGAAGTTACAGAAATCCCTGGCTTGCCGTAAAGGGTTTGTTGGACGAAGGATGGCGACCCCCGGACAGGGTTCGAGAAACGGGAGGAATCTCAAAGCCGCGCATGACCTCGTTCTCGACAAAATAAGAAGAACGCTTGAAACGTCGATCAGAGTACTTCTCGTAAATAGCAGGGTGGTGCCGCATTGGAAATTCACAGCAGTCAAGCATCATCGAAACGAGAGGAAAAAGCTGCGAATAAGTGTAGTTGGAATAGTGAACGTGAGCCGGGGTCTGGAAAATAGTTAGAAATGGTGGTCTCTAGTTTTTAAATGTCAAGGCAGAAAACATACCCAGTCCCCTTTTCTGAGAATCATTCTGGCAAGGCAATGTGCCCCGGCAGCAAGGAAGCTTGGAGGGCTACCGACGAATCTCTCATCCATGAGAGTGATTTCAAGGAAATACTTTGCGAGAGTGCGAGTTTCGAAGTCATAATCATCAGCTTTGCTGATCCGACGAAGGAAGTTCATTGGTCCCGGCCAACCAAGTTCAAACTGAAGGAGGCTGAGCATGAAGCGTTCAGCTCTCAAGATTTCGTCTGCGGTGTAGCTTTTATCAACCATATAAACGATCTCCTGGACGGATGGGCAGTTGATCTCTTCATACTTGGCTGCAATGAAAATCGCAGTGGCGCCGACCAGCTGGAGTTTACCCAGAGAAACAATTTTGCAGGACAGGAACCTGTCAATGTAGTTGGCGCAGAGGAAGAGGGTCTCAGGAAGGAGGTTAAATCGAAGATGGACCTGAACCAGCCAATCCATAAGGACAGAGCGCATGGACCATTGGATCTCAGTCTGGCAGTCCATATAGTGAGGGTTGGGTAGAAGTTTGATCTATATCAATTAGTCTATGGAAGTATACGCGTGATAGTCTTGTGGATTATATATACCTCAAGGCTTCTCATGTAGTCAAAAATATCTTCGCCATATTCGGCAACCATGGTTTGGTCGAAGCATTCGTCTTCATAATCCTCGATACTGCGCGTAGCTTCGACGGTCTGCTTGGCCAGTGCGAGTTCTCTTCTCACATTCGCGTTAAACTCAGGAAAAAGAACGGTTGTGAGACCTCCGGTGATATTGTCAGTGGTATAGTGCTGGGTGCAAGTAGTCACATAGCCATCATCAAGATAATTTTCGTTCTCTTCCTCCCACGATTCTTCCAGTTCATATGAAGTATCATTTTGGATGTAATTCACGACGGTCCCTCTATTTGGTAAATCAGCGGACACTCCTTGAGTGCTAGTAAGGTTGGGCAAAGACACCGGCTTGGTCTCAGGTGCTTCAGGGGAACTGCTGGTGGAGAGTGGAGGGTTGTAGATCTTGATCTCTCCATTGTCTTCAATGTATATCCCTTCAGCTTTTGGAAGACCACTGATGTCGTCGGCAATGGAATCTTTCTGCTTTGACTCCTCAGTGTGAACACTACCATCTGAGTCGGCTGAGTCCGTCTCGGAGTCAGCGCAAAGGTCCTTCTTTGGGCCGGCAGGGAGATTCTTGCTTGCAGATGAACCTGCAGGTTCGACGAGAGGCAAGGAAGATCCCTTGGAAAGGGTACCACGTCGCACGGGTGGTTTACGAGGGTTGACAGGCAGTTGGTCCACCGCGTTCAGTTTTGCCAAGGTACTCTCGGTGTCCACCAGAGCCTTCGCAGCCGTACCTTGGGAGATTCGTTGAGCTGGTCGCGCAAGTCCGGCTATGTTTTTGGCGTTCTTCAGCAGGGCAGTGGAGATATCGTCCTTCGCTAGACGCAGGACGCCAGCCGTGTTGCTGACGTTCCCCAGAGCGGGTCGCTTCAGCGGCTCTTTCGCACGGGCGGCATCGACGAGGGCAGACAGGGCCGGGGTGGACTTGGTGCGGTGGTGCAGGGTTTTGCCAGTGCGATTGGGGGGAGGAGCATTCTCATCTCCCCGAAAGCGAGTCATGCCTAGGCGCTGGGGCTGCCGGAGTGAAGTTAGCATTGTTTGATATAAGCACGTGTATAAGACAGTCAGAATAGCGTGTATTTGGATGGAGAAAGAAATGGCACGTGCTGTTAAGAGGAAAGAGCCTACCTTTGCATCCATTGTTTCGATGCTGATGAAGAGGGAGGAGTTCAAGAGCGCATATGGTGAAAAAGAGAGAGCTGGCTCAAGTGACGTGCTAGTGAAGCTGGTTGCGCTTAGTGCAAGCAATGACCACCCAAACGCAACAAAAGCGTGCGCACAGAAGAGGTACACGCGGCAAGCAAAACAGCAGAGCCAGGCAAGCAGGAGCAGGTCTGGCAGAGCGCAGCGTCAGGCAGCCTGGGGGGTTGCGAGCAGCAGGCGGGTGGACGAGCGAGAAGGCGATGGGCTGGTTGAGCGATCGATGGCTTTGGGCGCAGGGCGAGTAAACAAAGCTAGTCCCAAGGCGGCAAGGTGCCCGCGCACTTTGGCCGAGCAACCGCGATTACGTCAGAGACCGGCTGGTGGGCGGGGGCTTGTCGCGTCTTCTGCGCCGGCCGGCAAGCAGTGCACAGTTGTGCCTGGCCACCAACACCCAAAAACGAGAGGCGGGAAGGACAGCAGAGCGTTGGACCAATGCATGCGACAGAATCCATGCACAGCTGCACGCTGCACATGGCATGTGGCGGGTGGTGTTCACCAGCAGGTGCCGGCGCCCTCTCTACGCGTGCGGCAACGCGCTGCAACACCAAGCCACGTGACTAGGGCTCGGCCACTTCGCCGGCGGCCGGATGCGGGCAACGGCGCGAGTGCGCGCACACTCACACTGGCGATGCGCCGGGCGGCTGGGAGGCGACGGGCGGGCGCGGTGCTCGAGTGCGACCGGAGGAGCAGAGCATGAGGGGGCGGGCGAGAGCCGTCGGACCGCCCGCCTGACGCGCAGCGACTCGCCCAGCCGCGGCTGCGACACCGGACCCGGGAGCGCCTTCGCACGGCGAACCAGACGGGCGCGGATCCGCCGTGCGCGCGCGCGCATCACTCCTCCTACTAGGCAGTTTCTACACCGACGAGACTCGCCGGCTAGGCGTCGCGGGCGGTTCGCGTGGGCAAGGCCGCCAAGGCGCTGCGCACCGTCTCACGGCGAGGGCGAAGCGGAGCCGCGGGCGCCAGATGCCGCCTGGCCCCGATCGATCACTCGCCTGTCGCTTCTCACAGCGCAGCGCCGGGCCGGGCGTCGCGAGTGGTGGGAGCTAACTACCTACTCCGTACATAACTACACATCGTAGTCCTAGGAGATACCCAGGACGGGGCGCGCGCAGGCGGCGACGGCGGGGAGCGGCACGGAGGTGAAACCAGGCATGCCTGCTGCGCCGGCAGGGTTGTTTCTTCCGTTGCGATGGATTTGCGGTGCTTCTCGCTATAGTGTCGCCGGAGTGGAGCGCGCAGAGTCGGCGTCGCGGGCAGGGTGCAGGACAGTGCGACGGCCCCCTTTCGTCGCCTGCGGTGCTCATCGTTCTTCTTCTTATATAACTAACTCATAATGACAGGCAGGCCGGCCTCCAGGAAGCCGAACAGAGGGGCCAGGATCGCGGGCGCGCTCCTTGACGTGGCCCGGCTGCGCCCGCAGCCAACCACCACCGGGCAGCGCACATCCAGAACTCTGAATACGTGGTGGCCTGCGGGCGCGAGTTGGCTGCGAGCGGCGGGGGGCAGGCCTGGTTCTGTGCCCGACGCCTTCGCCGGCCTGGCTATTTACCATCTACAACTAGTTGAACTTACTGCTCCGTAGTCCGTCGCATGCTCAGGCTCACGCCCAGCCCAGCCGTGGTCACTCCGTCGGCGCATGCGCTCTGGTGCGGATCACCAGCCAGCCGTGGGATGCGATGGCCGCAATCCTCTGGCGCATTCACCACAGCAAACCACAACAGACTTGTAGACAGACTGCAGACAGTAATAGTAGGCAGCCAGCACTGAGCAGCAGTGCATGGCCGTGCACTGCCAGCCGTGTAGTGAGTTTGTCTGTCTGTGGGCGGTGGGCGTCGCGCTGGGTGAAACCGCGCACTCCCGCAACCTCGCGCTCTTCCTCTTCCTCTTCCTCTTCCTCTTCCTCTTCCCGCCTTTTCGTCCCAACCGCCCGCCCTGTTCGCCCCCTCCCGCATCGCAGCCTCTGTCTATCCTGCGCACTCTCTCCCTCTCTCCCTCTCTCTGCTTGTCTATCTGCTGCCTCGCCCTCGTCCGTCTCTCGCCTGCTGCTCCGTCCGCCTTGCTGTTGCTGCTGTACCGCTGCTGCTGCTCAGCGCCTGGCTCGTCCTCCCCGTCGCCCGTCTTCAGAACCGCGCGCCATCGTCCCCATCGGCTTGCGATCCAACTCTCGCCTCTTTGGCCACTTGCCAGGTATGTAAGCTTTCTGTCGCTTCGCTCGCTCGCTCGCCGACGTGCCCTCGCCGCGACCGATCACCCGCCTCCACTACTACACACCACCACCACCACCACCACCACCTCATCCTCCTCCTCTTCCTCTCTCCTGTCCTCCTGGCCCTCACCCTCTAGTCGCCCTCCAACCATCAAACCTCCTTCTCTGTTCTCAAGTCTCATCTCGACTCGCATGCTCTGCTGCCTGCTGGCCGATAGCCTGTTGCTGACGATCTCACCCAGTGGCTTATAGCCCGTTTGCTCAGCTCTATTTCACCACCACCACCACCACCATCCGTTGTGCGCAGCCCCGTTGCCTCCATCCGCCCCCAGCCCAACCCTCCTCTCGAGACCGCTCTGCTGCCGTGACGCCGCGGCTTCTCCATCAGTCCGTGCGACTGTGGTTAACATAAATGGTGCTGAAGGCTTTCATCGTCGACCAGGCCCTCCCCCCCGGCCCGGTCGCAATGCATCGTTGTCTAGACGGCCTCGCTATGAGCCCACCATCTGCTTCCATCGAGAATACAATGGCAGGCATCGCCGTCTCAGACGTCGTCGAACACGGGGGCTTCACCCCGCCTAACCCGTCGCCCTCGAACAGCGACGTCGTCGTCGACCTGGGAGTGCTCCCAGACTCCCCATCCAAACTATTCCCAAAGAATGTTGCTTTTGAACTCCTGCTCGACGAAGAGTCCAAAATGAAAGCTAGAATACCAATGAGGGTGCAGATCTTCCCTCATGATACCACCGATTCCATCGTCACCACCGTCAAAAATTTTTACGGCATCTACGACGGTAGAGGGAGCGGTGTGAGTTTCGAGGATGAAACCGGCACCACCCTCATCGCACGCTACGAGAACCTGCGAAACAATATGACCGTCTATGTCCGTGTCATCCGCAGCCATGACTATTCAACCGCCCACCAGCCCTTCGGCCAGCAACCTCTGCTGGACTCCGAACCACGACCCTGCCTCGGCGAGCCCTTCCAGCCATCGACCGACCACGGTCGCTCGTCTTCCCGCGCCGCATCCCGAGCTTCCCTGAAGCGCAGCGCCTCCCCTGCTGGTCGTGGGCGTCGAAGTGCTTCCACCCAAAAAGCCTCGCGCGCTGGCAATAAAAGCAGAGGCTCCAGCACCCATGGCAGCTTCCACGACGACAATCTGGTTCCCTATAGCGACAGCGATGGAGGGCATACCTCGATCACCAGCTCTAAGAAGGGCAGGGTCGATCATTTTGCTAGTTCCGAGATTAGTATGGAAAATATCCTCCACGATGGGAGAAGAAAGCGACCCAAATTCGAGAGCTCGGTATGACTGAATCATATTTTCTGTCTCGAAAAATTTATATCTAACTATCCATTTCTTTGTGCTCTAGGAACTGCCGCTCTTCGCTCCACCCCAGGTCCCCATAACTACATCTGCCTCTTCTATCTCACCCCAACGTCGCTCCACCCTCCAGGATGGAGCCTCACCTTTTGCGAGGCCAATGCATCCCTTTGATGCGCAGCTCTCTCTACACTCACCACATGGTGTTAGAAACCATGAGCAATTGAATGCTCTCCAGTATTCAGGCAACTCGCCTTGCGTGGCGCCCCAAAATGGCCATCGCCTACGTGAACGCGCAAATTCCTACTCTGTCCACGTGCACAGGAACAACGATGGCATCCTCCCCACTCCAGACCCGACAATTGCCAGCTGTATCTCAGATGAAGATGTCGCTATGCAGTTGATTCGCTTGGGCGACGCTACCAATTTCTCCCACGGTCGTCCATCTCTGTCGACTGCCGACGACGCTTTTAGTGGCGTTGCAGATGCGTCCTCTACGGGACAGACAACGGATGGGGAGATGAGTGCCGACGACGAGTCTCGAAACGCTGCAGAGTTGGAATACAGTAGCCGCGGGTCCGGCGATGATAATGGAGCGCATCACGCAGATGAGTTTGTGGCAAAGCACGAAGTTGAGCGTGATGCGTTCTACGATACCCAAACTGCTAGGACCAAGCGATCTAAATTCAAGTCTACCAGTGGGATGGCGCCCAAGACAAAGCAGGGCACTATTTCTCGATCCGCAAAGGTGACTAAAGCGCGCCCCGGCATGGTGCCTCGAAAGACAAAGGCAATAGTCGCCAACGGCATTGGCGCAGCGCCGCTTGTCTCCGCCGCAAATCACCAGCATGCTCGCAAGCTATCTACTTCCGGACTGAATTTCCAGCACGAACTTGCCGCCGACGAAGAAGATCTGTCCACCAAGCCACGATGCCAGCGATGCCGCAAGAGCAAGAAGGGCTGTGACCGCCAGCGGCCCTGCCAGCGTTGCAGGGATGCCGGAATCGGCATCGAGGGATGCATCAGCGAAGACGAAGGCAACGGGCGCAAGGGCCGATACGGGCGCCACATGGGGGTGCCCATCAAGAAAGCGGTGGAATCGATGCCCGCGCATCTACGCTTCCAAACCGCGGATACTGCAGCCGCTACCTTCCAAGTTCCTACCTCTCAGGGCATCAACAAGAAAAGAAAGCGTTGATCGGTACGGGTATATGGGATACAAATTCTGTTGGTTTCGCCCCGTCCCATCGTTAGATGTATTATGTGATCTGAGCTCGTCCGCCACCATCCCGCTCGCGTACCGTTGGGCAAGAGAGCACGGTCCATTCTGATATCTCCCTTGATCATAGAGTGTTTGTGTGTTTGAAACGAAAATTTCTTTATTGCTTATCATTTGGAGTATGTGGTTTTAGTTTTTCCCTTTTTCTTTTAGTTATTTTTGTTTTTTTGTTTTGCTAGCATCGTACAAGTTCGCATTGTTAGCATAGAGTTCCCAGCTCTACTCGATGACTGTTGAGAGCAAATGGCCTTTCCCTGCTACACATCACTCCCACCGGATTTTCAGTCACCAGCAATGGCTCTTCTTCGATTGGGAGCCCTGTCTTTCTTTGTGTTTTGTTTTCATATGTTTCCCCCGGCATGAGTTGTCCCGCTGTTCGGAAAATGCATCAGTTTCCCTTTCACTCCCTAGCTGCAAGCACACCCCGAAGTTTTACTGGTTGACTCATGAACATTGCACACAAATATTCATCCTATCGGCGCATTATGTATTGCAATCCTTACCCCCCAGCTTATCGTATTTCCCCCCCGTCTATTCCTCGCTGTCCCAAGGCGTTTACGAAGCGATGCTCGTCACTATCCTTTTGCCAGCACCGCTTGACTGGGCTACCCTGTTCTGGCTGATGGTTCTACTGCCAAAATTCCTGGTAAATTAGTTAGTGTTTCTAGATATTATAGTACGGGCTATCTGGTATTATTTCGTCCTTACAATTCATTAGCAGTGTGATTTGTGGTCTTCGCATGACGTCAACGCGAATGGCCGTTTAAGGGCCGGGCGCTAACCTTAAAAATAGTAGTCTAGTCCGTTTACAGCTTAGCGGCTAGTTCCCTCGGATCGCGGTTTCATTTTGAGGGATTATATAATCCGGAACGGAATATAGAAATGCCGGCATCTTTTGAGCAGCCAAAAAGATTCGCCGCGGAGTAAACGACGAGATGACCGGTGAATAATGATTCTTTGTATCTCTACTCCGAAAACATAGCTTTGCCTACTATTCTATTCTATATATGCCAATGTTGATCCCTTTTCCCTAGGTTGTTCCGCCGCTGACGGCCGTTTTCTGTGCTTCCCCCACCCCACATCGCATCCTTTGTGCCGCCATTCAATACCATGCCTCCGAAGGCGGCCAACAATCGCCAGCCGGCCTCGCAAGAGACCAGAAACTCGGGGTCGCCTGCCGCCCGACCCTCCGAGGCAGCCTCCGATGCCCTGAGACACTCCGTGCCCGCGCGAGCTACGCCCACAGCTCGGGGCGGCCCCGTGCAGCGCCTCCAGACTCTCAAAAAGCGCACGCCGTCGGGGAGCCTGGTACCTCTGAACCCAGATGGAACCGCCCCCAAGCCAACGCTGAGGTACCAACCGAAAGCCGTTGCGCGCCGCAGTAAAGAAGAGCGAGACGCCCGAGAACAGCTGGAGGCGGAGAGGCAAAGGGAGCGCATTGCGGACGCCGTTGCGACCCGACGGGCGACGGAGCGAAGTGATCGTGGACGGGGGAGAGGCCGCGGGCGCGGTGGTGCCTTTGGCCGGGTGACTTCGGACGTTGGGGGCCCGCTGGGCTCTGGGAAGAGTAGCAGAACGAACGGCAAATACCGCCAGTTCGGCGGCAAGCACTCGAGGATTGAAGGGTTTGGGGATGCTGAGCGAGCGGATGTTTCGTCTGATGAGGAGAGTGACCATGGGCCGAAATTCAGTATTGATCAGATTAACATCCACACGGACTCGGAGAGCGAGACCGGCGAGCCTGATAAGGGGAAAGCGCCGGCAGCAGCGGCAGGGCCAGCGTCGGCGGGAGCTCGGGGATTGCGGCCGATCCGTGTGGAAAGGATGGAGCATGTGGACCGCAATTTGGACATGAATACTGAGGAGAGCTCGAGCAAGTCAGCGGAGCTGAGGCGACAGGCAAAGCAGAAGAGCGGCAAGGGTGACAGTTTGTTTGTCGAATCGGATGAGGAAGAGGCTGCCGCGGGGGCTGATGACGTTCAGATGGCCGATGAGGACCAGCACGTACAGATCAAGGACGAGCCCACGGATGCTGATTCGAGAATACCGGGCGACATTCCAACGACTACGGACACCCCAGCGGATGATGCCGGGCCCAAAAAGCCGCAAAGAAGCCGCAAACAAGCCGCCACCAAGAACCCACGAAGTAAACTGAAGACAGAAGAGGAACGGCGCGAATACGACCAGCACGAGCAGGACGTTGAAGAGTTAAAGCAGGCATTGGGGAACATTCACACGGCTGATGTGGTAGCAAACAATGAAGGCGACGAGGAGAGCATCGCCAAAGTCGAAGCCATCAAGGATGAGCGGCAGGGCCGGCTCTTCCTACTACAGTTCCCTCCGCTAACGCCCAACCTCATTGTTCCCTCCACTGAGCCCAACAATCCAGACGAAGCAATGGTAGTAGAGGGGGCGTCCACACACACGCAGGAGGCAATTACCATTAAGCATGAAAACGGCACGACTAGTAGTAGTATTACCCTCAACGAATCCACGAACCTGCCTATCCCCAGCAAATCTGCGTCTGCCGCTCCTCTGATCACGGCCGAGAATAACCACCTCCCGCCGGGTCGCGTGGGCAAGCTGCAAATCCACCGGTCGGGGCGGGCAACTGTGGATTGGGGTGGCATCACCTTTGAATTGAACAAAGGTAGTGATGTGGATTTTCTGCAGGACGCCGTGGTGGCTTCGGATTCGACGCCCGGCGAGACTGGCGCGGCGGACCGACGAATATGGGCGATGTCGCAGGTCAGTGGGAAGTTTGTGGTGACGCCTGACTGGGACAGATTACTGGGAGAGTAAGGATGGCCGCTCCGTGTACCTTTCGCATTGTATCATGATGGACATGTGTGGATGGCAAACTAGACTACGGCGTTGGTGTAACTATATCTGAGCGTAATCTTTTTCCATTTTACAGGTTGGATATTGTGACAATAGAGCAGATAAAAATCGACGGACTCTTTCCATCGCATTAGCCATTGAATGGCGACCGAAGATGAAAAAAAGAAACTCAAGCTCCAAGACAGATTCGAACTGTCGTCTCGGGAATCAAAATCCCACGTGCTAACCGCTACACTATAGGAGCGGGTGTTGGAAGGGGCGAGGCCCACGCAACTTAAGACTAGCCCGTGCCTGCTCTGTCCGCCGTGCCACTGCGCTACCCACGTGCCGCCAAGCTGTTTCATCACGCTAGTCTCCTCGCCAGCCAATCAGCAGCGGCGTTTCAGCGTGCCGGGGCGGGCGCCGCCGAAACAGGAAACACATGATCTGCGCCGCCAATCCGGCGAGTTTTGTCTGTTCTCTCGAACTGCTTGCTGGTCGCTCACCCGCACGCCATCCGACCGTTCATCTCCAGCTCTGCCCTGTCTCTGCCATGGTCTGACCCTGACGCCCACCCCCCAGACCCAATCTCCCCAGCACTCTCGCCCAGCAGCCGCGCTCCGTGCCCGCCCCTTTCCTCCTCCTCCTCCTCTGTCCATCATGCACATCCGACGACAAACAGCGCTGTTCGTGCTGGCGGCGCTCGTCCCGCCCATAGCCGCCTCGTCGCACGTCTACGACTCGCACCCCGAAAACTACCAGGCCGTCTTTCCCGCCATCGTCCCGTTCATCCACGACCAGGACCACGGCCCTGCCCGCGCTGCCACCCCGGGCTCGTCGTGCTCGCACCGTCTCTCCGCCGCCACCGACCGTCCCTCCATCCAACAGCGCGAGGTCATCAAAGCACCGCCCGCCGCCCAGCCCACCGCCCACACGCAGGTCTCGCCCGTCATGACCCTGACCATCGGCGGCAAAGTCGTGCTCTACACCCAGCTGTTCTCCGAAGTGCCCGACCAGTGGCCTGCCCCCATGCCCGGCACCGTTGGACTCGGCACGCTGCAGGGCCAGGTGGGCGTAACGAAGACCGTCGGAAATACGGCGCAGAAGCGAACCCATATCGAGACAGCGCGGGTCGAACCGAAATCCGTGAGGGTGACCGCGGTACCCTGGACTGGCTAGGCGTATGCTCGACCTCCCTCCCTTCCAGCAACACGAGCCGTTATAAACACGATGGACTGTTCTATTGGGCCCGAGGTGAAGGCTCTAATGTCGGTTGGCATTTATTATTGTACCGGTTATGATTGCAAGCGGCGTTTGGTTACGTTCTTCCTCCTCTGCTAAGTTTGGAGGAGACTGGGATTGATCTTCATTTCGATGTTGGACGCAATTTCTTAGGCCGTCTACGGAGTTCCAAGGGCGTATTATTTTCCTTATATGTATAACTAATCTTAGTTGTCTGCCTGTATATGCCTATAGACCTTATTACTTATTACAAAACGCCCGTTGCTCCCGGGTTTACCTTTGCTGCAGAGCGTTTCACATATCCACTAAACACAGGAAGCCCTGTGGGAAACATTTCTATGCAACAGAGAACTCCAGCGCTCATTTCCGGGCGCAGGCGCCTGAGCGCTGTAGAATATGTCTTGCATTAGGTCGCATGCTCGAGGACGCTGACGCGGACTTGAAAACACCACGCAACAGCCCCCAATCCCACACAGCCTCAGCAGCTCTTGATGTTTTCTTAAATCAACGCCTGGATGCATGCCGGTATGTGGGCTATCGAGACTATCAAGAGACTACTCCGCCACAAGTAAATCCTGACAAGCCGGCGAGAACACGCCCATCTCCACTACTGCTTAGTTATTAATTAACTAGTCAACTGCGCTAGAATCGCCGGTGTAGCACCCGTGTTCTTTTTTGCACAAGCATATTGAATCCTGAACCGGGGTTTATTGATAGCAGAAGAAGACTGAGATGCTGTCTGCCCCTCACCTCCTAATAACAGTAGTGGGGAGGACAAATACTGGTACATCGTTCCACACGCAGGCGGGGTCTCCCGTGGCGGCACCGCAGTTACGATCGGGTGACATTCAATTTCTGTAGGTATGAGGTGGCCTCTATATACATAATTTTTGCAGGGCTCGGAATCCCGAGTAGCATTTGACAATTCTAAAATACCCCGCTGATAGTTACATTATATCACCGGGAAAATTGGTGCTGTCTATTCCTTCTTCTTGAAGCACGGAAGCCACTTGCGAAGGGCAGATCGCAGCAGATTCCTCGACACGTCTCCGGGTCGGAAAGAGGATCTGAAGTCGTAGCAGTGCTCCGCGTTGGGGATCACGTAGCCGAAGATCTTGGACTGAGGGGTGGGCTTGTTGCACTCGGGGATCTCAGTGCTGAACTCAATCTTGGGGGCCCAGGCCTCATTGGAGAGAGGGGAGAGAGATCTCCACGGGTCGTATTGGCCACCGCTCCAGTAGGTGTTGGAGGGGCGCATATGCCAGCCGCGCGTGGCTTTGTTGACCTCGTGAGCCTTCGGGCGAACGGGAAGGTGGCCGCTCTTGAGGCCGTCGGGGAATTGGCGGTAGCAGAGGTATCTCTGGATGTACTCGTCGGTCTGGTAGTTGGAGAGCAGCTCGTGGCCCGGCCAGTTCTGGTATTGAAAGTATCCCCATTCGCTGCAGTACTGCCAGGTCCAGGCGAGGCCAGACGGCTCGGCGACTCGCTTTCCAAGATCGCAGTCGAGGGGCTCGTTAGGGTTCTCGCGCTTGCAGTTGATCTCGAAACCGGCGTTGATGCGGTTGACAAGCTTCGGCCAGGTGGCGAATCGATCTGTCACCCATTTGGCACCCTTTGTTGGGGCCCAGCCTTCCTCGGGAGCGGTCTTCTTGGTCTCAGGGTCGGTCTCCAACCAGTTGCAGAAGTCGCCGACGCCGCCATTGGCGCCGTAGCTCTGCCAGGTAGCATAGGTCCAGATCAAAGCCTGAGTGAAGTCACCATTGTTGTTCTTTTCAGCGGTCTCGCCGAGGAACTGTTTCTTGATGCGGGCGGCACTGTCACCCCGGCTCAGCTCTCTGTCGATGTATTTGTATGCAGCGCGGATATCCTTGGTGCAGTTGCCGTAGCCGTAGGCGACCATTCCTCGGTACACCTGTTCGTAGTACACGCTCATGTCAATTTGGGCTTGCACCGGGGCTGAGGAAGCAAAAGCGGCGAAGATGGTGTCTGGGTATTTATCCCTGGTGAACGCAGCACGCATGCCAGGGTATGAGCCGCCAACCATGACCCAGGGGGTAGATTTCGGGGTCAAGTCGTCCTTGGGGAAGGCACTTCGTTTGAAGGACTTCGCAAAGAATGGAATATCAGCCAAAGCCTGCTCGTTGTTCAGGTATTGGAACTGCTCGGCAGTGGTGTTAAGATTGACCGGGAAGGGGTTGGATTCGCCATAGTAGCTAGTGACATGTCAGTGTTCATCTCATTTAGAAAGACAAAAGCGGGATATACCGGTGCTCCCAGACGATACCCATGCCTCCAAACTCCTTGAGCAACTGGACGAAGAAGGAGGTCTGGTTGACCAGGTAGAAGTCGGCATAGCGCTTAGCATTGGCCTCTCCGCCGTCGAAGATAAAAACGGGGCCACCAGACTTGTAATGGGCCTCGTTCACCCAGAATCTGTTCTTGTATTTCTTCTCGGGTCTCTTGTGATCGATAGGAACCTAAGAAAGAATTGAATTGCTTTAGTACATCCCCATACAGCCTTGCAGGCGCAAGCATCAAGCCTGGCGGATAGTTCCTTGCTGGAGAAACATACTTCTGTGAACTCGGCAGTCGGGCCAGCAGCGGCGGCCAGCCGAAAGGCGCTGGCCTCATTATTCTTGCGGCCGGCAAAGACGACCTCTGGATCCAGGCCCATCTGGGCAGCAATCTCGAGCTCCTGCTGCACGGCAACCCATCCACCGCTGAAGGCCGAAGCCAGGCCGGTGAACAGGGCGAGGGCAGTGCCCCCGAGAAGCTGGCGCGTGTACTTCATGCTGCTGAACAGGGCGGTGGGTATGATGGCACAACCCCGGCTCCAATTCTTCACAAACTCTCCAGAGGAGCAGCGACAGCGGCGGCAGTGGCGGCCGCCGGGTGGCTTTTATAGCACTCTAAATGAGGGGACGAGAGGGGGGGGAAGGGAGGGCTGGCATGGCGCTGGACAGGTACCGGAGCAATGACGAGAGACATGTGCCACTTCTTCCGGGGCAGCGTGCTTGGTCTCGCGAGGTGATTTCGCGGGGGGCCGGCGGATCCCTGTTGAGCGGGATATCAGAACGAGAGAGCGCGCAGCAGGGCCTGACGGCTCACATTCTCAGGGCGCTTTCTAGCAGCTGTTCCTGGTCGGTGGTCCAGGGCCACCATCACCCGACGGTAGGCTAAAGTTTCCGAGGTGCGAGGGCTGACGGGCGGGATCCTCGATATGTCCAGAATCCCCGCGGGGAACCCAAGGTGGTAACCGGGGGGAGGGACCCTCCGCGAACAAGCTGGTGGTGGGTGGATGGCGGCGGTGATGAAGCCATGGGGGGTATAAGAAGAGTAAAGAGCGGCTGACAGGCAGCCAGCTAACTAACTAACTAGTTAGTTAAATAGCGAGAGCTTAGCATCGCCGGCCCGCTTGGCTCGCGGATCGCCAGGCGCGGTCGATCTGGCGGCGGGCGAGGACGAGGACGAGGACGAGGCGAACAGTCCATGAACGCCGATACGGCCGGATGGGCGACTCTGTTCATGCGCAGGGCCAGAGTGTAGTGTAGTAGCTGGTGGCACGAGGATAAAAACAAGAAGAGCAATAAATCATAATACGCATCAGGAATGAATCGGCAATATTATTGTTATTATCGTGGTGGTTGGGTTCGACAAGCGGCTGCAACGCTGCGGCGGCGCGCAGGCGAGCACATCCCTGGCGCGGGTGGGGTCGCAGCGCGCGCAGAGTAGCATCGGCAGCGGCCTGGCTGGAGACGGTGAGCGAGTGGTCTGGAGGCGCTGGGCAGCGCGGGGTGGAGGGGTAGTTAACTAGTTAGATGGAGTGAGGGAGATGTTGAGGTCGAGGATGAGGTCTGGATGGAGGTGAGGCAGGCTTCGTACGGCGAAACTAACTAACCATCATCAGCCACGCAGGAGACACAACCACGAGCGACTTACTAGCACGATCAGCTCGCTCGAAGAATAATGCCTAATAATTCACCGGTGGCGGGCTGGCTGGGCGGCGCCGACCGGCATCCCTGGCTCTGGCTCTGCCTCTGCGCGCTTTCACGCGGCCGGCTCTCGCTCGTGCTGGGATGGCCGTTCGCCCACGGCGTACAGACGGGCCGGTGCGACCAGACCAGACAAGAGTGACAGACAACTCTCGCAAAGTCGTCGATGATGATGATAGGATATCAGCAGCTAATATGTCAATAGTATATGTACACCACCCACAGATCCAGCGCACACAACACTCCCCTCCTCGTCCTCCCCTCTCCTCCAGCCAACCCGAGCACCGCATCGGCGGGCGTGCGCCGTTGGTGGCGCGCGCGAACAGACGCCTCCGTCGTCGTTCGTCGTTCGTCGTGGTCGAGATCGAACCAGCACACGCGGCCGGGCGCCGCCGGACGGCATGGCGGGCCACGAGGGGCGTGGGCGTGGGCGGCGGCAGGCAGGCAGGCAGGCAGGCGGGCGGGGCTACAGGAAGCCCGACTCGGACAGCAGTCTGGCCGACTTTTAATTAGCGGGACGTATACGGGAGACCAGGGCTTACAGGGCACACGGCTACGGGGGGAAAGAGAGAAGGAAGGGAAGCAAAAGGGGGACAGAGGAGAGAGAGAGAACGTGACGTGAAGTGAAGTGAAGTGAAGATATATCAACTCATCAATGCCCCGACAGCGCCAGCGCAAACAGCGACGGGTCATACAGGCGGCCATACCTCGCGATCTTCTCGTCCTCGCGCTCGCGCGGCTCGACCTCCAGGCTGCGCTCGTACATCTCGTGCACGTCCCCCGCCACCTGCATGTTGCTCAGCACGTAGTCCTGCAGGTCCGCCACCGGCTGCAGCGGGTACGCCGTGTTCTGGTACTGCTGGATGTCGCGGATCACCTTGGCCGTCTTCGCCCGCTTGTGGAAGTTGATCAGGTTCGACGGCGTCAGCGACGGGATCCCGTCTTCGATGAACGTCAGGTCCGTCAGGTGCACGCCTGGCCCGCGGTTAGCATCCTCCCAGGCTATCATACATATCATGGACGACTCACCGAAAAATGGAATGCACGGCGGCGTCGCCAGGTACAGCGTCTCGCGGTACTCGCCGAAGTTTTTCGTGCTCGCCATCAGCTTGCGCATCGTCTCCAGCGTCGCCGACGTCTTCTGGTTCACCTGCGCCCAGGTCCGGCTCAGCCGGTGGATCGGCGCCGTGCCCAGCGCCGAGATGATCGAGGTCAGCGTCGAGTAGTTGTTCATCGCCCGGCATTTCTACAGCTCGTCAGAACCACATCCACACACAAAGGACAGAAACAAAAAAAAAAAAAAAAGGTCAAAAGCCGTACGTCCGCAATCATCACATAATGCTTAATCACAATCGCGCGTTTCTTCACGTCCGACTGCGTCAGGATCATCTCGGCCACCCAGTTCGTCAGCTGGTTCGAATGCAGAATCAGCGCCTTCACGTTGACCGCCGGGTCGGGCTCGTCGGGGCCGAGCTTCTTCTGCCACGTCTTGTTCAGGCACTCGGTCGGCTTGATTTTGGCGTACAGCCGCGACTCGATGATGGTCAGCTGGCGCGCGAACTCGGTCGGGTCGATGTCCAGGAACTTGACCTTCTTCATGTGCTTGGGCAGGATCGGCGCCGGCGTCTGCGCGGTGAGCGTCGGCACCAGGCGTTTCGCCGACGTGTCGAGCCCGCGCATGCGCTGCTCCAGCAAGCTGAGGAGCTGCGACGTGCCGGGCGTCTTGGTGTTGGCGATGATGTCCTTGACGAAGGCGTGGATGCGGCCCAGCAGCCGCATGCTGGGGTCGTCGTTGGGTTCCATCCAGTACGTCTCGAGCCAGCTCTTGAGAATACTGACGACGCGGATGCGAATGGGGTTCTGTTTCTGCTCCGTCCAGAGCTGGAGCTCCGACGCGTTCAAGCCCGCGGGCGGCTGCAGTGTGAACCGGTGCACTAGCATCTCGAACAGCTCCGGCGCGGAGGAAAAGGATCTATAGGTGAGTAGGAAGGTGTCCTTGAAGGAAGGGTCTAGTTTATCATGGCGGGTGAGTTGCTCAACGAGCCCAGCAAGTGTGCCACACTTGACTTGCGGCACCTCGGATTTCATATCGTAGAAGACTTCTCCCTCATAATCAAGTCTCAAGAACCAGAGGGTCTCTTCGACATCGCGGTGGGGGGCGGGCAGTGGTGGCTCGCGGGGAACCGGCTGTCCAAAGAACCGCTGTGCTTTATCAAGCGTGCGCTGCGGCTTCTCCATCAAGTCTTCACCAGTAATTGGGTACGACGACGGAATACCAATCGACTCTGGCGGAAGCTTCCTCACTTGAGAGTCCGAACGCAGGCGCATCTTCTTCATATCTTCGGTGGGGGCGTCCAGCGGCGACTGTTCCAAAAGCAGCGTGAGTGAAAATCCAATCTGGGACATAAATTGCTCCAACTGCTTGGTGACAATCTTGACGTCGTTCAGGCGGGTGTCCAAAGCGTCCGCGCGAAGCTCTGCCCACTCGTCGGCCAGCGGCGCGGACGTGGCCTGGCAGGCCAGCACCAGATCGGCGATGCCGTCGTAGGCGCGCTGCTTCTGCAGGCTGAAATCAGCCAATTGAGGATTTTGAAAGCTGGTGCCAAGGTGAGAAAGGTCGATTGATTCAATATGCGACATCCACGGGCGGAAACCTTCGACGATGTGAAGGCCGGCGACGCAGATGGCGTCTGAAATCGCCGTGTGGGCGTGGGCAGTGAGGACCTTCTCATTCAGATTCAGCTGCTTGTCCAGCAGGCGACAGCTTGCGACGACGGACTTGCGGAGCTCGTCAATCCGCTCCAGCAGCGCGGAGTCGAGCTTGATCAGCGGCGCGGCGCGCTGTTCGCGGGCGGAGTCGTGGTCGAGGAAGGCGGTGGGATCCTTGTCGCAGAGATTGTTGTTCCGCCAATGGCCGCCGGACGCGCTCCCACTGACAAAGCCAGGCACCAGCCGGCGGATATCCTCCCCCTTCTGTTGCCTGGCGACGTTGACATAGCCATACACGCCGGCCAGGACTCCTTCCGCTTCGTGGAGGCACTTGTTGGCGGAGTCCGGGCCGGGCCAGTCCGCGGCGGCGATATGGGACGACAGAACGAGCTTGGAGAACTTGGACATCATGTCTCGGAAATGCGGGTACAGGGCCTTGTTGGTGGATATCACGGACGGGTTGCCGGAGTGGTTGTCGGTGGTATCTGACCCGGCGGCCAAGAGCATGCGTAGGTGGTCGGAGATGTCTTCCGCGCGGTTGACGAACTGGGCGCGGTCGCCGGCGATCATGGCCTGGCGGTATGCGTCGATGGCCTGGCGCATATTGTCGACCAAGGAGGCCCAGGTGGGAGGGGCGTAGGTCGGGTCGTCGAGGAAATAGCGAGGAATGGAGGAGGACATGGAGGTCGAGACGGCGGCGGTGAGCGCGGTGGGCGTAGCCGGCGGCGGGAGGGCATTCGCGGCGGGCAGGGAGGATTGTTGCGGCGGGTAGGTGGGCGTGCGGAAGTGCGGCGGGGGGTGGTCGCGCATCTTCAGCACGGGCGAGCGACCGAGCGAGTCCAGCGAGGTGGCAGGGGACACGCCGTCGGACAGGGCGGAGCGGCGGCGGCGGGCGAGGGTGCCGTTGGAGGTGAAGAAGAGGGACTCGCCCTCGGCCTCGGAGGCGGAGCCGTCGTAGTCGCCCTCGAAGGCGGTCATGTCGGGGGGCGCGCGGGTGTGGTCGGGCACGTAGATGTTGGCGCGGTTGCGCGGGCCGGCCTCGTTGGGCGAGGTGGGAGTCTCGAGCGGCAGCTCCATGGTGCTGTAGCCGGTGAGGGTGTTGTAGTAGAAGAGACGGCCGTCGGCGGTGGCCTGGGGGATCCAGAAGGCGGCCTCCTCGCGCGAGGCCCGGGCGGCGGGGGTGGCATCGACGGGGCGGAGGGCGAGGCTGTCGTCGTGGTCCTGAGGGTGGTGGTGGTGGTCATCGTCGAGGGCATCGTCGTAGTCGTCGTCGGTGGCAGAGCCGGCGCTGAGGTCGTCGTCGGCGGGGCGGGCGGCGAAGGCGGCGTCGGGGCCGGCGACGACGGCGCAGTAGTTGCTGGGGAACCAGCCGCGCACGTCGGCGATGACGCCGTCCCACCAGCCGGTCTCGAGCTGGTTGAGCACCTGGATGATGTCGCCCTGGCGGAAGCTGAGGCTGGTGCGGTCGTCGGAGGTGTAGTCGTAGAGGGCCTTGACGTAGAGGCCGGGCGGGGCTTCGATGGGCGAGTGGTAGCCTGGGAAGGGGGTTAGAAAGAAGAGAAGAAAAGGGAAGGAAGAGAGAGAGAGAAGAAAAGGGAAAAGAATAAAAAAGAGAGATACCGTCTTCAGCAGCGGCCGTGGTGGTGGTGGTGGTGGTGGTGGTGGTGGTGGTGGCCGTCGGCTCCATGGCGATGGATAGGGGGCGCGCACAGGCGACCACGGGCGACGGCACGGCCGGGCAGGGCAGGGCGGACAAGCCGCAGCATGGATTGGGGAGAGAAAGAAGAGAAGAGAAGAGCAGAGACGAGAAGAAGAGAAGAGAAGAGAGGCAGAGTAGAGAGAGCAGAGAGCAGAGCCGTGGAAGACGAGACGAGGGGAGAGTCACTGGCTAGCGGTCTGTCGGTTGGTTGGGCGTGAAAACGACAACGGCGTAGTCTGGAACGGCCCAGCGGCGGCGCCATAGAAGTACCTACGCTACCGTCTTCTCTATTGCCCAAGCCGCCAATGCGATCCTTCGTCTCGCGCGCGGCAGGCAGGCAGACTGCACGGCCCCGGTGTTTCAGGGCGCGCGTGAAACCGGTTGGCCAGATCATAAAAAAGAAGATTAATTTCCAGTCGCGCGCGCGGGCCGAGCCAGCGGCAGCCACAGGACCCCTCCCTGGCCGGGAAATGAGGCCGCGAGAAAAAAGAGAGCAGTCGCAGGGGACGGCGGGCAGGTCTGCAGCTCACCGCCGCGATGTGACGGGCCGCACAGTCGATGATGGCCGGGCGGGCGCCACGGCGACACGTCGAGCGCGGCGTATGGTAACGGTACGCAGGCGCCCCGCAAACGGGCGAGAGATACCGTACGGTACGGTATGGCGGCGCGCCCCAGCCACCCGGGCGCGCCGCCCGCCGCCACCCTACACGACCTCGTACGGAGTAGAGGTGTGGTGGGAGTACGGAGGACTAGTACTCCGTACCAGTACTCCGTACTCGGTCTCTCACACCTCTACTCCCTCGCCCGTGCCCGCAGCCCCCCGTGCGTGCCCCCCCCCCCCCCCCCCCCCCCCCCCCCGCGCCCCTCGCCATCCTGCCACAACCGCCACGCTTACTTCAGCGCCGCCTCGCCCAACTTTTTGTGTTTTTCTGCCCGCCCGCCTCTCTCTCCCACTCTCCCTCTCTGCTTCCTCTCTCCCACTCTCCCTCTTCATCCTCTCCCTCCTCCACGACGCCCGCCATTCAACATCTCTCCCGTCGTGCATCGCCACTTCACTCTCTCTCTCTCTCGCTGTCTCTGTTCAACCCCGGCGAATGCTCTGCTGAGCCCTCACTCCCTCTCTCCCTCTCTCCCTCTCCTCACCTCTCCGCCTCGCTACACCACACACACACACACACACACACACCCCCCCCTCGCTACACCACACACACCCCCAAAGTGGCCGGTCCCCTATTCTCGCTCCCACGCTCCTTTCGATCCCCCCGCCCAGGAATGCACTCGTCTGCCGCCCGCTCCCCGCCATCCATCTCTTTCCCGCTCGAGAGCCTGCTCTGGTCGATACACTCCTGTCGCCCCTGTGCCTCGCCGTCGTGCTGCTGTAGCTGATCCCCATGGCGCCCTCCACCGCTGCCGCCGCCAAAAAGCCCGCCGCCGCCCCCGAGCGCAAGTATAAGTGCCAGTTCTGCAACCGCGCCTTCAGCCGCTCCGAGCACCGCAGCCGCCATGAGCGCTCTCGTAAGATCCTCTCCATCCTCTGCCCAAGACTCGAATCTAACTAACTCTTCCAGACACCAAGGAGCGCCCCTTCAAGTGCCTGAAGTGCCGCAGCACCTTCGTCCGCCGCGACCTGCTGTTGCGCCACGACCGCACCGTGCACGCGAAGGATGGCGGCATCCCCTTGGTCGCCGAGGGCCGCCGACGTGGCCCAAAGGCTGCCAGCAACAACAACACTGCCAACAACGCGGCCTCTGCCACCACCACCACCACCTCCACCGCCGCCTCCAAACCCTCCATCACCATCGACCCCGCCGCCCTCGAGCACATCGATGCCGCCAGCGACGGCATGGTGGATCTGGAAACCGCCGCGCTGCTCATGACCGACTTCCAGCACAAGGCCGCCGCCTCCGCCTCCCAGAACCACCACCCCCGCGAGCCCGCCGAGCCCACCTACGCCGCCGCCGCCGCCGCCGCCGCTGCCGACCCCGCCGTCATTCTCGAGCCGTCCTCCGTCGGCTACCTGCCCGGCAACGCCACCCTGCCCCAGATGCCCTGGGACACCTTCATGTCGCCGTCCGACGTCAAGCCGCACTCCATCCTCCCGGATTCCAAGCTGCCCTTCGCCCCCGCCCATCCCCACCCGGCCCAGCTCACCTCGTCCATCGAGCGCAGCAACTCCGTCTCCGAACCCCTGGCCCCCGCCCTGCATTCGCTCGTGCACTCCCTGCCCGTCTCCGGCAATTCCACCCCCAATGCCCTCTCGCCCTACCCGTCCATGACCGGCCCCGTCTCGCCCGTCAATTATCGTCGCTCGCCCGGCCCCAGCCAGATGCTCACCCAACCCAAGCCGCCGCAGATCGCCAGCGACGCCGAGCGAGACCTGATTGCCGACCGCATCAACGCCACCGATGCCGCTGGCGCCCTGCCCGACACCTTCCAGCTCCCCACCACCGCCGCAATGAACCGCTACCTGTCGACCTATTTCAATATGTACCATCACCATTTGCCGTTCTTGCACCAGGGCTCCTTCTCGCCCAAGGACATCTCGTCTCCTCTGCTGCTGGCCGTTTTGTCCATCGGCGCCTTGTACACCTTTGAAAAGGAGCCCGCCTTCAGCCTGCATATTGGCTCGAAGGTGCTCGTCAATCAGTTCTTGCAGCACAAGGAGAACTTCGACTCCAGGAAGTGTCCCTTGTGGGCCATGCAAAGCACTCTACTGAATATGATCTTCGAGAGCTGGAGTGGTGACCCCAAGGGTCTTGAGTGGACCTGCTCGATAAAGAGTTTGCTTGCCAATGTAAGTTTTTTTTTTTTTTTTTTTTTTTTTTCTTTTTTTTTTCCTACTAATTGTTTATAGATGGTCGCTGGCAATCGCTATCAACTGAAGCTCCGCATGGATGCCCGAGGAGCCGCTCTGCCCAACCATGAGGACTGGATCGAGGATGAAGCCTGCCGTCGTACCTACTACGCCGTGTACGTCTTCTTTGGCATGCTGACTCTCACATTCAACCACACCCCGACAATGAGCTTCGACGAGTTCGATGCCCTGGAGCTGCCCTCATCCGAGTCCCTGTGGAACCTCGAGGTGACCGACAGCTATACCTGGCGCCGAAGTCTCTCGACATACCACCCGGTGTCCTCCCGCGAAGCCCACGACGGCCTCTTCCGCGGAGAGGCCGTGAGATATAGCGCCTTCGCCACACGCATCCTCATCAACGCCCTCTTCCTCGAGGTGTGGTACCACAAGCGAAGTATCGAAGCCCTCCAGGACGTCGTCATGGGCTACAAGCTGCGACTCGCCCTCGACACCTGGGAGAACTCGCTCGATCTGTGCGAGCCCGAAACCATTGTTGCTCCCGTCAGCACCCCGCAGAAAGGCCATCCGCTGATCTTCAACTCGATGGCCGTCTACCGCAACACTCGCGCGCGCCTCGAAGTCGACCTCAAGTCCATCCAGGAAGCCCTGCGCTACCACTCCTCGTACGAGGTCGCCGCCGCCATGACCGTCGCGCGCGACAAGGTCAAGCGGTCGCAGGAAATGAACAAGGTCATCCAGCAGTGCTTTGAATGCATTGAAATAGCTGCCATGCAAGGCCTGAACTGGGTGGCCACCGCCTCGGCCACCAACTGGAGCGTCGAGCACCCCCTGTGCGGCATGGACCTGATGGTCACCCTGAGCCTGTGGCTGTATCGCCTGGAACACGACGAGGAGCCCGCCAGCGACGGCGAGCTGGTCCTGTACAACAAGATTCGAAGCCTCTTCAATAGCGATTCCGGAGCGAACTACGGATCCAAACTCTGCTCCACCGTCGCTCGCGTGTGGGGGAATATCCTGGACGGTGTCGTTGTCTGGGGGTGAGTAAACATCATCATCAAACCCTTGATTAAGATTTGCCGCTAACCACTGAGTAGAATCACCAAACTTATGGGCGAAGCCTTCAAACTCCACTCGCAGGCTTTGGTTGGATATGAGGATGCCACGATGACCACCTCGGATCACCCTCTGGAGCCCATGCCCACCAAAGGCCTTGCAAGCGTAGGGACTGCCTACTGATTCAATACGCGCTTGAAAACTTTCCTCTCTTCTTTTTTTTTTTTTTTTTCTCTTTTTTTTTATCCATACAGGTGGCCTTCAGGACTGGCGTTATTCGGATCCGGAAACTTTTTCTTTTTGAGCGTCGAATCTCTCTTCCAAGCATGTTCACAGCAATAATTACCTGGCATTTTCCCCCCCTCCCCCTCCAATACCTCTTTTTTTTTTATCTTTATTTTTTTACGCTTTTTTGAAATGCGCTACTCTCGTTAATGTCGCCACTCAATTCCAGATTGTGTTCGGCCTCCCGGAACTGTGAAACGGGGTGGGGTGTCTGGACAGACGGCACGGACAAGGCGGCAGGGCGTACTGACTATTCTGTCGCGGTGCTTTCTTTATCTTTGAAAAGCCCCTCGTCCCCTTATTTGCCGTATTTTGATTTTTTTGTGGCTTTTGTGCTTTGTGCTTTTTTTTCTTTGCTTTTTTTTTTTTTTGACTGCGCCCTCCTTTTTTCCAGAAAACTTGCTGATTATTTCTATTTTTTTGTTTCGTTCTGTCCTTTAGAGAGAGCACACAGGAGTCTGGTCTGGTTGCATAATTTTGCGTTACAGGGTTGTGAGCAAGGGCAACACCTCTACACCAGCTGGTCCTGAGTGTTTCCTCCATTCCCGGTTACTTTTTTTTCTACCTCTTCTTTTTTTCCATATTTTTTTTTTCTCTCTATTGCTCTTTAGTAAGTTGCTAATTTGAAAGCTCTTGTTTCGTCTCCCTTTTGAGAAATCCGTTTGCTCGTGTATCTGATTTAATCTTCTTAATAATCCCTCAGGGATTCACTTACCACTTTTCTTTTCGCTTCTTTTTTTCCAGATCTTTCACTGACCGACTTTTACCTTTTTTTTTTATCTAGAAGTTTTTGTTTTTTTCTCTCTGATATCTCGCCATATATCCCCTTCCAGTTCTATTAATCAGACCTATAATCTCTGCCGATGTCGGGTTCTTGGTTACTGTGCTTGATTTTCGCTGCCCCCCCTTGTTGTGTTTTGCCTTGCTTTTCTGTTGATCCCCCCCCCTCTCCGCTTTTTAACTTCTCTTAATTTGAACACACTCGATCGAGCCTTTTGCTATTCCAATGGTTTTGCTCTGCAGTGTACAATACTTAAGCCAGGTACTTTAGCATTTATCTAGCATGTTATGGGGTTTTTAAAAACTACTGTGAATTTATTGTGTAGGATTTGTCCTCCGTAAAGGTGTAACTTCACAAACTTGCACCACCACTATTGAGATCAAACATGAGACGGTTGTATGGATTGGCGAGCTGTCCTATTCAAAGATCTATTTCCACATATAAAGTATAAAGTAGTGATCCATAAACCTGACCAGCTGACTGGAGCGTAAATTGTCACATCATTGCGATAACTATTGGCCCGACATTTACAAAAACAACCCCAGACCCCATGCATATACATACGCACACACGATGTCCATTCATTTCCCCCGCGCCAAAAACAACCGATCGCCTATATCCCCCAAACCGGGGACAATCATCCCTTTATCATCCACCTCATCATCCACGCCACCCACCAACACATCCACCCCCTCGGGCCACTCGTTCGCCGCTTTCAGCAACCCCGCCTTGCTCCCCAGCACGCCCAGCAGAACCACCCGGCCCACACCCCACTCTCTCAGGGTCTGGATGGCCGCAACGGCCGTGCCGCCCGTGGCCACGACGGGGTCGAGAAGGATGGCGAGGTCGGCGGCAACAGCAGGGGTGGTGGTGGTGTTGCCGGGGAGGTTGTTGTAGTATTCGACCGGCTGCAGTGTGATGTCTTCGCGGAAGAGACCGAGGTGGTGCACGGCGACGGGCTGCGGGAGGAGGTCTTGGACCGCTGTGGAGGGAGGGGTAGTTAGTTAGGTTGGGGTAGGGATTTGGGGGAGTGGTTAGAGGGTGGATGTATGTATGTATGCGGACCTTGCAGCATTCCTAGACCGGAGCGGAGAATGGGGACCAGGACGATGTTGCTGGGCTGGATGGTCTCGACGGTGTATTCGAAGCCTAGAGGGCTTGTTTCCTGGGGCATCCGGTGTTAGTTCCCTACTTTGATATGCGGTATCGCTTGAAAGAGTGACGATGGAGCTCTGCTTACGGTGCCGGCCTGGGCGGTTGTGAGACTAGTTGAGAGCGCTTCGCAGCCCAGTATCGTCGCAATGTCCTTGACAAGCGCGTTTGTTTCCCGCGAGCAGGTCTTGTTGGAGCGCAGCTGCGAGAGTTTGGCTTTCAGGCACGGGTGGCGGGAGACGCGGACGTTGCTGGGCAGAGATGCCATGCTTTTCGTCGGGGAGACGGAGGACTTGTTTGTTGTGTATCTGATGTAAGGAGGGACAGAGTATATACTCCGGAGATAGTTAGAAAACAGGCTGATCGCGCAGGTCGTGATGATCGCGTGGGGAGAGGTGAGAGAATGTGGGAATTGGTTGCGGAGTGTAGCTCTCCTGCCCGATTGGGATGTGATGATGGTATTGCGGGGCTGGCAGGAGCTTTATCTTATCAGATTAGATTTGAATCTTACGGTACCGGACTGTGTATCAGCCATACGAGACTTACAGTACTTCCACATCGTGACAGCTCTTGAACGGAACGCGCCGCAGAGCTAGCTAGCTAGCACCACGTCTACCATACCTGAGATGGTCCTCACGGAGGTCCTGTAAATGGACTGCGAGGCGGAGAATCTGCTCGTGGCCGAGACCGTATGGAGCCAGAACTCTCGGAGCCTGGGCCGTCCAACCAGCAACCGCCGCGAAGCAGCCGTGACCATCGCAACCTGCGCGCACCTACAAGGGAGGAAGAGAACGCCATCCCGCTCCCCGAGCTGGTTCTGCCTCAGATCGAAGGAGCGCGGCTAGCAGAAGAGGCGGGAAGGGGACTGAGGGATGAAGAACAGTGGAGGAGAGAACAGGAGCAGGGCGCTGGTCTCTCGGAGGTTGCGGCACCAGTTCCTGTGGAAAGAACACCGTCGAGGATCGGACCGTGGGATAGCCTAGAGAGCGCCGTGTCCAGGGTTTCTGCTCGCTCGCCTGCGCCCGCTGGTGGTGAGTCGGCTGAGTACCCGACGTCGGAGTTCGCGACGAAGCTGTATATTATTTCCTACCTGGTTTTCTTTTCGATATTCGGTGCTCTGGCTAGGATTGGCCTTGAGGCACTGACGTTTTACGCCGGGGCGCCGGTGACGACGGGCGTACTGTGGGCCAATGTTGGCGGGTGTTTGCTTATGGGCTTTTTCGTCGAGGACATTCCAGAAAAACAAAACGTTCAAGGCGCCGCTGTATCGTCGCAGGTGGGACCTGAAGAAGCGAGTCCGGAAGAGGATCGAAAAATGCACAAGGCGATTAAGAAGACCATCCCGCTCTACGTTGGGCTAACGACGGGGTTTTGTGGCTCCTTTACGTCTTTCTCGTCCTTCATGGCCGACACCTTTCTTGCCTTGTCGAACGATCTCCCAAATCCGAATACAAGCTCCATTCTACCGCGAAACGGAGGATATAGCTTCATGGCCGTGGTTGCTATCATCTTATATACAGTATCACTGAGCCTGTCCTCATTGGCCTTTGGCGCGCATCTTGCTCTTGTCCTGGACCGATTTACACCCACCTTGCCATTTCTTGTCACACGGAGAATGCTTGACCGAGCCATGGTCCTCCTTGGGTTTGGATGTTGGCTGGGCGCTATTTTCTTAGCTCTATGGCCCCCTGACCGCCACCGAGGAATCCATGAGCATTGGCGCGGGCGAGCCGTCTTTGCGACTGTATTTGCGCCCCTTGGTTGCCTGCTGCGGTACTACGTTTCGTTGTTTCTCAATGCACGAATACCGTCGTTCCCGCTGGGTACATTTGCCGTCAATATATTTGGCACCATGGTCCTCGGAATGTGTTATGACCTGAAACATGCCATACGGCTGCTGGCAATACCAACCCCAGACTCGCCATTTGGCGTTGGCCGTCTTACTAGCTGTCAAGTGCTGAATGGCGTTGTTGATGGCTTCTGTGGCTGTACCACAACTGTGAGTACTTGGGTTGTGGAGCTGTACACTCTAGAACTCCGACACGCATATCGTTATGGTATACTCACCATTGCGCTGGCATTGTCCTTATTGGTAGTCATCATGGGCTCTATGAGATGGACTGTAGGGTTTGGAATCCCAGTTTGCTTGAATTACAGGTAAAAGCAGCTCATTATCAAGAATTTCATGTGCAATGTGTCGTACGTATATGTCCTTGTATATGAAACTAAATATTTCAACCCACTCAGCTTTTGCTTTACCATCATCATTACGCCTTCTGCAGTCTCCTATGCCTGTGATGCTTGAACACAACATGTTCGCGGTATAACTTAAACAACCAGGTCGTCGTCCAGGTCTGCAAATTTCAGGCCATCTGCAGCAGTTCCATTTCGAGCCAGTCGTCTTGCTCGTTCATCCAAAGCTCCGCTTGAGCATAGATTGCCCTGACTGAGGCACTGTATATTCCCCACACCGGTGCCATTTACTGGGCGAATATTCTGCTTCGCAGCCGCCACGCGAGCGCGCGCGCGAACAGCCATAACCTCGAGCCTGGCGGCTTCTTTGCTAGCATTCCGTCTTTGAGCAGCTAGATATGAAGACCAGGCAATCAGAATCATGGGCCAAAGTGTCAGACAAGACTATTTATTCATCACAGACCTTGCCAGCACAACCAGTATACCACCATTGTTAATATTGTGAAGCCAATAAAACCAAACATGATTCCTAGCTCTCGCACAAGGGATACGGGCGTATAGGGAGGGTAGTGAGCATCGCCGGGTCGGATTTTGTTATGCCGACTGTAGTCCGCCATTCTCGACGCGTTTGTATTTGACACACAACCGACTGCCGCATATGACCCCCGCTTGCATGCAGTATTTTCCAGCTAGATATTTATTGAAAGACAGAGAAAGCAGCTTTTCATTAGTTAACTAGCCCTTTGACTGTAGAAGGCTGGTTAGAAAGAAATGGAGTGAAGAGTGAAGTAGGTAGCTTCTGGGGGGGGGGGTCTTTCTACAGCCATGGTCTGTGCAGAGCAGCCTGAAGTCTGCTGTTTGCCATCCTATGAACGGCCAGTTCTCGCACAATGGCATTGCGGGCAGACAAAGAAACATAGTCATGGCGGTCACTTTGGGTTTGACTAGACGCCTAAAAGCGTCAAAAGCGACGAAAGCGAGGCCCGGCTCGGCATTCTGTTGATCCGGCTATTTATCATCAACACGATCTTCTGTTATTGGAGTAGCTTTTGAGTCCACAGATAGATTGACTTGCCTACTGGCTAACTTTAGTCTTGAGTTACATACCCATACATCGTGCTCAAGCGATAATGATAGCTTCTCGACATAAGAGAATGAACCATTCTGCACCTTCAACCTGAGTACCACAAATCTATTACAATAAAATTGTAAATTAATGAGTTCAGAAATTTTTGGGCTCCATGGTGAAGTATGGATGCTTCGATGCTTCTCTATCCTGTGTCCATATAGCATAGGAATGTTTTGATACCTCAAGCAGAGATGTCTTTTGTGTTAAACGCTCTGGTGCCAAATAACACAGAGCCATTCGATTGTTTCGATGGCCTTCCATTAGTTTTTGCACACCACCCAAGCTCCAGAGATGCATTTTCTCAGAATGCTGTTTCTCCTTGGTTGTTTGCTTTTTCAATTTGCTTCAAGTTGATTTTACATCCGATAGGGGTTTGCCTGTCAAGCTGTGACCCAATTCAAATATGGTATCCCCTAACAATATCTCTAATAAGGTTACCCATCTTGTACAACGCTTCCATGGCCTCGAAGCCAGAGGATACACCTCTGTTATTGTTGAAATTGTCATGATATGTCTTGCCTTTATTCTTGTGCTTAACAGATTCTGTGTTCGCTTCCACATAGGGCAGAAACCAGGTTTGGATGACTACGTGATCCTTGCTTCCTTAGTGAGGCCCGGACGGTACTTTATTTTAATCTGTCTGAATTCCTAACCGAAGTATTTAGGCTTTCTGTACTGCAATGAATGCTGTTAATATTGCGGGTGCGTTACAGCTGGCAATTGATACTTCCTTTCTGGCAGATTTCCTGATAGCAATATAGCAATTCATTATGGCTACGGCAAATATACCTGGGAAGTCTCCAAAGATGATATGTGCATCGCATTAAAGGTTTGAATCCCAGGAGTTCATCTGTGGCATATGTCAAACCGAATTGACATTTCAAAGCTGTTCTATTGCCTCCAGATCCTCTACAAATGCACTATAAATCTAACCAAGATTTCAATTGTGCTGCTCTACCGCCGGATTTTTGAAACCACCAAATTTCGATTCCCATACATCTGTGATTGCATCATTGGTGTGGTTGCCGCATATGCCCTCGTTAGCATTATTGTGACTCTGTTCGAGTGTGCGCCCATGGCAAGAGTTTGGGATAGATCAATTCCTGGAGCTTGCATTAATTTCACCGCATTCTGGTATATGAATGCTGCTTGGAATATTTCAACGGACTTGCTTATCTTCCTCTTACCGATGCCTCTAATTCACACCCTTAGCCTTCCTACCAGGTCTAAAATCGGCTTGACAGCGGTTTTTGCTATGGGACTCTTGTGAGTACTCCCCGTCTTTTTAGATTCTTAGATTTCTAACAAATCAGTGTATGTGCAACATCTATTTTACGGATGAAGTCTCTTGATGTTTCTTCGAAATCTCCAGACCCAAGTCACGGCACACTCATTTCTACGATGTGGACTACTATCGAGGCCAATACCGGCATAATTTGCGCGTGTCTTCCAATGCTCCGAATTCCACTTGCTCAAATTTTAGAATATTTGTCGAGTTGGTATCGTCAGCTACTATCCGTCAAGGTTAAAGAGAGTAGTACCACAATGAGAGTGCACAATTCACCAAAAGATAACACCAAAAGGGACAAGCCTTTCACTGGGTGGATTAAGGGCAACCGTACCAATAAGTGATGAGAAATTGAAAAGATATGCGACGGCTTTTAGGAGTAGTTGTTCAAAGCTAAGTGGGAGTGTCCGATTAGAAGAAAGGGTATTCATTGGAAGGCAGTAATGATTAACAGATTAGGACCAGTGGGGTGATTGTTCATTTTGTGTAAAAGGAGTATTCATCGCTGAAAAATCGATGAGAACCTGCTCCTTACGTGGGTAGTTACTTTTGACAATAATATGAAATTGTGAATGATGGGCTCGTCACTTTGCTGTGTACTAGAGCAAATGTGCCCATTTAAGCCGATAAGCCTTCTGATGATGAAGGAAAGAAGGGCACATTAAAATCTCCCCGCTGCCTGGTGTCCGACACCATGGAACAATTCTCTTTTGATCTCCGCTGCCATAAGACCTGTTATTTCTTCCCCTACGATTCTATTCCCTTCCTTTATCACTTTCTCTAGTGGAGGGTCCTTGGTAATTAAAACATCCTCCCGTTGATTGCCACTCTCGATAGATTTGGTAGCCTTCTTTATTTTTTCGCCGAGATCTGCCATCTGTTTAGTCGTAAAATCACGGTTTGAAAATAGTGGACTTTGGCTGAGCGTTGCAGCCCAATATTTGTTCCACAATAGGGAGAGTATATTGGTGTCAAGGGTAGATTTGAAATGTGAAATTTCAAGGGAGTAATATTGCGACGCGTGCGTGCCAAAATCTTCCACTTTATTGAGTGGGATACTTTGGTACTCTTCGTCGTCATGATCGGCGTTCGATGGCTTGTACCCATTAGGGTATGTCCTAAAAGCTCCAATCTCAACCTTTCCCGCCGAGATTGTGCGATCTGGATCAATTACTACAGCAACGAAAGGATCACTATAGGTCTGTTGGGTATCCTGGGTAGACACATCAATGCCAGAAAGCCAGCATCCATACCCTGGATGGCTGTGGTACCACCCGATCGCATTTTCCATCCGTCCCGAGTCCCGACACGACTGCAGGTAGGAAACCATATATTCGTTAGCCTCATCCTGAGCGTTGACTCTCGTTTCGGTTCCTTCGACAGGAAGACGAAATGCGTCAGTAACAACAAACGTGTTAGCCAACACGTAGCCTTGCATAAGACCCATAACTTCAAGGCTTCCACCAGACCGAGCGTGCATGACCATCTTTAGGAGGGCGACGGCGGAGATACGGATATTTGTGAAGTAGTGGGGATCCTTTGACCAAGGTTTGGCAGACATAATGGACTGGGAGGCCGCGGCGTCATAGCAATACAGGCCATTGCGATAGACATCGACAAGCTTGATGGCGTTTTCAGTCTCTGGGCAGAAGTGGGTTCAGGTCAGTCAATCGCCGCGGAGGAATCGGAGGGGGGATGTCGCGTACCCCACGACTTTTGTGCCGACTCCATACTGATATAGATACTCCGCCAGACCGTCCAAATGGTTGTGCCGAGAGCAAAAATATCCTCTGCCGCCCGCGATGTAGTGGTCTCGCAAAGATTCTCGTTTAGAGCTCTCAAGCTGTCGAGAAAGCGGTGGTCGAGTGGATGACATAATGGCGCCCGTTCCAGGCTAGAGTGGGGTGTTAGTCAGCGGTTGCCGGGCCGACCACCCGCGGCGTCAACAAGCCTCTTTCGGCTATAATAACGTAGGGCTGATCGCGCTCCATCTTCTCCCTCCAGCCTTTCATCCACGGCCTGTGGAACGAGTCTCCTTTGTATCTGCGCTTGTGCTGCAGCCACCGAAACATGCGAGCTTGCCTTTTCTTAGGTGGACCTGGATTAGTGAAATTGTCTTGTTCTCGCTTCGCTGTCCTCAGTGTTGGGCAGACCGCTTGAAACATTCACGCCTCACTCTTGTTTTGTCGCCCTCGCAACCCGACCTGCATGGTTACTTGAGGTACTGTTACCTGGGGGCCTGAACTGCTGTCATTCGCTGCACACAATCTGCGAGATCCGCCTGCGCATACTATGGCCGTCGACACGAGCTATTTGACCACCCAGGTCAACAACATCGTCCACCAGCTCCATGGCCTCTTCGACGAGATTGGCGTGCCAAATCATGAGCGCGACTCCAGGGAATCAGAGGTAAAAAAGATTTCTGAATGAATATACGGGGTACCGCTAATTGTATTTGTCGTGCAGCTCTTCGCAGCTTTGTCTGATACCCTAAACGAACATCTCAAACGAGTCAATAGGTGAGATATGATCCATATAATACAGAACACTCCTATCTGACCGCCAACCAGTGAGAAGGAGGATATGATTGATGAAGCAAAGCATCTCATTACAACGATTAAACAAATGGAAGCATCTCTTGATGACAGCGCATATGGTTCGCGGCGCGCTTCTGATGACCCAGACCTTTGCATTACACTCCCACTCAACCATTGCCTCGCGTTTCTCAAGGAAAAACATGCTGCTGTTAGCAAACTTCACCGTGAACGTTTTGAGCAAGTGAAAAGTGCGTCAGATACTCCCCCTCTGTCTCCCTAGTTATTCGCGACTAACAAGTACCAGAACTTGTGGAAGCTCTAGAGTCATATTCATCCCATCTAGAGTCAAGTTTCGTTAAAATACCTCTCCCACCAACTGCTCCAGGAACTTCTATCCCTCCGTCTTTCGACTTATCTGCCGTGTATGTGAATGCTCTAGACAACGAGTTTGCCCGCGTGTACGAGGAGTACAATCGCCGGCTGGTTACAGTTAGCACTGTTTGCGAGGAAATAATTAAATTGTGGGCGGAGCTTGGTACACCCCAAGCACAAACTGACTCAACAATTGTGCAACATTATAAAAATTCCCCTGAGCAACTTGGTTTGCATGAGTCAGACCTCGTCTCATTGCGGATGAAACGAGAAAAACTTCTCGACGAAAAGAAAGGAAGGGAGCGAAAAATAAAGGAGCTGAGGGGGACAGTAGAATCCTTGTGGGAGCGATTGGGCGTTGAAGAATGTGACCAGAAAGCCTTCCTCGCAGCCAATCGTGGATGTGGACTCCGCACCATCAACGAATTTGAGCAGGAGCTTTCGCGCCTTACTGAGCTCAAACGACAGAATTTGCATTTGTTCGTTGAAGATGCACGCTGTCGGTTACAGGAGCTGTGGGATAGTCTTTACTACTCAGAGGAGGAAATGCTAGACTTCACCCCTGCATTCTCAGATGTTTACAGTGATGCTTTGCTTTCTGCGCACGAAGGCGAGATCGCTCGTCTTGAAGCTCTGAAGGAACAGCGCACTCCAGTTCTACAGCTAATTGATAAGCATCGTTCACTTGTTGGAGACCGCGATGCACTTGCAGCTTCCAGCCAAGATGCTTCAAGGCTTATGGCTCGGGGTACCGGCAGTCAACGACGGGACCCAACGAGACTGCTGAGAGAAGAAAAAATGAGAAAGAGAATAGCAAAGGAACTACCGAAGGTAGAAGCTGAACTTCGAAGGTTATTGGAGGACTGGGAAGACGAGTATGGCAGGCCATTCCTCGTTCACGGCGAAAGATACCTAGATGAATTATCTCCTCCCCCGCAGAAAATACCTCCTCGGGCTAAAACTCCCTGTGGAGCTCCGACGAGACCAGCCTCACGAGCTGCCACCACTATTCGCGGAGGTGGCACCATTCGTGGACAGCCCGCGCAGCCCTCTGCATCTAAAACACCGGGCAGTACGGGAACATTGAAACGCAGCGCAACCACCAACAGCAGCACCGGCAATCGCCCGAGATCTCCATCCAAGATTCCTGGCCGTGTTCCCCTTAGTACTATGCCATATGGTAGCAATTCTCCAGATTGCCGGCAAGACACAGATAAATATTCATCCAGCACCCTTCGTGGGAAAATGGGCCCACCTCGTGCACCCCCACCGAAGATGAGAGAGCTCTTTTCGGCACCAAGGAGTGAAACTCCCCAGCCTGCTGCTTATCCCGGGCTAGGCCGTAGCCGAAGTGTTATGTCTTCTGTGCCCAGCAGCAAGGTAAGGCCGGTAAGTCCGGAGGATAGTTACGACGATCGCCAACGCTCTTTCATGAGCTCTTCATTATCACACTATAGACCAATATCTGAGCAGTCATTCCAGTCGTCGTTCACAAGCCACGAGGACATCAGCAATTATCAATTCCAGACGAAAGCTGCAGCGAATCAACAGTATCATATGTCGGATCCAGCGCAACGGCAAATATCAAACTCTACAATCAATACGGTGACTTCTGGGTCAGAGAACTGGGAAACATATGACGATGTTTCCGAACCCGAAATTGATGCATCTGAAGCCTTTTATGCAAAAGTGAGAGCCGTTCAAGGTAAAAAAGTAGGTGGTGAAGCCCATCTGACGTACCTCGGGAAACCACAAGGTATTAGAGGGGTGGGCTCTGATGATGATTTGGCCCAAGACAGTTTCCATGTGAAACGAGTTGGTGGGAGCGATGGTTGGACGGATGACTTGGAAACATATTGATGAAGTCCAATTTTTTTGTGTCCCCAGATAAACACTGTTTGTCTATTCCTCGGCACAGAACGACGTAAGTGGCATACATATTAACGTTTTTGCGGCATGGCGTTTTTAATCGGATTATTTAAGCTTATTTCCTGTCTCGTGGGAAGTCACTTGGCGTTTGCTGGTTTGAATGAGAAAAGAGCTTCTTGCTTCTTGATCTGTCTAATACTTTATATTCCCTGTGGTATTTCTTTTCTTTGTCCGGTAGAGTGAGGCCGGCCTTTTGATTATTTCTTGATTGTATTGTATCATTTTGATCGTGACGGTACTCCCTTATTTTCTGCATGTAAATAGCTGCAAGTATTCGAAAAAGGCATTGGATTTTCGTTGAAAACTATCATCAATAACACCGGGCCCCCTCCTGCACTATACTCCGTACCTATCTACGATACGACTAGAGGTGTAGCAGGTCAGCCTTTTTGATTGTAAAATGACCCGAATTTCTAGGTAGTTAATGTACAGTATGGAGTAATGATTCATTCAATATTGATATAGTTAATTGGGTTGTTCTCATCCTCAGATACCAGCCAATGAGCCCATCCATGCATTACCGCCTTTTCCACCTTCATCTCGAGCTCGGTTTTGTTCACCTTTCGAGGCGAGTGTCAGTGGTTTTGTTTCTTCTAACGCTTCATTTAACCGTCTTAGAGTCTCGTCACGACCAAGAATTTCCATCATAGAGGGTATACTGAGCCCCGGAGCCCCACTTGACAACGCCCATCGTAAGTAGTGATATAGTTCTTTTCGAAATAGATTCTGGGTTGCCTTTCGAGTTTCTTCGGTCTCCTGTTTGAACGCTCCAGAAGGATCAGTGTATATATATGCAGAAATGTTTGCACGATGCGTAACTACGTTCCAGTGTGTTTCAGGCACCATCGAAAGCGCAGCAGCAGCAGTATGGAGTGCTTGAAGGGGTATCTGTGGGCCTGAACGGTCTGAACTACTGCTTGCCGGATGATATGCGGGCCGATCAAGGGACCGAATGAAAAAGGCTTTATTGTTACTGAGAAATTCTGTCGGATTTGTATATCCTCTCGCACCTTCACGGAGAATGGCGGCAACATATTCCTGTAAGGTACGAGACTGCAATATCGGAGAGCTAGATTGTAGATATTAGAAAGTAGTGTAGGATTACACAGTAGAAAGGCTTACTATTCATCCGAACCGAATTGTTTTTTGGCAGCGCTTGACAATTGTTCAGCCAATTGATCAAATTTGGATCCTCCCGTAGCTGCGTAACGTTGAACATGGGCCTTTTGTAGAAACCACATTTTCTCAGCAGCCACAATAGTATTGCCTTTCGTAAGTTTCAAATCAAACTGTAATACGGTGAGTATCAGACAATCACATGCACGTATCCTACGTACCACTTTTTCCAGCTCCTCAAGAGTGAAGACATCCGACTTTTGCGAGTGTGACCAGCCCAAGAGTGCTGCAAAGTTTACCAATGTATCGGCCAGAACCCCCTTTTCTTTAAAGTATGCGATATCTATGTCGCCATTGCGTTTGCTCAACTTCTGACCACTTTTCTCAACAAGAAGAGGGACATGGCCAAACCTGGGCGGCTCCCACTGAAAAGCCTTATAAAGAGCTACATGCATTGGCGTAGAAGACATCCATTCCTACAAACACATGAGTACTACGAAGGTGAATAGGGAGAATCAAGCACTTACTGTGCCCCGAATTACGTGTGTAATCTTCATCAAATGGTCGTCAACAACATTCGCGAGATGGTATGTAGGATGACCATCTGACTTCATTAAAATCGGGTCGACATAAGTATTTGCCAAATCGCCCTTTTTGTCACCATTGGCACTACGATTCTGGCCGGTTTTTCCATAGACAATATCATCGAACATGGGGTATGGTTCTAGGACACGGAATCTAACAACATGAGGCTCGCCACTCGCAGCTCGCTCCTCAGATTCATCCATTGGTATGTCAATACAAGCCCCGTCGTATCCGGGAGGAAGGCCCAGCTTGTTTCGATGCCTGGCAAGGGTGTCAAGCCGTTCGGCGGAGCAAAAGCAACGATATGCATGGCCTTTGGAAATCAACTCTTGGGACTTTGCTCGGTACCACGAGGTCCTTTCAGACTAGAGTGTTGCAAATGAATTTCAGCTACGAATTAAGCTAGAGAGGATCTTGTAAGCCTACCTGCCTATATGAGCCGTATGGCCCGCCAATCTGGGGCCCTAGAAACTGTAAGCTGGACTGGTTTGACCGAAGCGTCATATTGAGGGCTACCTTCGTCCCAATGTAAGCCTGCCCATTGCAAGTCTTCATATAGGCGTTGTTCCGCACCGGGGACGGTTCTTTTCTTCGTCAATTAGCATGTTGCAGCTGTTTCGCGGCAAAAAATAGCACAGCACCCACTTGATCTGTATCTTCGATTCGTAAGAGGAACCGACCTCCCGTTCGCTTTGCTAAAAGATAGTTGAACAGCGCTGTTCTCAGGGATCCGAGATGGAGGTGTCCGGTCGGCGACGGAGCGAAACGAGTGCGCGCAGGAATATCAGGAAGAGTGGCTTTGCTTTTCTTTGCCCTGCGAGCGGCGGTTGTCGAGAAGCTGGCCCGGCATGACCGGCACACCCAGGGTGACTGGCGAAGAGCGCGGCACCCAGACGCGCGCATTATCTGGTGTTGCCGCAGAGAAAAACGCGCTTCGTCTGATATCGCCGGATTGCCAGTGTTTCACCATCCGCTTTGTCTCGGCCAGGAGCAGTGTTTATGCTGCGAGGCAGGATGGAAAGCTGGGGCTAATAAAACACTGGAAGGGTGGTGAAGCTCACGACATGGGCACCCAAGAAATTTTTGCGGTTTTCACTTTTTTTTCGCGGGACCTTTGACGTCGCGGAGTCGCAGTCACGCCTCGACCGTCAGCTCTCCAGCACTACGAGAATTCGTTCCTACGCCTGACTTGCCTGATCAATTATCTACGGAATTCTTGCTAAGAGTAAGTCCTCTTGCCTGCCGCCCTCTCTACCGTGACAACGCAGCGTGGCAGCTTGGGATCAAGTTTCGTTGGTTAATTTATAGAAATAGTGGCGGCAGAGACCCAAGGAGTTGATCTTTATGGTATCTTTCCTACCCACGCCTCCCGTGCCGGCTAGACTGACTGTGACTGAAGCGATCCTGAGTATTGAGAGAACGGCTACCAAAGATGACATTCGCAGGGCGTATAGAAAGGCACGTTCAGATCGCAACTAAACACCCCTTGGATTTTCGACAGCTAATGGTCTTACGAGGCATTAGGCCGCTCTCGCCAGCCATCCCGACAAAGTACAAGAGTCTGAGCGCGAAGAAGCTGAAATAAGATTCAAGGCTGTGAGCCAGGCATATGACATCCTGTACGATGACGAGAAACGGCAACTATACGACACTCATGGTATGACTGCGTTTGACGGATCTGGTAGACCCGGCATGGCGCCTCCCGACTTGGACGATATTATAAACTCTATGTTTGGCATGGGAGTAGGAGGGGGGATGCCTGGCTACAACGGACCTGGAGGTCATTCAAAGCCTAAAAAAGGCTCAAATGAAGAACATGCGTATGGCGTGAGCCTTGAGGACCTCTACAAGGGCCGGACAGTGAAGTTTGCCAGCACCAAAAACGTGATATGCAGTCTTTGCAAGGGCAAGGGAGGCAAGGAGAAGGCAACGCCAAAAACCTGCTTGACTTGTGGAGGCTTAGGTTAGCCTTGATGATCCGTGATTCCGCGAATTTTCACTGCATATATCCAAGCTAACACATTTGCATAGGTCGCAAGGAAGCAGTTGTGCAGATTGCCCCAGGACTTATGACTCAGTCAATGACAGAGTGTAATGTATGCGACGGCCTAGGCCATTTCTTCCAAGCAAAGGACAAGTGTAAAAAATGTAAAGGCAGCAGGGTCACGGAAGAGCGAAAGCTATTGGAGATTTATATCCCACGTGGAGCGAAGTACGTCCATCTTTTGGTTACCTATATTTGGAATATCATAGACTAACAATTCGCTCAGACATGGTGATAGGATAGTCCTAGAAGGTGAGGGTGATCAAATTCCGGGCGTCGAACCGGGTGACATTGTATTTCAGCTGGAGGAAGCAGAGCATGAAGTTTTCAAGCGGGCCGGTGGAGATCTTCAAGCTAATTTGCGGATTACACTCTCGGAGGCGCTCTGCGGGTTTTCGAGGGTAGTATTGAAACACCTTGATGGCCGGGGCCTGGAATTAAAACACCCAAAGACACCTGGCGATGTTCTACGACCAGGGCAGGTTCTCAAAGTCTCCGGTGAGGGCATGCCTTTCAAACGGAGTGAGGCGTGGGGTGATCTTTACTTGACTGTTCATGTTATATTTCCCAAAGATGGGTGGGCCTTAAACCAGGCCATGCTCGATACAATGAGGGGAATTCTACCAGCGCCAGAGCCACGGATTGAAGCCGACACTGTCGACGAGGTTGAATTTGATCCGAAAGCTAATATTGAGGACTTTGGTGCCAAAGATGCCCAGGGTGGATCAGCTTGGGAAGATGACGAGGAGGAAGATGGCGGAACGCAGTGTGCAGCGCAGTAAAATAAGGCCTGGAAATATGTTTTTTGAAACTGCATGCTGGAAATAACATGGCCATGCTCTACATTTCCCTTCAGCTCCTCAAGAAATAAGCATTTCCTCCAGTACTAGCATGCATGGGCGTTAGGAATTTCTTTGACTTTGAGACCTTGGGTTTTGCTTATGATATTAGGAGTACTTCTAGCTGAGTTTAAAAAGAATTAGAGACATTTAAAAAACCACACAGCATTGAATATCAGCTACCACGGCATGTTCATGGAAAATGATATGGGGGGAAGGTCAAATGGGTTTTGATCGAGGACTACTATATTCTGTACTCAGCTGTAGGTGGATCAAACTGCGGGTGCATTTTAGCCTACTCCGTACATGGAGGAGAAAATGGTAATCCTGACAGGGATGAGATGCGAGTGGAGGGCCATACAGGGTTGGGTATTGATATTAAGAACCAGCCTGCTGGAGCTGTCTATGACATGGATGTCGTTGTTTAAACACCACTCAAACAGTTAGAACGAATATGTGTTGGGTTGGTTACGAGATATGCAACTACACCAGAAGGCCCTTGAGTGGCGGCAGGGGCTCTGCAGATCTGCATGCTGTGAGCGGAATTCTTCAGGAGTAAAGTTTTCTTTTCCGAGCAGCGAGGTATGACGGATTCCAGTAGATTCAGGAGCTACAACAAGTTTGGTAAATGCTGGTCACGACCCGGTCGCTATTCGCTTACTACTGTCAATATCTGTCGCGTTCTCAACGGAGTGAAGAGGGTTGTCAGGGCCATTGCGGGGGTGGAGAAAATTAGCCGAGGCTCCGACCCTGTATCAGTTGAAGTAAATCCGGCTCGCTGCAGGTGTTGTTCCACAGCCCAGGCCGCTTGGAAATGATACCGAACGATTATGATGCTGGCTCCATACCCGAGCTTGTACCCCGCAGCAGTTTGAAAAAAAAACTTAGCCCTGCCTTGCAAGTTGTAGTAGATGGCCGGAAAAGAAGAATTGGCTCTTCTGGGAGCCGGAACTGCATTATTGATAAGGGCAGCCACGCAGTGATACAGCGTCCTGCTGGGCGACAGAGAGTGAAGTAGCAAATGTGCGAAGTACGGAGTAAGCTGAGTTGAAACAAGCAATTCGGAAGGTTTTTTAGTTGCAGATCCTGGCCTGTGAGGCTGAAGTCGACAGGGAGGCATTATTCGACAAGAGAACCAGCCCCAGGAAATCTGACAAGTCTGGTCGGTTTGTTTTCCCCGCAAAGTACGAGCTGAACGTCGTTTCGAAGGAAGTCATTTGCACAACTTATCCAGGCGGTATTCTAATCCATGTAATATGGAGGCCTCATTCATAATGTCACCTTGTATCCACTATGTGGCCAGCGACAGTTTCAATCCCAATTGAATGCGGTAGAGTTGTGGGTAGCAAACAAACCATAGTCGAGGAGGGTTCAGGAATTTCTGGAATATAAATAAGGGCACTGGTATCCCAAAAGTCGACATTGTTCCTCAAGTATCAAACAAAACATCAAACGATACCTTCCTGCCAGATTCTTCTAGCTTAAACGTCAACATGCGTTTCTCAATTGCTTTTGTTGTCCTCAGCGGCCTTGCCTCCATGGCTGTCGCTTCCGCCCTCCCCGGACCCGACAACGCGGGTACTCTTGACAACTGCGGTTATCCCAACGGTAACTGCTATGAAAACGATTGCCATGGAGAGTTGAGCCCTAACAAAATCACTTGCACCTCGGTATGACTCTGAAAAGGCTCCCAATGCGTGAGATGTAACACACACATTTGTCTTATACAAGTGTATTTTGTAGGGAAGATACCTTGGATGCCCTTGCGGATACAACTGCGGCAGAAAAACTGGAAGATGCAATGAGAACGGTTGCAACGGAAGAGATGGACGATGCACCAACAACTATCTCGGCTGCTCTTGCACCTAGGCGTATCCTAAGACCTGTTGACGGCGAGGTTCCCGGGGCAGGTATCAAGGTAGGAATATTTTGTCCACCTTTCAATGATTTCAAGTTTTCTGTAATCTGATATGCGACTAGCTATGGTGATCTTTCGTTTGAAACTTGCTAGCTGTGTGCTGTGGCTTGATAGTTAGGTCTCTAATGAAATGATATTATTTCCGGTCCATAAATATGTAGGCTTCTTGGTATTATCGTAATTTGTGGACTGGCATCGTCACACATGTAAAACCGTAAAACCGAGGATAAAATTGTGGAATTCGCCCGCAAGACCATGGAAACAATGGGTAAAGAGTGTATGACACATAAATGCGGACGGATATCGGGTGATCGTCACAGCTTTGCCCCTCGCTCATCCTTCATTACTAACTTCTCCAAGCCTTTTCGGATCGCCGGATGTGTTCCGGTACTTATGGGTCGCATAGTAAGTTTGTTAACGAAAACATGTGTAAAGCCACCGACAACTTTAACCGCTTCTTCACCTTTACGGAAGACGCCGACCTCATACGTGACGCTTGACTTTCCCAGCTTTGTTACTCGCAAGGATAGATCCAGCACATCTGGAAAAGATACTGACGCAAAGAAGTCGCAATAAGAAGATACCACAAGACCTATCTGGGAAGAAGGCTGGAATTCTGTATTGCTCTGTTCATGAGAAATTTCTGTAGGTAGAGAGGGCGAGGAGAAAGGGTTCAAGCCGCAATGCTGAACTAAATATGTATTGATGATTGAATCGAAGAGGAAGGCATAAACACTGTTATTCAAGTGGGCATACATGTCGTTATCGGACCTATTATTCCAAAGCAATCCAAGTTAGAATGTACTAGGGAATTGATGAAGAGGCGCGTTGTTTGATCACGAACCAACGAGTTCGGTATTCCAGGTGGTATGCATAATCGCACCTTCGCCGCTCCTTCTTTCGCTCGAGTTCTGGAAACATGTTTATAGCAGGTATAAGAATGCAGATTAAATGTTAGTAAACGCAGGACGTTGGAATTGCGGGCTGTTGACGGTCTCTTCGTTGAATCATAGCCGAGGTCGATGACAGCCAATAATGTGATTTATCAACATCAGATAAGATAACTAGTTAACTAACTAGCTATGTTATCATTAGTCACGTGAATTTACTTGTAGCTACTTTTGTCTTTTTTAGCAGCGACAACAAGTTCTTGGGTTTGAATATCAAGCTGATTTGTGTGAGCCTTTGTCTTTTTTTCTTTCTTATGCTTTTTGGTCAACAATTTAGCTAGTTATTTATTATTGGCCCCATCTTCCTCTTCTCACTGTTTGTTACTTTTTTCTGCTGGCCCAGCGCCCCGCATTCTCGACTTCTGAAAATCTGTCCCCAAAATGGCTTTGGCACTTGTGGACTCGGCATCTGATCAAGAGGGTCAAAAAGAGGCTATACAACCATCACAAACCGCGGCAATTGCTCCTTGTGACCCATGGCCGAAACCGTATTATTTGGAGAAGGGGTTTCGCCGGGTTGCGCCATACCACTATACATACAATACCTACTGTAAAGAAAGATGGAGGGGAAGAGCATTGTTTGACATATTTGCAACTGAGTTTAGGGATAGGCCTAAGGAGTACTATGTATGTTTTTGGATTGTGCTGCAAATGTTCCACACGCTGACGAATAATGAAATAGAAAGAAGCTATTGAATCTGGAAATGTAACCATAAACGGTGAGGCAGCCAGCCTTGACACCAAAGTGAAAAATGGTGATATAATATCACACACACTTCATAGGCATGAGCCTCCCGTTACAAGTCTCCCTGTTGGGGTGATCCATGAAGATGATGACATGATTGTAATTGATAAGCCTGCAGGCGTCCCAGTTCATCCAGCTGGACGCTATAACTACAATTCTGTGGTTGAAATAATGCGCGCGGAGCGGGGCCATGGTTTCAACCCTCTGCCATGCAACCGCCTTGATAGACTGACATCTGGGGTCATGTTCATTGGAAAACATCCTAAGGCTGCTGAAAGGATTAGTGAAGGCCTTAGAGCACGCACAATGCAGAAAGAGTATATTGCCCGTGTGAAAGGGAAATTTCCAGACGGCATTATTCTCTGCGACCAACCAATGCTCAAAATTAGCCCGCAGCTTGGCCTAAACAGAGTACGAGCTTCAGGAAAAGATGCGCGAAGCAAGTTTCGGAGGTTGGCATACTATCCGCCATCCGTGATACACAGACACACTTCTGTAGAAAATGAGCCAGCTACTCCCCCTGCAACATTGGCTGATGATATACCCGTTGATCTCTCTGATATTAATGAAAAACAAAATTCGGGAACGCTCCCGTCATCTGATGACGAGGGCTATAGTATAGTCCACTGCTTGCCCCTTACTGGGAGGACCCATCAGCTGCGCGTGCACCTTCAATTCCTTGGTCATCCCATTACCAATGATCCAATTTACTCTAATAGACGGGTATTTGGTCGTAATCTAGGGAAAGCTGATAGTACTGGTGAGCATGATAAAGAAATAATATCGCGACTCTCAAAAATGGGCAAGACCGAAACATCTCAGACCGTTGGAGATTTTCGATTCAACTACGAAACGTTTCAGACTCCACCTCCGAAGCATATGACGAATGGCGGTGATAGCGGCGTGATTAATGACCTTTTAGCTCGTGAGCATGACAAGATGGTTTCAGATTATTTAAAACGCAAAGGCGAGAAAATGAGTGGTGAACAGTGCGAGGTCTGTGGCACCGATCTGTATAGTGACCCAGGGGTACACGAACTAGGAATCTTTCTTCACGCGGTATCCTACGCGGACCTCTCTGGCGATTGGAAATATAGAAGTAAGATGCCAAAATGGGGTATGCCCCCGGAAGGTATGGATGGGCCTACAAGTGTCCCAGAATGGTGCGAAGATGGTGAAGATATCATAGTTGGGCAAGGGAGAGCCGAGGGTGAGACGGCTCTGGTAGAAGGGGTGGGCACCATTAGTATTCCCGAGATGCTTAGTGGGGACAGAATTTCGGCAGAAGATGTATCCGCCGCAGCGGTAGCGTAACACTCCACAAACAAATGGCATTGCTCGTTCAACCAATTTTTCCAGTATTTTATATCGAGTACACTTATAAAGATGGGTTCAACAGAAACCCTCGGAATCAACATATTATATAGCCTTGTGTGGCATAAACTTACGGGAGAATACCACAAATTAGTCAACAGTCACGATATATGATTTTAGGTGCGCAATTACAATTCTCCATTCAGTTTTCTGCGGATATCAAGCACGTAACAGCGGCTAGTTTCTAACCGGTGTAAATAAAATCATAACGAGCATAATATTTCCATTATATTTTCCCACTCGTTGACTGAAAAAGGGTGGAAAGTAGAGGTACATGTGCGCCTTCTCTCTTTCCGAGTCACATTGGCCGCTTTATTTTTGTCCTGTATTAGGAACATTCAAGAATTGTGGCGGGAAATAACAAAGACCCATGAAAATGCACACCCCGACCACGCACAAACCCCGGCAAAAAACAAAATCAACGAAGCCAGTTTATGATTCCGTCGTAAGTCTGCCCTTAGGGTTGGTGACCTTAACACCTAATTGCTTAGCCTTGGCAATGATATCGACGCGTTTTGAGGAAGAGACGGCGTGAGCAATCCTGGTAAAGAACAAGATATTAGATGTGGCCCGTGTTTGTATGAGGTATAATCGACATACTCAGCTGCATATGTGCGGTTGTGCATGAGGAGAAGCTCGACATCCTTGGGGTTCTTGACCAGGAAAACCTTGTGGCCGGATGGAATCATATGTCTCGTCTTCTTGTTGCTGCCATAACCAATCTGCGAACTACATCAGTATTGAGATTGTCATCCATATGTATCTATGCTTAGCACACCTTTGGCATAGCAGCCTGGCCCTTGAACCGTCTTCGAACACGGTTGTCAATACCCTTTGGTTTACGCCATGAGGATGGGACACATTTGAACATGTCCGACTGGTGGCGGTTGAAGCGCTTGGTGTCTGTATGCGTGAAAAAGCTCGACATTAGCCTTAAATCCATCCATTGATGCTGCCCTCAGCTTGTCTTCCAGATTTCGCCCAAAATGTTGACCAATGCCCGAAACCGTCACATTATGCAATTCAAACAAGGCTGGTAGCCGGTCCAGAGGTTCTCGGAGGCTCCAAATCACGTATCCGGGGGGAAACGAGGATCCACGTACGCTTCTTCACAATGGGAACGTGCTTCTTTGCGGCGACCATCTGTAAAAGTTCACCTGTATGTTAGTATCTTGCCAAATCGCACGCGCACATAAAATAGACACAACAGAGAGCGTACCTTGACGGTGTTATCGCGTGCCGAAGCTGGTCGTACGGGTTGTCGGCTGGGTGGTGAATTTCGAGGTCGGTCTTCAACGTCGAATTCCTCCTTCACGCCAACCGAGATGGGTGGTTGGCGCTAGTGTATCGCTAAGCGAACTGGGAAAGGATAGGGCTTCCTAGCAATAGCCCTAGGATCGTGGCTGCTTACTAATCCACGTTAGACTAGCCGGCTACCTGTTAGCGTCCGCTCCGCCCAGGCGGTGTGTTCCCGCTCCGCTCCGTCTGCTGCCAGACCCTTGCCCTTCTGAGAGTTGGTTGATCACTGTTCGCTCCTGTTCTGCCCGCGAATGCGGTGTCTGCATTTGACTACCAGCCTGCAGAGGGCACTCCCTACCGCTGGCTATCACTCTGTCTAGGCTCGGATGGAGACGTAATTTTGGATGAATATGATCGGCGTCATTGTTTGGTTCAGGCTAACTAATATTAATATTAAGTACGAAATCGATTCAATATTAAGTACGGAGTACTACCGTTGCTACTATCATTACTTCATTCCAAGGAAGCTCATTTGCTCGTGCTAACATCAACAAGTGGTATCATCCCAAACTCTTGAGGAAACGCCCAAACACCCAAATCATTGATGCATAGCTCCTTTATCCAACCATCCCACGCACGCGTTCTACTCTCTGGATTGCTTTCTCCAGCCGATCAAGCCTCCTCCGTTTCTCACTGTCTCTCTTCTCAAGCAACTCTACCCTCTCTTCTAATTTGGCCCTCGCCTTCCGCTCCTGCGCTACCATCTCGTTCGCCTGACTGAACAACTGTGTTGTTAGCTCTTCTAGCTCGGAGTTTGCTTGTGTTAACCGTGACTCAGCGGCCTTGCGGAGCTCCTGCTCGCGTTGGAGCGCGCCTTGCAAGGATGCAGTGAGGGTGGAATCGGCGGTTCGGGGCGGCGAGGCTATACTGCTTTCAGGGGAAGAAACAGTATGGGTGAGCGGAGCACCGTTGGCGGATGAACTGAGGCGTTTGCCATAAGGAAGAAAGGATGTTAGGGTCGCAAGGCGGTTGTGCTGGGGCTGTTTTGGCTGGGGCGGCGACGGCGAAGCGCCTTGCGCTTGAGGACCCAGAGTAGGTGTCTGTGGGAGTGCAGTCGTCGACGAGTAAGCGGGCGGTGACTTGGAGCGGAGGAGGCGGATTTCATCCTCATAGTCCGCAAGTTTTTCCGCTACCAGATGGCAAAAACGGTTGTAAATGTTAGCAGGTATATATAGCCCTGGGAGGCCAGGCTGGGATAGCGCTCGAAGAAAGGACCAAAGTATACCTGTTGCGGCCGCCCGCCGGTTCAGAAACTTGATCTGCGTTTCTAACTCAGATATTTTCTGCTGCGCAAGTCTTGCATCGACATCTTCAAACTGGGAGCGGGCTCCGTCAAAGCCGCACTGTGGACAGGACGGAGAGCTTCGTAACACCGGGTCGACAACGGACATGAACGGCGCGTCTTAAGAGCAAGTTATGATGGATGATTGCTAGCACTTGTAGCTGTAATCGAAGCCTTGACGACTGAAAAAAGACATGCTAGCGCGGTCGCTAACTGCTGCACATTCATGAAAGGGAGGCCGCACGCCAAGCGCATAACTAGTTCGCGTTCACCACATGCACCTTCGCCTTCACGCAATCCATGGAACGAGGAGACCCAGACTAAGACACTCTATCTGCTTCCCACGCTCATTGGTGATCCCTGCGCAACCTAATCCTGCAGGTGATTCTGTTATAAATAAGTTCCACCTATGGACTACGGAGTACGGAGTACTGACAGTAGGATTGCTTGTGCATTCCCGCATGGAGTATAATTTTTTATATACAGTAGCAACTAATAAACATCAATGACCATTCTATTCAAGTTTAGCTGACATCATGAACTATTGAACCTCCAACTAAGAATACACACAGCGGAGGGTGCATCCCCCACAAATAGCCGCACAGCAAGGAAAGTTAAGAGTTCATAAATAGCAGCCCGACGACCTACGGAGGAGAGGGTCCTCGAAAGGTAATGACTTCTTTTGTACACCATGGAGACAGGCCAGTCACGGCACTTTATGAGCATAGTCTTAAAAATGACGCCACTTGGCGAACAAAGAGCCATCTGATAAGGAAAGCTAAGAAGAGTACGCAATGAGACAGACAACACTTTCTTTTGGACACTAGAGAAAACATAACTCCTCACTCCAGATTGCCCCCTAGCCGACAATTTTTGAGATTTTCGAGGGAGAGAATAAGGCGTGGAAACATCGCCAGAGCTAAGGAAGCAAATGGAAATAAGAGAGTCTGACCGCGAGAAAACGAGAAAAATCCGTAAGAAAAACAAATTCGTGACGAGGTTCCCATTTCTCCTAGTGGTGATAACATTAAACATAGATTTGGGAGTCGGGGACTGGCATTATGCATAGGTTGACACAATCATTGCGGTCCTGACACAGAGAAAGATCATATCGGATAACTTTGCTACTGAGAATTGGGGTTTTGGAAAGCAACGCCGAAGAATGGAAAAGTATGCTGGCGTTGGAGCGTAGTGGAAGGAGTGGTCGGAGGGAAGGGATCGTTGCAAGCGGGCGTTGCCGTGCTGCTAAGAGTCAATGAGCTGGAGCTCAGATGGGTAGAAGAGATAGCAATTCGAAAAAGAGAGATGTGTAGTGATTGATCAACTCCCTTAGGCGGCATTGCGTCCTCCACGACGGCCACCCCGGGGCTTTGAGCTAACAGTACTCCAGCCGTCTTCGTCAATAACCGGGGTAGCCGGTTGCTTGGGGGAACCCTTGGGCGGCACGCGATTTCGGGCGGCCTGCTGACCCTGGTTGGAGCCGCGCCGAGGGCCGGCAGATCTCCAATTGCTATTTGCTCTGCTGGGAGGCTGGGGCCGATTAGGGTCTCTTGGCGATATAGACTTTTCTTCTGATGGAGCGGCAGAGGATTCCTGAGGTGTAACGGTTTCTCCATTTTCCGTTTCTTCGGATCTCTGAAGAATCTCAAAGCCCTTGACACCCTCTGGTACATCGGCACCACCTTCTTTCGACCCATTGGCACTCGCTGCAGTAGATGCAGCTGCTTCCTCCTTCTCCTTCTCTTTTGCCAGATCCTGTTCCTTCGTAAGTCGCTGTTGTTCCTCCCTTTCCGCTTTGGCTTTCTCTTCTGCTTCTTTTTTCTTATGTAATCGCTTCTCCTCAATTTCTTTCTCCCTTGCGGCAGTATCAATCGGTCGGGCAGCGCCGAAAGGGCTAGCCTTAGAATCACCAGCAGATGGAGAAGCACTGGTTTCTGTTTCCGGAACAGTACGTTTTTGTAGATTGAGCTTAGGTCTCATAGCCGGGGCTGTTGAAGTTGGGGCAACAGGGGAGGCGGGAGCAGCAGGGGCAGCTTCGACAGCAGGTGTTTGTGCTGGTGGATCGGGTCGCATGCGAGCTCTCCATTGATTATCAAGTTCTGGAGCAGTAGGGGTCCGTTCCGGGGGAGGGCGCTCTTGAAATTCGCGTCTAGGTGGACGAGAGCCATCTTGTGAGCGACCTTCGCCCCAGGCAGGAGAGGCACGTCGAAACTGGGAACCATCTTTACTTTGTGGGCGGCCTTCCCTAACAGTTGGTGCAGCTGCAGGGAGTGGGCCCTTACGCTCCCAACTTGAGAAGTCTCTCATTTTACCATCTGCGGGCTCATATGGGCGACGGCCAGCACGCTCACTTCCAGCATCGGACATAGCATCGAAACCTCGGGAGCCGTGCCCCGGGCGATCGGTCGGCCTGCGCTGTGGAAGGTCAGGTAGTGGGCCCTTGCGGGACCAGTCACTCAAGTCTCTAGCGTCGTGACGTTCTTTGGCTGCAAGAAAGAGGCGGCATTAGCGGATCAATAGAGTTTTAACTGGGTTCAGTCAACATACGAGGTTCGGCAACGCTGACTCTGATGCTTCTGCCTTGGAAAGAAGTTCCTTGAAAGGTAAGGGCTTTTTTGAGGCCATCAAGGGTGGCAAATTCGACATAGCCAAATCCTTTTGGGGCTCTTGTCAATTTATCTTCGACAATGCGAACGCTGGTAACCTCGCAAGCCGCAAAGAGATCCGAAATATCAGCTTGCGTGGCATCGAATGACATGTTGCCGATATGAGCCGTGTATGGGGGCTGTGTGGGCAATGGTAACTCCTCTCTTGCATATCCTGCGAAAATTAGCCTCCCAACTGCGCGTATAGATAGTTTCCAAATGCCATACCTCCATGTTCATATCCGAAAGAGGAGGGCGCAGCGGAAAATGGGCGCCGCTCACCTCCAAAAGTAGCACGAGAGTCGGTGGAGGCTATAGTTTGTTAGAATCTCGATTGTGGGCAATCACTCGTCCTGGGACATAGAAGAGGTGGCATACCAGCTAGGTTACTATTAGCATTGGATCAATGGGTGGGGGGAACAAATTCAAACTCACTTGGGAGAGGCAGATCGTCCATTTCATCAGCCCACGAGCCATAGTCTACCGCTGTCAGTTGTCTTGGTAAAAGGTTTTTCGTCCATACAGAACTCACTCTCGTCAGCCAAGAAAGTCCCTATGGACATCTTCTGCGCTTTCTGTTTTGCCGGCGCTACAGCAGAATAGGTCAGCCAGGTTTAATCTAGCAGTAACGGCGGCCATGGCAAGTACAGCGATGGAGGATGGAGAGCAGGAGACTTACCCATGATTGCGGTGGGTGAGAAGGAAACGCGCGATACGTGGGCGCGTTTCTAGTTGAGCTGAAAGAACTGAAAGACGAATTATCTTCCAGCAAAGCAGAACTGGATAAGGGTGGGGGCGCTCTTTGGAGTAGAGCGATTGCAGAGGTGATGTGATGGGGTGGTGTGGTGGAAATGGAGTCCTTGGATTTTGGGATCACAAATTTTAGTTGATGACGCTAGGGAGAATTGAGGCTATTATTAAGACAGGCCACTGTGGCCTACGCGAGGGAGCAGCGTCCACCACGGCTGTTGATTTTACAATGAGACGAGCACAGTTCTTGAGGGCAGAGAGCCGAGCCATCGTCCAGACTGTGCGGCAGCGGGTGCCTCGCGAAAATCGGCGGCAGGAGGCTCTTGCAGCGACTGTGGCAATTCCTAACTAACGAACTAGCTGTGTCCGTCCACCATTTGCGCGCTTTTTTACTGGCTGCTTCCACAGCTTGCGCCGTGATGGCAACGCGAGGGGATCATCCCTGCGTGATGTGCATAGAGACGTGTGCTTTGATCCTAAGTGACGACACTCGAGTTTTCGAGACAGAGCGAGTCGTGATGCGTAGATACCTGTTTCCTACCGTTTACATCTGACAAGACACGAAGGCTTGTTGAATCACACAACGCAATGGGTTCGGCACCTTGTTTCTCCTGTGCCTAGTTAACTGCTTCGCGTTAACAGCAGACATATCTAGAAATCTGAATGCTGCAGTTCTTCAAGCAACAATTACAGAGTACGGCTTGAGCATTTGAATTGAATTGAATTTTATCACGTGACGTTGTTTCCCGCCAGCATGACCTGTGGGAAAATATCCATCTGATCGCAGACGTAAAGCAAATCAGAAGCAAATGATTGCCCCTACGTAGCCAGTCCACCCTGGGCTGGGCCATTAGTATCAAAATGATGTCAGGTGGGAATGGCCATTCTGATGGGGGGCACAGCACCCTCTCATTACTGCCAGCAGCGAAATTTGGTGCAACGAGTGGTGTGTACCCTGACCCAGACTCGATTCAGCACTCCAAGTGCTCTATGGGTTGTCTTGACGGCTAATGTGAACTACCTGTCTTCAGGTGCCGCTGGCCTTCTGTATGGCGCGACTTCCAGTGTTATCAAAGCCCATCGACACCCAGCAATCCATGCCATCTCGCATGGTATTCACTGGTTTGCATTTGGCACCTCTTTCTGGTGTAAGTTCCCTCCGCTTCGAATGAGATGCTTTTTGGCGCTAAGTGATACTTTCAGGGATGAGAAGCAATATTCTAAATATCCAGTTTGCGAAGAAGCCAACACCGAGGGAGCGTATCTATGCCAGCGCAGTTGCAGGAGGGCTATCAGGTGGCGCCGTGACTTGGTCTATTTGTAGGTTCAATCAAATATGTGTCCTTAGTCCATTGCTCCTGACCGTACTTGATAGACAGACGGTTTTTGCCTGGGCTGGTAGTGTTTTCTATTGTGGGAGCTGTGGGGCAGATGTCACTGAATGTTGCAGATGACTGGCATTCACAACGAGCAAATACGCCCCAAAGGCCACTGCTGGAACGTCTTGCTGAATCAAAATGGATGCCCATCAAGACACTGACAGACGAAAAGTACAAAGATATGCTAAATGAAAAGTTGCTTGGTGTAGAAGTTGAAATTGCTCTGATCGACGAGCGAATCGATGAACTTCGGGCATCGCAGCTGTCTAAGACTCAAGAGCGATAGCAATGCCACAACGCATTAGCTATGGATACATGTTTGATATTTGGAGCGGGTTTCGCTACAACCATAAGCTCAACAGTTATTTCCACTAGACCATTACCTTCTTCTAGGACGCGTCATCCGGCTGAGAATTGTAGTTTATCTTTTGTAGCACTCGTCACAGTAGAGTTGTTTCGCTTGTGTCTGATGGATACTGTGGATGTGTCGAGCCTCTACTCATTATTGCGTATCGTCGAGGGTTGAGATACGTAGGCCGATATGCAGTCGGGCTTCCGGCGGAACCTGATGGGCCAGGCGGGTTGGCTAGGCGTAGTTAACCGCCTTCTGCGTACAGCATGCCGCTCTGCATGCAGTAGTTGCCTCGTCGAAGCGCCTCACCCGCCGCCCAGACTCGCAGCAAACGCGTTTCAAGCGCTTGGCGCGTCAGACCGCGGCTGACTCAGCCTGGCTTGCGGCGGCCTGTGGCTTGGCGTGAGTTCCTGACACGGAGCATCCATGCAGCTCGGAAAGGCAAACATTCTTCTAGACCCGTTCGCTGGCACTCCCTCCAGAACTGGATCTTTATCTTCTCTACATGCGCGCCCTGCATGTTTTGACGATGCGATTACCCTGGCTCTGTATTATCTGTCAGGCTCTCGGTATTCTCTACCCCCATCCGCCCGCTTTTCCTTCACTTTATTTGGCGGTGACACGGCCCCAGTGACCCAATCATCTTGTGGTATCAGCTTCGCTACGAGCGCTTTAGCTAATTTGGAAATTCCTAGGCGCAACGCTCATTTTCTAACTTACGATACCATGATCCCTTCGAGCTGACGGACGGGTTGGTCCCTATCGCATGCGAGTGGCTCCTTGCCCTTCGTGATGGCCCTCTCTCTGGGCCCCACGTCTGTATTTGTGACAATCCTCCTCATCTACATCTCGACCTTTATATTTTTTGCGATTGTTCGAATCGCAACCGGGGTCTCTATCCAACGAATAGGCTATTTTTCGCTGCGCCGCATTGCCTATTCACCCAAGGAGGGCGTCCAGATTGGTATACGTGGCCTTGGTTTATCGCTGCACTGGCCTACCTTTGCGCAACCGACTTACGTCAGTCTTCTTATAAATGAACTATCCGTAACCCTCGACCCGAAAGCCTTGCATGATAAAAAAGTTCCTGAGCCCGTTCCTGGTAATGAAGGCTCCAATTTCACTAGTAGTGATGCCAGTCCTGGAGCAAACCACGCTTCGAAGCTCAGTCACACTGGACGCCCTGGGGCCACCCGTACTAAAACATGGAAGACCTTAACGAGAGTTAAAGAAGCAATCAAGCGGCTTCATCGTAGGATTCACCTCCTGTCCTTGGTTGATGTGACGACTACGGATACTATCCTAAAGGTTATCAAAGCTGGGGAGGTGCATATTGGTGGACTCACGGCTGCGGTTGATACCAGACAAAATGTGATGGAGCGTGGGAGGCTATTTCGGCATAAGAAGGACCCATCAGGCGACCAGCGGCCTGCTGAATGGGTATTCAATATCAGGAATGTACTTCTTGCGCTAGAAGGCCGAGAACCAGAAGAAATCGTCGACAACATCGGGCTAAACATCCACGGTTTACTACATAAGGATGTGGAGGGGTTGAGAGATGTGTCCGTTTCGGTCAAAGTTGGGAAGCTGCATGTTCCATATGACGACTTGCTCTTATTTGCTAGTCGGGTATCCGCACCACACGCGAGTCTGAGTAGGCCTGGCTCAAAAAGTACTAACGTCGGCTTTTCGTGCCCTGATATCGTCGAAGAAGTGGATGAGACTTGTACACAGGAAGATGGCCTTCTTCAGACAGTAGCCGAATCTCGCGAGTTCTTGGGCTCGTTGCTTCGTGGAATTCAAGAAATTCAGGTGGCGTTGAGCTTCTTCCGCTTTTCCCGTGTTGTCCAGGGACTCCCCCACGTCAAAGGACAACAGTATCTGAATATCGTTACGCATGAGGTTGGCATTGATTTTCATCGGATGGATCCCAATGAGCCCGCGCACCGGATGTACTTTAGGAAAGATGATATTGCTCACCAAGCGCTTGTGGCTGCAATATCATCATCCATCTCCCTGGATGACAACACCAACGACCATGATAAAATAATGTACATCCCAATGGCAACAGCAACGATTAAAACAACATTACCTTCAAAGACGGTTTCTGCACCAGAAACCCATGATGCTGCTGAACGCAATACTAATGTGCTTTTCGCCAATTTTGTTGTTACTTCACCGTCAATTGATTTGGAGCCAGGAAAGCTGGCTCAGCTAATCTGTCTATTCCAGAGGAGAAACACTGCATACAAATCAAGAAGAAGCGGCAAGCACGTGCTCATTTCACAGCTTCTACCAAAGGCTAGCATCAAGCTATCTATTCATGAGCCAGTTCTTCGTTTTGTTCTGCCGCTACCTCTCGAAACAGAACAACAGGATTATAATCTCCTTGTTTCTTCAATATCATCTATTTCACTAGATATCGAGTCTTCTCATTCGGCGGAGGAAGGCGTGCAGTATTCCTTAGCCTCTGTCTACAGGGTTGCGTCGCATATGCTATATTATCAAACTGCTCTGGGAGTAAAACATCATTTGCTATCGACCGAATCTTTGGAGGTGAAAGCTCATCTCAGTGCGACAACCGAGTTTTGTGTTGTAGCTTCAGGAAATTTGAACACATTTTCCGTGCATCTCGTTAGTGGTGAAGTCACCCATGGCGTTCATCAGGTCGTCGAGCAATTCAACGGTCATGTTCAACCAACGAAATTGCAAACCCCCATGGATCGGAATCGTCCTCGTTTCCTGAGGCGACTCCCACCCTGGCTATTGCAGTTTCAATTTGAAATTCTAAGCCTGGCCATTGAAATTGCCGGGACGGACGATACCGTTCAGCCAGCTACACGTGGGATCGTTTTGCAGCTCGGCGGTTGTTCTGCAAATTATGAAGCACACAAAGCCGAGCCAAACAAGGGTATTACTCGACGGCGGACTCCAAGCCACTCCGCTATTTCAGAAGACCCAACGTTTCGATTTACTTCCTCTTCTCCTTCTAGAAAATCATACATTGGCCCTGCAGATGGTAGACGCCTCGCAATTCATGTACGTGGCCTCGAGGGCTTTGTAATGGAATCCGCAGACTACATGGAGACGGAGTCATTCCTCTCTATTCCACGTTTTGAAGTTGCCCTCAGCACCACAAGCGACCTACAAGGGCCAATATTCCATATAAATTCCATTGTCCATGAAATTTTCTTGAGACATTCACTTTACCGATATTATGCTATTGGAGTTGCGTTCATGGTTGTTCAAGACGCCTTTTTTGATAAGGCAGCTAAGAAGGCACCTTCAGAGGACTCGGAGAATGATGATTTGGAGTCACATCACATCCTCAATCAGCTTAAAACGGAGCTTGTCACTATTGATTTTAAGGCACCTAGCATTGAAGTAAAGCTTGCAATGCCGATGGATCCCAATATGATGATTCAAATATATGGATTAGCTGCTGGACGCCACAGGTGGTCACCTCCCTTCGTACGTGTGCATCTTCTTCGTCTTCACGCCGAAGCTCCAAAACTGAAAGGTGTATGGGCCCGAATCGTGAGCATCAAGAACATGCGTGTTGGTTTCAGGGAAAGTCGCTCGAAACAATCTGATTCAATTATTGACGCCAAAGGATACGATATCTCCACTGATTCTATTCGCCTCGGTGTCCCTCATCATATGGTGATGCACCGTGTTTTTGACAATTTTATCAACACTACTAAAGCTATCCAACAACTCAACCACCGTTTCAAAACCAGGACAAACGAGTACGTTCTTGAAAAGCAGCCTGAAGGCCCTAGGCGTATCCCTAAAATATCGCTGCGCAGCAAAGTATTGTTATTTGAGCTCGAAGATGACGCTTTTGAATGGAAGTTGTCGACGATATATCGACTTGGTGTTTTGGAACAAAGGCAACGCTTGACACGCGATGAAGCATATCGGATGAAAACAAAAAAGGTCCAAGAATGCCAGCAACGGCGTGCTTTCTCTCGACTACGCGCTCATTCAGCCTATCCTAGCTCTCAAAAATCACCAGCCTTGTCCCGAAACAGTAGCGAGACACAGCGAAGCAAAAGTGCTGACCGCCGCCATCGCTCGCGCTCGATTTCTAGAGGAAGGCGTGGCACGCGTAAAGTCAGATACGACCCTCAGGCTATTCCGAGTTTTACAGAAGCTTGTAAAGTTGCTCCGAACGACTCGTGGCTTCGATTGCAACAACACAATGCACATTGCTGGAGAAGCCGTATTGATAGCTCAATTCGCTTCCAAAATACGGCGATTAATGAGATAAGAAGTCTATTTGCCGGTGCTGATGAGTTGCCAGAAGGACTACAAGATGATGAGTCAATACTTGCTATTCCTAATCGACCTGGCCTTCTGGCGGTCACAATCAGTGATGTACACCTCGTTCTTGATAAGCCTTCGTTTCCAATAAACTCGTATGCCGAATACATCAACAGGATCGGTAAGGGCATGCCAATGGATATGAAGTACTCGCTCTTGATACCTATGAGCATACAGCTCGATATGGGAGAAGCAAGGGCCAACCTTAGGGATTATCCTCTGGACTTGCTCCATATTCCAGCACTGCGCCCCGGCCAACCAACCCGTATCCCTTGTTGGTCTATCCGTGGAGATTTTGTTATCGCCGAGGAGTTCCGCAATAAAGAATCATCTCGGCAGGTTATGGTTAAAATTGTGCCTCCAACGGTAACTCCAGATGGTGCTAGTCACCCTGGATTTTCCATTGATGTCCGCCGCACGGTTTCTCCAGTCAAAACTTACTCCGACCCGAAAATTGAGATAAACACGAGTCTCCCAACAAGTATATCGTGGGGCATGTCTTATCAACCTGTCATCCAGGATATGATGAAAATCATTGAAGGCTTTTCTAAACCAGAAATTGACCTATCTGACCGCGTTGGGTTCTGGGATAAAATACGCCTTAGCTTTCATTCTAGAATTAATGTAATGTGGAAGGGCGATGGTGATGTTCACCTACGGCTCAAAGGTATTTCTAAGCTCTCTTTATTAGTACGATAAATTATACTTTCTAACGCTTGCCCTTAGGCTCCCGCGATCCTTACGTGGTCACTGGTTTCGGGGCTGGGTTTGTTATGTGCTGGAGGAAAGATGTTCAATGGGAGATACATACAACCGATGACCCCAAGGAGTTTATGAGCGTCACAAGTGGGGAGTATGTTCTTGCTATTCCAGACTATAGTCACCAAGCTCGCCATTCTCATGCCTCCCTGACCTCGGATAAAGAGGCATCGTCATCTAAAAGCAGCTTAAGGTACGAGCCGCTTTTCAAAAAAGTTATTATGAAACTATCAGGAAATGTAAGATGGCTCGCGGGCTTGGTATTCGAGCGAGCCGTACATGGCACACATGATCGATCTTTTGATTTCAGACCACATTATGAAGTTGTCTTGAGAAATCCGAAGTATCTGGACTCAGAGACTCGCAAGGTAATTATATAAATGCCTTCTATTCTATGAAAATCATCTGACGAGATTACAGGATTACGATGCGTATCGTGGATTCCGAAGCCACCATATTCACCTCTCAGTGGCTGTAGTTGCTCCAGTGTCTCGAGTATGGTCTGTGACGAATCGCGAGCCATCCGCGAGCTATAATACAGTTCATTTGACTCCCAGATTTTTCACACACTTTTTTAACTGGTGGTCCTTGTTTTCTGGTGTTATGTCGTTGCCCGTACGTCAAGGGCCCCTTTGGCCAGGGCTGACAAAGACCAGCAAGAAATTCAGCCGCCATCTCGGAACTGTCAAATACAACCTGTTTCTCTCTCCATTATTTGTTTCTCACATTTACAAACATAAGGATGCTGAAGATTACAATGAGGATACGGTTTTTGCCACTGGCATTAAATCTCGCTTAGATAGTTTCATGCTTGACCTCCATCAACGGCGGGAACAAGTCAAGACGCAGGTGACCGGCAGGTTGAAGCAAACCAAAGCGAGTATGATGAGAATAAATCGTGCTCAGTTCGATTTCATATCGGCGGATTTTAGAGCAGTTTCGGCTAGCATTGATGGCACCAAAGCCGAAGATATTGAACAAACCGATGACGATATCATTTCGACGGCTCAGCAACCAGTGGCTCCCGCTGACATTTCACGGTTTAATATTCCAGATCATGACTTGAATTGGGTTGATATGGACGACTTCGTTGAGCTTGATTGGGTTTTGCCCGCTGAATCGAACCCAAAAACCCAAATACTCCCCCTTGCATATTCTCCACGTTTCTCATATTTTCGCCAGACAGATCACGAGGAGGTTGGTCCAGATGAGACTGGTTACAGCCGATTTGGTGACGAGCCTACCCACTACTGCGTCATGCCCGAGAATGATGACCCCCGTACAGTTCAGCTGGACTTGATCCAGGAACGTCTCCGCACATTAGATGCGCAAATTCGATCAAATACACGACTAGTTGGGGAGCACGAGCTTCAAATGGTCCGGGAGGGAACAGTAGATGACAGCTCTCAGAATCAATACGAATTACTCGTCAAACAGGGAGAGTCACTCCAAACAAGAAGGACATTCCTCCAGAAAGGGCTTCGTAGCCTTGAGAAGCAGCTTTCTAGCACTAATAATAGCACTGGTGACTCATCCTCTGACCGTTCTGCTACCACATCGACGAAAGATACCGATGATATTACTGCTCAGATGCTCTATGCCTCCCCCGACGGGAAAGCTTCTGACAGTGAGTTTAACAACCGCTTCATTATCCACAATATACAGTTGAAATGGAACAATTCTTTACGGAACATTGTACTTCGATATATCCATCAAAACAGCCAACGTCGTGGCTTTGTGTACTATATGTCTCGTCGTGCTGTCAAATTCATCTTGGACATCGTTGAGGAGCAGGGCAAATCCAAGTTTCGGCCTATGGACAGTCGCCGCCCTTCATCTGCGCGTGCTTTTGACCCAGACAAGGATGATGAATTGACTGTAGAAGCACGAATTGAACAACTTCTGAGTGATGCGAAGCGATTTGTGAATGCAGAGGAGCCGACAGCACCCCAAGTTCAACCTGTACAGCCAGAAAAGCAGGATAGCATTTCACCGGAATTCACAGCGCAAAACAGTTACTATGTCAGATTGATTGCCCCACAAATTCAACTTCAAAGTGAAAAGAATAAGAAATCAGTGGCACTTGTGACTGCAAAAGGTATGCAGTTGAAAATTGTCTCTATACGTGACAAGACTCGAGAGTCAGACGACGTCAGCGGATTGGTGCAGCGCCGGTTTACATTGGATATGGATAGCGCTCAATTTTTTGTCGCCACTCAAAAGACATTTTCAAATCATGCTCATATATACTGTGGTAATAGATACGGAAACTCTCCAGGAGCTGCTTGGCCACCATGGGTTTCTTTGGAGTCTATGTTCGACTTCGATCGGGACCCCTTAGGACTCTCTCGGATTATTCAAAAAACATCTGCAAGTCTTCGCTACGACAAATACAATGCTCTACGTTTGAAATACAACGAGAAGGTCGCCAGTGGGGAAGACGAACGTCTTTGCGACACCATCGCGAACGAGAATAGGATAGATCAAATTTCAGTTGATTTTCCTCAGATCAGAGCAATTTGTGACTCTTCTCAGTACTACTCGATGTACGTCATCGTGCTAGATCTTTTGCTTTATTCCGAGCCTCTTGAGCAGGTTCGCAGCGAGCGCTTAGAAAAGATAATGTTGGCATCAGATTTCAGCGACCTTCGAGGTGCTCCTGAGATGGTAAGTAAACTTCAGCAGAGAATAAAACATTTGGAGGATATAAAGAATGTCTTTCAAATACAGTCAAGGTATCTTGATACACAAGGGTGGAAAGATCGAATGGCTGTTGAAAAGGACTTAGCAATATGCGAAGACGAGCTGTTCTTTATCATGAAGGCTATCACCACCTCACAGCGAAAAAAAGAAGAACTCGTAAAGCATCACTCTAGTGGCCTTCTCAGATGGACGTTGTCAGCTTCTGAAATCGTGTGGCACTTGATGAGGGAGCATGGAGAGCCGCTTGTTGAATTCCAACTCAGAAATGCCGCTTACGAACGAACAGATAATGTTGACGGGTCGAACCACAATGCAATCGAGATCAACCGTATTTATGGACTAAACCTTCTTTCTAGCGCTATATATCCTCAGATGATTGTTCCCTACTTGGACGAACAACGCCAGAACCCGCAAACAGAAGAAGATATGATGCTAAGAGTTAATTGGTACATGCTAGGGGAGATAGGGGGAATCCCGGTGCTCGACGATTTCCAAGTTTCATTATTTCCATTGAAGGTGCAGCTGGAACGGGAGCTTGGACAAAAGTTATTTGAGTATATATTTCCTGGGGTTGGGTCGAATGCCTTTGAGAATGGCAGTTTCTCTCCTTTCATGATAAAGACTATTGATACACCTGAGGACGGCGAAGATGGCGATGAGACTGGTGACGCCCTCATGCCAGATGCTAGTCCTGGAAGTACTTCCGTCGACGATTTGCAAACCGCTTATCCTGAAGCTATTGAAATGAGACTCACACCAACACTCACACTACAAGATAATCATCGGTCGAAGTCTCCAGCTCTCAAGTCGAAGATACTGTTTGCACATATACAGAAAGACTTAACAAAAGATAAACCAGGTACCCCAGCTGAATCGACCCGATCGCCGGCCCTTGGACCTCCCTCAAGTCGCTTGCCTGTGAAAAAGAGCTCTGTTGATAGTCTCAGGCTGCTTGGACGATCTCAAGCGGATAAGTTGACGACGCAGCAAACTGCTATTGAAAATTCTGACAAGCACAAGAAATTTGCTTTGGCCAAGGCAAAGACTAAAGCAGCCGGAAAAGGTGAGGCGCTTACAGACGACATTTCGCAAATGATGTCCAGGGCCTCGAATTATATGATTTTGTCTCATGTCAAAATCAACGATGTCGTTCTTTGTTTAAGCTATAAAGGGAAAGATGAGCGTAACATTGAAGATGTTCATGATTTCGTGTTCAGGTTGCCAGTTCTTGATTATAGCAACAAGACCTGGTCTAATCTCGATCTCGCCCTTCGCCTTAAGAAGGATGCCATTAAAGCTTTGATATCTCATGCCCCTGCAATACTAGGCAACAAGTTTTCACAGAATCGGCCAAACAAGCAGCAACAGAAGCGACTGCGAGAACTTGCAAGCTCGAAACAAGTATTCGCCTCTGACAGCATCTCTAATATTTCCCCCTCAGATGGTTCAAACAGTATCATCAGTCGTAGCTCCACTGAGATTTCTGATTCACCTCGTCGGTCTTTCCAATCGAATGCCTCTCCGTTTTCCGGTGCTATGTCTATTGTATCTGGACTTCATTCAAATGCCTCTAGTGCAACTCGTCCGCATGACACTCATTCAGTGAGTACTTTCAATATTGAACATGGCGAAGTAGGCCTCCCCTTTCTTACTACCCCTTATCGATTTTGAATTTAATGATGTTTCTAGTCTCACCACTCCCTGGGAAGCGAACTTACGCGTCACCGAACAGGTGATGAGCATCATGTCGAAGATGCTAGCAAAAAGCAGCCCAAGTAAAGACCTCCTTATTCTTGAATTCGGGACGTGTGCTAACCGGACTCGCAGACCTCGTCCTCGAAGAACATCATTCGGCCATCTTCGCCGCAGATTTTTAGGCTAGAACTACGACAAGTTAGACCCTTGTGACTCTTTACATCTCTGTTTAACTCCAATCGCAATTTTTCCTTATCTTTGTCGCTATCCATATCGACTTTTACATTGTATTTTCAGACTTTATTGCACCTTCAACGCGAACACGCCTCTAACCATTGGTCTTCTATTGGCTTTACCTCACGCGTGGCTATTTTCAAATTTCAGGCTCACAAATAACATTTACTACTTCGCTGTGCATACATACATATGGATACAGTATCTAGATGATGGGACTGGCTGGCTGGCTGGCTTGGCTTTTGGCTTGGGTTGGGTTTGCATTGTGGCGCCGGAAAGAGCATGGATATGTGTCCAAGTTTCCCTTCGTTTGTGTCTTTTCTATTTCTTGTTTGCATTCAGCTTCTTTCTGAATGAGGCGCTAGATAATGTCAATGATTGTGTTGCTATATTTTGTATATAAAATTTATGTGCATAACACCAGCCTCTCAAAATGACATGCATATACAATGTGTGAAATTTGTCACATTCAGGATGCTCTCCCTTGTGAGTTGATATTAACATACTGCGTGTAGTCTACCATCACTTGGAAGGCGTGAAACTCCATGCTCTATATTTTTAGTAATTATTTCTAAATGGTATCGAAAAGTATACAAAACCTTGCTACAGGTGATATCATGTAGCATTTCTCGGACCGACTCTAGTAGATGCAAAATTAAAAGAAATTTAGACCAGCATACGGTACTGTATATCCAGTTCATCTCATTCCGCCGCCACGAGCAACTTCGGACCTAGTTCCGTAGGTGCTGGTGTCATTGTTACTCTCCGGTTCCTGGCTGTAGCCGCTTTCAATATCGTGAAGGTTTGCGTTAGGTTTATGGAAGGGAATCATCGACATCAGTCTTCCTGACGTGGACACAAAATGGGTATGTGGGGTTGGTGCGCGGATGTCGTCAGTGAATGGTTCACCTCCTTGCATACTACCTCTAGACCAGGCGGCCTTCTCACGGCGGAGATCGGCTTGTACCCAGGGAATGGTGATAATGACCCATAGGCCGGCCCAAACAAAAGGCAGAGACCAGCCGAGCTAGAACAGGCGTTAGCATGCCCGGTCGTAACATAGCTAGAAGAGAAACAATTTACAATATATGCAACATCTCTGGGGGTAGTAAATATCAGGCTTGTAGTGATGGAGGCCCAGATGATGGACCCACCACCCCAAAAACAGTTCATCTCGAACAACATTTGGCGAAAATACGGGCTAGCAAGATATCGATCGCGAAGTGCTCGTCGGTATTTCTGGCCACCTCCACCATCGACAGCAACTATGTCTTCAACCAGGACGTATAGGGCAGTTGGCATTACATGGCCTTTTGGAGTTGAAGATATGCGGAACGGCGCTTGGTAGCCTCTAGCTCGTAGAAAGTCAAGGGTGAGGTGAACGATACCAAAGTAGTACATCACCGTTGGGAGAGGCATGGCTAGAAGGCGAACTAAGGGATTAAGTATTGTCATCAGCTAAAGCCAGAGTCAGCGTAAGGGGACGCGTCTTACTAAACGGTTCTTCTTGTACGGTACCCCTGCGAAATAGTGGTTTGATTAGCGATCGCCGCCAGCAACACTCAGTATTGCTTACACGATTAATTCAATGGCTAAAATAAGCCATACCATGGTAAAATTGATATGGAAAAAGTCGAGCTAAATACGGATATCATTAGCGACATACGGATGAGGATAAGGCGGGCAGACCCATGATCTCCTGGCATTGAGAGGCCTCACAACCGAATCTTTCTTATATAAGGCCCAGAAACGATAAAGATACTCAACAATCGAAACACCTCCAAGGGCGGCGGTGCTGATAGTAAACACTGCTCCAGGTGGCGTTTGATCAGTAACAGGGTCTACAAGGTGACATTGGGAGTAGAGATGCGTCAAGCGCTGTACCTAGATTGTGAGATAGATCCGTGTGGTACCATAAGGCAAAGTAAAGAATCAATGGCTGAGCCAGGGTATCAATCACGAAGAAAGTCCAGAAGAAGGCGATCGACTTTTTGTGGTCTCTGAGGGAGTAGGGTAGCTGGGGTGGCACGCGAGCGGCAAAAATCTCTGGTTTGTTCTCCATTGGAGAAAAAGAGAACGATAAAGATGAAATTCAAGTCCAGTGTCCATGAACATAACGCTTTTTTTTTCAGCAAAACAAGAGTTGCGCCGCTGAACATGAAACCCCGATTCTCGATTGTTCTAATGCTGGATTAGGGAATGATGTCAGGAGTTGGCCAATACGAGGCGAGCTCTGACACTGGCCACAGATGAAAGGTTGAACGCAGGGGACCAGGCAGTATTGTGGCTGCCGTAGCGACTGTACCGCCTGCCGCATTTTGCCAGCCTGCCCTGCGTGTCTTTCTTGTCATCGCTGTGTTGCTGTGGGTGACACAACTACGGAGGAACTTGCCTCAGTTGCTCAGCTGCTTTCTGCCCAGATCTGTAAACTAGGCCCGATCAGCCGCACTACCCTAAAGAGGCTTAGTGCTACGCAAAACACACGCTACGAATTGGAACCTTCTGCACCGCGTCTGAGATAATGACGTAAGGAGATGAGTTAGGTAATACATGCTGACTCAGCGCCGGCGGCAGAAGAGTAACGCCGCCCCGCCGGCACGTCGCCATCGCGGGTTCGAATCCAGCTCTGCCATCCGCTGAGTGCACATCCTGCAAATAACCGTCGAACAATGCGCCATGGTAGCAAGTCTTCGTCGTGTTCTGGACTCTTTGCTCGAGGAGATATCTTTGTGCGGCGACCGAGGTGAGTGCCTACCTTGATTCTCGTCTTCATGAAAAGTACCGAGTACATATTAAGAATCATACATTTAAAAAAAAAAAAAAAGGGATCAAGTCCCAGGCGCAAAAATACTTACTTTCATGTACCTCTTCCAAATAATATTTCAATGCTCGTTTGCATTAAAATGCGCGCCAAAATATTAACCAGCTATTATAGGTGCCTCTCCGACCGAAGTGCTCGGCTTTATTGAGGCAATTTATGCGACATCTACCCTGGCAGATGACCATATAGGTAGGCCGTGTGCGCTAAAAGTTGACCGCCCCCTCAAGGCTAAGCTATGGACATGGTTAACGCAAAACCCGGAGGTCTCTGTCGGGAGAAACAGGGAAGGAAACGGTCTTTCCCTTGAAGAGGCTTTGGGGGCGGAAGCCCATGCCGGCCAGGTCATTTCACCCAGTGAGCCAGAGGAATCAGAAGTCCTTCTGCCTGATCCGAGGCGGGAGACAACGGAGGTGCTGCGTGTGTTTGTCTCTCAAGAACGTATGTGGCATTCGATCACCGGCCATGAACCAGACAAGTCTAGGGTACTCCCCTTGGAGTTTGATCTTCTCTCTATCATTTCCACCCACAAATCAAGGGGGATAGTGCAAGGAGATCTTGTCAGACTCAGCGGACAGGACAAACGTTCAGTACCCAAACGCACGGACTTGCTGCAGCTTAAAGGCTACATAGAAAAAAAAGCCATTCAATATAAAGGGGCTAGAACAAGTTTATGTGTCCTGAAAAGATTTGCTAGCGCTACCCGGGAGGAGATCTCTCAAACAGTTCGGTTTGAAAACGAGCGTGTTGGCGATTCCCAAGCAAATGACCTGGTTGATTTTTCCGTCCTTTTGGATAAGCTCTTCCAATGTCTCCGAGAGCGCAAAGTCATTACAAGGAGTGAGCTTAAAGAGAAACTGGGAATGACTGAATTGTGGCGCTCCAAAATCCTACGAAGAGCCATTATTAAACTTGAAGCCATTGGCTGTCTCCGACGCGTAAAGGCCATTTCACAATATCACCAGGTCATGAAGTCTTTGCACCCGTCGATTATGTTAATTCGAGACCCTACGGAAAAGGACATACGATTGTTTCATGAAGATAACCAGGCCGTTATTGCTTCTCTGCGTCAGGGGGATACTAATAGTTTGCGTGACTCCCAAGGTCAAGATGAGGACTTAGAAGATATAGATGATATGCCGGGCGCTGCTTCACTTGGACCGGTGACCGTGGTACAAGATGCTAGTCGAGTAGTTCCTCAATGGACTCCTGATCAAAACTTATCTAAATTTGTACTCGATATCATCCACAAAGCTGGCCCGGCAGGCATGAATAACTTGGTAAGTCCAGCTCATGCTTTAATCCGCCTCTCACTAGTATTGACTTGCTAATTTCCCCTAAGGAGATTGTTGCGGCATCAATGGGTCCCTTTTTTCGACGACCCATTGAGGCTCTTGTGTCTCGCTTGGTCAACTCATGGCAATTCGCTCAGCCTCTTCATATCCGACACCTGTCTCTTGTTCGCGACACTGCACTTCGTGGAACTATTTCCTATTTTGTTCATTATTCGTACGAAACCTTTGCTGCTCTCGTTGAAAACGGCCAGGCTTCTTGGGAAGCTGTTAGCGGGTCGGGCAAGAAGGATGGAAGTCGATTTCGCCCAATCGATGCAAAGCCTGTATTCGATGAATACGGTTTCCCTCCTGGAAATGAGCCACCAAATATTTTAAACCACGGCAGTTCCAGTCTTTGGGAATGTTTAAACATTGCAAAGCCTACTGACTATGTTGCTACGCATCGTGACCCGATGGTGGTGCATCTGCCGGATGGCACGCTTGGTAAGTGGCATGAGTAGTTGTTTATAGCGGTTGATCTTTAATTCTAATCTTTTCTTAAATACAGGTATCCGATTACTAGACCAGGTTCGAAACCAGAAGAATTGGACCAATGGCCGCAGTAATGCCCGACATAAAATTAAACGCAGTGCTTCCGATGCTGGCCTTACAGATTTCAAATTAATTAGTGATATCCCTGCGAAAGGACTGACTCCAGCAGATAAACGGAGAAAGAAAATTGATGATGTTAGGCCAATGACAGAACTGGAACGGCTAGAGGCAAAGGGGTATGATCAAAGCTGGACGGCATATAGCGTCCTCATGCTAGAAAGGCCCACTCCTGGTCTATACATGACCGCTATTGGCAAAAGAAGAGCCCATGGTATGAGGCAAGGTCGTGCAGGAAGAAGTCGAATTGCGATCTTCAAGTTTTCTAGACTACATGACTTCGACTGGTTTGTTGCCGAGGAAGAAGTTCAGCAAGCTACTAACCTTTCAACAATGTTCGATGTCGCAGAAGTACAGCCGCACTTAGATACTCAGAGCACACTAGGCCATATGCCTCAAACTAGAAGCCAGCGAAGAAAGGGTTTACCAACACTAGTCGAAGATCTGTCCAAGACGCGTATTTCTGAGGGGGTAGAAAATAGTGTCAAAGACGCCCGCGTTGAAAGTGCTGACGGTCGAAGCGTCAGTATTGAGCGAATTTCAAAGAAACGGAAATTCCCTACTTCGGTTGATGTTGCTTCTGATCACTTGATTGCGAAGGCGAAATCACCCACAAAACGACGAAAAGGTAGGCCATTTACAGCTGACCTGGTTGATATAAGCCAGGGCAACCTAAACTCCACAGACGAACCTACGACCTCTCCTATGAAACCGGGACAAGAGCGAGAAGAAGAACAGGCACATCCATCTTCCAACAGACTGGAAGTATCATCCGAGGAATTGGCAAACACCATTGAACCTGAACCCAGCATCACTGAAGTTCAAGGTAGGAACAAACAACATAAACTGGGGATAACCCCAATGGAGTCGACTCCGATCACACTAGTCAACGAAGGTCGAGGTCAGCCTGCACACAGAATGTCAGCTGGAGAACCAGCGACACCAGCTCCCTCTACCGGTGCCCAGCGTGAATCCGCCCTTGGTGCTAATAGAGAAAATAGAGGTGGTTCAATTGCTCTCTTGCGACGCAAGATTGTGATGGACATCATTCAGCAATGTGATGGGATTCATCCTATGGGAACCGAGCTGTGGTATCCGTTTGCAACAGCTTGGTTGAAGACTAGGCCAGAGAAACCTGACATGCGCACAATACGAAGTGCTGTTAAATCCTTAATCGAGTCCGGGAAACTTCGCCAGCTAACTTTCAGTGGAAAGAATTCTAAAGGGCTGATGGTCACTAAGAATCTACTTACAAAGCCAGAAATAGATTCCATGGACCCTATGGTTAGGAGTATACAAGAAGCCATGCTCGATGCAGATCCTCGGTTTTATTTGCATCCCAAGGCGCATATTGACCCGTCATTGAAGAAGTCTCATAAAGGGCTTACGAGTCAAGAGATCAAACTGCCTGAATTAAATGAAGAGGTTAGAGTTACCTTGAATTATATCCCGGCTAGAATGCGTCCGAAACCTACACGTATTCCAAGATACCGTTTCATCTCTTTTGGGACCGGTAGTCGAGACTTTGATACCATGGGACCAAGGGCCCTCCAACGCCTAAAATCTCTTCATAAGCGTGCCTCTGCAAGCCCTTTTCTGGACTCCCTTTCGACTCCTATTCCCCAATCATCATCTGAAATCCCAATGCTTTTGACCTGGCCCCCTAGAAATATCTACGCGGATCTACTTTTTGGTGCGAAATGGAAACCATCGTTGCTTTCGATGCTCATGTTCCCAGCCCAAACTTTCAATTGTGTCACTGGAACATTTGGAACTGGTGTATGTTACGCTTCAAAGCGTAAACGGCGACCCCCACTGCGAAAGCTTGCACCATTGCTTCCCGCATCTGTGCCACAGAGGCTCGATGATATTCTATCCATTGCCAAAAAGCAAGATATTGATTTCTCCACGGAGCCGGATCCTGTCGCAACAGAATTCTTTTCAAATATAGATGCAGTTAGGGATTGGGAATTGAAAACTTACCCTTATACACCCCCGAGAACCCCAGCGCTAAGGTATATAGACCATACAATATCGGGTCCATTTGAGAGTGTACCTTTGGAAGGTCCTGTGCGGTTTGAAACCGACCCTCACTCTGCTTCGCCTGTACGTGGAAGGCGGTCGGGGCCTCCAGTAACCCGCCAGGCAACCCGAGCGATGACAGAGTCTCCTTTCGATGAGACCTGGCCATTCTTTCGATATTTTGTACCGCGAAAAACTGCTAGAGATTCTCGCTTTGGTCAAACACAGCCACGAACAGAAACCCAAGCAAATAGACGTCTTGCACAACTCCAAGAGTCAGTAAGAACATCTGCAGGTGCCAGCAAATCAATGGATCGTACATTGAAGCGGATACGATTATCAAAAGATTTTCCGCAGCATGTCGCCCAAAAACTCACAATGACCATTGTCGTTGTGCGTGCATTAGCTGGAGGGTTCGAAGGAAAACTGATCGATTGGCCCTTGGTTGCCTCTGTTTTCCCTGGATATGACCCGAAATTTATTCAGGATCGTGGCAAAAGTATATTATCTCGACATAGGCTTCAAATGGCAAAAATGCAAAGGGATTTTCAGGAGAGATATCTTGAAGCTTACGAAAAGAATCTCGTTCCGAAGATAGATTATGATGATTTGGAAGGGTATGATTGGGGAGCTGTAGTTGAATGGGCAGAGGAACAACTTGACAGACCTAGTCTTATGAGGGTCCCAAGTTTACCAGCAACCCGTGAACAGTTTGAAAGTATCTTTGGGATCAGAAAAGAACCCATTCATGGCATTGATGATATTTATCATCATGGCTCGCACATTACTGTTTCACGAAAACGAGTTTTTTATGCCAATCTGCCGTTTACCAAACTTATCACTGCTAAAACGGCATGTACGGTTGCCACTTTGGACAAGGTAAAAAAAGCTGAAGCTGCTGATCGCCTAGAGACGGCCAAGTCTTGGGTCCGTTCTAATGTAGTCACGCCCGAGGAGACATACCGAGCCACAGATGCACGGCAGACTTTGGAACGCTTTGGCGAGCATCTTATTGGCGAAGCAATACAGTCTCTTATCACAGAGAGAGTGATTTCTATGGGTAATCGCGGGAAAGTCCGGCCAGGCCGTAACTACGATGTTACCGAATACTTTTTGGTTGCATTTGGGCGCAAGCGGATGCTTGAGTCCGTGCAGTTACGGCGGGCACTTCAATTCAAACTCGAGGTTCTCGACCCGGCGATGAGGTCGGACGGTAAATACCAGGTACCCTACGAAGCGGAAGATGGTGATATACTCGTTTTGATAAACCTGGCAGCGCAGGGGCGTGTGACGGTATGGCCGGTGAATCCACCACGGAATAAGTACGGGCTGACGGATATGGGCTATTTAACGAGAACGATGGACAAGAAGAAGCTTCATTTCGACATGGAAATCCATTTAGTGACAGGAAAATATGTCTATGGCAATCCGCTAGCTGATGTTGTTTCCACAACGCCAGCCCCTGACGCCGGCTTGCGAGAAGATGGCCTGAATCCCATGGTTCCTCTACCTAAAATCCCACTTTGGATAGATGTGCACGGAAAATTTGTGAAGCTTCTCTGGGAGCTTGTTGTTGCCTCTGTGGTGGGATTGATCGCTGCTCGTCCGGGCTCGGGGTTAAGCACTATTTTACGGATTATGCAACCATTTCTTGGTGCGTGGGAAGGCGAGCTGGTTTTACGGTGGCTGAATGATGTGGGGGCTATTCGGAAAACCGAACGAGACAGCGTTGAAGAAGGGTGGGTGGTGGAGGAATGGTGGTATCTCATCCTCTGCATGGACCTGACAGCCTCGACTGCATCAATACAGTCCGAATCGCGAAGCTTTAGTGAGCAGCCCGATGCTTCATTTTCGAAAGAAACTCCATTGGAACTCTAAAATTTATCAGCGGACAGCCACCTGCTGCCAAAATTGCAGTAATCCCCTTGTTCCTTTTAAGTTACTTTAGCACACATTACACCAGTCTAGGGGCAAACGTAGGTACCGCTACAGTGGAAACCTGTTTGTTTTCGAAATTTCACCCCGAAGCACCAAGCGGATTAGTGTCAAACAGTTTGTATTTGGTTGCAGCTCACAACTGTAGTAGAACACGATGCTTCATTTTTTATGAATGTATGTAATGACTGTACATATGTAAGTACATATTCTGGAGCTGTCGGTGATCTCAAAATAGCCCAACAAAAAAAGCTCTAACTCCAGAAACACCCACCTTATGGGGCCCCAGTTATAATATGTCCCAACTCCGTACTGTAACGCAATCTAGATTTTCCGGCGTGAATCGAGAGAAGACCACAAAAGAAAAACAGACAAGTTTAAGCAAGGTTTGACTTGAAAGGGGTAAGCGTACGATATAGTGCCGTAGGCCCAATCCCAAGGTTTTCGTCTCTTGAATGAGTGATCGGAATTGCGATAACATCGCAATTCGCCGCTATTAGGGTAAGCTTCCAGTGTGGGGTGTATCATCAATAGAGTCGGCGAAGTAAATCTTCCTTAGTATCATCAGAACGAGCGCAATGATAATACCGAAAATTGCTCTATCCAGCCATCGGTCCCCAGCATCAGCATTTGCTATCGAAGGTGGTCGCGGCGGTCGAGACCTATATTGAGGTTCACAAGTAGCAGCTGGAGAAGAGCGGGTTGGTATCGTTGGGATCGTTATAGATGGCTCCTCCATAGATTCTACAGCTTGGTCTCTTTGCGGCTGAGTGTCATTCTGGACATCAGAAGACTGGTTATCTGCAGTCGGATGGCTGCCAGAGCCCTGATTTTTCCCAGGCTCATCTCTGTAACTCAATACTAAGCCGTCAGGGAGAGTTGTATCCGTTGCCATAGCTTTATCCTCTTGATCTCCAACCGCCACTCCTTTAGCCTTGCAGACTTCCCACCAGTCCTGCAAGATCTCCTCATTTGTCTTTTGGCCAGGACAGACGTCACACTTCCACTGCCGGCTTCTTTGTGCCCAATCTCTTCTTACTTCTTCCTTAGCCTCCAGGCCCCCGACCTGGCCCTTCACATCCCCGTCCATAAAGCTTCGGATGGCGGTTAACGCTGTGCGAATGCCCCATGCCGGCTGCCACGTCTCGTCATGATGTCCACTGATGCTCAGGCATATCTCACGGTTCACCTCGAAACGGCCGGACGGCGTGAGAAAGCGGAAGGACGGCGGGCGCAGCGGGTACTGTGGGGACAGGACGATGCGGCCGTGGTAGATTCCATTGGCATACGGAGAGGGTGCAGGAGGACCGAAGAGTGTAAAGTGCCAGTCAAACAGATTCGAGTCTGAGATGGGGTGAGCGTGGAAGTATGGCGATGGCGAGGGCGAGGACTCCGAGAGTTCCTCAACTTCTTTCATAAGGCGGCGGATGGTGGGGCCTGGTACAGCCATTGTTAGGGATTCGCGCCAAAGGAAACAAAACGAGCCTGTCCGGTACAATTGCTCGGCTGAGAGAGCGTTGCCAGCTATGTAATTGCCGTGAGGGGTTGAGCCTAAGCAGCGGTGATTGGATTCAACTAGTGAGCTTGTTTTGAGGCCAGATGGCAACAAGTTATGTACACAGCTACGGGAGCAAAACAAGGAGTACGGACTATGTAACTATTCATTAACATCTCGTCATATGTGCAGCCTTATTCTAGTTGGATATCCTATAGTACTTTACTATGAGAATAAGGATTGTCAAAAAATGGCAGTAATTTGTTTCTAAAAGTTGATTATCCATCTCTACGCGTATTTAGTAGTAAACTGCTAGATTTACTGATTATATTCAGTAACTTAACCTAATTACATTGGGGGCAGTTCAATCCACATCAACCCAGTTGTACACTGGTAAGAACAGTGTCTACGGAGTATATAGCACCAGTAATTACCAGCCACAGCGCCTGTGAACCCTAGAACTCATCTATAACAACTAGCCTAAACTTAGACTTAATACATCTCAAATATATTTCAAACATCATTATCATTCACGTTAACAAAGTCATATTAGAGTCATACACTGAGATTAAATCAAATAAGCTCCATTGTTTTGCTAACAGGCATTGCCAAGCCCATGTTCCCTAACATAGTCAGACCCTTTCTCCAGATAGTCCTCCCTGGTTATCGATGATGCCCCAAGATCTGGCCCTGCAGCCCACTGTGCTGCACCTTTCCACGCATCTAGAACAGGGTCACTGGACTTCCGAACGCGTAACTCAACCTCGGCCGGTAATACTGAGCGGAATTCTCTTTCGAATCGTTCACTGAAACCTTGGAATAGCGAGCTGCCTCCAGTGATAAATACATCACGAAGCAATTTCCTTTGGTCCTCAAGCGAGGAAAACCGCTGCAAAGCGATATCAGCCGCAATTTCCACAATGCCAGACTGGTCGAGGCCTGCAATAGACGGCTGAAAGAAAACTTCAGGTACCCGTATGCGTTCAACGTTAAGATGTAACTGGTGGGATTCTCGCTGGCTCTCTCCATTGAAGGGCCATGGCCCACGGAGAAACATGTGGATAAGCGACATGGACCAATCCGACTGTGCTTCAAGAGTATGATCTTCAGTAAATTCAGGGTCGTATCGCAGCAACTCCGCCTCAAGAGTCTTCAATTGTTGGTTTGGGTCGTCTTCGTCTTCGTCGTCGCTGGCATCACCGGTCGCAACCGTACGATAGACACCCCAATCTTCATCATTTGCACCAAAAGTATCGTCGTCTCCGCCTCGTCGCCTCTTTTTAGGGCCGTCAGCGGCGAGATTCGCCAAAGTTTTCATGCGCATTTGGCTAGCGAGCGATTTTCGGTTCCCAAGGTCGGCTTTCATACGGTTGCGCTCCTTGATCCTTTGCAGAATTGCCTATCATTTTTCAGTGCGTGAAAAGGGTCTGATCAAAAATATATTTTGCTTACACTCCTCGCTTGTCTCTTTTCCTCCACCCAGGATTCAAAGTCATTCTCTCGCCTTTCAGCATCCAGCCGTTCTTCGTTGGCTATTCGTTCCCTTTCCCGCTCTTTCTCTTCTTTAGCCCGCTGTCTCGCCTCGACGTTTGACTTCATTAGACGTTGATGTTTCTTTTCCTTCAAGCCGGCTTCGTCTAGCTCCTCATCCGGAATATCTAGTAATGCAAATATCATTTCGTTGGGTTGTTCAGCAGCTTCCTCTTGACCCAGATCCTTGTTCCGCGATTTCTTAATTGATTTTTCGAGATCTTTTATTGTTTTATCCAGTTGAACTTCATCTTTCATGTCTTCGTAGTCTAGAATTCGCCGAATTTCTTTCTTAGTTTCTGAAGCTAGATTCTTTTGCAGGTCTTTGTAATATTCTAGCTCTTGCTCTTTCTTCAATAATTTTTCCAGCCTCATCTTTGCAGCCTGTTCTTGTAGGCGCCGTCCACTTTCTTTCTTCCGTTCTGCTATGCGAGCAAGTTCCTCTTCTGACTTTTCCGGTACAATATGCTCAGTGAACGGATACTGTATAACATGATCCCTTTCTTCTAAGCCCGTCCAGTCCAGATATTTAGAAAGTTCAGCATCGTAGTCCTGAGATATATAGCAGTGCTTGTGCACAAGTTCCTCCATCTGGATTTCAGTCATTCGGGCCGGGAACGTCGGGTACTTAAGCTTAAGGAGCTTCAACAAATAGTCGCAAGCTTGGTAGCCACCCCAATTAAGACGAGTGCAATTTGAGAGAAGGGCTTTGGAATTGAGAACTGGGATGACGTGGGTGGAGGAGTGTGATGAAGAGATGACAAGACCGTCCGTACCCTGATTATACTTGTATGCAAAAAGGGAATCTATTCCGTAGGCAACGGATGGAACAGAGTAACACTCGAAGGCTATCTCGTTCATCACTGTATTTTTCGTGTCAGCTTTTAAAGGACAATTGTTGTTGTTGGGGGCGTAACTCACTCCTCCGCGAATATCCCGGGTTGGCGACAGGCTCTGTCAGGACGATGGGACGGTCAACTCTACCACTAGACCCATCTACACCCAACTTTATGAATATATAATCCAAAATGCCCTCCACGGCATCCCAGTTACCGATAACACTTGTCCCGGGGTCAAACGCGTTCCGTAGTTGCCCTCTGGTGGTCGCGTCTACGTAGGCATCATAGCCAACGAATTGGGCAGTTCGATTCGCTTTCCTGTCTCGAAATCTTGAAAATACGGGGGGGAAGACGACACGAGGCAAGCTGTCGAAGGACCATCCTGCTTTGACGAGGTTGGAGCCTTGCAGGAGTTAGAAATTGCGGTACAAAGCAGAGCGAATATTGAGAACATTACCATTGTCTATAACTATTGCGCTAGCATTTGGTAAAGCTCTGCTTCTCTCGTAACCATCTGGTTCAGGCGGATGGAAGCCTTTGAAGGGGGGATCTCGAACAGGAAAGACTTTGGGAGGTGGCTTCGGTTCCCTTTTCTCGGCGATATTCTGCAAAACGCGATAAGTGGGTACGGCTTGGATGGAAAGAATTGTCATGATTTCTCCCTGGGTTTTCTTTCTAGACACCGCCTTATGACATTGTGGACAATTAGAAGGCAGGGGTAAGGAGATGTCGGAGCTTGATGGTGAAGCTAAATCGCGATAAGATTTGCGATCATACAAACAACTTCGTCTTGTTGACTCTACAGAGTAACCGCGCCACCCGTTCTTATATGCGCGGTTAGTTACGAAACAACTACAAGACAACGACGTGGGCAGCAACAAATAGCATTAATCATTATTCCATTCCACCATCCAGCAATAGTAAGATTATCCCTCCACTACTCATGATACCTCTTTGAGCTTTTCTGTAGCTGTGCGATCAACACCAGGTTGAGTCATTATCGAATATATTGCCAGTGAAATGCTTTGGGATAGTATGCTCACCCTCAAGATGGAATAGTACGTTGGATTGATAGTTTTTGAACATCTGGGCCACCAATTCCACATTCATGTTTTGCACATTCACATCCTGTAGCCATGTCAGGCGTGGAGAGAGCATAGTATTGTACGCATTCCATACCTGCAAGCTCTTGTTAAGCATCATAACTGCCTCGTTGAGCTTTTCCTGAATGTTGGGGGTCTCTTAGCAAAGAAGAAGGTATCAGTGGAAGCCAATACATACAACATTTGTAACAATGCGCGAAAGCAGGAGATTCTGCTGTTGCTCATGCGGGCTCTCCTAAAAAGACAAATCAGAGATCATCGCGTACATAGCAGACCCATAACAAGGCTCACCATGGTCATTCAAGTCCCCCCCACCATACCAAGTAATAGTGTCCACCGTCTATTGCAGTCCATGATACTACATCCAGGGGATTAACGTAAATGCGGCCAGTCACGTGAAGTAGCTTAAAGCTTCCACGTACGACTGGCGGTGATATCGTATTCTCCTCTACATTCAACGGTCATATGCGCGTTACAGACTTCAATCGATATTCTTTGCCTCTACATCGATCATGCCGCCACCAAACACTCCTGCCGATGATTCCCATCAAAAACTTCTAGATCAACTCGACATTACGTATGCCACTCGCTCGTTTCGCAACCCAAACTGGAAGCCCTCCATTCGCCGCAATAAGAACGTGAAACAGATAATCTCAGAGACCTCTCGCAAAGAAGCCTCTGTAGTCGGCACTCAGGAAAATAGCGGTACTTCCACACCTAAAGTAGCCCCAGGGGATACTCGAACAATTAGCATCACACCAGGAGGTGTTCCGAAGCCAGTGACCATTGCACAAGCTGCACAAAGTGTGTCAATGCTGGCTCTTGAAAAGAACTTCAGTAGATCCCAATGCACTACCGGCCCGGTTGTCACTTATACGAATATTGAATCCGCCCCCTCGCTACACTGCGCGCAGCACAATCACTACTGTGACATTACCGGGCTCCCTGCGCCTTACAAAGACCCGAAAACGAGGTTACGATATCATAATAAGGAAGTATTTAGGGTGGTCCGATCGCTCGGACAAGGTGTGGCCGAAAGCTACCTGGAGGCCCGGGGCGCTCATGTTGTATTAAAGTAATATTATACATAGCTGCCATTCAAGACGAGTGGAAATCTAGCCTGTGGGCGGACCTCTGGAAGGATACAGCCACCTGAAATCTCGTGAAAAATATTTGGTCCACAAAGTCAAACCCCGTCCACCCACCCTGTTCCTCTCGGTACAGAGTTCAAGACGACGCTCCGGCTTAATCGGGGCCACAGCAGAAGGAAAATTTCCGCGTGTTCTTTCTTCGCCTGCATTATGCATTATCGACGGGTACCGAGATCCCACAGATTGGGAAAATCAGTTACGGTGTTGTTATAGCACCGTGGTCTCTGCGGTCCTTAACAGGAACTAAATCGCCTAGTTATAAGCAGTATGTTTTTTAGACTAACATTTTGTACTCCGCAAGGAAGACCTTTGAGCAAAAGATCTGCACAGCAGAATTTCAATGGGAACTGGGCAAACTGCAGGATTTAATATGCATACTCCGTACAGCTATTGTGTTGCCCATTTGCTTTGAGACGACCAAGTGAGTGGTGCTGTGTCAAAAATGACAATTGGGCTTTGTTGTTTTGCAATCACGGAAACTGTTGGGTTTGTAATATATCAGTAGCAACTAATACTTAGTCATATTGTCGACAGTCCGACATTTCTTTCGCATGTGGAATCTGTGGGTGATGTTGATAGTAGGTTTGAATTTTCCAACCTCCCAACCTGCTCAGACATTCGTTACCCGCTAGCTAGTTATGTAAAGAGCAAACACTACAAACATCCATTTCTCTTCCAAGAGTCCCTTTCTTCCCAGTTCATAGATGCATCATAGTTATTGGCCCATAACATGACATGGTGCACAAGTAGTCAAAGCAGAATTCAGGTACAATCCTACGGTGCACTTTGAGCCACTCAAGTTATTCTAGTATAGCAACGGATGGATGTGATGTTGATAAATGGTGATTGGCCATAGTCGTCCTAGTATGGTCTAGTCAAACAAATACCCACTGGTACCTACGGTAACTAGGTAGCTAGTGTAATATAACAACCCATCCAATGATAGTGTGTAATTTATGTTTATTGAAGCCACACATGTTGGAGCAGGTTGTGCATGGATCATCAACATTCAACCATGAATGTCTTATGATCAAGGGTGTGTAAAGCATTTTGCCTAGCATGATACCCAGTGCTTTTTAGCTTCCTGTCCTTAAGCTAATAAACTCCTTGTTCACAGTGCAACTGGCTGATGTTTCACAGCAGCCCTAAACAAGTTCTATTGTGATTGTGGCCAATATTTTGAGCTCTGGATGAATGGTCCCGGCATAGCCAACAATAGTCCGGCGAGATGCCCACCATGTGGTTGACAGATATGCAGAGTGAGAACAGCACTGGATGCATGTGGTTTCTTATTGGCTGATATACTTCACTTTTGTAGAGATCGGTGCGGTCTTTTGTACTGGTGGTAAGTGAGACAAACAGTCAATGCTGCAATGCCAAATCCATGATTCTGGATCTATACGGAGTACTTATTTCACCTCCAGGCAGTCTCTTTTTCTTCCTAGGCATTCTTATGTTTTTTGATAGATCATTGTGAGCTCTGCTTCCCATTACCCTATCTGTCGAGATGTGACTAATACTGCTATTCGATTAGGCTTGCGATGGGAAATGTAGGTCCCCCCCGTCCCCGGCCGGACCTCGCGGATTCGCATCACTTTCTCACAATATGTAGATTCTCTTCGTCATTGGTCTCCCTCTAATCCTAGGCCCTCAAAAGACCCTCGCGTTCTTTACCCGCCGCCAAAAACTCCTCGGTTCGGTGACGTTTGCACTTGGGGTCATCTTAATCCTCCTTCGCTGGCCGCTCATTGGCTTCTGTGTTGAAATATACGGCCTCTTTATTCTATTCGGCGATTTTTTAGTGACATTGGGCTCCTTTATAGGCGGTGTTCCGGTTGTTGGACCGCCGCTCCAGCGGGCGCTGACCTGGATCGGAACTCTTGGTGGGAGGAGAGAAACTACGGAGCTCCCTGTATAAAATCCTGGCGGGCTACGACTTCTTACCCCTTGTACACTCGCTTTGTGCTCTGAATCTGGCCAAGTTCGATGATTTCACCAGATGGAGTAAGCATGTATTTACGCATCGTAGAGGATATAAGCTGCTGGTCCCTAAAAAAATCGGGCCACTGCCCAACAATAAACTTCAGTCTCCCTGCAGCGCTTGATTTGCGATATCCGTTTTGTATTGTTATTTGCAACATAACCCATGTCCTACAATATGATGAAACTGCTTTTTACACTGCAGCTGAAACACATTTGTTCCTCGCTTGTCTGGAGTGCTTCCAGGCTGCAACTGATTCCTGCTTTCTGAGAGCCAAACACTGGGGGTTTTTTGCCTGGTTTCAGCTTATTCTCGATATCAAACCCGGCGAGGAAGTAGGTGATAAAGTCGTCGACCAAAAATAGCGCGTACGCAGAAATGGTACCCACAATGAGAAAACAATATCTAAATTATCGGTGGATCAATACATTCGGGCTTAACTGTGCTAGACGAAGTTTGGTGGATTTTTTTTGTTCAAACACGGATTTCGTGTCGACTATGTACTGCGCCTCATTTGTCTAATAACCTAGTCCGCTCAGATAGTCGCCGAGTGTTTCTACAGTGTTAGTTGCGGCTCCAGGTTGGATTGTCTCTGGATAATGTGCAATGAGAAGGGCCTTTTTTGTTTTCACAATGACGATTCCTTCTTTGCCCTATTCAAGTAGCATAGGTCAGTTGCGGCCTGTCGCATAGATATGCAGACGAGAATTCACGACGCACCTTCTTTCCATACAACCGTGAGTCGTCCGACTTCAAGGCAACGTATTTTTCCCCGCCGACAAAGAACCCATTAGATTGAACCTCCTTGATATCGTCCTCGCGAGCGGTTGGCTGGAAAGAAGCGACTATGACTTTGATTTCTGGAGGAGATACCTAGGTATTACATTAGCTTTGGAAGGCCCGGACATGAGGTAGGTGCCGCACAGTGAATCCAGCTGATGTTGCCCAGACGCTGCTACCTTGATTGTCGAAGATGGCGGCCTTATCCACATTGCCGGAGCCGACGAGGCTGAACGGAAATGGAAAGTTAAAACATGCATGGGCTAAGAAAGGGTAAAGGAAAGGCGAGAATGATGTGGCTTGGACAAAAGGGGGTAGTCCCGGTACCTGGTATCAACGTAGGCTTCAAGAAAGAGGCAGGTTAGCTGGAACGCCCCGATGCAAAGCTGTTTGATTTACAAACAATTAACAGGGCCGACAAACCTTGCCAAGACATGGCGATAGAAATACGGAAGGGGAAGGGATCGGGAGAGGGAGAGCAGCTGTCCGCAAGGCGTGCTTCGAACCACCCACCTGGCGACGACGAGCGTGGGAGACGGCGAGAGGCGGGTGATGGAGCGTAAGAAAGGCGTAAAACGCGGAGGCAACGGGGCGGATTAACGGAAACGCAAGGAGATGGTGGTTGACGACGATAAAAAACGGGAAAGAAGCGGAGGAGGAGGAGGTGGTGGTGGTGATGATGGATGGCGGGGTGTTTGTTGTGGTTGGGCTGTTGTGTGTCTGCCCCTCGTCGTGACGACCCCACCTCGGATGCTCTCCTCAAGGGCCAGCTTTGCCGCAACACCAATCCAAGCATTTATTAACAGCTTACGGCAATCCAGGCCTCGCTGCCAGCGGTCCTCGGCCCCAGCAGCTCTAGCACCGTACGCCGCCTGTCTTGCACCTCATTTGCCCCCATGTGTTTCCCAGATAGTTCTTGGGAGACTAATTCGCATCAAGTATTACTATACAGGAGCAGCACGCCAACAAACATGTGCCTCAATCATTGAATACCCTGTTCACCGCCGGATTTCTTGCTCATCATATTATGTAACTAAATGCTGATGGAGGAACGGGCACTTAGCAAAGAAGAGATGCACAACTATGCCATTAAAACTGGGACTGATTTTGCATCGGGCTACATCTCTCATGATACAGGAGGTTGACACTGTGTTTAATCTGCATTCTTGGGGAAATAAACAAGAGAGACCAGGCTAGCTGGGTGTATTCAAGGAGGGAAGAAGGGCTAGCATGCATGGGGTAAGCTGTGTCCGTCAGCAGCCTGTGCATGGGCTAGGGAGAGGGAGAAGGATGTAGTTATGTGAACAATCCCAGCCAGACCATATAGTTAGCTATGGAGGTTAGCAACTTAATAGCTAGTTAGTTGACTAACCACCAGTCCGTTCTTGATCCTCCCCAGGTCTGCCGGCCTTGACAGCTTCCAGCAGCTCCGCTCGCGCTACAAGGATAACTAGCAGTTCCGACTCACGCACACCATGCAAGCTTTTGCTTGAAATAGCCAGACCCACGACTTGGTTGTTGAAGGGCTCGCTGGGTTTCATGCTTCGGAAATTAAGGACTGCTCCCAAGACGCTCACAGACCAGCGTCAGTATGCTGATCCGCCCACCTCAGCCTTAATCTAGCCTCGCTGCCTAGTTAGTTACTGGTTAACTACTTGTTCCGACGCGGCCGTCCTGTCATTTCTGGCGAACTGGCCTCCCCGTGCGCGCCGCCAGCTGGGATCAACGCCGGATGCCAGCCAGGCTATCGCCCATCATGTGCCGTGAAGATAGAGGCGGTGCGGAACCAGACTCTCGAATATTATTGCAATCAAAATAAATTCTCTGCTTTGAGCAGCGATCATGCCGACACGGCAGTCTCATTATTGCGAGCTGCGGTGGATCCGAGTCCCTGCTGGCTCGCCCCGGCACTCATCAGGGCGAACCTAACACCCGCACGACACACCAGCATCCCAATGTATGTGCATCCATATACATGTATCGACATGCATACATCCAGAGGAGAAGTTGGTCTGTCAATTGATGATATCGGCGGGAGTTAATATCCTTATTGCTCTCTGTCGCAGTTTCACCACTGTAAGGGTTTTTCAATGTCAACCTGTGCACCCTGGTCTCATTTAATTTCTGCGACTCCGCACGGAGCGAGCACTCGCTGGGGATGGGCCCATGTCGAAATAGAACGACACCGCTGCCGGCTTAATTTATTCTTGTCTCTTAAGACAATACGAGTCTTGCCTCTTGTTTGGTCTCCACTGCAATTGCCGCCGGACGATCTGATGATACCCTCCGCTACCCGCTGGACCTTGTCTTAATTGGATCCTATGATTCCTATCCTGCGCTTATTAGACTGCGAATTTCTGCTTTTCCCTTTGATTTGTATTTTTTTATTTATTTTTAATTACTCCGTACATCTTTTGCCTTTTGTCTCTCTCACAGTTGACACCTGTTTCACCTGCAGGCGCGACAAAAGACCAATGCCTGACCTGTATTTTGCTTCTTGAGCCTCTCTGGTGTTTTGTGTCCACTTACTCCGTACAATACTTATTAAATCCTCTATGTTTTCCCTTGCCAGTGCTTTGACCCCGTAATTTTTGATCTGGAATGGCGAAGGAGTCGCTGCCCCTACGGCTACGGGCATATACGACCACCGATGCGAGTGCTATACCAGAATTGAATGGAATACAAGACGTACCTCGTCCGGAATCCGCGCGTGAGAATTCTCCACAAAGCCGACAGGACAAACAACAGAGCACAAAAGGACTAAAGCGAAAAATTGCAAAGGCGGCGCTGCCTCAGTCACAAAATGTGAATTTGCCTGCTCATTTTACTGCATCCACACCGTCTCTTTCTCGAGAATCCCCATCCTGGCTTGCGTCTGTGAGCGATTCCTGGGATGGCAACAATATTGGAATCGCACTTGGGAGCCCGTCTATGAGACCACCGGACCGTTCATGGCTGGCGTTAAGCCCGCCTACTTTTCCGGGTGAGAAGCATATTAAGGATGACGACCATCTAAAGAGGAAGCCTAGTAAGTGGAAGAAGTTTGGAGGGCTATTCAAGTCTAAAAGCCCTGAGGCCATGCCGCGGATGCCCTTCTATGAAGTGCGAGTGAACGATCAACAGCTGCAGGCAGTAAATAGCTCAGAATACGTTCCAGATATGAAATTACTTCGGAAAAAGCCCGTGATTCATGATGTCCATGCTTGGCCTGCCAGGTCGCAATCACTTCCGCGCCCGGAAGACCTACCTTCAGCCACAATTAGTAAAGAAAAGGAGCATCTGGATTCCGAGAAGCCCGCTAGCGTACACGAAGCGTCTGAAGGCCAGAGACATTGGGGCAGTTGGTCTGAGGAGCCTGGAGTAATCCAACAGACTCCATCAGGTTCCAATAACCCGCACACTCCCCTCCTTAATGTCGATATTCCGGATGTCGAGTTAGAGAGATATAGCGTCATGTTTGGCGCCTTCTACGACCGACCGCCACGATCTAATCTACTTGCTCGACGAAGTAAGAACCTGGACAGGATAAAACCCCCCAGTGCCTTGGTATGTCTCCTGAGCCCCTCGTCCTTTCAGAGATTAATGCCTTGTAGCAACTAGGCAGGCAAAATGACTTGGTAAGACCGCGTCGAGCTACTTCTCCCACTTCAACGAGGTCTCCTAGCTTTACACTCTTCCCATCAACACCAACAAATAAAGCTGCCCGCCTTTTAGGATCACATTGCCTTCCCCGTGGCCCTACCCCCCTTCAAAAATCATTCACCATGCCCGCTTCTCCGGGCGCGGTCCACTTCGAAAGGAATCCTGGGACCAGACTAGGGCACAGTCCCGTTGGAACCTCGGAATCGTCTCTGAGCGGCTGGGGATCTGTTTCCCTTCAGTCCACAGCACCCTCTGAACTTTGTGATGATGACATCGAATCTTCAGACGAGGAACATGAAACTATTCGGCTGCGTATTAAACCGCCTGAACAGGAAGAGCCTATGTGGGAAATGGTAACGCCAGGTCGAAAGACATTTCCTCCGTCGCCTCGTTTCAAACAACGCCAGTCACCAGTCGACCACCGACCCAAAATTCCCCAAATACCAAAAATTCCCACGACTCCAAAACCAGCGAAATCAACATTTCCAGCAAGATTGCCTGCTTTCCCATTCCAGGACTCGTTCCGTTTGCCACGATCGCCTACTCAGACCCCACGGCCGCCCAAAGAGCCCATACCAGAGCAGGATAGTCTTCACAAGCCCTCATTATCGATAGATTCCACAATCGAAGACTTTCAGACCGTTGAGATTTCCGTGGCAAGATCTGTTTCCGTAAGTAAACGTAAACGGGTGCTTGTGCCAATCATCGGAAAGTCGAGCACTGCCCTCCGATCGCAAGAGCGGCTGGTCGCGAAAAAAATTGCGACTCCGACTTCTGAAGTTATGCACAGGGGACACCGTCATGAAAGATCACGGGTTGCTCTTTTCGAGGAGGCTTAGTTAATTATAGGCGTTTTCATAGTCTCCACTGTATAACTGTCTTTGATTGTTTGATATGGGAACACCAGTAACTACTGGTTCGCCAAGTTCAGCATATATTTTGTTTTTGGCTTGTGCGTCAGGGACCACTAACTAGGTAATGACAGCGAATTGAGAAAATATATCCATTATTAGTTACTACTTTCAGCCCACAGTATTCAATGCTCCGAGGCCTTTCCCGCGGGGGAGGCTATTATACTGTACTTTCAAAAGGATTGACTCGGAAGGGCTATATCGAATTTAATTCCATGGTTTATCGTCGAAATCAAATCTCCTCAAGATACAGAAGCTTGTTCGCACTCTTGGGCAGATCAAGATGCACCGATGCACCGGACTGGAATAAAGTTACTCCGTATTATTGGCAGGTCAAGCTCTGCAACACTCCAGGGATTAGCTTTGTTTTACTTGGAGACTACTTTCCTTGAAGCCGTACTCGGCTCTCTGAGATGACCTAACCCGAAGCAATCGAGATAAGATTTGCTCCGCTCACCTGGTTGTCGGCAAGCGAGGTAGTAGGGATCAAGGGTAGCTGGTACTATACGAGGCTGTTAATGCGGATGTAACACCTCGGAAATACCCGCTCTGCAAGATATAGAAGTTCACACTGTGGCTATCCATCTATAATGACAGGGCCATGCCCCGGTATATGCCTTACGGTGACCATGTCTTCGCGATATGGGACTCAAGGGATAGTCACCCTTTGAGTAGTCGGCACTCTCGCGACTGAACTCTGTTGCGATCTGCCCGTATGTTCGGACTTATTTCCTTACACTAGGTTGGCTGAGCAGTGTACACGAGTTGACACAAGGCATTAAAAGCAGCTGTTTAACATTGCAACTCCCATTCAAGTCCAGGATAGGCATCGCTCACAACCTTCACCTTCATCTTTCCCTTTAAATGTTCCGCATTATTACTGCCCCCGCTCTTTTTGTCTGAGAAAAGCTTGATATTTGTCCTTACTGTCGGACTTACATTATTACCCCTATCTCTGTTTTGATATTTGTTCTCCCAAGAAACACGTTTTAGAGCAAGTAGTTCTTCATTTGCACCTGGATATTCGCTGCTTGTAATGGTAACAAACCAGCCTTCGGTTTGGGATTTCGGGAATCTGGGTGCATATATTGGGATTCCCCCACTATGCTGCGGAAGAGGATTTTGTGGGCGAGATGCTGCAGGTCGACGATCGAGCTGAACGACCAAGCCAGTGTCGGTGAATTCAGCTACAGTCACCTTGATATTAGGTAGAAGAGAGACGGCCGCAGTGAAGTCTTTCGCTGTTGATGACTCTAAGTGTAGCGCCTCTGTTAAATCAGCCAGTTTACTTGGCGGTAACAATATCACATCTTGGAGGGAATTGGGGATTTTTGTATTGTTTTTGTCCTTAAGCTCCTGAAGTTCGGGGTTTACCCCTGGTAAAATAGATAAAGGATGGTCATCTGGCCATCTTGCTGCCTTTATGCTCTGCAGCAGAGTCATTAACATCCAACAGGACTTAGCATAGCCGAGCTCGGCAAGAACATCTATGCATGCTTGAATAACACGAATTCCCTGATCAAGTACTGATATTTGGTCCCCAACATAATCGGAGATTGGGAGATCGATGCGAGACATGAATGCTTGCAATAATAGGAAAGCCTTGATGTGAGGATCCCACAATGGCATATCGGTACCAACTGCAGATATCGGTAAGGGGAGATTAGTTGCAAGCTCCGCGTTGATAAGCTCTTCATTGTGGCGAACAGGAAGCTCGTCGAATTCTGTAGCAGAACACATCCACCCGAGGACGTCTGCGAATGTAGGGCTAGTACTAACACGAGACATCCAGAAGCGAACTGTTTTATGAGAGATATAGTAATAACTCATGATCTTTCCATACGGAGTGGGATCCACAAATCCAGATGTTTCATCGAAGAGGATGCATGAAGACGCAGCAAGCTCACTGAGTGACTTGTCCACCAGTTTAATCATGAAATCAGCTGCCATTTGCTGAGCGGCAATGGTGTTGTGTTCTTCTGGTGGTATATCGAGGCCATAGTATGATGGATTCTTATAGAGCCGCCTGAAGAAAAAAGTCCAAGTCAGGTAATCAAGAGCATCTTGTTTTGTTGCAATAGTTCCAGCGGAGATCTCGGCGCCAATATGGTCATCTAGAACTTTATGTAGAGTAGATTCAACTGGAAAACCGGTGTGAAGAAAGTGCTTATAGAACGCCTTTTTTGAGTTTTGTGTGAAGATGCGAGCGATACCAGAAGAATCGAACTGCGGACGGCCCGCACGACCTAGCATTTGCAAAACATCCGTTAAATCCATATCTCTATACCCTTCTATTTTGGCATCAAAAAACTGCGTTCCCTTCACGACAACGAGATGTGCTGGCAAGTTAACACCCCATGCCAAAGTGCTAGTTGCCACCAGCAGTTGAATCTTATTGTTTGCAAAAAGCTCTTCCGCGAGCTGTCTATCTGATTCGACTAGTCCCGCATGATGAAGACCTATCCCAAAGCTAAGCGCTTCTTTTAAAATATCATCCTTGACACGCGCAAGATTTATGTGAAGATCATCTTCGGACATATGCACAAATCTTCGAGGATCATCTTCCATCCCGCAGAAATTGATTAGATCCTTTGCAGTGAGGCGAGTCTGTCGTCGCGATGCCACGAAAATTATCACCGGCTTGTCGGGCGAGTGGTTTTTAATCGCAAGAAATGTAGGCCGGTTCATTGACTGCATAAATGGGGAGAATCCTCGCTGTTCAGGAAATCCATCAATATATATTTCTAGAGGAACTGGTCGAACAGAGTGGCGGAAATTGTAAAGACCATGCTTGACACCAAGCCAGCCACCAAGATCAGCAGCGTTAGCACAGGCGGTAGACATGCCGAGCAAGCGCACCAAACCCTTAGATTGAGACGCTATGTAATTCATCCGGGATACGATGATCTCCAGAATTGGACCACGATCGCCGCCTAAAAGGTGTATTTCATCGATGATAACTAAGCTGACCTGTCGCACGTACCCTCTGGTTTGCCAGCTTCGGGAAATTCCGTCCCATTTTTCAGGGGTGGTAATGATGATATCGGCATTGCGGATGGTTCTTGTATCGGGTGTGTTATCACCAGTTAATTCCACGAGCTTAAGCCCCAGCGGGATTGCCAGTCGACGACGCCAGTCCTGCACACGCTCACGAACAAGTGCTTTCATCGGGGCAATGTAGACAACTTTCGAGCCAGGTTTATCGCGGAACGCCCACCACATGGCTAACTCCGCTGCGACAGTTTTCCCACTTCCAGTTGGAGAACCCAACAATACATTTGCAGACGTATAATAAAGCGTATGAAAAATTTGAGTCTGCATTGGATTAAAAAATTGGAATCTTTGGCCATAAATTTCCTCGAGTGCCGGGTTTTTGAGGGCGGAAATTGGTAACGGTTGGAGGTCCAGTAAATCGGTATATGTCGTGACTGTATCTGGGCGAATGAGATGCTGAAATGACACGGGTGTGACCGTTTCAGCACCCAACCACCGGTCAGAAATGACCCGAACATAAATTTGACTTGGGAGCGGATCAGAAAGCGGAATGGTAAAGTTTAATTCATGGTGGTCATGAAGCTTCTTTCTGTTTAGAATGAAGTATTCATGGTGGTAAATTTCGGACGTTTCTGAGTTTTCGACCCATACCCAATATGGTTCTGATGTGCCATGGTGTCGAAAATTCCATTCGAATTCAGGGTAGAGAAGGAGACGAATTCGGAGAACGTCGCGATTCAACGGTGCTATTTCAGCCTCAACATTCACAGTTGGGAAATTGTCCAGCAATTTGGAGAGGACGTGCCCCATTCTATTATTATGAACCAGCTGTCCCAGCTCTGCAGATTCCATGTCTCGCATGGATTCTATGGAGGAAGCCGGAAATTTCTCGTCCAAATTCTTCAAAATTGGTCGTGGTAGGTCAAACTGGTAAAATGGGTGTTGGAATGGCCAAATCTGTTTTTCGATGGATTTGCAGGTAGACAACAGTACTTGACACTGATAGCCCCAGCGGCGATTCAAGGCGATCATAAAGAGAGAACGGCAAATACGAGCTGCATTCTGAGCAACATAGGCGGTATCAGACACTAGAGCAAAATCCTCCACACGAGCTCTGGATATATGTGACTGGAGTAAGATGTTAGTCTTCGCATGGGGACTATCATTTGAGCCCTCTACTTCCGTCCTTAGCCCCTCCAGCCGAAGTCGATCCAGTTCCTTGAACTCCGTTTCTCGGGATTGAATGTTGTCAAATTCCCCACTCATACTAATCATCTTCATCACATCTGCGTCACTGCCATTTGGAGTCATCATCGTGTTGAAGATTTCAACACTCGTCTGCAACACATAATATTGGCTCGCAATCCTTCCTACATCTTTAGAACGCAATTCTTCAGTTCTTTCATTAAAAATAATCATCTGGCTTTGCTGGAGGACTCGTGCAGCTTTCATGATCAAATCTCGACGGCGTTGGATCAGTTGTGGGTCATCTCTGATTTCTGCCCAGTCAATTCCATAAGCATGCGGGTTCCGGGTCATTCGAACAAATAAATATGAGTACCCCAGCCACTGTACAGCTTCTGTTACAGAAGTCACGGTCCCAAGAGAAATTTCCGCGTTAAGATTATCCACGAGTTTGCGCGAAAACCTGGACTCGATAGGTTCCTGGGATGTGACAGCGGAAATATAATGTTGTAATTTATTATGCGTTGTGCATATAAATCCTATACCTGTATCCTGGAATTGTGGCCGGCCGGCCCTACCAAAAATTTGGAGAACATCTAGAATTCCCAAATCAATAAATTTTCCTTCCTGAGCGCTATAGAGCTGAGTCCCTTTAATAACTACTGCAGCGGCTGGAAGATTGACCCCCCAGGCTAGAGTAGCAGTGCAGCAAAGTACCTTTATTACACCTTCAGAAAAAAACCGCTCCATAAGGTTACGGTCAGATCTTGCCATCCCGGCATGATGGATTCCTAGCCCTTTCGGAACAAGGTCTCGTATCTCTCGGCCTCGACTGGTCTTGAGATCACGTATTGCCTGGCTGTAGTTTTCATGGTCGTGTGGGCTAAACAGGTCGGAGCACTGCTCATCTGCAGCCATCTGTGTAAGAAGTTTGGCAGTATTTGCAGTGTCCTTTCTTGAATGAACGAAGACCATTACTTGGTGCCCAAGTTCAAGCATTTCTCGAACCTTCTCAAAAGTGACGATGTCGAGATTTTCGCGGGACCTCTTCGAGCCAGGGTCACCCTTCACCCCAATAAAATGTTGCTCTAGTGGTACGGGGCGGAATGAAGCGTCAAAAAAAAACAACCCAGCCATTCGATTGACTTTCAGAAAGTCTGCCACGTCCAAATAATTAGGAAGGGTGGCCGATAGCCCAATAATACGAATCAGTGACTGAGTGCTCTCGACTTGACGCTGGGTACGGGCGACTAGAGATTCAATGACAGCACCTCGTTCATCGTGAAGCATATGAACTTCATCGATAATCAATAGGCGGACTTTTCGCACTAGTTCCGTATCACCAGTGCTTTTCCGAGTTACAACATCCCATTTCTCAGGCGTAGTGACAATAATCTGGGTTTGAACAATTTCCTGCTTTGTCAGTTGCATATCACCCGTCAACTCTCGGACTTCGATCCCTAGCCAAGCCAGCCGTTTCCCCAACTTCTCGGTTACTTCTGCGGCTAGAGCTTTCATAGGAGCAACATAAACGATCTTGAACTCATCCGTCTGGACAAGGAATTGATGACAATCGGGTTCTTCCGCCGGGTTCGGAAGGGCATATTTAGCAATGGCGTTTAAGATAGTAAGCATGGCAGCATCTGTCTTTCCGGCACCAGTTGGTGCACAAATAAGCATATTTTCATTTGTCTTGTAGGCCACATTATAAAGCAAACTCTGCATTCGATTAAGAGTTTGATAGCCCTTGAATGTGCCCCTACATAATCCGTCCATACTAGAAATTGGTACGAGCTTTCGATCACCGCCTAAGACGCCTACTTTTGTGGCTGGAATCGCGTATTCCGTGTATCTAGGCTCTTCTCGATGCGTGCTGCCGATCGGAAGCCCATACTTTCTCCCGTTCACGGATATTGTATTCCCAGCGTTATATGATTTATAAACGTGTGGGTACTGAGGACCTTCTCTGTCTTGCCTTGCTGCAAGAGGAGCATTCTTGTGTTCATAGTCTTGTCTTATCAAGGCATGGTCCCTCTGAGCCTTTGTTCGCAGTTTAGACATAATTGTATTACCAGCTTTCGTCAAGGAAGATAACACTGTCTTGCGGTGAGCTATGAGATCGATCACGAAATCCAGTTGATCAAAACCAACGATTTCGGCAAGTATCATTTGTAGTTCATCGTTGGAACTGGTGCCTGCAAGAATGTCATTCAGCTGCTGTTGTAATTCCGAGGCGCTGAGTCCTTCCTTCTGTTGTGCGATTAGTGTGCATCTGCTTTCAAGCCAATCCTGATCATATGTTGTACTGGTAGCCGCGGGCTCTTCTAGCAATGCAACACCATGAATATCATCCAAATCGTCTGCACTGTCATAGTGGTCATTGATTATATCCCAAATATCATCGGGAGGTGGAGAAGAAAAATCTTCATCAGTAAGATTCAAATCTGCACCATAATGAAACTGACTATTAGCCTCATTTGGCGACTGAAGCATTTCTACTGCTTTTTTCATAGCATCAAGCTCCGCGAGCCATTGAGGCTCTGAGGGTGAGGCCATAGCGTATGAGAGGCTGTGTGTGGGAAATAATGTGGGAGGTTTGAATGTCTTGTAATAACCAACTGTCCCTATGGCCACCGTGCTCTTGTTCACCAATCCCGCTGCCAACCCGTCGCTGTGCTTGTTGTCGGATGCTGGTCGATTATTGTTAACATAGCTGAAGAGGCTAAACTTACTAACTACCTAACTTAGTTAACTACTTAGTTAGTTAACTAACTTAAATAATTAACTAATTAACTAACTAACTAACTAACTCCGTACTCCGTACTAAACGGCCACTGACACAAGGTGTTGTATGTACGGAGTACCTGGTTACAGACCTAAGTTTCCGACCTGTACGGAGTAATCGTATCTTCTTTTCTATTCTGCACAGAAAACTCGGTGCTATCCTCTCTGGCCTTGAAGCTTTATATCCTGTGGCTCATCCACACTCACTCGACCCAGAAGCTCGTTGTCGTAACACGTCAAGCCCCTAGTTAGAACCCCGCCACCCCTCTTCCCTCTGACAGCATGAAGATATTTTATATTGGAGTGAGTTGTTTTCTCTATGTTGACTATATTGTAGGGGCTTGCAAGCTTACAAGGTATTTGCACAGATCTTGCGCAACGAGACCCGGCCAGCCGTCGAGCTGTGCCGTGAGACGGACCTCAGTAGCTTCAGCCGTTTTACCAGAGACAGGTAACCCTACCTGCTTCGCATACTCCAAAATTTCGTAAACTCACCATTGTTCTAGCTATGGCGAATTTATGACTTTGTTTTCCAAAACTGTCGCTGAACGAACACGCCCCGGCCAGCGACAAGATGTCGAGGAGAAATCATACACATTCCACGCCTACGGCCGGACCGAAGGCATTGCTGGTATTATAATTTCAGATGCGGACTACCCGGGCCTCGTGGCACATCAGCTCCTTTCCAAAATTGTAGACGAGTTTCTTGCCAAACATCCGAGAACGACATTTGCCGCCCCCGACGTAGGCACGCTGCCATTTCCAGAGCTGAAAGAATATATCGTCAAGTACCAAGATCCATCTCAGGCTGATAGTATTATGAAAATTCAGAAGGAATTGGATGAAACGAAAATTGTGCTACACAAGACTATTGAGAGTGTACTAGAGAGGGGAGAGAAAATTGATAGTTTGGTCGCGAAGAGTGATGGACTAAGTGCACAGAGCAAGATGTTCTATGGACAAGCCAAGAAACAGAATACATGCTGTGTGCTCATGTGAGAAATTTGAATTAAGTTTTTCTGAAGATGCTCCTATTTCCTGTTTGCTGTTTCATCCTGGGCTTTCCTTACGGCGTTATGAATTTCTAACACTAAATAAGATCCATGATCTAACAAATTAACTAATTCTTGTGCACGGTCAAATGGCTCAGAGTGGGTATTTGTTATCAGTCAAAATCAAATCAGTAATTCAAGGGAGCTAGAAGTAAAATAATTCCCCAGGATTTCATGAGTGCGGACCCGTTGTATAAATATGGCACTCAGATTCCAATCTCTGCAACTATCTTGGGTATATTGAGATCAAACCCTTCGTCTTCTGGCGCAACCCGGCCAATAATGCACTTGGTCCAGTTTAACAAGTCCTGCGAAGGCACCCGCTTGGCTTGCGCGTCAGTCGTGCCGCCCGCAGCCCCGCCGTGAAGCTTCAAATGTTCCATGAACGTGTCAATGTCCGCAAAGACCGGCGCAGGGCCCTGTTGCTCAGCGCAACAGTATATACACCCGAAGCTTCCTCCGGTTCCGTCGGTTCGCTTAAGTGTTGATCGTATTGGAATATGGCTTTTTGCCAGGAAGGCCCAGCGATACCTAACGCCACTAGAACTATGAAGGCGGACACTTTGGTCAAAATCCTTTGATGAGCTTTCCGTTAGGGGCGTCGTACGAGCAAACCCCTGGGCGGGTGACGATGAGGAACCACGGGCAGCCGCCGGTGAGTGGCCCATGGGGCCCTCAAAACAGCACTTTGTACAGCGCCAAGTGGAGATCTGCAGGTATGTAGTTGTACGTCTGAAATCAAGGCGAAATGATTTTTTCATGGCATTTTGGAGTTTCCATGCGCCTTTGCAGAAGCCAGCAAATTTATTTTCCTCGCAAGGGAGATATAGAGCCCCCGGTATAGGGCTCCCTGTCTGTGAATATGCTAGATTCCGCTCGCTTTGAGCACCGTTTTCGGAATTATTTTGTACAGAGTGTGGCTTCTCCCCAAAACCGAGTACTGAATGGAAGCCCGAACGAGGAACGGGCTTCTCGCCCGATGAGATAGAAATCCGCTTTCTTCGATCCTGGAAGCCAGAAAGCAATGATCCGGAACGGTTTGATGACGTGCTTTGCTCTTTGGGGAGTTCGGATATGTCTTTGTGGGAAGTTTGGTGGCTAGAGACCCCAAAAGATGATATATCGCTTTCATTGGTTGTTTCAGTAGGGACTACTGGGTGTGATGACATTTCGCTGTAGATACTCTCGCTGTAGATGCTATCTGGCCGATTCGTGACCCGTCGTTTAGTCGGGATTGAGCCTTCTTGCCGGGGCTGCCTGCTGGAATGACTGACTGGCGAATACGGAAACCGGCGTCCACCAAAGAAACTCCCAACGGAGTGGTCGAGGCTTGGTGTCCCGGCGTCTTCAGTGAATGCGGAATCTACGGAGGAAGGGGAGAGCGACGAAAGGGGCGCTAGAAACGGGGCTTCACTTGGGGATACAAGGTTTGCCCGCATATCAAAAGATGAGGCACCGTGGGAAGGGGGGGAGTGGGATGAATTTTGCCGTGCATTGTCTGGAGCGAAACTGCAAGCTGGCTGCTTTGGGGTGAGGGAATGTTCGGGGCTATACCGAGGAGGGCTCATGCCGATACGCTGGGCCAGCTTGTATAAGCACATGAGAGTCTCAACACGCGCATTGTCTGAAGCGACTTGCAGACTCGCAAAATCCGGGCTGATGCTATCAAGCAGAGCCATACGCAGGGTAGCCAGCACTGTTAGCTGTAGGCTGATAACGATATCCTTCAACGTCTCCCGGGCAATTTGGTCCCCTAATTCGTAGGCGCCTCTAAACTGGCGGATGCTTTGCTCATATTGCCCCTGCACAATCGGTGGCCCAAGGAGAAGGGAGTTCTCAAAGTCGGATGTAATCTCGTGCGTGAGTAAGTTTTCGGAAGCCTTCATTCGCTGCATCAGTCCTGCAGCATCGATGAACGATGTTATCACTGCAGCGCGTTAGCAGCGGCGATCGATTAAGGTCGTTGACAACACAGATTAGATTTAGGCTTATACAGACCAGCGGAAACACACGTTCCCACGGAACGCACGTCCATGGGTGAGAGCGACATGGTCATACAATCTAGTTGCCCTACGGGAAACAATAATATGCTTTGCTACTGCCACATTTATCTCAAGAAGAGAAGCACTAACAGAAAGGGAGGAAGAAAGAAAGCATGCAGCAGTAAATACTCTGTACTAATCTTTATATTCGTTAATGGCTGTTTGAGGAGTACGTACTCCGTACAGACGGAGTAAATCGGGGTGTGGAACTAACAACGTCGTGGCTTCGAGTGTGGCATTTTTCTTAGGCATACAAATCAGGCTCTATCATGTGAGCTGAAGCTTCCACACTAACATAACTTTAAAAGACTATTCCCTGAAGTCGACATTGTCCGCGGGTGCTTATGAACCGAAACTTCTGAGGTTAGGAACCTACACGATAGCAGCACAAATAACCCAATGATGAACAACGTGGTTGGGTTTTGTTGTTACTCATCTGCTGAGCTATCAAACCACTTTGAAAATGTCCCAGATGTTAGCCTAGCGGGGACTGGCCCCAGCGCCAGCAATCCAACCCCGCACCTCAGAACCCAGGACTTGGGAAGGAGCCTGACATCTGCTTTCATTACAGCATTAGTTTACCATCACATTTCCCTTCAACAGGGGTAGATGACGCGATAAAGCTTAGAGTGCTTTATTGTCATCCCTGCAGGCAAGGAAGGAGATGACTCTCTCAAAAATGTAAAGAAGCAGAACAAGACGCCTTTTGAGTCCATTGCCAGCCACTTCCGCCTATATTCCATAGACCATGCCGACTATTGCTACAGTTCAGACATGTATCCGTCGAAGTATGTCGAGTTCTATCATCTGGACGAGGATGGCCCTTCAGGTCGGCTCCCACCACCATGACAAGACGCACAGATGCATGGACACGTCTATTTTAATTTAGCCACTGACTATGATTTTGGGCCATTCTTCCCTCCCAAACATGCTAGGCTGGAGGAGTTTTGATTGATAACCACCCGCGAAAAATAATTCCTCAGCAACAACTATGTGAAAATGAAAGTTCCTCATGAAGTAGTTTTCACGAACAGGGTTCCGGCTTTAGGCGCACCTCAGGTCTTTAAACTTTTGGGTATCCATTATACTAGGGAAAAGGACAAGGGAAAAAGGAAGAGAAAACGGTCCCCATCCCCACAGGAGACTTGGTGTGAGAGGAGTCATCCAATAGGGTGGTGGTCCAAAGCTGACTGAAAACTGTATGTGAGACTCTCAAGCAGTGGCATAATCTAGGATAAGAATATTAGAATGGGTTGGATCCCGGCAAGTGGTTTTGAAGGTCTTAATGTCACACTGTTATCTTCTCTGAGATGGCAGGTTCCGCTCAGTTTGGGCACGCAGCGGGATTATTGCTAGCTGGATCACGAGAAACTCTGGAATCAACCCTCTGCTTTTTGGGGTTTCTACTCAGGGGTTGAAACTCTGCTTCCCCGCCTTCAATAGGAGCCGCGAAGCTCCATTGCGCATCCTGATACTCAGTTTCGTCGGGCACGGTCAATGCATCAGAAAGAGCGACACTTGAAGCTGTCTGGTTTTGCAATTGAGCATTGGAGAGGTGCTCATTTGCTGCTGTAATAAATTTATCTCTCATTTCCTTCGCCCAATCCCGAGCATTTCGGTATGCAGATGCTCCCTGTCTAAAGGTTTCCGCATCGCTAGTCATTGCCCAGCCATAGAGCTGAGTCATGATATATTCAGGACGGCACCCTGGACCTCTAGGCTCTGAAATATGAGTAGTATAGAGCTTGAGTGTACCACCATGATAAATTGACGTAATAGTGTAAGCATTGTTGTCATAAGTCAATTTATCTTGTCTGTATGACTCAAGTGATTGCATGCCTCGGGCTCCTATAGCGCCATCATAGCAAGCTTGCCGCATAGCAACAGCAAGGGAACCATCAGGGCCTTTTGCTTCCAAAAAGAAATTTGGTAAGATGGGAAGGTCATCCTGAGTGGAAGGAATAATCTGATTGCCAAGCTCTTTGCGGATTTGACGATTGAGCTGCTCAGGGCGCGCGCCATAGAAGTGATCTGGTTTGGCTTGAGCCAGTGTGCCATCAGTTAGGTGGGCAAGATTTCCAAACAAGTACCCTCCACCAGTGCATTTAGAATCACAGATATCCCCTTCAATAGTTGGAATCACTGTGGTTGTCACTGGCTTCTCTTTTGATGCATATGCATCTGCTTCTCTGAACTCCTCCAATTCCTTCTCAGAGAACCTTGACGGTGATAGAGACTGCCGTGGATTCCTCAATCTCTCTTTGATCTCATCCCAGTTATTTGGCCGCAGCATCTTCTCCCCATTTGGGTACCTGTATTCTGGGGGGTAGATACCGTGGTCGGTTAGGTTCTGTTGAAAGTTTCGACTGTACGGCGTGGAACTTCTCGAGGTTGTGGTAGGTCCTGTGTTTCTTGTCTTCGATGACGGAGATCCTGCACGTCGCTTTCTACTACGCGGGTCAGATTTACTTGTCATTGGCCGCTCGAGTATGCTTTCGGGGTTTGGATACTGGTTTAAAATCATCAGCAGTAATGAGTGCAGCGAGGTTGTAGTTACATACATTTCTAAGGTCAGACAGGTCAGGACCTCCCAGTCTGGAAGACCTCCTTATTTGCTTTAAGCACTCAGGGGAGCAATCACGGAGAGGGTCGGCAGCAAGCTGAAGTCCACAACGCGACTTCAGCTGGAGGCAAGATCCTTGAAAAACAGGCTTTTGATATTTTTGGGGTGGTCTGAGGCAGCTGTTTCTTTGATCTAGTTCCCGTAATGCGCGTTTGGTCAACCAAATCTCGGACAGATTATCCCAATATGCTGGTGCTGGTGGGTTCAACTTCTGCCGCTTCAACTGATGTTGCGGTGTGTTGTATGGACCTTGCTCAGGTTGGCGACGTTTGCAAGATAGTTTGGGCGTCACTGGACAAGGCATATGGCGGTCATCATGTGTGTTTGGGTCGTTTGTAATTCCAGGCTGCATTGATGCCGAAGGAAGAAGAGACGTTCTTATAATGTGCATTGTTGGGCGGGTACCTAGCTAGCGCCGCCAATTTTGAAATGTGGTGGAATCGAGTTGGCAAACAACGACCGGGGTAGTTAACTAGTTAGTCCCATGAACGGGCGCCCACAGGACTGGAAACTCGCACGGTTGAGAAAGCTTGACGCCCACCAGTTGAGCCGGAGAAGGAGGCAAGGTTTCAAGTGCATGACTTTAAATTTTGGAGGTGTGGACAGCAGCAGATCAGACTAACCAGCTGGTCATCACCGCGCCTTATTTTGATCACTGATATGGCTTTAGTGAATTGTGCACTCTTTCTCTTCGTCTTGATCTCTTAAAGGAAAGTAGTAGGGGGAAGATGCGGTGAGGATGGCCTGAAGGAGGGTTAGGGTTAGGGTTAGGGTAGGAGAGGTCTTGTTGGTACCTCCTTTCCCAGCCAATTAGAAACAGGTAAAAGGAAAGTAAGGCAGGAAAGGCTCTTGGCGAATACCTAACTAGTTACGGAGTACATGTGGGCAGCATCGCAGAGATATTCGTCGACGACGAGCGGACTTTTCTAGGCCTTTCTCGTGCGTCGTCAGTGCCGACATGGTCAATACCCAACTCTTGCCGACGTAACTATGTAACTAACAGCTAGGTTCAGACTCCTAAAAACTGACCCCAAGCCAACGGAGGGCTCTGGACCGTTTCGTTCCCTTCTTGCCAAGAAACGCAGAATGGAACGAGACCACGATGCGACGACGGACTGATGCCTTCGATTTTGTAGTAGAGAATCTCTGTCTCCAGCTCAGTGCGAATCTCTTCTGGGATTGATTGAATGAACGCCACGACGGCATCCCGGTGCAGTTCTTTGACCCTAACGCCGATTTTTTCTGGGTATCGCTGCATCAGGAACAACAGGTCGTCCTTGTCCTCGATCCGGTGCTCTGCATTAAATCTGCATAATTTGGCGTTTACAATGTCGAAGATCCCAAGGATATACATCGGCTTACATCCGTCAAGGGTTTCGACCCTAGAAATAAGTCGTTTATTCGTCAAATCTCCATTCTGATAGCCTATGTTACAGCATTCTTCAGCATTCTATAGCAGGAGAATCAGGAAGCGAAAGTTACCATAGTCGATCAAGTTGACTTTGATGGTTATCTTATCTTCGCACATATCGTATCCTGGGCCGGTTTGAACGAGTATTGCCAGGGTATTTCCCATCGTTGCTGTCTTATAAGATGTCACTCTAGTAAACACATCAAGTTAGCAAGACCAGATGGACGACTGATTTTCAGCAACAGGGCCTACTGTCGTCCCGTCTCCATGATGCTCCGGACGTGTTCTTTTCGCCCCTGAAAGAGAATGTCGACATTCAGGACCTCTCGTTTCCCTTGCAGCAGCCAGACAGCGAAGTCACCACAAACCGCGTACGGCACATAGTGGGCATCCAGTATGTCCGTGCACACGATGGCTGCCGAGATGATGTTCTCAATTGGAATGCCAGGGTACCGCCTATCCGCATCGCCGGAGATGTAGTTGACGGCGATATCATCTGAAGACATGTTTAGGTATGCGGTTCATCCACCTGCACTGCCGTGTTGTCATCAACAACTCACTAAAAAGGAGATGTATTTTGTTCTTGAGGAGTGCGGGGTGCTTGCTCGTTCATCCTGGTGGAAGGCAACTGCCAACGTCGCTGCTGAAAGTAAGACACGACATTCTACCATCAGATTCTGGGAAGTCGACAGCTGTGCAACTTGTAGCGACCTGACAGGAAAATCTACATCTAACTACCTAGTATATGACCGGGAACATTGATTTGTTCTCTCTCTAGTTCAAACACTGGTTGGCCTCAAGAACGAAGCTTTTCTCCATCCATGGGACCTCCCGCAGTGCATCCGCGGAACAGCACCGGGCTGAGTAGTAGTACCGGGAAGTCCTAGGACAAGGGGCCTACCGGCAAAGGAATGCCGAGGGGTGTGGGTCAATATTGCGATATTATCACGACATAGTTATGCCATATATCTGTTAAGACCATGAGGGGAAATTTTTGATAAGAAATCTTCTCATGGTTAGCAACCCGTTTCTCGACAAATTCGATTTACAGAAATGGAGGTCTCTGGGTCTGCCCCCATCGTATCCAAGGCGTATGTGGTGGAGGCCAAAGGGACGCCATTTGCGCTGAAAGATGTTGTTTTGGACTCATTACAATCAGACGAAGTTCTGGTCGAATTGAAGTATACAGGAATCTGCCATACTGTTCGTTCCACACCTTTCCCCAAAGGTGAATCCGACAGCATTTCAGCAGCCACTAATGTCACTCTTAGGACATTGTCGTTCAACAAGGCGGAATCCCTATCGGCGGTTACCCGGCGATCCTTGGCCATGAAGGGGTTGGTATCATAAAACAGGTGGGATTCGGGGTAAAAGATAAGTCTCTAAGAGAAGGCGATACAGTTATACTTGCATTCCGCTCCTGTCGAAAATGCTCTTCCTGCCTTGAAGGACGATGTGGAGCGTGCCCTCACATGATGGAGTACAATTTGCTACGGCCCCGGCTTAGTGAAGATTCCAGGCCCATTTATTCTCTTCCAAATGGAACTCCTGTTCATGGTCAGTTCTTCGGGCAATCGTCTTTAAGTAAAATGGCTATTGTTGCAGAAAACTGCATAGTGAAATGCAACGCCAATCCTGACTCGCTTCGATACCTACCACCGTTGGGCTGCGGATATTTGACCGGGGCTGGAACCGTGTTCAATGTTCTTTGCCCAAAGCCTACTACCATGTTTGCTATTCTGGGAGTTGGTACAGTTGGGATGGCAGCACTTTTGGCCGCGAAATCCATGGGTGTTAGCAACATTATCGCAGTCGACATTGTGGACTCCAAACTCGACCTCGCCGTCTCACTTGGGGCAACGCATACTATCAACACAACAAAGGTATCCGACCTAAACGTGGTCATCAAAAACTTATTTCCTAGTGGTCTGGATCAAATATTAGACACGACTGGAGTTTTATCGGTGCTTCAGGATTCTTTTAGAGCCTTGGGACACGAAGGCATTCTTGCTCTGGTTGGCATCCCCCACCCTGGTGATATGATTCAAGTTGATGCGATGGATTTGCTCCTATCCTGCAAACGCATTGTTGGTGTTGTCGAAGGATTCGCAGACCCTAAAGAGGTATGTACACCGCAATAGACTAGTGCGACTTTTGCTCATCTTAGAAACTAGTTGATTCCCCGCCTTGTCAAACTATACAGTGAAGGCAAATTCGCTATTGACCGTATCTGCACGGTGTATCCGGCGGAATCCCTAGATCGGGCTTTGGGTGATTTTCGATCAGGAAAGGTATGCATTGGCCGCTCGGAGATTAGTTATGTCGTTTACTAAAGATTCTTGGCTATAGATCATTAAACCGATATTGTGTTGGGAGAGCTTGTAAGACGGGCAAGGAGGGGTGTGCAGAGATGTTTTGGTTTTCGGCGGAGTGTACTCTCTCTGTATGTTTCTTTTGGTTAGTTAAACCTTGCATGTCGCTACACAAGTGGCATCATTTGTGGTTTCCGAGACATTTCGGGTTTTGGTTTAATAGCCTCCAGAGTAGCAAGAAACACAGATTTGAATCAACCAGCATAGGAGAGCAAAGTGGGCAAGGTTGTTTTTGATAGCAAGTTGGCCACTGACCTCGTGCTTGGCCCTAGTTTGAGTTTAGTCGAGAGCATGAAAGCGTGTCGTGCCAATGTAGCAAATCTGAAGTCCAAGAATGGTGAATCAGTGGTGTGTGTATTGACCATTCAGTTTACAAAATGGGGAAGTCTCTGGACTGATTGGCGATTGCTAACGTTCGATATGGGATACTTCCGCATTGTAAAGCAAGCCGTGTAAGGCGGGGAAAGGTGAACAATGGGAGGGAGGAGCTTAGACGAGGATTCCGAGAATATGCATGGATCAACACGAGAAGGCGGTACTCTGTAATAAATGCTCCCCAATCGCGCGCCTCTCTGATGCCGGTGGCCGATTGCAGAACTGTGACGGAGATCAATCAAGGACTAGTTAGTGCCAAATGTAAGCTTTTTGGAGCGACAATTGAAGTACGGGGTAGACAGAGCAGATGGAGAGGAATGCTGCAGGGCGCTGTGGAATCATGGCTGGGGTGGAAATGCTATGCATGATGATGTGCGCGGAGCGAGCTTATCATCCGTTGGCGCCCAGGACTAGCTGACTCGTTACGCAACGATGGCTGGGGAAGCACGAGAGGACACACGGCCAGGCCGTTGGATTCCCGGCCCCACGCAGGGCGGTGAGGTGGAGCACGGGCAGTCTTCGCCAGAGTACTCCGTACGGAGTAGTAGTAACTATCGCCCGGGTCGCAGGGCCTTGGCAGGCGTGGGCGCGATGGAAATCGGCCGAGAGGCGCGAAGCAGCGCAACGACGAGGTCTCGGGCAGGCTCCGGCACGTACAGCATACGGTCTGGCGCCCGGCTCGGGGCTGGCGGTTCTGGGCCGTGTCGGACGATTGCCTGCCTGCCTGCCGGGTGCCGCCCCGTGTACGCCGTATACCCCGCGTACACGCCGCACGCGCTCGTTCGTCTCGGGACCGGCGCCGCGGTGGGGACGCAGCGCAGCCGCCGCGGGGCTGACGTAAGCGAGTGCACTGCGGCTGCTGATTGGCCTGCGAGACTGTCTGCCAAGCGTGCGCGTGTCGGGCGTGCCGAGGCCAGTCCCCGAACAGGCCTAGCGCTGCCCGCACCCCAGCCTGCGCTGAGTCAGCCCGGCGCTTGTGCCTCGCTTCGCGCGCTGCCTTTCTCCGCGTGCGGGTGTGTTGTTCCCCCGTCTCCTGTGCCCTGTCGACAATCCCATCCGCTTCTCGCACGAGACAGCCAATCGGAACGGCAATAACTAATCGTCCCGTCCATGACCTCCAACGCACACCGCATCGCGACTAGAAATTTGCCCTTTACCCCCGGCGTTGCAGTGGCTCGTCCAATACCTCTGGAACACCTCCCTCCCCCCTCTTTATATGCCCATGCACGCCGCTAGCTTCGTGGTATCTGCCCCCAGATTCGTGTGAATTCTCCTCTCCAGCTATTCCTTCCGCCGAACCCGCCTGCTACTGTCCCAATGGCGAAGGACAAGGCTTTGACTGGCCCGGATATCGCCAAACACAATTCCGTCGAATCGTGCTGGGTGGTAGTCCACGGGAAAGCTTATGATGTGACGGATTTCCTGCCTGGTAGGTCGTTCATCACCACTAGACTCTGATCTCCTCTCAATCTGCCCCCTTTCATCCCTGACGACAGAGCCCAGAACACCCCGGGGGGAAGAAGATCATCCTCAAGTATGCTGGCAAGGACGCTACGGAAGAGTTTGAGCCCATCCATCCTCCAGATACGTTAGACAAGTACCTCGATCACTCGAAACATCTCGGTCCAGTAGACATGAGTACCGTTATACAGGAAGAGAGGGCGGTGGATCCTGAGGAAGAAGCTCGGCAGGAGCGTATACAAATGATGCCCTTGTTAGAACAATGCTACAATCTTATGGATTTTGAGGCGGTCGCCCGTCGTGTGATGAAGAAGACAGCTTGGGGATATTACTCGAGTGCTGCAGATGATGAGATTGTATGTGCTATCAAACTCAACGCAAGACTTTCGGTTTCATTGCTGACGGGTGTGCTGTTAGACAATGCGAGAAAACCACTCCGCTTTTCACAAAATATGGTTTCGCCCCCGAATACTTGTCGACGTTGAGGCGGTTGACATCTCTACAACCATGCTCGGAGCTCCTGTGTCCTGCCCCCTCTACGTCACCGCGACGGCTCTCGGCAAGCTTGGGCATCCAGACGGCGAAGTGTGCCTGACAAAGGCTGCGGCGACGCATGATGTCATTCAAATGATACCGACGCTGGCGTCTTGCTCGTTCGATGAGATTGTGGATGCCGCTATAGATAAGCAAACTCAATGGTTGCAATTATATGTCAATAAGGACCGTGAGGTGACGAGGAAAATCATACAACACGCTGAAAAACGCGGATGCAAGGGTCTCTTCATAACAGTTGATGCCCCTCAGCTCGGTCGAAGAGAAAAGGATATGCGATCCAAATTCGCTGATCCGGGATCGAATGTACAACGGTCGGAGAGCGGGGTCGATCGATCCCAAGGGGCCGCCAGGGCAATTTCTTCATTCATCGACCCCTCACTATCGTGGAAGGATATTCCATGGTTCCAATCCGTGACCAAAATGCCCATCGCGCTGAAAGGCGTGCAGCGCGTGGATGATGTTCTTCGCGCTGTGGAACTAAACATACCTGCTGTGGTTCTCTCCAATCACGGCGGTCGCCAGCTCGAATTTGCTCCATCCTCGATCGAGCTGTTGGCGGAGTTGATGCCCGCGCTCCGTGCCCGTGGATGGGAGAAACGTATCGAGGTCTACATCGATGGCGGCATTAGACGAGGCACCGATATTATTAAAGCCTTATGTCTCGGTGCAAAGGGAGTTGGTATCGGGCGCCCGTTCCTTTATGCAATGAGCACGTATGGAGTCGCCGGCGTTGAACGTGCGATCCAGCTACTCAAAGATGAGCTGGAGATGAATATGAGACTGCTCGGATGCACGACGATAGACCAACTTACCACTGATTTAGTTGATACAAGAGGTTTGGGGATTCACTCCGTTCCTCACCCTATTGATAGGCTCGCCGACGCCGTGTATGATCCCCTGGTGACTCCGTCGGATAGGCCCCGGGCGTCGGTAGGCGCATCTAAGCTGTAGGGGCTGTCAAAGTGATCGCACCTTGGCGTGATTTATGGATTAGTTTAGATCATAGATAATGGACAACCAAGATATCAGCCTACGCTCTCCGTATGCATCACAGCTTTACTCCATACGTTGATGGCCCGAAAAATGCTTATGTAACTAATCATATGACCTCTAGTGGGAGCGCATTGGGACAGCTGCTGGCGGACTCGTAGAGAACCAGGCATCATGTCTCTCGCCGACTACCTGGCCAAGAAGTATCTCACTGCAGACTCGTTACCTACGCCTGACCGGCCGAAAAAGAAGCGCAAAAAGAATAAACATGCGGAACAGTCAGCCGGCGGAGACGGCCTGATAATCGCAGACGACGATCCACCAGACCTCCGTTCCACGACTGCTGGAGAGCCGCATTCCCGACGAGAATTTGGAGACGACGACGAACTAGGATACACAGTCGCTGGGCCCTCGAGAGAATTCAAAAAATCGCAATCAAAATGGAAAACCGTCTCCGGCCCAACGGCACCCAGCAGCGCCGAACAAATGGCCGCCGATGCCGTCCTTGCCTCCGCCGCCGCTGAACGAGCCGCGCAGAACGAAAACGACGACGAAAAGCCCCTGGTAGTTGAAAACGACGAGCCCGACGACGCCGATGGCGAAGCAGCTCTGCGCATGCAATCCGGGGCGCGCGCGGGGCTCCAAACGGCGGCACAAACGGCGGCGATGGTCGCCGCGCAAGCACGCAAACACGCCAAAGACGCGGCCTCGCTGCGCAGCAAGGCGGCCAAGGGCGCGGACGCCGAGACGATATACCGCGACGCGTCCGGGCGCATCATCAACGTGGCGATGAAGCGGGCGGAGGCGCGCAAGGCGGCCGAGGACGCGGCGGCGAAGGCGGCGGCGGAGAAGGAGGCGCTGACGGGCGACGTGCAGCGGCAGGAGCGCGCGGAGCGCCGGAAGATGGTCGAGGAGGCCAAGTTCATGCCGCTGGCGCGAACGGCGGACGACGAGGAGATGAACGATGAGCTGCGGGCCAGGGAGAGGTGGAATGACCCCGCGGCGCAGTTTCTGACCAAGCCGACGAAGCGTGGAGGTGTGCGGGGAGCGGGTGCAGGGCCAGCGAAGAAGGTGTATGAGGGTGCGGCGCCGCCGAATCGATATGGGATTCGCCCGGGGCATAGGTGGGATGGGGTGGATCGGGGTAATGGGTTTGAAAGGCAGTGGTTCGATGCCAGGAATAGGAGGGAGAGAAACGAGGGGCTAGCATATGCGTGGCAGATGGATGAATGATTTGTGCATGATTAGGTGTCTTCTTTCAAGTTCTTGTTCAGTTGCTGCGTGGGTTGCGTTTCGTTTGGCGTTTGGAGGCGTATATAAAAATCGACATTGTTCTGGTTCTACGGTATAGGACACTACTAAATGACTATTGAAACTTCAAAAGGGTCTTTTTTTATTATTTATTCAAGGCCATACTGCAGTCCGCTGTAGTCTAAATGCCATCTTGTTTGTATGCCGACCATACCGCGAGGTCTTGGATTTATAGAAGCCTTTTGGGTTGGAGTGCAAAAGAGAAAAGCCAAACACCGACAAATAGGGAATAGAATCAGCACATAAACGTGAATCTGTCGTAGCTGACCACCCCCGCGCGATTATTTGCACATCCATTGGGCTGACAGGAAGAAGGAAAACACCCAGAGTCCAACAGATGCCGTCCAGAGTACTTTGACACTATGTGCATACCATATTGCAACTCACAAAAATTTAACACCCATAGGTGGGCTCTCAAAAAGCATCATCGAATAACTAGATCTATCTATCTTGGTCGCCTTTCGGCGCGACGTGGTACCTGAACAGCGGGGGGAGGGTGGACGAAGGGAGCGACAAGTTAAAACAACCACCTCAGTGAGGTATAGATGGAAAAGTGAACGTTTGGGTAAGGGAGAGAGAGAGGGTGTGTTTGCGAATATTCACCTTTCTGCAATAGCGAAAGATCCAGAAACAAGGGGCCACCAGGGTACAGCTTGCGATTAGAGTCAATAAATGGGGATTAAAAAAAGAGCATTCAAGGGTTGAGAATAAACGTAAGACAAGACACAAGAGCGGTTGGACACCAAAAACAGGAGCAGCGCACAAAAGGTCTCTCTATCTCTTCTTTACTTCTGACGCCCAGCCTACAATGCCTTCTCCTTTACTTCCAACTGGAACGTCTAACAGGATATGGTCCATCCCCTTTGTGCCCTTGAGGTAGGAGTGATTCGCCATACCACCGGCATTTGCGCGTCTTTCAGGCACAAGCTCTAGCATGGGTGTTAAGAATTCCGAGATATATTTGCTTTCCTCGGCATCGAAGTGGTATTTTTCTCGGAGGACGTCGGGTAAAGCCCAGTGGCGAAGCCGATGGATGTGGCGGAGTTCACCTCTGCGGTTGAAAATTTCCTGACACCATTTGCCTGAAAGGCATAGGGATCGGGGGAAGGGGCCAAGAAGCTCGATTATTTGAGCAATGTGGTCGTCGTCTTTACCGTATTTGGTGCCAGACTGGGGGTCAAAGAGATAATCTCCTGTAATTAGTTCGAAAACCTAGAAAATGTTAGGAATGCCGCATGAGCGATAAGCGAATATTGGGGGGTGTGTACCATGGCGGCCATGCTCCAGACGTCCGTGCTAGCACCCCATTTTGCTCCTAGAATTACCTCAGGTGACCGATATTGGCGTGTTTGAATGTCGTTAGTGAAATGGTGTCCAACCCAGCAAGCATTGCCAAGATCTGCAATTTTGACAGAGATGATATCGATGTTAAGGTCGTCCATCTGTTTTGGGGAGGAGCTTCGTTCCAGTGATATACCGGAGACCTCTCGCTCCAAGATTTCGCTAGAAGTGGTTAGTCGATGAATACCATCAATACAATAACAGATGTAGTGACATACGTTGTTTTTTCTCGCTGTTTTTGTCTCTCATCGGCAAGTCTGTCTGGGTCTTTAATCCCAAGACGATCTCTCATCGAGAGAGTAGAGGGTGTGGCTGCATCAAAGACGGTAGTCAGTAAGCCATAGGGACAGCAAGAATAGAATGAAGCGCGTCCCCACCTGGAGAATCATGTAATGCTTGTTGTAAACTGGTCTGTGCGGGAGAATGACCCTTGAAAGGATCGGTGCCGGTAAAGCTTGCGTTGAGGGGGCTTGGGAGCGGCTGGCTGCCGGTGATCAGCGTGCGTCGCCTCCGACGGCCATTGCGATTGTCTTCTTTCTCCTTCTGTACCTCGTCCTCGTTGACATAGGTCTTGACGATCTGCTCGACGTCACCGATTTCGATCAAGACGTTTTCTGGCTTCAGATCAGTGTGGATAATGCCGCACTCGCGATGAAGGTAATCCAAGCCCAGCAGGACTTGCTTTGTGATCTGCTTGACGAGGGGCATGGGGATGCCGCGGTGGTTCCAGCGCTTGATCAGGCCTAGTAGGTTTTCGCCCAGGACCTCGAAGACCATGCAGACGTGCACGCCGTTTGGGCCGGTGTGTTCGAAGGAATCGAGGAGGCTGACGACGTGTTTGCGGCCGGGGTGGTTGGGATTGGCGTCGACGATTTTCTGGAGCAACTTGATCTCGTCGACGGCGGTCTCGGTGTAGTGGGCGGCGGAACGCACGACCTTCAAGGCGACATGTTTGTTCATGGTAGTGTCGCGCGACAGCCACACGGTGGAGAAGTGGCCCCAGCCCAGCTTGCGGAGGATGATGTAGCGGCCATTGTTGTAGGCCTCGCCCACATGGACGGGGTGGTAGCCACCCTTGCAGTAGTCTTCCGAATCTTCCTCGTCGGCGGTAGCTTCAGCGAGCTCGTCGGCGGACGCGGACGAGGACGAGGAGGGCGATTGGGCGGGCGGGGCAGGGCGATGGAAGCTGGAAGCAGCAGGCAGGTCAGTCTTGGTCTGGGGTAGCATGAGCGAAGCAGCAGTAGGGGCAAGGGGAGGAGAGTCAAGCCAGCGGGTACACGGATGCACTGCTTGCTTGGGTGGCAGCGCGTTCAGACAGGGCAAGGACGTACCTCTGCGACGACGCGGGCATGGCGGTGGCAGCGGCAGCGCTGGGCGACAGATGGGCAGGCTCTTCGGTGATGATGGGCTTCAGGTCGGCCTTCCGGCGCTTCTTGCCCAGGTGCCCGTTTGCGGCGTTGAGGAAGTTCCCGGCGCTCGCCATGTGGTTGGAGGAGATGCCAGCAGCCTTGGCCAGGCGAACTCCATCCATCAGCCGGACGCAGGGCTAGGCGAGGGTGTTGACGTGGTCTGGGTGGGAGGGGGAGGTGGTGGGTAGTGGTAGTGGTGGAGGTGGCGGTGGTGGTGATGGTTGTGGATGTTGGCGGTGATGGTGGTGGTGGTGGTTGGGTATAACTAACGAACTAGCGATGGGTGAGGGAGCCCCGCGCAACGAGCATCAGCAACAGCAGCAGCAGCAGCACTGAAAGCACCGAAAGCAGCACGGGCAGTGGCTAGCAGGCCATCACTGGACGGGAGCGAGACTGGAGGGGCGGCGCAGGCGGCGAGGGGCGCGTTGGGGGTGGGCAGCAACGCAGGCGCGGGCGGCTAGAAAGCGGCGGGCGAGGACGACAGACAGCAGTGAGTGAGATCGAGGGCACGGAGGAGGCAGAGTGCAGCAGGCAAGCAGCGTACGGAGACGTGCAGACACAGAGCAGCCGGCGAGGGAGCACGGCGATGGCGAGCAAGCGAGGGCGTGGACGAGCGATGCCCGACGAACGGGGCAGAGTTGGCGGGCGAGACGGCGGCGAGCTTGGCGGGCGGCGGCAAACCGGGCGTGGCCGCCTAGGTAGGCTTAGTTAGGTAGCGAACTAGGTCGAAAGTAGCTAGTCCTCTCGCTGGGCTGGCGGGCTGGCTATTTCCGCCGCTCCCTCCATTCCGCCGTCCTTCCCTCCCCGCCGCTCCGCCCTCCGCCCTCCGCCCACCGCCTGCTGCCCGCCGCCCGCTCCCGCGCACGATGGGCGCCTTCGACCCGCCGTCGCTGCCCGCGCGCGTGCTGGCGTCGCCGCTGCTGTTCGTGCTGCGCCCCGTGCACGCGCTGCTGGCCGCCCTGCGCCCGCCGCCGTACACGCGCGCGCCCGCCGTGCCGCCCGTCCGCGTCGTGTGCCTGGCCGACACCCACACGCTGGCCGTACACGACGTGCCCGACGGCCACCTGCTCGTGCACGCCGGCGACCTGGCCAACGCCGGCTCCGTGGCCGAGATCCAGCGCGCCGTCGACTGGCTGAACTCTCTGCCGCACGCCCACAAGTTCGTCGTCGCCGGTAACCACGACGCCGCCTGCGATACCGCCGCGCACTCTGCCATTGACTGGGGCGCCATCCACTACCTGCAGAACACCTCCGTCACCGTCGCCGTGCAGCCGGCCCCCGACGCCCGCCCGCGCTCCTTCACTGTGCACGGCGTGCCGCAGGTGCCGCAGCTCGTGCCCGACGCGAACTCCGCCCACCACGCCTTCCAGTACCCGCCCAGCGCCCGCACCGATCCGTGGCCGCACCCCATCCCGCCCGCCACCGACATCTTGGTCTCGCACAGCCCACCGCTACACCACCGCGACGTCTTCCCGCACTGCGTCGGCTGCCCGTTCCTGCTCGCCGCCGCCTGGCGCACCCACCCCGCCCTGCACGTCTTCGGCCACGCCCATGCCGGCCGCGGCGTCGAGCCCGTGTACTACGACGCCCCGCAGCGCGCTCTGGAGCGCATGGCCGAGCGCCGCCGCGAGCCCGGCTACATCTGGGAGCGCGGGAAACGCTCCGCCGTCGGCTGGCTCGTGTATGGCGGGTGGTGGCGGGACATATTCAGCGTCTGGTGGGCCTGGAGGGACGCCCTCGCCGTAGTCTGGGGAGTGGGAAAGGCCATCGTCTGGACGCGCATCTGGGGCGGCCAGAGGGCCCTGGGCCAAGAGGGCTGGATGGTCAATGCTGCCTGCATGGACCCCAGGGGCTCCGGCACGCTCACAGGTGGAGCCACAGTAATCGAGCTATAGCCGTTGCTGGTCCCCTGTTTGTGTTTACTCCCATATATTGCCATCTACAACACAAACAAACCTTTTTTGCGTGAATCAAGGCTACACCCTACGGCTACTATTGATATACCCTTTTGCTTTTGCGCTGCGTGGCCCAGCCCTCCTTGTCCTCCTCTGTCCAGCTTGTAGTAACCTCACTTTTCAAATTCTTACAAGCTCTTTGGGGCTTGCTCACTTTGTCCTCGTCAGGAACCCTTTTGTGCAAGGGAGTTTTCATCTTTCCTTCTTACGCACTACTGCGTCCGTCCCCGTCCTTCTGGCTCCGCGTAGTTAACTCTTTACCGCACCTCTGGGCCATTACATTCCATCGAGCCGCTCCTCTCCTTTGTCTTTGCCATGTCTAGTCGCGCCAATCGGGCCGCTCGGCTCCCCCGCTTCCTAATGAGTAACGTTGTGTGCAACCGCGAAGGCCCTGACTGGATGGACGGCATCGCTACCCTGGACTTTGACTGCTTCCCGCTGTTTAGACATGTTATACCTGAGCCGCTTCTCGCCTCGACTAACCTTCCCCCCTTCTACCGGCTGCTCTCTGACGAACAGGTGTCTGCCCTCGTGTCCTGGGCATCTAAAGGCAATATGTCGAAAGAGCTGCTCGGGGTATACTGGCCGGGAGACTTCAATGGCGATGGGAAAGTCAAAAAGAATCGCCGCCCATGGAAACAGGGAGAAAACAAGTCCATGGCCACCAGGCCGTTATTCTGGACGCATCAAAGTTGCGGACGGCCCATGGAAGACATGACTCTATTGTCGCCGGATGCATCTACATCAAGTAGCAAACGAAAGCGCAGTGAAGAGAATGAGACGGTGCACATCAAGCCATCCAAACTCGTCCTCCTCCGCGACGAAAAGGACAGCGAGAAGATCGTCGAGCTGCAGTACGAAGTCGACCAGCTTCAAGCCGCCCTTAAATGCTCCCAGGCCAAGCAGCAAGGGCTCCTGTCGCAAATGGACCAGGTCGAGACCGCCATGTCCGTGCGCTCCGAGCTCGTCACCAACGCCATAGTCAACTACCACCTGTCTCTGGCCAACCTGCAGATCCTCTCGCCCGCCATCGCGTCGCTGGTGGACGAAACCGTCTCCCCCGACGACATCGCCGTGGCCGCCGGCGGCCATGCCACTCTCGACCACCGCGTGCGAGTTGTTAAGGAAGTGGCAAGCCGGCTTAAGATCCCCATCAGTGTGCTCCCAGACGATACGGAGGATGAGGAAGACGAAGTAGTACCTTTGAAACGCCCAGCAAAGGGAAAGAAATAGGCGGATACTTATGGGAAGGAAATTTGGGTGGTTAGGACAGTGCACGATGTGTTGTTATGGGCGGTGGCTAATCCAATATACAAAGTCTTGATACCTGTTTATTCTATGCACGGTTTTCCCTGGTCCATGTTTCCCTTGGTGTCCTTACATTCACGGCGTTGTTTTCGGTCTTAACCAGGGCTTGCAGTTACGGACGTACCTGTCTGGGCTTATCCTTCCGTTCATTTTGTCCTTGTCTTCATCTTGATTGGCAGTATTCTCTAGGTTGGCTATGCGCGCTTGTCCTGCACATTTTGTATCGCCCCTGTTCCGTCCCTCCAGCTCCATATCAGAACGCCATTGTTTCAAAGGGCGGTGAGGTTCAGATCTAGGGACTGATACGGGAAGCGTATGGGCTACATCTTAGGGTTGTGTATCTAGTTGGATCACTCACTGGAGTATGGAATTTTTAGAGCAGTCTTTTCTCTTAATAGCCCATTATCTTCTGACAAACATTTTCCTAACAAGATAAAACGGGCCGCTTTCAGAACCCTCCGGATAAACATAAAACCGGTATCTCATCAACCTCGCCCTGCAGTTTGGCTTCCCCCAGTGCTGAGGGACCGCAACCATGCCTCGCACGGATGAGGCGGAGTGGTGGTTCAACGCCGTCTACGCCGCGGTCCAGGAGATCCCGCCTGGCAAGGTTACGTCCTACGGACATATTGCGCGTTTACTCGGGGAGCGTATGTGCAGAATTTTCGCCGTGAAACCACGTACCCTCTCACTCTGTCTCTCCGAGCCTGACTAATGCTTGTTGTGGGATGAAGCACAACGGTCCCGCCAGGTCGGAATGTGCTTGAAGTATCTGCCACCGGAGAGCGACGATGAGCAGCAGCAACAGCAGCTGTATCACAACGGCAACGTGCCGTGGCAGAGGGTGATCAATTCGAAGGGCATGATCTCGCCGCGGTGAGTGCGCGCTCGGGCTGTGGGATTTCATTTTCGTTTTGCACCAGCAAAAAATACTCCCCTTCAGCATTTTTCCTCTCTCTCTCGTGGATGGGCATTCTAACTCGTACTTACGCGCTATCGTCAGAGGCCCGGGATCGGCCGCGCGACAGGCGGCGGCGCTCGAGGCGGAAGGTATCGCAGTGGAGCGCAACAGCATGGGCGAATATCGCGTCGATTTCGCGGACTATGGGTGGTTTCCTAGGCATTTACCGGGACACGACAGTAGTGACGATGAAGGTGAGGAAGAAGCTGTAGCTGTGTGATATTCAGGGCTCTTCGCCGGTAGTATAGCCGCTCCTGATAAACGTCTACGCCATTCGCTTTGCCCTTTTTGTTAAATATCGGCTTCGCAGAAGATCGGGCTAGTTATTTCATACGGCTTGGTGAAAGCTCGGCCGCCAAGCAGCATAAAAATGTCGACGCTGTAGTATAGCGTGGTTATCTGTATGGTCCTACGTTGAAAGTCTGCAGGGTATTTGTGAGCAAGGTTCCAGATCTGGAACGTGTTTATTCGATGTATTCGTCAACGATTTTTCCGCTCTATGCTCGCAGCCTGAATCGCTATGTATATGTGCCACATGTGTGCTCTAACTCGAAAAACGAATCTAGAGTATAGGCAGCAGTACTATTCTTGATCTGATAATCCTATTCTACACCCCGTTTGTGTCACCTGACTCATCTGCCGGTCGAATTCCAACCAATGTACCTGTTGTCTCTTATAGGTATATGAGCAATGCCATAGTCAAGCTGCTTGCCCTACACAGCTTCTCACAATGATCGGCCTACTCTCCAGTGACTTAGCGGTTGAAACGCTTGTGGGACACTACAATATATTTCAGGTTTCGGACGCTCAAGTCCACCGGTACATTGATTGTTTACTGTCGAGTCCGCGGGCGAATGAGGACATCTATGACTGAGACGCTGCGTTTTAAAGCTGAAAAGCATGCCCGCCGCATCGATCCTTATGATGCGATGTCTCTGCAGATCTACCGGAACAGGTACGAGAGAAAGATGCCTGAAGTTCGGCCTGTGCGGTGCGTTGTTCGCGGGGAGGACGACGCGCTGGAGGAGCTGGCTCGGCGGGGCGGGCGGGGGTGAAGCGGTTCGATCGTTGATTGATCGCAGGCGGCTTGGCAGGGTCACGGGTAGCGGACTGTTAGTCAGCTAGCTAATTAACTAGTTAGTTAGCTAACTAGCTGACTAAGTAGCAACCTTAGCAGTTATGTTGAGCAGGAGTCAGGTGACTTGTCAGGTGACCAGGTCTCCAAAGGAGGAACTGGAGAACCATAGGTTCACCACCTCCTCTTCTCAACCATGGTACCAATTTCATTATCTTTGACTATCAGGCTGATGGAGATTTGCTAGGGGTTTTTCATATATTTTTCCTGTAGTCTTGATTATAGCATGTTTGTCTATAAGTATTCTTGTCTCATTCATTAGAAGCAGATCTAGATGCAATATTATAGACACTCAGTTACATGATCATCACATGCTTCTGTGTTGTCTGATAGTTATGAGCCCAGACTCTTTCAAGAATTTGATTATTATCTAAAGATACATTCAAGATACTTTATTTCACTCTTGTTATTCATATAAATAGAGATTACTATTAAGTATCTTGAGATCATACATTGAATTCTCTATTTAAGCTTAAATTTTAATTGTGAAGTTCACAGAGATCTAACACATCTATATATTTATCAATCTAAGTCTACAGAAAATCATAATCTAGAATCAACATCTCACTTCAATAATTAATTAAAAATGAACAAATTGTCTAGAAGAGTTGTTATGCTGAATAGCTCTGATGATTGAAAAGAATGAATCAAAGACATTAAGCATTTAGCAAATCTTCATCAATTGTGACCATACATCAATTCAACAAAAGAAATGCATTCCAAACTTTGAGAATTCATTATAGAGAATTTTCTTTCTTCTGAGAAAATCAAAGAAATCACAACTTTTGTGAATACAAAACATGCAAGAAATATGCAAAGAGATTGATACAGAACTTAAAAGAAGAGAATTTTAGCAATGCAAGAGCTATAGAAGACAATAAAAGACTATATAGATCTGTCTCTGAGAATTCTTACAATAAGTAAATTGAGTGATGTAGAAGCTACTGCAAAAGAACATCTGAAGACTCTATATACTAAAAATGTGATGAATGCTTCTCAATTGAAAGCTAGACTAGTAGAGAGATTCAAAATTCTAGAAGATGAGTCAAAGAATTAAGTAATTGAAGCATATTTACTGAACTACAAAGAAGCATTAAATTGAACTACTGTGTATGATATGTGTAAATATATTCATGAATCTTTTGTCTTCAAACAATTTCTGAGAGCAATCTTTCAGAATTACAGAAAGTTCTTCTATATATATCTGTCAAAGCTTCTAACTGAAGAGAATTTGAATTGAAAGCATGAGCTGAATGTTTATAGACATATTTAAATATTTCAGCAGACATTAAAGAAGAATTCTGAGCCAGATCAACAGAATAAGCTGTCAGCATACTCCATCAAAAAGATAGTTTAAAATAAGTCATTGAGAGAGAATACTGAAAGTATGAACTCTGCATGTCTTTGCAGAGAGCAACATGATTGGGCATACTGTCCATATTTTAATCCACTTGTTCAACCAACAGACTGGAAACTGGATCCAAAAATTGATAATAAGGTCAAGAAAGCATTGAAGAATCCAGTGAATGAAAGAAAATTAAAGAAAAAGATTGCAAATTGAAAGAAATCAAAGAATTTAAATGCTAATGAAGAAATTGATGCTTTAAGTAATGCAACAGAAGATGATGCTAACAAAGCTGTTGTCAAAACATCTTCTAATCCAACTATCTTTGCTTTCATAACAGTTTTTAACTTCACTAACATGAGCAATAAATATGAACTCTATTCATTATGGAACAGCTTCATATTGGATGAGGGTGCAGATGCACATATTTGCAATGATTTTACAAGATTTCAAAACTATCAGAACACTGATTCTTCAGATATTGTGCTTGTTGAAAATACTCATTGTAAAATTCACAGATACAGTGATGTTGAAGTTTATATTCAAACACTGACAGATGCTGGCAAGATATTACTAAAGAATGTTCTCTATGTTTCTGGCTTTCATACAAATCTAGTAGTGTATGGGTTGCTGTGTGCAAAGAATTGTTATTTGGACAACAAGTCTCTTACAGTTTACTATGCCAGCACAAGAGATATCTTGTTCAATTTGACTGTTAAAGAAAGAAAAATGGTCATTGAATACAGATCTATTAACATTGCAACAGACAGTATAACAAAGAGTGTTTTTACTGTCTCATTGAGCAGAGATTTGATTAAAAAATCATTGACAGCATTGATCTTCAGTTTTCTAGAAACAATGAATATTTAGCATTTAAGACTTGATTATCTAGAAAGAAAGTCTCTAACTCATCTTCTGAAGATGTCTATCAACATGAAATTTGCAAAGATCTCTTGGGGTTCTCTAACAGTGAAGTGCAGATCTTGTGCTCTTTCAAAAGCAAAGCAAATTATATGCAGAACATCATCAGAAAGATCTACACATCTGTTCATGAAGATGTCTGTTGATCTCATACAGTTTGCTTCAGATTATAATGAAGATAGGTGAGTGGTTCACTTATATTGTGATTATATCCATCTGCACTACTGTAAGATGGCAGCCTATAAGATAGATGCTAAAGAACAATGTATCAAGTCTACAGTGTAAGAAAGATAACTAAGTTGCACTTATAGTATCAAAGTAGTATTGCTATATGCACAGTAAGAGAAGAACTCATTGCTGACCTTCTGTGAGAGAAGATCAGCATGATTTTAAGTACTAGTGAGATTAGAGCTACACTAACTAATAAGATACTAGCTTTTAGAGCAGATCTAGTCTACAGTGAGCATGACAATTGTCTCTCTTTCTTGTAGACATTGTTCTTGAGATTCTAAAATGTAGCATAGTGATATAATTAAGCATCAGATTGTGCTATTGATATTCTAATTTTGAAATATTAAAGTGTATGGTTAATAATTTGCAATAGCATTGAGTGTTGATGTGGATGAAGCTCACAGTGTTACAGCATTGAGATGCAGTGTTGATGTTTTGTTACATCAGTGTCAATCAGATGTCAGCATTTTGTTGCATCAGTGCTGATTGAATAATTAGTGATGCTGCATCATCAGCATTAGTGTGAGCATTAGTATGATTGATGATTGTGTAGTCATCAGTGTTAGTGTGACACTAATACTTAGTGAATATCAATAACATCAGCATGTGAGCTTTTTCTTCTTCTTTCTTCACTTAAGCATTGTCACATCATTATATCATTATGTCTCACTGCTTCTCTTGCTGCACTGTCTTGCTGCTCATCATTCTTCATGTTGTGTGAGTACTGAATTGATCTGTTTGTGTCATTTTGATACTCTTGTTGATGCTAAGTGATATGACAGAGATTTTACTTTTATGTGTTGTGAGTTATTGATTCACAACATTATTGCACAGTAGCATTTGCTACTGTTATTTTAATTTCACTAATGACTCTTGACTTGTCTATGCTATTTACTGTTAGCATTAATCTTTTGTGATATATTCACTTTTACTTTTGTTTATGTTCTTCACAGCATTTTTGGTGTCTTGATTTTTGAATTTATGTGAATATTTACTAATTAATTTTGATGTAGTCACACTCTGTACTTCTGCTGCCTTCCTCTGCTTATCAATTCTGACAACTTATGTGTTATTATGCCTGAATGCTGCTGTTATGAAGTGTGTCAGAGAGTGCACTGTCTATGTATCTTAGTAAGAACTCTATATCTTTTGTGTGTGTGAAGATTTTTGATGGTCACTCATTGATGTGTTTTCAGCACTAAGTTGCCTCAACACTCTAGAATTTATTAAGTTTCATGCACTTCTGACATCTAGATTGTTCTGTTTCTTACTGATACAGACTTTAGATTGTTGATTTAAAGAGTGGGCTTCAGTGAATTTCTGATTTATGAAATCTGATCTATTATGCTGATAGATTGAGCATAATCATCTTCACTGAGCATTTAAATCTCTGATGCAAGATGCAACATCTGACTGCTTCTGCTGCAAGACACTGCAGTGAGTGTGTGTGTATGACTATTTTGATTGATATTGAAAGATGTTGGGTCTGTGAAGCTGCTGTCACAGTTAATATCAGATGTGAGACTGTCATCTGTAAATGAGTTCTGTCAGCAGCAAAAGTCTGTGTGTCTGCACTATCTCTATCTGC